TTCGAACTGTTCCATGGCTCTCAGGCTGTCTCAGATCTCCGAAGCCTACTAATACAACTTTTGGATTGTACATACAGTTGCGGACAGGCAAAGTCAGCAAATTTGGACGACGCCAAAGACTGATTTTTCCTGGTGCCACAAATAACCGGAAACCCATTTTTGGTGCAGAATATGTTTATTGAGGACCAGTGCAATGCATTTGCACGAGCAGATTGTCCAAAAACTCTCATTTGAGGATTTTTTAGGGCAAATTTTTGGCGGTACCATAAATAAATTGCTAAAATCTCGAAAAATATGGCAATCGCTTCCTTTCGATGTCCTGTGCGTGATTCCATTGAAATATTACAAAAATATCGAGCCGTTCTAGCGTTAAAAATGGTAAGTGTTGAGGTAAATACTCCCGAACTTCTGTCAGTTGGGCCGCGAATGGGCGAAATCATACCCAATAAAGTCTACATAGCTAAATTAGAATGATTTGTTGATCTTGGTGATATAGGGCCCCCAAAATGGTGTCTCAGACACCCAAAAGGGGTACACAATGTCTTTCAAATTGTCCAAAAATTTGGCGGGCCAAAAACCTCGTGGGAAAAACTTCGGACCATTGTTTTTAGACGTATTTTCACTCCCTGAATCCAGATCTGGCCTTGGTTTGGCACCAAAAATTCACGCTGGACGGCTACCAAATTGGTGGTGTTTGGTTGTCCGCAACTGTAGTGAGTCCGTGCTTCTGATCCTTGCCCAAGTTGAGAGCTAGATAAATAGGTCCGGCTTAGCAGTTCAAATGAACCCACCTGCTGGTAAAAGGCAGCGCAGTGGTGCCGGGGCATCCTAGCAGACTGTACCATCGAATTCTGGAAAAGAGCAATTGCTAGAAGAGGCTTGCGTTCTCAAGACAAATCTTGCTGTGGTCTATTCTAAGCTGAATAGCCTTGCTCCTACCTCCTTTCCAACAGAAGTTCTGGAACAAATCTTCTACATGCTGAGACCCGCACGAGACTTGCATAAGGGTGCTGGCATGGATTGGTATTTCCAAGCAAATTTGACGTGGACATCACAATCATCAGACAGGTGTGCCACTGGTGGCGTGCCATCGCCCTCGCTTGCCCCACCTTGTGGACCTATGTTGCCCCATCGCTGCTCGGCAACGAGTGGACAAGGGAAATGCTGGCCAGATCTAAGGGAGCCCCATCGACGCTCGTGATATGTGGCTACAGTAATTCTGTAGTTGAGGCCTTCCAGTTGGCGATGGGGCATCTAGTCCACACCCACGTCCTCATCATTTCCACGACTATGCAGCCCGGGGAACTCGAGTTTATCCTGGGATGTGCTCCTGGCCCCGGTTCTGTTCTGGAAGCCATTGCACTCGTCAACACCCCTGGCAGCTTTTACGTACCCACAACTTTGCCATATCATACCCTAGCCAAATTCATAACCCCAGCATTACGTGAACTCATCCTGGGTAAACATGTGATGCTTGAAGGCGTGGATGTGACCATGATCAAATATCTCCTCCACATAGAAATGCACACACTACATGATTCCAGATTTGTCAATGTTCTCCAGGGATTGTTGCATCTGCAAACCCTTGGGCTGGACATTAAAGGTCTTTCTGTGATGCTTGCCTTGCCCATTATAACTCTACCGTCCCTGACTAGTCTCAGGCTAGGGTGTACCACATCGGACTGCTCTGAAGTCCTTCAGCAGATTTGGGCGCCCTACGTAAAGGCGCTCACAGTCATTTTCAGCTTGCGGGTGAACACCATGACCGACCTTCCTGTTCTACTTGCAGCTGTGTCTACACTGCACGCACAAATTGCAGAAGAGATAAATGCAAACTTGCAACTACCGCATCGACTCTTCATCAGTTAAACTCCCAGACAAGTATCGCCATCACTGGACATACGGCTGTTACGCCGAAGTATAACGCAGGCAAAACAATAACCAATAAGACCAAAGGTCTGTCGATACGTTCAAGACAACAGTCTTAAGAACGTCCTAAGTCAAGTCAAGGCTAAGTACCGAAGAGGTAACTTGGAATCAAGTCAGATGTTCAGAGGAAAACCAGTGTAGGTTAAGCTGAAGAATCAGCGTCACCTAGCCAGGGTTTATATAGTATACTGGGTACAGGGTGTGACGTAATAATAGGTATGTATCAGTAAGCACATGCGTAAGCAATGAGGCGTCTGAGTAATACCGAACTAAATATAGCATGATAAGAGACATGCGTAGTAAGTGTGTATCAAGGGAAAAAGAAGCAAGATAAGCACAGCCGTAACATCACCCCCTTCTTATGTGGAAAGTCCCAGACTTTCATTCAAGAGCATGACGCCGATTGTCCTCAGTGCTGCCAAGCCCATCTAGGGCCTCAAAGAAACCTCTTTCCTCCATAAGAATCAACGTCAATTGTTGAAGCTTTTCCTTGATGTCTCGGATACTATAATCAAGGGAGAAGAGTTCGTCTTCTCTGTACTCGGCATTGTGCCTTTCCAAGGTGTTCTCGAGACGATCTCCGAGGCGGTAGAGGTCGTAGAGAGCGTTGAGAGCGGGGTTGGTATCGATGGCGTCTTTGATAGGGTTTTTGAAGAGTTTGGACGACAACATGATTCTACGACGAAGTCGACGATCTTCAAGATCGGACAGGTAGGGGTCAGTTGCTACTCTCCAAGGAGCTGCTCGTCTACGAGCTGCAACACGCTCATGAGTGCGGATGGTAATGGGGCTAGCTGGCGTGTCGATGAACGTCGGAATGACAGGTTCGTTAAATATTTGGTAAGGGGACGATTGTCCCGATGGAGGCAGAGGAGACGTAGGACGAGGAGGTTCTGGGGAGTTCCTCTGACTGATGGTCATGTAATGAGGACGAGGAGAGAAGACGGGGAATCTAAGATTTGGGATAGGAACGTTCGGGGCGCTGTTGTGCGTGATGACGATGTTTATATCCTCGTCGTTAGAGGAGATGTAGTTACGTCCACCAGTAGAGGGCATGGTCTGAATGGTTTAGTGATGATAGTTCGAGTTGAGAGGGGAATGAGTTGATGTGCCTGCTTATATCTGTTCAAGATTTCAGCGGAGTTGGCTAAATCAGACTCCGATAACCATTCATTGTCGGCCGATGGGTAACCTTTCCATTTGACAAGGAAGCGTCGTCGTGAGAGCGTTCCTTTATGTCCGAGGATGGCTTCTACCTCGTGTTCTTCTTCTCCGTCAATTAGGTCAGGAGGTGGCGATGGGAAATTAGGACCGTGTTCTTCATTCTCATGATAAGGGGTAAGAAGTGCTGCGTGGAATACCGGATGAACATGCCATTGGCTCGGAAGCTTTAGGCGGTATGTGACTGGTCCGAGTACTTCCGAGATAGTGAAAGGTCCTTCTCTCTTGGGTGCTAATTTCCTATTGGGGTAATTGAGATGAAGGTTCTTTGCTTCTAGCCAAACCTTGTCGCCTTTCTTAAGGGTGTGAATGATCGGGTGATTCTTTGCCTCATGGTTTGTCTAGCGAGTTCATGTGAAGATAAGGCTTCTTCTCGAGCTTTCTGGAGTTCTGATATCCTCGCTTCGATGGCTGGAAGATCCGATTTCTCAGTAGCCAATGGTAGTGCTTGAGGGTGATATCCCATCATGAGATAGAATGGGGAAGCATTGCGTGCGGAGTGATGATGGGAGTTATGTACAAACTCTGCCATGGGAAGTTTTTCTGACCATGAGGTTTGGTCGTTTGCACAGAATATGCGGAGGTACACTTCTAGTTCTTGATTTACTCGTTCAGTTTCTCCATCAGTCTGAGGATGGAATGCAGTGGAAAGAGCGATTTTATATCCAAGAAGTCGTCCCAGTTCTTGTGCGAATTTAGCTGCAAACTGAGGTCCTCTGTCAGAGATGATCTTGTCATAGAGTCCGAAGCGTGTATAGACGCGATTAAAGAATATGTCGGTGACTCCTTCTGCATCGATCGTCTTGTTGCAAGGCGTGAGCACCACCCCCTTCGTAAGCCCATGGTCTACCACGACCATGATAGAATCGAAACCATGTGATGGAGGTAGGTCTACGATGAGGTCAACAGAGCATTGGGCAAAGGGGCGGGATGAAGTGGGGGCGGGAATAGGACAAAGTGGCGGCCGTGTAGGATGAGTGTTGACCTTATTCTGCTGACAGATGGCACAACCTTCGACATATTTGCGAACGAAGGTGGGAAGGCCAGGCCACCAGTAGTCACGAGAGAGGATTTCTTGAGTCTTAAAGCGACCAGGGTGGCCGGCAGTGGGGGAATTGTGATGTAAAGAGATCAGTTCTTTTCGTAAAGGACCCGGGGGAACGTAGTTTCGTCCTTTGAAGGTAAGAATAGCATCGGAAAATGTCCAGTCAGAGAGTGCTGATTTCATAGGGAGGGGTAGGGTGGGATTAGAAAGGGCGTCGATAGTTTGTTGAACTACGGGATCTACTGAGGAGGAAATGCGGAGTTTCTCCTGCATGGAACTGTCGATGAGGTTAATGAATAGTCCGTCAGGGAGGACTGTGACATCGGAATTGTCCTTAGCGTCAATAGGAATATGATCAGGTCTGCGGGATAGGGAGTCAGGAATGGAAAGGTCTTTGCCGGGGACGTGTTGGAGCTGAAGATCAAATCGAGAAAGGAATAGGAGCCAATGAGCTTGTCGACGATTAAGCTGTTGGGCTTGGCGGAAGTAAGTCAAGTTCTTGTGGTCTGTCATGACAAGGACTGGGAATGGGGAACCTTCAAGGTAGTGACGCCAAGCTTCCAACACTCGTATGATGGCCAAAAGTTCTCGATCGAAGATTTGATAGTTCCGTTCAGCCGGGGAGAAGGTTTGTGAAAGGTAGGAACAAGGGTGCCAGTCACCATTGGAGTCCTTTTGAAGGAGCACTCCACCGGTAGCATAGAGAGATGCGTCAACAGCGATTGCGAATGGTGCGTCTTTGTCAGGGATGGAAAGTACAGGAGCAGAGAGGAATCGGTTCTTCAGGTCGTTAAACGCCTTATCGCATGCTAGGGACCAATCAAAGATGATGTCTTTCTTTGTAAGGTCAATGAGTGGTCGTGCGATAGTAGAATAATCAGCAATGAATCGGCGATAGAAGTTAGCGAATCCAAGGAATGATCGAACATGTTTGACCGTTGTGGGTTGTTCCCATTTGACGACTCCATCTAGTTTGACTTTATCCATGCAGATTTGTCCAGGACGGATGAGGAGGCCAAAATATTCGACTTCGGTGGTGTTGAAGACACATTTTTCGGGTTTGAGAGAGAGTTGGTGGTCACGAAGTTGTTGTAGTACTCGCATTGTTCGTTCATGATGGGATTCGAGGTCTTTGGAGAAGATTAAGATATTGTCCATATAAATGACCATCCAACCTTCGTCTATCATGTCAGAGAAGATATCGTTCATCATTGCTTGGAACGTTGCAGGAGCATTGCATAGACCGAAGAACATGACCGTTGGTTCGAAGAGTCCTCTAGATGTTTTGAATGCGGCTTTCCATCTATCCGGCCCATGGATACGAACATTGTTATATCCTGCGTGTACATCCATTTTCGTGAAGATTGTCGCGCCTTTGAGTTTGTCGATGAGGTCGGGAATATGGGGTAAGGGATAGGCATCCTTCACGGTTGCATCGTTGAGTCTTCTATAGTCCTGGCATGGTCGAAGAGATCCGTCTTTCTTTCCTACGAAGAAGAAAGGAGATGCTTGTGGGGATTGAGACGGTACAATGGTTCCTTTAGCCAGATGTTCATCTATGAACTTGTTCATTGCCTTTCCTTCCGGTGCGGACAATGGGTAGATTTTGCAAGAGCGTGGTTCGAAGTCTGGTTTTAGTTTTATTTTGTGGTCAAAGGGTCGAGACGGGGGTAGAGTATCCATAGCTGTTTTGTCGAAGACATCTTTGTACATGTGAAAGACTTCAGGTACAAGCTCTTCAAAGGTCTTTGGCTTTTCCTTTGCGTATGCTTCTTGTGCTAATTGTTGAGCGACATTGGCAGCCTTTTGTACCGGAAGAGGAGTGAACATGAATCGAGCAGAGTTGGGGATTTTAGAGATTCTGTTCATTCGGGATAGGAAGGAGAATGTGGTGGGGATGTGTTCTTGTGTAAGTGGTGAGTTGAAATCGATTTTCTCGTACATTCCCACGAATGCTTCTCCTTTAACGTAAGTGATAAGAACTTCGTCATCTTGTAGTTCTTCTATTATTTCTTCTTGTTCTTGTTCTTCTTCGGGTAGAAGTTCCGGTTGTTCCTCGGGAATATCTTCCGAGGATGTATATGCTTCTTCGTCTTCGACTTCTTCTATCCTTGGTTGCATGGAAGCATGTTTGTTTCTATCGGAGATAAGAGTCTGGATCATGATTGGGTCTTCTTCTAGCGAAATTTCGCTTTTAGCCCAGTCTATATTTGGATTTTCGTTCTTGAGCCAGGGAAGTCCGAGGATGATGTCTTCGCCTCCTAAAGAGGTGATAAGGAAGGTAGCGAACATGGTTCGGCCACCTGCTGAGAAGAAAAGGTTGCAGGCTTTACTAATAGTTCCTGCTTTGTTCTTCGTTCCATCCACGTTCCGGACTTCGATTTGTGAAGAGAGATTGTGAGTTGAGAAATTGTTTTTTCGTATGTATTTCCAGTCAATGAAGGTTCCAGCGGCGCCCGAGTCAATTAGGGCAGCTGCTTCGGCGGTTTTATCGGACTTGCAGGATTCGATCGAAATAGGAATGCGCATAGAATTTGAATCGCCTACAGAAGATACAATGAGTCCGATAGATGTACTAGGGGTTTCCGACACCGGTCCGGTCTCCCCATTTAGAAATCCTTCTTAGAAGAAGAAGGTGTCTTAGATGCTTTCCAAGCTTTCCAAGCAAGGAATTCCTGATACTCTGCGTCTTGATCGTCTTGTTCGATCTTGGTCTCACGGACTGGTCGTCCGGCTGGTTTTTGCCAACCGGGAGCGGATTCTCTATGGTTTGGGCAATCTTTCATAAGTCCCTTCTTTCCGCACTTAAAGCAGAGTCCAAGCTTGCAACGTCTGTCCTGTTCAGAACGTGAGAGCCACGCGTTGCGCACTGGAGTGGCATCTTCTTCATCGTCGATGTCGATCTTGTCTATATCCATCGCATATGGGTCGTTCTTCTTCGTGAAGCCTCCTGCAGAACTCATAAGAAGCCTTCTGGATTCGTATTCTCTCGCGGCATCAATCCAGTCCTTGATATTGTTGGGCATCTTTTCTCTCATGAGAATTGCTTCTTGGACTTCCTTTCTAAGTCCTTGTCTGAAACATGTTGTTTCGACGTCCGAATCTGTGCATCGGGCTTCTGCCGAGATTCTCTTGAAGTAAGCGATATACACTGAGATTGTGGAAGTTTGCTTTGCTTTCATCATTACGTTGACAGCGGTAAGTGTGTCGTTCTTAGGGAAGAATACCGATTTGAACTCGGTAATGAATTCATCCCATTTCCCCATTGGGGTAGCGGTGTCGTGTTTCCTATTAATCCATCCGGTGGCCCATTGTTGGGCGTGTCCCTTGGTCATAAAAGACGTTGCGAATGCGATGCATTTTTCATGGTTGTCGTATACGTCTTTATTGATGGTTATATAGGTGGACATGGTCGTCCACCAGGCTTTCGCCTGTTTCTGCGATCCGTCAAAGTTTGCCGGTCTGTTCAAGTTGAGTTCTCCCATTTTCTTTCTAGGTATGGGTTCAGATGGAGTCTGAGGTGGTGGTGGTGGGTTCGATGGACCTGGTTGATCTGGTCTGTATCCGTCAATATATTCGTTGTTATCCTGTTGGATAGGAGATCCTGGTGGAGAGAAATGTTCTTCTTTGTGTTCAGACTCTGAGGAGTACTGTCGTTGGTCGCGATAAGCCACGGTGTATCGTGGCGACTACTAGGGTAGCGCCGTCTTGTGATAGAGCTTAACCTTTTGTTACGCCGAAGTATAACGCAGGCAAAACAATAACCAATAAGACCAAAGGTCTGTCGATACGTTCAAGACAACAGTCTTAAGAACGTCCTAAGTCAAGTCAAGGCTAAGTACCAAAGAGGTAACTTAGAATCAAGTCAGATGTTCAGAGGAAAACCAGCGTAGGTTAAGCTGAAGAATCAGCATCACCTAGCCAGGGTTTATATAGTATACTGGGTACAGGGTGTGACGTAATAATAGGTATGTATCAGTAAGCACATGCGTAAGCAATGAGGCGTCTGAGTAATACCGAACTAAATATAGCATGATAAGAGACATGCGTAGTAAGCGTGTATCAAGGGAAAAAGAAGCAAGATAAGCACAGCCGTAACAACGGCTGGCCGAGGCAGAGTCTTCCTGAGACACCAATCCATTCTGCAACTTGTACAGTACCTGCTGGAACCCGAATTGGCACACGGTCTTGCAATACACATTATCTCCAGGCGGCTTGATCATATCTAATGATGCGGCATCTGTCTGCAAGGCACTTCGTCTTAATGCTGTGACAGATGCGACACTACAGGAGACATACGGTTCAGGAGACTCATCATTCTTCACATAACTCCTTGGACAGATGCCTGCCCTGCGTTCCTTGAGCGTGTGTAAATCAGCCCTATCAGCGAAGGAGGTCTGGTTGTGCCACGTCGTATCACGGAGATATCCCTGAATTGATAAAGGTGTTTGAAATGAGGGGCAGAATGGGCTTGAATCTGCCATCCTTGAAGAGTGTCACCTCACTGGCAGCATAGAGATCCTGAAGGACACTGCCATTCGCATGTGTATCGATTGCACTGTAAATAAACCATGATGGGATTAGATACGCCCACTCGGCCTCGGATGAATCTTGACTCACCATGTACAAAGAAAAGGAAAACGGAGATAACCTTGCGCACGGAGCCTCAGGGTGCCTGTACAAGTAGAGTCACTCTACTATGAGGGGCTAAATGCGAGCTATCCAAAGAGACTTAAAAAGAAGATCGAGCTCGTCACGGTGTACCTGGTATCTCATTGTTATCGGTGAAAAACATAGTACTTTTTAAATACTATATGCTATGCTATGTGGCAGACAATCAACAACTGGAATTAATAGTCGTCTAGATGAAAACCTAATTCAAAAGTATCTCACGAGACTGCCTGTATTAAACACGTCCAGGCGACGCGGTCTTACGTCAAATCACATGAACAGGCTTATGGTCCTCGCTGTAGCTGGCTGCTGAAGATGTGGCGCGACGGGCGTCATGATATCCTTCAAGGTCAATATCCGCCGCCTGCGTAAAAGCATCCATCTGTGCAGTGACTGTCGATGAGGAAAGGAAGGGACTACGTGAGCGTACTGCCCACCTCAACATGAATACCAGTAGTATTTGGTGCAGCGACTCCGTTAGAACGTCCTGCATTGGTGTTCATGAATGCAGTACCCGAGTTTCTCAGAGGCAAGCTGCTAAAAAGAAAAAGTAAACATTGTGGCGGCGCCAACACGTCCATGTACAGTAGGTACACTTACATTATCTCTGGTCCTGAAGACTGGAAGTTGGTCAGTCGCCTGACAACACGAGACGCCACGATCTGCATTCCACGGTTAGCAAGGAAAGGAATATGGATGAAACTCGGCTCACTGTCGAAGCAATAGCAGCTGGGACATTGAAAATGACACTCATGATGGCGTTCAGGTTGAGCACCATCATCGTGGTGGCGATCAAGTTGGATACAAATCTGAAACAGGAAGGATTGTGTTTTTGATAACTGGAAAATAGATGAACAGGCGTACGCGATGAAAAAGTATATTAAGCCATCAGAGAACAACATTCTGACGAGTCTAGTAGGTGCGCCATTCGTGCCGCTCCGCGTAGGTGTCCAGGCGAGCTTATATGCGGAAAGGCACATGACCAAAAGTCAAAGCACATTGAATAAATGAAAGTGGCGGCAAGGATGGTGGTATTGCTGTAAGTGATTGCACAACCGACGTCAGGAAGCCAGGTAGCAGTCAGGAGAACACCTGCAGAGATCCTCAGTCAAGTTTCACACTTCTTATGAAAGGGGGGCACCTTGCAGAATTAGAGACCAATGCCCGATAATGATTAACACTAAGAGGATAACGATCGAGGTATTTTGCGACCAGATAGCTATCCTATAACCAGCATAAGGCAAGCATGAGATATGATCAATCCTTGACTCACGTTCGAAGAGAAAGGTTAATGCTTGCAAGTCCAACCGCCGCATTACCAGCTAGCTAAATAAAATGATCTTCTATGACATTCTTCACATAATACGAACTCACCTGATTAAAGGCATACAGTGCTTGGCAATTGATTTCGCTGGCAGGAAATAAACTGTTTGTGGAGCAACAGGAATTGATGTCCCGACGTACATTGGTGTATCCAGGGCCACGGCACTAAGCGGGGAGTGAGAAACAGCGAGGCAAGAGCATGGTACACTTACATTCCGATCATTGCAAAAAGAAGAAGATATCGTCCAGCAAAGTAGAAGGTCTGGTGAAAGCCAGTTCCAGAAATGTATTTCAGCAAAGGATCAGAGGAATATCCTCACCAGTGGCCAGCGGAACCTCGTCTTGCCCGTCAGGACCGCCCAGTCGAAGTCCAGAGAGACAAAGAACTCCCATCTAATACATCTATTAGATTGTAATCAATGGTTTAACGAGAGTTAGGCTCACACATATAGACCAAGGAGGGTATGCATAACCTTCAGGAAGATCGCTGAGTGGGAATCAGCAAAACAAGGTAAATAAATGCCATCAATACGCACTGGAATCCATCTCGATCTCTTCTGGCGACTTCCAGTTCACCATCTTACTGCTCACAAATGACTTTAAGCTTCTGGTAGGTTATGAACGGCACCAAGACCGTCAAGTTGGAGTGAAAATGAGCGTGTTAGACCAATACCAGTAGGGCTGTGCTTTTATCTCTTCGACAACAATCCCAGCGATCCATGGGGATACTGCCCTTTTCAGTAAGTTTCATTGCTGTCACGGTGATGATTGTATTGACTGTAAGCATGAGCTATGAGAAGTTGGCGATCCTGTAGCCTGCCGACTGCCTCGGACAGGTTGGCGCAGTGCCGGCTCGTTCCACTGAACTCGTGCCCTTTGATGTGATCATGATATCCCCCTTCTCCTGTGAGAAGACCCTTGGAAAAAAAGCTGGTCGATATCAAGACGCTCGTTCAAGCTGAGTGCTGACTATAGAGCTCCAGCCCAGTGACTGCCTGCGGAGCCACGCATCTCGAGCTTCTATAGAATACGGAATCACTGAGATGTGTACTTATCGTGAACAAGATAAGCGTGACTGAATACCTTACATTATCTTGGCGTCTTGCAAGGTGTCCGTCTCCGTCTCTTGCAGTTGCTGAAGAGTCAGACTAGCTCTTGAATCTTGAATTGGTGGGAAAATGTCCCAACTTGCCACACAGTCGCAGCGTATCGAGTCGCAGCCAGTTATTCACAACTGACGAATACATTGGCAGTATAGGCCGTAAGAACCCAAGTATCGGTCACGATGGGTGCACCTCGGCAGTCGGTGAGTGTAAGTATACGTCAAGTTGTTTTTCCGGCGGGAACCAAGCGAGAACTGCTGACTGACTCCGATTTGTTCGCTTGCGAGATTTGCCCGCCCGATCGAGGAAGTAATAAAACAGCCGCGGGGTGTGCGATCAGGAAGCTGAATGTCGACCGCCGGCGTACGGTTCCGAGTAAGACTCGTGAATATGGGAGAATGATAAACGATGGATGTAAATAGAGGTAGGGCGTGATGTTAGACTCAGGATGCAACGGCACGGTATCGAATATCGAAGAGGTTACGGCACTTACGAGCGTGTGCCATCAGGGGTTGTGGCTGAATCAGGTTCTATCTAACTTTATGCTATCGAACGAAGCATAATTCAAGCATAAGTATTGTATGTGAGGGACGCGCCATGTGTCCTCAACAATATTTTTAATACGACATGAGCGAGAGATGATCTTTTATCATGCCCTCTGGGCGCATTCGACGGCGCTGTGCAACTTGGTCTGTGGGATATGCAGTTAAAAAAATGCCAACTCGCACCATGGTATGTACACACGGAAACGCTCATGTTGAGTAGCTCCTGCTCGGGGATGTATTTAGTTCCCATCGCCACATTGCATTGGAGGTTGGAGATATCCAGGCCCTTGATATGTGGCAACGGTCCTAGGAGACAGTGGGAAGATGGGAGAAAGGAGAAAGGTAATGGGCAATGAGCAGTCTCTGAGCGCGGGGATCAAAGTATAGGTGGATCACTCGTGACAGGTGCGCGATGATGGAGCTATCTAGGTTCAATGAATGGGGCTTATTTGCCGTCGACCGAATCAACAGAGAACATAGTGGCGGGCTGCGCACTACTTACGGAGATGAGGCAGTCGCAAGAAAGGCAGACATCGCTCCACAAATCTTGCGAAACACAAGGTCATCTCGCACGACGGAAGATCCCGCAAAACAGTTCAGAAGCTCGATTCGCTCCTAGTCCAACTTCATTTGCAGCTCCAGCGAAATGCAAGGTATTAGGCAGGAAGTCATACTTGCCGTACGTGTCGTCAACACAAAAGTTGTACTCGTTATCAAGGTCGAAAGATCTTCTGGCATTCGATGAAAGTCCCGACCATACTATCAGTATCTTTACCGTACACTAACTGAATGAGATCTCGAAGCAACTTGCTTACTGCGCCATCGTGGTGAACCATGATATCCGATACTTTGACAAGATATCAGGATGCACTACACTCTTTAACACTAGTATAGCCGCTGGACTAACATTCATCCTCCGTGAGGAGATTTCGGTAATATTAGTCTCGTTTTGTAGTAGAAGTTTTAATGCGCGATTCAAAGAATCAAACCACCTGAAAAAAAAAAACGACGCCAAGAATTCCAATTTGATTTGAATCTTCGATGGGGAAAAACTAATGTGGAGAAAATTCGAGGTAAGTACGCGGAGCGACAACTTTCGCTTGCAGACTTCAATGGCAAAGAAAGACCGGCAGCTTCTCCGTTCGGAATATTTGCCTGTTTGACTTTGGGAGACCATCGGCTTGGCTTGAATGTGCTAGGGCTGTGCACCAGGAGTACGCACCAGCGTGGCATAGAAACGTTAATGCTAACTGCCACATCTCATGTGGGAGAAGGTTGCGCCGCGGGGCCATGCAGTTGGCCACCGGTAGGAAGAAATCGTTGTGGAATCTCGTCCGGTAGAACGTATATACTACGTGGCAGTAGTCAAGTGGCATTAATATTAGCCCAGTATAGGGAGCGCTTACGCGGCTTAGTCAGCGAGTGTGTCCGAGTACTCGCGCAAATTCTGACTCGGACTAGTCTCTCCTAGACAGACCATAGACGAATGAAAATAGTCGTTCCTTCTTACTAGACTTGGACGCGGAAATTTATACTTAAGGTCAACGTTAACGTTTCAACCATGTCTCTTGGTAAGTGCGATATCTGTGTCTCGCTCAAGTTCATCAAAATATACACAAGCTGGGCTCGAGACCTGATCACCTGGAGATTACTGCCGCACTGGCAGTAACACTAACTGCAGGCCATCTTGCTTACCTAGCCTTAGCCAGGCCGTCAGACAACCTTCCTTCTATCCTATGCATCTTGTTAGGCACATCAGCGTGAGCAAGACTGGTTGCATTCGCGGGGGAACAGCTTCCAGTTTCAATATTAATGCAGTCTGTTAATCCAGCTGTATGGTTCCCTGCCACTGGCCAGGGCACCGGAAGTCGGAAGGCAGAGAAGGTCGTTGGCAATGATATTGTGTAATAAATAAAATTGCATTGCTGTCCCAAAGGTAAGAAGGTCTACCCTCCTTGGCATGTATCTAATTGCTTTCAGAAACTAGTTGTCGGACACCTACATCACACGAAGAAGGACGCTTCTGTTAGTGTATTGTCATTTCTGCCAAAGTACCACTAAGATATTCAGACACCTGATGAAGCAGAATTGTTAACTCCGAAGTTGGCGCTGGCAGCCTCCTGCAGGTGTGTCGAGGAGCCTCTAAAGTGACAAGTGCCACTGTCACAGGTTCGAAAATATGGATCGTCAGCACCCCAAAAATTAATTGAGTTTGCCGTCTATGTGCCGTGCCGAGTTCCGACCAACACCGTGGCCATCATGCCCATGCCGGGCTGAAGCGCTGAAGCCCCATGTGCGTACCTATGGGTAGGTCTTTGCAATCAATGAGTGGGCATTAGTAAGGGCGTTGGGATTATATATGAAGCGCCCCCTCTTGGATATTCGGTGTATTTGAGTTCCGAGCAGGAGTCAGTGGCAGGATGCTTCCAGTGGAGCCTTACGGTATCTTTGCATTGCAGTAGTTCTATGTAAGAAGAGGCTACCGTCGAAACTCCATTCGAAGCCGCTCGTATGCGGCAGGAAGAAGCCGCATCATTCTCTCGTGCCCTATTTAAGGACAAGCTTTAGTTTCGAAGCCCATCAGGTCGTCCCCCTCTGTGCCGTCGTCGTGTATCCTGAAAGTTACCATGGTCGACTGGCACTCCCAAGAGACACTGATGGCCAACGCTGGTAAATCAGGAATATCTCGATTAGATTTATAGAACTGACGCACTGCGGGCAGAGGCATTTAGCAAGTTCATGCATGTGCTCTTTGGGCTCTACATGTAAGAGGCATTCAAGTGAGTCAAGGACTGTAACTGATACGGTGCAGATGGGAGTTTGTCAGTTCGCTGGATTTTGACTGGCAGTTTATCTCGGGCAAGAGGCGATTCCGATGGCCACTGGTAGGTTTCTAGAGTATCTGAGTGTCCCCCCCCCCCCTGAACAATAGATTTGTGACAGATATTCTATTTTTCTGGTCGTTACAGTTTACTTTTCGCGCTGATTGGCATGTAAGTCCGGCCCCTCCCTTCACTCTACGCGTTCTGTTGACGCGCCTTACTCAGCGCCATTGCGCTCAACGTGACGACCGAGGTTAATTGTCAGGCACTATATACCTTCAACCAGGTCTTCGGCAATACTGCTATTGGCTTAGCCAGCATTAATCTATCCTTGCGAACGTCGGTAGCAAACATCTATATTTCCCACCTGCTGTAACTGACGTGTGCTGTAGCATGGCAGTCTGGTCGCAGAACAAATACGTAGTGACTACCCTCGTTGTTATCATTCTGGGTCACTGGTCATTCCTTCTTCATGGTAGGCGCGATTCATCTCCTAAACCAGCGCATATATGCAGGTATAATAGCCGAATTCACCAGGTATCTTGTTGAAGGCTGAATGGGTGGATGGTGCATGTGCCATCACCTACACGGACAATCAAATCCTCGCCATCAGCTTCATCTACTCCATGGCATTTGATTTCACAGTCTTGTGCTTAACCGGCTGGAAACTGGCATTCCCGGCTAACGGTCGCTCTAAACTCATCAAACTTATATTTGGGGATGGCTTGATCTATTTCGCTATTGCGTACGTGCACCGTATACAGCCCCTTGTCTTACTCATTGTTCACCCCAGGTTTTTGGCAAACTTGCTCGCGACGATCTTCATGCTCATGAATTTGAACGCAGTCATGTCGATCATTGCGAACGTTCCTGCTGCCATCGCATCAACGGTCTGTTCAAATATAGTCTTTCTGTCGAGTGTTCGCTAATGCACTTCCAGATCGTAGCATGCCGCGTCGTGCGAAGGTTGACCAACTTTACATCTCAAGGTCCAGAGGTTTTCACGTACGTTTTTTTCATCCCCTCTGCACTTCTCTTACCTTATCCCTCTTCATCATATCCAGTTCCACTCAGGGCTCGACGCTCGCGTTTAGGAGCAACGCTAGCTCGAACCGTCGCTTCTCTGTCAAGAAATGCGACAGTGTACACGTCCAGGTAAGGTCTGTCTTCAGGCGTCTTCGTCTGCGTCCTGAATACCTGCTTCCCAGATGGATACATTTGCCAGCCCCGATCGCTTGGTCGAGTACGATGCCACAGGCAAAATCGTGAAAGGCGACGAATTCGACCCTGAGGCACAAATCATCAGCAACGAGTTCAAACGCCCGCCCTACTAGCATCGCGTCGTCTCGTATGACGACCGCATATTTATTCAAGCCGCACTTCGCATCTCGCATCCGCACTCGCATCGCCATCGTCGTTAAAGCAAGAGATCCCACTTATCATTAAGATTGCACATTGCAGTGTCTGCATTGCCTTTCCTATATTCTCAGTAATCCTTCTGCGCATCGTTCTTTGGACTTTCCAGTACCGTCCTTGCATATCCTCTGGGCGCTCGACGGGGCTTCCTCTTTTGCATTATGTCTGACGCGGTTTGCTCTGCTGTGTATCAGCCCGTCGCTGAAGTGCTGCTGCACTTTGACAACGGGCCAGGCCAGATATGGCACTTATTGTAAAATACAACAGCGATAGAAATAAGCACGCCAGCAAGTGTAGACTTGACTCTATCGGGGAAAAAAATGAAAAGTTATTGCAGATCGTCCTCCGAGATCCCCTGTCATTGGCAGGACCGCTCATGCATCATACACCTGGGTCATTTGCCCGTTTACACACTTTATGTTGGCTTGCCGAATACAAACAGAAAGTTTGAAACGGTATGTACTTATGCGAGGGCCTAATGATATCAGATCATGACCAAGACTACAAATATAATGCATCGACGAAGCTACTATCAGGAAAGATATCGGCGAGGGACACCCAAATCAAAAACAACAGAACCTCATGCGACCATGCGCCTCATCTATGGACTGCAAAGCCTCGACCTTCAATGCGCCAAGGGGTGCCGACGCCACAGCGACTGCTACGCCCTCGGCCTGCGTTGATGCAGCATTCTGTGGATTGGAACTCGTTCCCGCCTCGTTGCATTGCTGCTTCAGCCTTGACTTTGTAGCATGACTAGCGGGCTTTGACGCTCCTGCAATTTTGAGCGGACGATATACGGTGCGTTTTTCTCGGGCGCAGGCATTCCTCTACATACTTATATGAAGATAGACCTATGCAAGGAAGTGCAAAAAAGAACCCACACGTTTGGCTTGGCACAATGCTACATCGACCACTCTTGATGAGCGCTCTTGCAATCCGTTGTCCGAGGCTGCCCTGGTGCGCCTTATTTTCGAGAAGAGATGTCGAGCCCGGTCGATAGGGAATGAGGGAGGCGCTGGACGCTGCGTAGCGTGCTGAATCTTGTGGCGTTCTCCCGTGCGATGCCGAGAAAACTGTATGCCTGTTGATAAGTTCATATAACTGGTGATAGTGAACCACTGACAAGACTTCGGATTACTCCAGTGTTTCGGTTGTAGCGAGCACGGGAACGAGAATGAGTTGCGAACTGCAAGAGGGGATCGTTCAAACAACAATTTCATGGGAATCGACATGAAACAAACGCACGTTGACAGATCTCTCGTTGAAAAAGTCGCCTGGCGGGCCATTTTCCATTCCCGGCGATTGTGTTACATCGAACTAGCAAATCGTGAGTAGGGGTGGTAATGGCCTAGAGAGCAGAAATGTGTCACGCACATTATCAAATGCTTCGCCAGCGGCATCCTGTGACCAGTGAATGTTGGGAGCTTGCTGAGATGGCCTTTTAACAAACATACCTCATTTTCTGCCTTTCTAATGCGAGCTGACAGCGCAGTTATGAGGTCATCCAATGAGCCAGAGTGGTCTGGGTGACCGACAGTGTACAAAGCTAGAACTTCTCCATGGAGGGCCTTTGCCTCATCGAGGTCGTCCTGATCGTGTTCAGTATCAAAGCGGGTGGAGAGTGCACTAGCAAGTTCTATCACCAAGCGAGAATGATTTGGGCGACGATCTGGGTGCAAAGTTAGTGCCTCCCTCTGAAGTGTGATCGACTCGTTGAGGTCATCATTACTACTTTTGTGCTTGAAGCGAGTGGAAAGGGTGTTTGCGAGGTTACTCAATGAGGCAGACCGAGCTGGATGACCGGGTGGGCGCAAAACCAGTGCTTCCCTGTGGAGTGCTATTGCATCTTCAAGGTCTTGGTCATCACCGCGGTGGTTAAAGCGGGTAAAAAGAGTTTTGCGAGGTTAATCATTGAGGCTAACCGACCTGGGTGATCGGGTGGGCGCAACGCCAGTGCTTCTCTGTCGAATGCGACCGCCTCGTCCATGTCTCGGTCATTGCCTCGGTGATTAACGCTGGTGCAGAGGGTGCTTGCGAGTTGATTCAATGAGGCGGACCGACCTCGGTGACCGAGTGGGTACGAAGCTAGCGCCTCTCTGTGAAGTGTGAGCGCCTCATCGAGATCTTGGTCATTGCCTAGGTGACGGAAGCGGGTGGAGAGGGCAGTCGCAAGGTCATTCAATGACCCGGGCCGACCTTGGTGACCGACTGGGCACAAATTCAGTGCTTCCCTGTGAAGTGTAAGCGCTTCGTCTAGGTCTTCGTCATTGCTTTGGTGACAAGAGCGGGTGGAGAGGGCAGTCGCAAGGCTATTCAATGAGGCGGCCCGGTCTGGGTGACTCACTGGGCACAGAGTCAACGCTTCCCTGCCGAATGTGACTGCCTCGTCAATGTATTCAGAATTGCCTCGGTGCTCGAAGCTAGTAGAGAGAGTATTTGCGAGATTATTCAACGAGGCAGACCGATTTGGATGACTTAGTGGGTACAAATCTAACGCTTCCCTGTGAAGTGCGAGGGCCTCGTCAAGGTCTTGATCGTTGCCTCGGTGACGGAAGCGAGTGGAGATTGTGGTCACAAGGCTATTCAATGACCCAGACCGATCTAAGCGACCGACTGGGCACAAAGCCAGTGCTTTCCTGTGAAATGCGATTGCCTCGTCAAGGTCTTGGTCATTGCCCCCGTGGTTAAAGCGAGTGAAGAGCATAATCGCAAGGCTGTTGCATGAGGCAGGCCTATATGGATGACCGATCGGGAAAAGAGTCAGTACTTCCCTCTGAAGTGCGATGGCCTCGTCGAGGTCATGGCCACGGTGACGGAAGTGGGTGAAGAGGGCAGTTTCAAGGCTGTTTAATGACCCAGACCGATCTGGGTATCTGGCTGGGCACAATTCCATCGCTTCCCTGACGAGTATGATTGCCTCGCCAATGTCGTCGAGGTTACCTCGGTGCTCGAAGCGAGTGGAGAGTGTGTGTACAAGATTACTCAATGAGGCGAACCGACCTGAGTGACCAGGTGGGCACAAATCTAGCGCTTCTCTGCGAAGTGCGAGCGCATCGTCGAGGTCTTGGACATTGGCTCGGTGCTCGAAGCGGGTGGAGAGTGTGTGTGCGAGATTGTTCAATGAGGCGGACCGACCTGGGTGATCAGGTGGGCACAAATCTAGCGCTTCTCTGCGAAGTGCGAGCGCATCGTCGAGGTCTTGGACATTGGCTCGATGCTCGAAGCGGGTGGAGAGTGTGTGTGCGAGATTGTTCAATGAGGCGGACCGACCTGGGTGATCAGGTGGGCACAAATCCAGGGCTTCTCTGTGGAGTGCGAGTGCTTCGTCGAGGTCTTTATTATTGCCTAGGTGACGGAAGCGGGTGGAAAGGGCAGTCGCAAGGTTATTCGATGGTCCAACCCGGTCTGGGTGACTGACTGGGCTCAAAGCTAGCGATTCCCTGTGAATAGCGATCTGCTCGTCAATGTCTCCGAGACTACCTCGGTCCTCGGAATGAGTGGGGAAGGTGTCCAAGGAGTTGTTCAACGAGGGGGGCTGACCTGAATGACCGACCGGACCTAAAGCCAAGGCTTCCCTGTGAAGCGGGACAGCCTCGTCCAGGTCATCGTCATTGCCCCGGTGTTCAAAGCGGGTGGAGAGCATGTTTGCAAGGTTATTTAACGACACAGAACGATCTGGGTGACCGACTGGGCGTAAAGCTAAGGCTTCCCTGTGAAGTGGGATAGCCTCGTCCAGGTCATCGGCATTTCCCCGGTGTTCGAAAAGGGTGGATAGCATGTGTGCGAGGTTATTCAATGAGGCAGACCGATCCAGGTGACCAACTGGGCGTAAAGCCAAGGCTGCCCTGTAAAGCACGATTGTCTCGTCCAGGTCATTGTCATTGCCCCTGTATCTGAAGCAGGTGGATAGCATGTGTGCGAGGTTATTCAACGAGGCAGATCGATCCGAGTGACCAACTGGGAGTAAAGCCAAGGCTTCCCTGTAAAGTACGATGGTTTCGTCCAGGTCATTGTCATTGCCTCGGTGTCTGAAGCGGGTGGATAGCATATGTGCGAGGTTATTCAATGAGGCAGACCGATCCAGGTGACCAACTGGGCGTAAAGCTAAGGCTTCCCTGTAAAGCATGATTGTCTCGTCCAGGTCATTATCATTGCCCCTGTATCTGAAGCAGGTAGATAGCACGTGTGCAAGGTTATTCAATGAGACAGACCGATCAGGATGATTGACTGGGAGTAAAGCCAAGGCTTCCCTTTGAAACGCGACCGCCTCCTCTAGGTCATTGGCACTGCCCTGGTGTTTGAAGCGAGTGGAGAGCGTGAATGCGAGGTTATTCAATGAGGTAGACCGCTTTGGGTTACCGGGCGACCATAAAGTCAAGGCTTGCCTGAGAAGCGCGCCCGCCTTGTCCAGGTCATCGACATTGCCTCGTCGGTTGAAGCGGGTCACCACTAGAGCACCTAGGTTACCCAATATTTCACCTCGCTGAGACGCTCTGGTGTAGTGTCCCAGTACGCCGTAATGACGGGATATCACTTCATCTAAGGCATGAGGATCGTCACTTCGCAAAAAAAGCTCGGCTCGACGAGCAAGCTCATCAAGGGACCAAGGAGGCATGGACGCAGTGGGCCCCTCTGACCCAAATCCACTTATATAGATGACCCGGTGCAGAGGTTTCGATTGCAAGCAGAGCTGATCTATGGATGTGGTTGTTGGCGGGGCAGATATCGAGAATTTCATTAAGTAACTCTTCAGCCACATCGGCATCCGCTTGAAACCCCCTTTTCGCGAAACGAGACAGCAGAGCATTGGCGAGATGGAACTGGGTGAGAGGTCGGTCTGGATGACCGGCGGAACGCAAATCCAAGGCATCTTGAAAGAGAGAGATAGGGATATCGAGGTCGAGGTAGGTTCCATTAGCCTGGCATTGGGTGAACTTCGCGGTAGCTAGATTAGACAGTGCCGCAGAGCGGTAGGGATGATCAACAGGGCAGAGATCGGAGGCGCGTTCAAAATGCTGTATAGATACATCAAGATCCCTCCCATATTGCGTCCTGTGGTATCGAGCGAGAAGATGATGTCCGGCATCTGTCATGAGCATTCACGTGGGCATCTCGGAAGACGTGGACTGCAAATTATGAGCTTTCATTGTCAAACTGTATTGATTACTCACGGGAGTGATGGGGTAAGGAACTGCGGCGTCGTCTTCATGAAGATTTCGCTGCTCCACTGTGATGAACAGTGAAGTACATGGAGACACAACGTCCCCCACCTTAGGCTGAAAGGTGAAGGCTTCGTTATCTCGTCAACATTCGTCAGGAGTGATTCGCAATAGAATTTACTAACGACATGCCCGTTCACTGCGATCCAGCAATTCACCAACAGAGATTTCGAATGTGCGGAGTGGTTCTCCCTGACCGAGCATAGGACTTGATTCAAATGACGCATAAACCCGAAACCAAACTTTGGAAGATGGCTCCAATGGCCTAGAACATTTCTCAATACATGCAGGAGAGATTGGACAAGGACAACTTACAGGGGTATCCGCTCGTTCCATTCAACAACGGCCTGATCGATGTGTACAACTTTGTTTGTTGTCTGCCATTTAGCGCCATCAGCCTGTACTGTTACATGAAAGCCAACTGGGATCCGTCGAAGACCAAGGGAAACATCAGTCGCCCGAATGCCTGTTTGACAGCCGTTAATCCCTTTGTTATGGTACTAGAAGACACGTACTAGTGATGCCGACCGTTTTGATGGCCTCGAGATTCGCGGTACTGGTAAGAGCATCAGGAACGTTCAACGGCTGCACAACGCGGTGCCCGTGTTCAACTACAGGGAGGTTATGATCATCTTGGGGGCCAACTCCAGCGTCCGAGAAGTAGAAAAAAGGAAGAAACAGTAGTTTAGACCAATACTTGGCGACAAGATGCATATTGGAGAGCGAAAGAGAACTGCAGCTGGTCGATCATGCATTCAAGCTGCACCGCTGCAACTGCACATACAGCATACACGTGTTGTTCGTGAGGTGACATGATGATTATGATTTGGTAAGTAGTGCAATTGCAAAGAAAAGACGCTGGGAAGAACGAAGTTTAACGCGTTTAACGAACCACCACAGCGCTGCTTCTGTCTGGGGTTTGGGCTTGGCATGGGCGTCTTTGGAGCTTGCATGGTGGTTGGGTGGCTGTGCTAACTTGTCGCACCTTTACTGCTGTCGTCGACTCGTCGCACATCATTTGACACCGAAGCTTGGAAGTCTCGTCTGACGGGCGAATCCGAACCACACCCAGTGGAATAGATGAAAAACTTTATACTTTGTCACCCGAGGGCGTCTTCCGGTCAAGACCCCAACCAAGCGATAATAGTCAAATGCGATATTCCACAGACTATTCCCATCGACCATGTCCTGCTTGAAGTCGACCGCTTCGGTTTCTCCGCAAATAATGTGACATACCAAGCTTTGGGCGAAACCTCCCACTTCAGGTCCGTCCCTCTCCATTAGACATGTTACCTATTCACTTTGGCATACTAGGTATTTTGATTTCCACCACGCTCCAGAGGCAGCAGGCGTTTCCTCAAAAACGCACGGTGTGACTCCTGTGTGGGGCTTTGGTACCATAATAAAGTCCACACACTCTAAAGTTCACGCTGGGGAGCGAGTGTACGGATACCTCGCCCCAGCACGATACCTTCTGCTGCCCGTCTCTCCGGAAGTGAACAAGTATGCTTTCTTTGTGCCGCGACCTCATCTTCCTCCAGGTGATTTACTTCAACAATTGATCCAAGAAGCTACTGACGAAGTATCATAGATCGTCGACCATATAACCAGGTTACGCGGTGCGCCGGGGACCCATTATATGACCCATCGCCGATTGTGGAAGATCTCACTATGCTTTATCGTCCTCTTTTCTGGACTTCGTTTTGGTGCGAGGACTGGCTCAACTCGTCCAATTACAAGGGAGGGTCTACTCAGATCCTTTTATCCTCTGCCTCCTCAAAGACAGCCTTCTGCTTGGCCTACCTTATTCGCAGGCGTAACTCCCTACAGGGGAGTTCGAGACGGATAATTGGGCTGACTTCCACGAAAAATCTCGATTTCACCAAGCACCTTGCTTTGTACGACGACGTCTTTGACTACGAATCATTTGATACATCACTGGTCGGGGACTGCGCAAGAGGAAACTGTATATATGTAGACGTTGCAGGCAACGATGCACTGAACGCCAGAGTGCGCAATCATTTCCGCGCACGCGGTCACTCTGAACTCATCGCTTGCATCGCGCTCGGCTTGACGAATGTATCACCTTCTACGGTCAACTCCTCGTCAGCCAACTGGGGGAAGAATGACTTTTCTGTGGGGGCTGGTTCAGAGGCACTACCAGAAGCCAACCCACAAGTCGAGCATTTTTTCATGCCGGAATGGCTTGCTATCCGCAAGCAGCAGCTTTCTGTTTCTGCGATCACTCAGATGCAGAAGGAGGCTTGGACCAAGCTTATGTCCGGCTGTCGTTCCTGGGGTGTCTCGCTTCGGAGGGTTTGTGGCCCGAACCAGGTGAAGGCTGCGTATGAGGAAATAGTCAAGCGGGGACTAGCTCCAGGAGATGCGTTTGTATGGAGTTTGTGGGAAGAGACTGCTGAGACTGGTTCAAAGGCGAAGTTATGATGGGATATTGCGCATGCTGTCCTTGAACATCCGTCTCCGCATTGGTTGGGTTTCAACACAAACGTATGTTATTACTCAAACTGTTCTCCCGAGTTCCTCAGACTGCGTCTGGTCTTCCTGGCTATATTTTCGAGGACTTTACGATGCCTATCACCAATGTATGTAGCTCGTCGGGGCTTTGCTTACACATTGATATTGAAACACGCCTCAGGAGTTGACACATACCCAAGGTCAACATTGCCACACACTTAGCATCTGCAATGTTACAATTTCGTCCGTCGAAGCGCAGGAAGCAATGGTGTGGAGATATCATCACAAAGTGTCGTTCAAACTACGCATCGGAAGGTGGAAACTTCTCAGTGAACTACTCGCGGTTTGAGATGCGAGATTTTTCAGCTGCATCCAATGCACACGCAAACCTTGCAAGTCGACAGGATGGCTACTATGATAGCACAGCGAGCTCAGTGCATCTCAGAAGGTGGGCAGGCGGAATGACGTATACAAGATACAGCCGTTCGGACAGGTGGTCACAGTGATGTGCTGGAAGAGCAGCTCGACATGAGAAACAGGGGGATTCGTGCAGTCCTGCAGGATAGACGGTGATGTTATTCAACAGGCTCTCAGCACTGCCAGCCAGATTCGACGACAAGTCGGAAAGCGCTGGCTGTATACTAGTACTGTCGCAGGGCAACGGCGAAGGAAGTTACACCGGGACAAGTAAGGACAAATGCGTATGACAACATTCTGCCTTAATATGATCAGCCTCATGTCTTCAGTATGTAATGGGTCACGAGGCACAATGTTAATGCCGACAAGGAGCATGAGGTACACGCACCCCCGCAGCAGTAACGCCCACAATCCCTCCAACAAGTCCACTTCGACGGTGCTCAACACGACCATTGAAGATCGACCATAATGACAGAAGAAGTATGGTACCCCATTACTCCAATCACCACACCCACTCGAGCGTTTCATCATGAAGACACCATAACTGCATGCGCAATCTTCCCTGATAGACGACATATGGTGGCAATTCACTCAGGAACGCTGTGTCTGTGGGACTTACAGGATGGGGTTGTGATGAAGAATATGGAGGGGCATCGTAATGTGGTGTGGGCAGTGGCGGTATCACGAGATGGAAGATTGATGGCAAGCGGTGACTACGTAAACGGAGAGCTCATCATTTGGGACGGAGACACCGGAGAACCTCTGACTGAAGCCATCAAAGCCCACACCAAATTGGTTCAATCGCTGAACTTTTCACCAGATGGCGCAGTGCTGGCGAGTGGTTCAATAGGCGAAACCACTTTGAAGCTATGGTGCACAAAAACGTTTCAGCTTCAAGGAGATCCAATAGAGTGTGGCAGTGAAATCTCCTGCGTTCGGTATTCGCCGTCTGGTGAACATCTTGCCATCGCGACATCAGAAAATATCCAAATATGGAATCAAGACACAAAGTTTTATTTAAGCTTTGATTCAATACCAAGGAACTCCTCACTCACCTGGACCCCCGATGGCACTCGCCTTCTCACAGCAGGCTCTGATGGAGCCATTCTGGAGTGGGACACGTTGACCTGGCACCAGGTCGGTCATCCATGGCAAGGACATACCAACGGCATCAGCGCCATTGCCATCAACCCTGCTGGCACTCTTGTCGCCTCCGCATCTTATGACAACCATGTCCGCATCTGGCGGCTCTCGGATCGAAAAACCATCGCAATATTCCAGCACTCCGAGGGAGTGTACTGTGTCACCTTCTCTATGGATGACAAGCACATCCTCAGCAGCGCTTCTGAGGGTGATGTCTGTGAGTGGCTAGTGCCAGAGGACGTTCTGCTGGAGAATGCCTCTAAGGAACAGGCTTCGAACGAGGTACCTTTGCACTGACTGACTGTCATTTCGATCCTCACACATTGTTTGTAGGATGCCCCACCCATCAAGACCGATGTATGTCCCCTTTTGTATGATTGAACCCATGTTTTCGCCCTTCTCTTATAACGCAATATAACCTTACGCCATGCAGGTCCTAAATATACACACGACAGTTCGCAATGCATGCATATCTGGGGACTTGCCTGCTGCAGAAACGCTGCTGACCCAAGAGATTGATACCGATGCCAACAACTACCGCTCCTATGCCAATCGTTCTTTTGTTATGGCGCGAAAGCACGACTGGGACGATGCGCTTGATGACGCGAAGAAGGTGAGATACACCGATCCATCATGGCCCCATTACAAATGGCTGATCGTGACGTAGTCCATCACCATTCAGCCCTCGTTGACAGGCTGTATCTCCAAGGGCATTGCGCTCTGCGGAAAAGGGCACATCAGAGATGCGCTCAAAGCATTTGATATCGCGTCCATGTTCACAAACGGAGATTTAGAAACAAATCATTTCCTTCTTTTGATCAAGGCAGGTTAAATTGTTTTTGCAAATGCCATGCTTCATCGTGGGTTTCAGGCCATTGCACTTTTCAATGCGGATCAACACGAGGAAGCAATTCTGCGTGTACAAGAGCTAGCGGACACTTGTCCGAATAACGATACTCTTGCGTGTCGTGTCGTGGAAGTGAGTTCAGTTCATATAATTAAGACCAGGTTCGTGCCTTGACACTGATCTCCGCAACTTTGCACGTCAGGCGTATTTACATGTCCAACTGGGAATCAATGCCTTGGATAGCGCATGTCACCATGAAGCTGCTGACCACTTCGCTGCCGCTGTCAAATCCTGCTCTTTCTCGTCGACATCGCGCATTGATTACATCTATGAGGACTTGGTAGTGGTGCATTGATATCTTACATCCGAAGTATTTTTTCATACTCAACCGCGTGCTTTTGGCAGCTCTTCGGATGGGATCTTGAGTCTTTATGGCTGACTGCACACCAGAAACGGTGCCAGGCTCTCCATTTGGCAGGTAGGCCTGAAGATGCCCTCGAATCGCACCGACACATGATGGACGCTGTTGATGAAACTATGAAGACCAGCTGCCTCAATTGGTCTACTGGCAAGTCTTCAGTAATGTCAACCAAGGCTATAGTCTCACCCTCATTCCATCAGCTCTCCAGCAAGAATGCAGCGCGGCCACGGTCGATGACCATGTACCTTGCGCATGTACTCCCTCCATCATCCTTGGTCAAGGCGAACATGACAGCACACAAGGTACAGGACTTGACTCCTCCCGGGGAACGAATGACGTGCGTCCAGCAGCGTGTACTTTGTTTCTCGCTGACATATCATTCATCACAGCAACCCCAAACTCCCTCGCCACGACCCCTGCAGCGCTCGGGGTTCCTCAAGAGACTTCGTAGTATCCCTCGTCCAGCTCCCCCGATATCGCCTACCAACCTACCCCCTACCACCCCTGCCACCACCTTCAAAGCCCGCCTACGACCCCTATTGAGCTGGCGGCCCGTTCACGCAGATTCCGCAGCGCCACCCGTCATAGACGTTCCTTTCGCGCAAGGTCTATCGGTGAGCATGGTTGATGTTTATCACTGTGTCTTTAATGTCTCATAGATAAATATCCAGCGCCATGCCGCAGCGCACACTCCCTGCAATTCGGATGATCGATACACACGTGATGAGGACTGGGATTCTCCTGAATCGCACCCCAATACACCGCAGCCATCCGCAGCAGGGCAGATTGACACGGGTACGGAAGCGCACGGAAGAGGCCCATGTGTCCGCTTCTAGAGGGGGTTCGTGGACTCCCTGTATTTCAGATAATTGTTACTACTATTGTAATTTTAGTGTGAACTCGAAGCATTGTTTCATTCCTCATTCATTCTCGATCGCAACCCCGCTATTCATGACAGATCAATGCAACAACCCCTTCATTTTTCGACGTCTGCATCGCGATCGCCACATGCTGATCGTCTGACCCTGCTAGTGCATCGTGAATTATCGTCCCTCAGCGGACACATGCACTTTCTACATATTGCAAGGCGAAGTTGTTGTGTACACACAGTAGCTACACCATTGGATACATGTAACAATGGGAACGCGTACAAGAAGTATTAGACGGGAGTAAGACAAATATACAAGGGATACTTTACGGTGGCAGGACATTGAAGAACAAGGGCTCGGTTAATCATACAAAATAATGGAACGGAGAGAATTTTAGGTGCCTTTCTTGAGATCTCCAGTATTGGGCACGCCAGTTGTTGCTCTGGGTCCTTGGGGTACCTTTCCTGACGATTTAGTCGCCGGCATCGACTTTGTGTCCCCAGGTGCATTGGAGGAGGGGTCTAGAGTCACTTGTATCATAGCCATTGACGACCTCGGGCCTTTATGGATATGCTTAGGGACAGGCTTAGGCTTGGTTCCTGCTGGTGGATTGGCCTTTAACATAGAGTTGCGTGATGAAGTGGATTGGCCTCGTGAAACCGCACTCCCAGACCTAGTTGAGGGGGACGAAGACAGAAGAGTGTTGGATAGAGGTGTTGAGAGGTCATCCTTGCTGCCTAGAGACTATGAATTTGATTGATATGTCCTTGAAAAGAGAAACCCACTAAATTGGCGCAGCAAAGACGGCCTGCCTTTCCCAGAGGACGATGATGAGGCTTCTCTGTTAGGGGTGGCGGATGTGGCTGCTTGTGCGCTTCGCGGCTGCTCCGCGCTTGTAGCTGTTGAGCAGGTCGATGACCCAGAGGGTTGCTCCTTTACAGGAACATTACTGAGGTTGAAGTTTCTGAATTCAGCCTGTTTCTTGGAGTTTGTGGTCTCGCAGGCTGTCGATGCGGCGAGGTTACCCTGCCCGGGTCGTAGAAACCGGGCTCGGGGTTTTGCCCCAACCGTGCTCTCGGCTGCGAGCTGAGTCTCCAAGCCTATGCTACCTGATCTATGATGCGCGTCATCCTCCATGGCATCGCTAACGCCTGCAGAAGCGGCGTCGGATGGACTCGCGCTCTGAGGTATACACGAAGTTGGCGAGTTAGCCAAAGTTTTCTTTGACGATGTCGCACCGCCCGAGGAAACTGATCTACTCGCTTGTGCAGAATGTTTTCGAAATTTGAAGTTGAAGGCAGGGTTCGCGATGATTGGTGAAGATGTCGCCGATCTCGACCCCGAGGGAGTCACAACCGGTGAGTTGGATGCAGCAGACGTGACTCTATCTTTCACATAGCTGGGAGATGAGTCAAGAAAGAGTCTGGGCCGCTTTGTAGCAGGTGTGGAAGTATCGGTCGTGTCCGAGGTACGCTTGAGATTGGTCTTCTCTGCAGGAACAGAGTCAACTATCTCGATAGTGCTAGCACCTGTAGGCGCTTTGTTCAACACAGTGCGCAGTGACTTTTGCTTTGCTAAAAAACGTATTGGTGACTAAAAATGTGATATATTGGCTCGATGGTCGCTTACCAGTAGCAACCCGCGATGTGATTGGCATAGGTCCTGATATGATTTCTACGTCAGTCGATGACGCCGAGTCGATCTCCATCGGGCGTTCGGCAGAGGAACCCGGTAATACAGTGCTTGAGGAGGACTTGGACTTCTGCTTCTCTATTTTCTTGGGGCCGGGGATCTGTTTAGATCGCCGATCGACTGTTCCGTGAAGCTTAGTACGGGATTCTGAACCTGAGGGCAATCATACGAACCTGTCGATGCGGGGTGCGTTCCAGGCGTTTTGAACTGGGTTTGATCCGAAGGCGTCGATGATTTTGATGCACGAGCTTTCTTCCCTTCGCAACTGCCCTCTGAATGATTCTTCGGCGCAGACTCCGTCGTTAATTTACGATTTGAAGATGCCGCGAGCATGTCCTGCAACTCTTTTATTTGTGTATTGCGAGACTTGACCAAAGCAACGGCTTCATCTTTTTCCTGGCTCGATTTAGCGTGGCGTTCCCGGAGCGAGGTCAGCTCCTTTTCGAGTTCCCCTATTCGTGATACGTTGGCCTTAAAAACATCCTCGGAGACACTGGCTTCCAGTCGTTTCTGCAAGTCGTCTATCTGTGCCTTTCGGAGCGAACTTGTTCTAGGTGATCACAGTGAGCAACCATGACGTCACATGCTGCAACGGTTACATACTCTTTGTATTTCTGCAATTCGGCGACCTGGAGCTGCTTCTGAGAGTCACGCTCCTTTGCGACTGCATCTGATTTACCCTTCCATTCATTCGCGACGGCCTTGATGTGTGCGAGCTGGCTCTGTAGTTCACGAACTTGCGCGGTTTTAGCTTCAAGAGAGCTCTCCAGTGCTTGCCGGTCCTTCTCTGCATTCGCCTCGGCTTGACGTTGTTGATCTTGTGAGAGCTGATCAAACGTGCTGGCGGAAGACTCGTTTAGCAAGACGAATCAAGTGAAGAGTGAGAAGCGAGCATACGATTTAAGAGTGATCGCACTCTCTGCCATGGTTCTCTTCATCTCGTCGAGGGCAGTAAATTTGGCCTTCACTGCGTCATCTCGCTCTGCTTTCAACCATAATATCTTATTTTCCAGTTTCGTGATTTCGGATTGTCTTTGGTCGAGCTTCTTCGCGTTGTCTTCCGTTTCCCTCTTCGAGCTTTCGAGCTGGTTTCGATCATAGCCCAGATTACGCAGGTCGCTCTGGAGCTGATTGCGTTGGGAGACAAGACTTGCGTAGCTGTTTTGAGTGGCGGATAAATTATCGCTGAGGTACTTAATTTGTTCTTTGAGAACTACGACAAAATTCGATGGCGAGCTGAGGAGGTGCTGGATAGGAGGGGAAAAACTTGGCTTGCCGTCGGGGGTATTGGAGGGGTCGGGGAGTGGCGTATCTGAGCTATGGATTTTGGATGGGATGAGTTCCAACCATGGCGTGCCTAGGATTATCTTCGGCTTGTTGGAAGTGTCAGAGTCGTCTTGACTGATGGTAATGCCAACCTGCTGAAGCGCATCCTGAACCGCCATGAGGTGAATACCCGCGGCGTCTGCTGCTCTTGCGGCTTCAGATGCGGTGCTCTGCGCCGCAATTACGTCTGCTCTGGCCAGGAGAGCGACATTGTGTGCTTCAGTCACTTCCTTTGTATATCTCTCCCGTTCAGTTGAGAGGAATGAAGCTATGTGCTCAGCATCACGTCGCTTGATTGATTCTTCTATAAACTCTTTCGAATATAATGAGCGATGTTCGTTATATTGCTGCTGAAGATGTCCTATCTGTCGCTCGGCGTCACTCAAAACCTGTTGTCTTTCAGTCCTAATTAGATCTAGGATCAAGTTAGCACCATGATGTATAGAGCTAGACACCGCCCCTATAGGGGCAGATTGTCCAGTAGTGTGATTGTTATTCGAGGTGGCGGTGGATGGTCGTGACCGTAATTGGATTTCACGGTGAATGAAAGGCTGGGAAGCGCCATTTGATGTGATATCATGAATAAGTGTCGCAGATGAAGTCTGTTGTGGTTGCACATCTGTGCCGAGGATGGCTTGCGGAGTGGCCATGCCTGCAAGCCAACTGCAAGCTGAATGAAATTCTCATTCAATCTTTGAGGGCGTTGCAGCCAAATTTGGATTGTTTGGATCTAAAGCTTTTGCCAAACAACCGTCCAAACTACGCTCAAGCAACGACTTTGTAGGAATTCCGGTACTCTATATGCATGCAAACCGACACATTCCACAGCCCCCTCACAGTGCTGGGGAACCCTACAAAGGAACGCCATCAGCCTGTTTACTTTGCGATCCCTAGTTGACACGTACTTCCACAGGGTTACGCGCTCGGATCGACCCAAGTCAGATGCCATCTCCGATTGACATGATAGAATCAGACAAGGAGCAATGGGAAGGACAAGCATTCATGACATTACCCGGGAACAACCCGCCGTTATCAACAACCGACTTCACAGCGTTTGACCAAGGTGAGCCTTATTTCCTGCCAGGAATGTGGCACGCAGGCCAGGTGCTGTGAGTGGTGCAATGTGGAAAAAACCTTTCCACGTATTCATACTTGGCTCACAGGAAGCTTATCACCTCGGCTTCAAGTCTTGCTACAAAATTATTGACCGAATCTTCTGTTTACAGGAAACTCGAGCCCAAAATACGTTAGAGTATCAACATGGAACGTTCCAAGCTCCTCTCACCTGGCGAAAGAGTGCGATATCCCCCTTGCGGCAATTTTTCAACCCTTCGCAGATCTTGATCCTCGCGAAGAGTCGATCCCGGTCGTGGACTGCGGTGATACGGGTCCTCCTCGGTGCGAGGAGTGTAGAGCGTACATCAATCCTTGGTGTGCGTGGACTGCTGGTGGATGCAGATGGAAATGCAATCTTTGCGGTCACGAAACTCAAGGTGTGACATGACCTCTATAGTGAATATCGTCTCAGTCTTACTTTCCAGTATCGCCGGATTATTTTTGCAATTTGGACGCAAATCTCATGCGAATGGATCTTCCAAACCGCCCTGAATTGAACAAGGGAACTGTTGACTTCGTCGTCTCAGGAAAAGAATACTGGGCACCTCCACCTTTACCAAGGATGAATTCATCCTATTTCTCAATCGACCCTCCTTCCTCTCAAGCACGCGAGCCGAAATCCCTGAACTACCTTTTTGCACTCGACGTCTCCCTGGACGCCATACGAACGGGATTTCTCAAGTCCGCCTGCGTTGTTCTGCGAGATGTGATATACGGCAGTACTTACCTCGATGGGACTCAGTCGGAGCCGGCCTTTCCCCGGGACTGCCAGCTTGCGATTCTGACATATGATACATCTTTGCACTTTTACAATCTGTCTGTAAGCGCGCAACTCCCATCATTGCATCAAGTTGATGTAGACGATTTCTAGCCAGCGTCATCGCTGGCGAGCATGATTGTGGTCTCCGATTTAGAGGAAGTCTTTATTCCTTTGCGTGAGGGCTTGTTCGTAGATCCCTGGAAATCCAGGTCAGTAACGTTTACTGCCATTATTCTCAACTCACTCTCACTCCCTCTCTAAGGACCGCCATCGAAGGTCTACTTGAGGCATTACCGGAACGTTACCTAGATACCGTCATTGGTAATGCAGCGCTGGGGGGTGCGCTACTTGCTGGTCTAGCTTCGCTCGTACGTCCCAGCTATTGATCAGGTGGTTCAAGTTAATGTCTGTTCGTGCAGGCAGGTCGAGGGGGTCATATCATTGCTTTCCAGAGTGTCTTACCTGCAACTGGACCCGGTGCTCTGGAACCACCAGGTGATCAGGCATCATTATATGGTACGGAGAAAGAGCGAACTATGTTTCTCCCGCGTCACCAGACATGGAGAGACATTGCTGAGGAGTGCTCAGAGGAGGGTATTGGAGTGAGCATGTTCCTTGGGATGAGCAAACCCATCGATGTTGGATCTATTGGCACGTCTTGCTTTTTTTGCTGCCAGTGCCCCCATCGCTAAGCAGCTGCACAGGTATCGTATCTTCTGCCACTGGCGGCGAACTGTTTTTCCATCCTAGGTTCAACCCTGCACGAGACCAACACGTTCTGGCTTCTCAACTACGGCGTTTACTAACTAGGACGACAGTGTATAATTGTTTATTGCGCGTACGGTGTTCCAACGGTAAGCGTTCCGCAATGGTTATTTCCTTTGAAGACGTAACTAAGGAGTATGATGCGCAGGCCTTCGAATATCGAAGTACTATGGCAATTTCCATGAACGTTCTCTGTCTGACTTGGACATTGGAGTCCTTGACGCCGACAAAGCCATATCCGTACATATTGAGCACTCGCGGAAGTTGGATGCTCGGGAATATGCTTTCTTGCAGTGTGCTGTGCTGCATACAACACCAGATGGTCAACGCCGTGTCCGAACATGTAACCTTGCCTTGCAAGTGGCAGACTTGGCCGCCAATATTTTTAGGTATGCTGATATGGATGCCGTAGTGTGTCATTTGGCAAGGGAATGTCCGACTTAACCTTCTCCCTGCCACCTTCATTTTCCTCACGCGTCCCTTCTAGCTATGACAAAACTGACTTCACGGCGAATGGTTCACATTCGAGAAGAGTTGACCGATAGATGTTCGTCGATATTGCTCGGCTATAGGCGAAATTGTGCGGCTGCTACCGCTGTCTCTCAAGCGAGTTTGCTCGACATGATCTCCGTTCTTTTCATTAACAAGATTCGCAGCTAATTATACCTGAAGCATTTCGAGCTCTACCTGTATACACTCTAGCGATCGCGAAGTGCAAACCCCTCAAAGGTGCGTTATTTAGCCGTTCCTCGCTTCGTCAACCGACACGCTTTCGCAGGTCGTAATGTGTCCGCGGACGTGCGCAACTATCACGCTCAGAAGATCCTATCTATGGGTGTGCGCACCACAATGCAGCATCTCTATCCCCGCCTTCTGGCGCTGCACGACCTGGCTGACAACGTAGCGCTTCCAGACCCCACAACAGGTCAGATGTCGTTTCCGTCACTAATGCGGGACAGCCATACCTATATGGAAGCACACGGTCTTTATCTAATAGGTAGGAGCTGCTCTTCTCTCGATACAACCTCTTTACCTACGTCTTTCCATCAGATAACGAAGATCTCATGATATTTTGGGTCGGTTCCAGTGTGTCCCCACAATTGCTTCTCGACCTATTTGACGTGGACGACCTCCTGGCTCTGGATCCGGATACTGTGAGTGCCTGGGCTGGCTGGGATATCCAGCCTCTGATCTCTGTCATCACAGATCCAGCTCCCTGTTCTTGATACTCGATTGTCGGCTCAGGTCAGAAATATACTGACGCACCGCTACGCTCAACGAGGTCGCACTCCGAAGATGCTCCTCGTCCGCCAAAATATGGACGGTACGGAAATCGAATTCAGCGACATGCTTGTCGAAGACCAGAACAACGCTGCCATGGCATATTTAGACTGTAGGTTTCATTTATGAGCCGCGGGCCTTCCTTACTAATTGACAACTTAGATTTATGCTTGATTCATAAGCAGATTAACGCTGTGGTATTGTACATTGTCTTTTTCATCCCCCTCTCGACTCACTTTATTTCCATAGCTTACAAACGGCGAGTCATTATCTGGAGGCTCGAGCTTACGAGGATCCCCGTGGTAACACCATGCCGTATAACTGGTTCACTCTTGACAGCATACCCCATTGCCCTGACTTTTCATATCGTTAAATTAACTGCTATTTCTATGTTTCGGTTTCGATTCCCGATATCAACACCCTGAGCTTTAATGGTTCCCTGAAATAACGATTCAGCATATGGCGTGAGCTCCCCCGATTCCCACTGGTGCTGCTATGCAGGGCATGATTCGTTGGTCAGTCCGGCTGCTTTTGCGTGTGAGCAAGTAAGGAGTCCAATCTTACGATGCCGTACTCTGATAGTGCCGCTGAAGCAGTGCCAGAATGTGTTGAAAGAGGTATTCCCGTCGCGGTTGCGCTGCACTGGCCGCCCATAAACTGCGATAAAGTTGCCAGGCTGATTGAGATGTCAATTGCCGACCCAATAAAAATCCACGTGAGGCTGACACGATCATGCAGGGTTAGACCCATCGTTCCTGATTTTAAGCGTGTTCTATAATATCCCTAACGGCACGCAAGGCGCCCACGCCAGTCCCCTACTCCCAAACATGAAGCGTAAGAAAGTAAGTACCAGTATTTACGCGCGAGAATCATGCCGGTTGCTGGGATTCGCACCAAGCCGCCGAAACTCGGAGTTGTAAGGGCGATGTGAACGTATTTCCGTACTGCTTATGATATGTATCTGGAAGCTAGATCCAGTCGACGTTCAGAATGTTCATGTCCGGCAACATCAATCATAACCAACATAGATTCGGCAAAGTCCGCTGCGATTATAAAGATCCCATTTATCTGATAATTATCAGTTCATCGATCATTATCGTTACCACTCTTATTGCACAGTACTGGCTGTATGTATTGGCTTTATGCGACGGGTATCAAATGAACCACTGAATATGATCGGACTTCACATTAATAGACCCGGCGGAGCTTAGCATTTCCCTGACTAGCGATGTTGTTAGATTCAGTGATTCTGAGAATATAGTAGCGGGCTGGCAGCGATACATAGTGCCAAAACTTGAAAAGATGCGTTCATATCGTGGGTCGACCGGTCAAGATGTACTACTACATATACACAATCAGCGTTGTGCACAGATAACAAGCACGATTGGCCTCATAATCTGGTCAATGATCTATCAGGAGCCGCATCATGATGATATGGAAACTTGTGCTTGATGGGCATTTGGTACACTTTGGTATTAACTTGTAACAAATATCAATCAGATAGTTTCATATCCAACGTGACGTACCCTGACCTGCGGTTCTATCTCGTCAAGATCATCGCACAGAAATAACGATATATCCGGCCCTTTTCGTCCCCTCGTACACGCGAGGCGAACGTGGCTAATGATTGGAAGACACGATATTGTTCATGACAAGATCATGGGACTGAAAACTTGGTCGCTGTCAAATGAAAACGATAAAAACATACACATGGGTTGAGCCGGCTGTCGACCAGTGACAAAAAGAACGAATCCGCGGGGACCCAGTCGAGGGGCCAATGGCATCAGCCTCTCTGGTTCCTAACACTGTTCAGCCCCTGGAACTAAGTATAGAGGCGTGTTAGCGCAGAGGGAAAAGTTTATTTAGCAGGTCCGACTTTGGAGGACCGCCCCGATTGGCTTCGCGAACCGGTTGACCCTATAGCACGGAGGTCGGTAAGCACGACAGTGATGCTCTTTTACTAGCATCTGGATTGAATCGCCTCAACAATAGGGATGCCCGACTTGAATCGATCACGAGACACGCACGACTTGATCTGCGACTTAGCCGCTCATTGACTACATAACTCCCGAAACTAGTCCAACGCAATATGCCGTTTCTGGCGGCGGCACGAGTCAGTGCTCGTAACACGGCAGGACACGTGACCGCAGGTGACGGGTTGGAGCTTAAGCCTTAAGGCAAAGGCTTCGTAGTGGCAGAGCCTCGCGGCTGGTACTCCGCCATTTGGGAGTCTTGTTTCCTTGGAGTCTTGTTCACATCAACGGATTTAATGATCTTCATCCTCGTGTCAGGTAAAACCTGGTAAAACACCCGTGGAGGTTTTAGAATACGTGTTGAGCACCCTCAGTTTGACCGCGGCATCACGAACCATGCGTGCAAGAAACTCTACGTGCAGGAACCTACAGGGGGATCCTCAAATGCTGTCAAAGCTCTGGCTTACATGAGCTTACAGGTGAAGGGCTGCCACTGATCGATCGTAAAAAAGCCACGTTATGCGATACAATTCAGCGTATAACTATCAAAGCATTCGTGCCGCGCTCGGCGCAAAGTGCATATAATAGTACTAGAGTGAACTCCTCGTTTCAGCATGAATGCAGCAAGTGAAATCTATCCCTGATGAGTCAACGAGATCAACCGATTTGAACATATACTAGTAATAGACCTCAAAGTGGGAACACGGGGAACACCCGGTACGCACATTAAGTGAAGCTCCGTCACGTTCTCCGGCGGCCATGGTCACCTTCATCGTGGAGTGGAGTCTAGGTGACCATTATTGACACATAACCAATCAGAAACGGACTGGAATCAGAAAGATTTATGACTGATTGTCTCTGATTGTGTGTCAGTGAGTAGTAATCGGTTTTTGTGAAGTGGCCAGTGAGAACTTCAAGAAGGGACTCCTCCGAGTGCTTGGTGGGGCGGCTACTTATGTTGCTTAGCTCTTTTACATGGCTGCAAAAGAAAAGAAGGGTAGTCGAAATTTGTGTTGTGTCAAGACCCCCAAGAAGAATAGAAGGGCGGTGGCGTCCTGAACACCGAGTCCGCGACAACGGTTTACAGCATGATGATATAGAAAGGCACAATCGATTGACAATAGCTAGACTTTTATATCACTCCGCTCACCTCGTTTTTCATACACCTGCCTTCCTCGAGGCTCGCGGTACAACCTTTCTATGCTGGTCTATGAACCATAACAGTATTTGCCCGGCCGTTCAAACTGCGATATTCGGTTTCGGTGTAGTAAACATTGAGTAAACAGAGGAGTTTCCAGGTAAGTAGTAAGCTTCTTCAATCCTTCTTTCTTCTGAGTGAATCTGAGGAACGACAAGCGATCGTTGTACTAGTACATGTCACTGGTCTGTTGCAATGACCGGCGCATGGCAAATCGTTGGGTTATGTCTCCGAGCATCAAGTCTGTTTAGAGTGTTGGACGCCGAGCATGTGCGGTATGTCCCACTGATGCTATCTATAATATTAGATCTCTCACCCTTCCGCAGATCGAGTCCATATGATTTCCGCGGACAGTTAATACTAAATGGGTCAAGAACTAGGCTAAAATCAATTTTGGTTGCAACGGGACTTCTGCGGACTCTCCGTTCTTCTGAGTTTCCTTGCTTGCAACAGAAACTTCTGTGGCCTCCTTTTTTACTATTGAATTTGGTTCAGAGGCCTTAACTGTCTACATCTTCGGAAATAAGTGCCTGAAGCAACTCTCGCCGAGTTTCCGTCTGTTTCCGCACATAGTGTTTCGGGATCTGTCCCTCGTCCCCGCGGATCCGTGTGCAAGGGATGGTACTCGTGTGTGTATGTATCAAGTCGCCGATGGGTTCACGTAGCGCCGTATTTCCTCAAAGTATACCTTCGTTCAGTCAGCTTCAGTCAGACCCTTCTGGCGTTCCCAGACTTCCTGACTTTCAAGGGTGCGCTTCCAATTCTCGCATGCTGACGGCTCGAGGCACCTTAATGTTCGCCCTACTAATACATTAAGATTTTCACATTTCATCACTAGTTCTCAGCCCACATGAGCTCATCGCCCGCTCTTACTCTATCGCGATGCGCGACCATGAACAATAGTATCATCGTTGGTGAAGACAAGATGCCAATAGTCTCTTCGCCCGGTTCTCTTCACAAACAGTCACTGGATGCCTGTCAGAAGGAGACACTTCAATGTCCACAGCAACAGCAGCCCGCTGTTGTCGTCACGCGTACCCACTTTTTTCTGATCATGACAAGTATATGGATCGGCAACTTTACTGCCTACTTCAACGAGACTACTGCCACCACTGCTATGCATGTCATCGCAGCTGATTTCAACGACCTCGCCAACCAGAACTGGCTCGCAACATCGTACTTGTTGGGCTTCACTGTCACCCAAATCCTTCTGGGCAAGTTCTCTGACATCTTTGGGCGTGCCCAGATGTTCAACGGCACAATGCTTATTTTTGGTGCTGGAACTCTGTGGTGTGGGCTAGCAACGGTACGTTCCTCTTTCGTGTCTATCCGTGCACGTAGTTTTCTGACATACCCACGCATTTAAGAGCATGAATTCATTGATTGGTGCTCGCCTTCTTCAGGGCATAGGTGCCGCTGGAAGACAATCCGTCGGCATGATCATTGTTTTGGATTTGACGACGGCGGACTCACGAGGTCTGTGGTTGGGATTTTTCAACTGCGCCTCCTGCAATTGGTCTAGCGATCGGGCCTGTGCTTGGCGCAGTCCTCTCCATTGACACACAATGGAGATGGATATTCTGGATCACGCTCATGCTCATTGGGGTCACGCTGGCCATTGGGACAGCAAGCCTCCGATACCCTGTTCCTCATCGGAAGCAACGCATCGGGTTACTGGCGCAGCTGGGAGAAGTGGATTACATTGGTTCTATACTTGCAGTTGCAGTCTCGAGCATGATATGTATTGCCATAGAGATGGGAAACAAGATGTTCCCTTGGAACGTACGTGCATGGCTTCACAAGTATTTCGTACTGACAAACACTGCATGTTTAGTCGGCACCTATCATTGTTCTTTTCGTCATCGGAGGTCTCCTAATACCCGTCTTTGTGTTATACGAGCTCAAGGTAGCCGAGCACCCTGTTGTTGATATCCGCCTTTTCAGCATCCCGAATATCCCCATTACTTGTTTGATCAATTTTCTCACTGGAGCTGGCTACTTCGGTTCCGTCTTCTTCCTTCCCCGTTACTTCATCGATATCAAAAGTTCCGACCTCGTTCATTCCGGGCTGCAGATGCTTGGCCTCATCCTTACGCTTGGCATCTCCTCGGTTGCAGGGGCTAACATCCTCGCACACACGGGGCAGGTGCGCCTTATTGGCGTAGTGGGTGGCGTTTTATACGCACTGGGCAGTGCTTTAATGTTGATTGTGGGACGGCGCACGCCAGCAGCGACAGCTATTGGCTTTTCTATCATCACGGGCAGTGCATCGGGTCTACTCTACCAGCCTTCCCTCGTTGTTGGACCCATGTCAGTCAAACCCCATCAAATTGCGGGAATCAGCGGGTTCCTATCTTTCCTACGAACGTTGGGGGGCACATTCGCCACTGCACTCCTCACGGCAATATACGAGACCAGCTTCACGGAATCACTACGTGGTCATCTCCCAGATTCGTTAGTAAATCAGGGGCTGGCGCTCGCAGACAATCATGCTCAATACCCTGAGTACGAGGACCAGATCTTTGATGCTCTCATCCAGGCCTATCACTTCGGCACGATACCGGCCATCTGTTTCGGTGTTGTATATGCCATAGCAGTGGTCTTTCTCTGTAACGTGGATTTCACCCCAGCGTGGAAACGGAAACGGATAGCAGCAAAACGGAAGAACGAGGGAGCTTGACCATTGCGTGTGGATACTTACATTCAGCATACTTATTGACGCATATTTTTGACGCAAACACGGTTTCTCATCGCATCTTCGCATCTTGTATTTTCTGTCTTTTTTTTTGCTCCTCACAAGAACATATCCCATGGCTGATATAATACCATCAGCCTGACGAGTAGTGTTGATCTACGTCACGGACACATAATGATATGATGAGTAGAATAATTTTATATGCGCTGTACGATTTATATTTAATGTTCTAAGTAGTATTTGGACCCGGAAGGACGGAGCACCAAATTAAGCTTGGTGCCCCCTACAAACGTTTTTCGTTTTGCTTGATATATACATGGATCAGGACGGGCGCCGCTGCAAAGCTGTAAAACTTCAAGGCAATGGGCTGGTTCCGAGCTAGAACCGGGGGGAGATCGGATCTGCATTCCGCTGGAAGCGTGAACGAGAACACTGCGCGCAGTGCCGGCCAATTGGGCGATCGCATCGAAAACAAATTATAGAACTGGCGCCTCGGATACCCAGTACCTACTGTACTTAGCTGTTATTGTACTTACTAGTTACGGCATGTAAAAGGAAATTTTCGATTCGCTGGATGCAACACGCGTGCAATGCGCAGCGTTCTCGAAGAACAGCACGCTGACCTCTTGAGACTTCTGGGATATATTTTCGAGGCAAGATAAGTTTGTTACCTCTACATGAGTAGAAGAATGTTCTTCTGTGCATGCATTCAACAAATAAATAGTACCATTCTGCCTATCAACATCTCGATACATTGGGTCGGGAGCACAAGTGTCATCCGCCCCGTTAAAGGGGAGCAGAATGGACTAAGGGGCTTTACCCCAGATCCGAGTGCTTGATCCTGCAAGAAGTCAACTAGGCATACTCTTCGATCACAGACCGAGGCTGTGTGTACTTGCCCAGCGGCTTGTACGGAATATGTGTGAATCTATGCACATGGTTTCAATTATGACGAATGACTCCATGAGAACGACCGTGATACATACCCAAAAGCACTCGGCCCTCCCAGCGCAATACCACGTTCAGTACTGGTCCACTGGGGAGCCGCGGTGATTCCGACCACGAGAACCCGCAACCCGTATTTGTAGTCAGGCGTACCGAGAGCAGACCCATTTTGAGCATCGAGTACGGCGATTAGATCGGGAACAGTCGCGACCATCTTCACAATGATACATTTAACAACGTCTTCAAAACAAAGGAGCATGCTCTCACAGTGGTCCTTGCGTCATCCGCAGTATGTTCTGCATACAGGTTCTCGTTCTTGAATGGAATGGTGAGTTCGCCGGTGAAGCGCTCCATGGGATGATCAGGATCATCATCTACATCGTCATCCACAGCCAGCGCGGTAATAACGACTTCTCCAATCGTATGACCCTTGTAGACACTGAAGCAAATCAACACAGCTGTGAGAAGAGATCGAAAAAAAACTGACCGCCTTCTCACATCGGAAATTTTGCCCATGAACAACACTTTTGCAGAGTTGGAGCCGCCTACAGCGTCCACAAGGATTGACCCAATACTGGACAAACTCGACTGTTTTCGAGCAAGTGCTATGGCCCGTCCAATGCGCCAGCTCAACGACACCGTATTCTTGATCATGGCGATATCCACATAATCAGCCTTCAGAGGGCGACTGGCCATTCCTACGTGGGTCCTAATGCACGCGACACCGTCCACGATCATCAAGCATACTCATGACACGTGTTACCACTCACCCCATTTCAACACATGCCGCTCGTAACGAGGCATCAACATCGATGTCACGTTTGGCCTTTGTCATAATCTGCAGACAGTTCATCGACCTCGATGTATTAAAACGTGCGAGGGAAACACACTACAATGTTCCCATCTCCACTCGATATGACGGTCGGGAGCATCTCCGCTCCTTTGTCGCTGACATCGTAGACATTGATCGTTGTTTGGTGCCACTTCGATCATGGTAAATTGGAGCATGCATTCAAGATCGGAATCATGCTGCTCACAGTGGGGTATGCACGACCCTGCATGCAGGTGATGATTTAGACAGCGGACCACGTGCCTGATATTACATACCATGAAGTCCCCATCTAGACAGGGTATATTGGAGTATTTTGTCGACCCCAGAATCATCTACAGCCATGTTAATAATCGCCTTCGCTTGACGGACAATGAAATCAACATACGTTGATCATACCATTTGCGCCACCGATCTCTATTGCGCAAAGCGCTTCTGGTTTCGAAATCTAGAAGCTCAGATATTGTTAGAGCACTATGGTCAGTCGGACCAGCCAATATTGTATTACCTCTATCAAGGACCACAACTCCGCGCTAGCCTCTTGATATCTAAGGATCATGTCAATTAGGCACCGCCTTTCATCCATGCAGCGGAAAACTGACTCATTCCCAAGTAGCCTTTCAGAGGACACTTCTGGACTACCCATGCCTCCACCCCATCCAACCACTGCATTGGACGGAACTGACGAAAAGTCAATCACTCGTACTGTTTCACCTGACCTTACGAGCTCTCTGAGTTCCAGGAAAGTATGCAGTGGGGACCCGCCGCCGCCGCATCCCAGTACATAGCAGCCGTCTGCAATCCACTCCAGATCAATCTCGGACAAGAGCCATTCTCTCCCTTCGATCCTTGGCTTGTACTCCAGAATGTCACTCGCACTACGCATGACCGGCGCCACAACGGCAGAGGCGGCGGCGGATGCTACCATTTGTGGCCGGGAGGCGGTCTCTCCGGTAGAAGCTTCAAGACGCAGCGGATCATCGACCTCCGTCCGACTTGGACTAGCGACACCACTCCAATCTCCGGCGGCCTTGACATAGAAACGGCAACGTCCGCTGGTATAGGCGATCGGAATGACCTCGCTCTCTACTATGGCGACGCGGTGTGGATCCGCACCGGAAGCAATTGCTCGAGCGATAGCCCTGGCTTCCACATCAGCGCGAACCTGTATGATAGGTGTCGTGGATGTGTCTTCGAAGGAATCAATGATGCCTGATATCTGCAGATCGAGATTGAGTATCAGTGAGCAGAAGAAGTTCATTTCCGCATTACCTGGGCAATGGCAGCACCAACGGCGTTTGCGACCTCGAAGTGAGGGAATCTGTGAACCCGGCTGATGCCTGCGAGAATATCCGGAGCAAGGATAGACCCTCCGCCGACCAGATAGACTGGGACATCCTGGGAAGACGTTTTCATGACATCAAGGTAGTCCTGAAGCATCTTCTTAATAGCACTTTGAGCACCTTCGATGACCGACTGGTCGATCTTGGAAACGAGACTTTCGTCTCCAATGTTTGAAGCGCGACCTGCTGCAACAACCACGTCCGTAGCGGTCAGTGTAGAGCCACCAAACGCTAGAGATTCGGAGGTGATCCGAAGGCCAACAGAATCAGGACCAACAGTGACCTTCTTTGTGACCGGGTCCTCCCGGATGATGGAACCCCCGCCGAGGCCAATGCTAGAACAGAGTCAATCAATTCGGTATCAATTCCCCGGAATACCGTACCTGGTGACATGTGGCATGGAGAAGTTCAGCAAAACTCCACAGAACTCGTGATGAGCTGCGGCTTGGCGAGGGAATCCGCTAGGTCTAATGGGCAGCGTCAGCCTGGTTGACAAACTTCTAAACTGTCTTCACGAACAACAACATTCCAATATCTGTCTGAAAAAAGACAACAGTGAGCTTGTTGCCACGAATTTGAAGGGTGTCTCAGCGACATACCGTTGTGCCGCCGATGTCAACTACCAGTGCAGATTGCTTTGAGATGCCCGACTCCAGTGAGGCCAAAAATGCGGCGCCGCGCATGGAATTCGTTGGGCCGGACGAGCTTCGAGGAAAATCATTAAGCGCTTTTGACAACCCTTGTCACCAAGACCTCCTAGAGAGGAACACGCACAATGTTCGAATAGGAAGACGTGCTGCCTGCGCGCAGCTGAGCAAGGTGCCATCATTGCTCGTGATGAAAACGGGGCACTGTAGCTCGAGTGTCTGGGCAGCCTTCTCGAACCCTATCACCGTCTTCTTCGCGTATCGCAGCAATGCGGCATTCAGGATAGACGCATTTTCGCGCTCCAGCAGCCCGATAGCGGCAACGTCCTTGGAGCATACGACGTCCATTCCCGGGACGCGCTTCCGCACGATCGCTGCGACTGTTTCCTCCTGTTGGATCTCGAAGTCGATGGGGGCGAACACCGAGGACACGACAACTGCGTGTATGCCCTGCAGATGATCTTAGTTGCACCCAACGTGGCCATCATCGTTTTCTGTACCTGGCGCTTGATTTCATCGCAAGCGGATTCGACTTGTGTAAGGACAACAGAAGCAATCTCACTTCCATCAATCTGCAAGCCCCCCGAGAGCAGGAAGTGGGGACCTTCGAGTACTGCGGGAAGCGCACGTCAGTACAGCAGGACATCATCGCATGTTCCACAGCAGCAACTCACGGTCTCGCAGTTCGTACGGAAAGCCTACAAATGGTGGGGTTCCATGCGTGAAAGGGCCGCACAGGCGAATGACCGCAACTCTGTCCAAACGCCGAGGATCTCTTTCCACCAACGCATTCACAAAGTGCTAGGATGCGGGCAAATCAGAAATACAAGCGATGCATGTGCCAAGGGAATCTCACTGTCGTGCCAATGCAGAGCGCTTGGATATTTGACTTGCTCTGGGCGTGTGTCAGCACGGAATCGATGGCGTTTTGGATTCCCAGAGTGACGTCCGCCGTAGTGAGGTGTTTTGCGGATGCGAGGACCTGCCCTCGACGCGAACCCTCTGACAGATCGAGGAGGACTGCATCGCTGGTAAACGTTTCTTGAGTCCGCGGAGTCAGGTGTGTCCAAATCAGGTACGCACGTATTTGTTCCTCCTACGTCAACACCTAACCGCAGAATGGATTGCACTGAACTCATTTATGGTTCTAGGACTGCTGGTATCGTTCGAGACGAGATAAAAGCTAGGCGACTGCGATAAGGATGGTCAAGATGGGGACCGAACCCTTATCCGTGGTGGTTTGGCACGACCAAATTAGCAGGATAAGCGAAATTGAGCTTCGATTCGTATTCAGCGCTACTTAGGAGTTATAAGTAGTCATGTTACTTGAACGATAGCTTGCGCTATTGGGCGTAGATTGTGATTCGTGACCAGCACAGCTGGGTCATCGACACTACCTACATAAAGATATTCAGCGACTTCTAAACGATCCGTCAGCTGAGTACCGGACTCGAGTGATCATTGCGATCACATCTGACCGCGCGCATCAATGTGAATTGACCACGTAAGCACGTGAGCCTTACTAGTAGTGGTCATCTGAACGCAAGCAAATAGACATAAAAATAATGGACTCACCAATACATAAAAGTACTAGTAGGGCTGCTCAATTCTAAAAGTTCGCGTTCACTTGGGATCCGAGCACCGTAGTGCCAACACTTGGTGTAGTAAATTATCTGCAAGCAGTTTGAAAGTATATCCTAAACCTCAGCAAGACTCCTAAACCTCGTCATTCCTAACCCTCAGCAGAGCTGACCCTTATCTCAGCCAGCAATGTACAATCAAGTGCCCATTTTTGCGTGAGAAATGATTATATTATATTCACGAACATACTACATATGATGTACTCTATGAAAATGGTTAGGAAAAGGTTCAGGAATGTTAGGGTTAGACCAGACGAGAGTTAGAAATGTAAATGACGAGGTTTAGTGAGGTTTGGGATGTGCTTTAAGACTGCTTGTATATACCAAGTGTTGGCACTGCGCGCCGTAAGGTTTAGGTACAAGTCCCGTTTAGGACAAGGTTTGGTGACACTTAGTGGTGCTTGAATCCAAGTGAACTCGAACTTTTAGAATTGAGCAGCCCTAGTACCACCAGACTTTGACGCAAATTTACCAACGGTGGATTATCGTCGGAAAGAGCAAATATCTGACGATATTCAGGCAAATAATCGCCAATATCCCAACGAGCCAAAAATCATCAGGATGAGCCCTTATTTGACGCTTTTCAATGGCAAAAAAATTGTCATTCTCCCTAATTATTCACCTGTCAAAAAGTTTTCCGTGTGTAGCCTAATACAGCATATTCCCCTGTGATGCACCTCCTTGCTCCTTCTGCAACGATCAGAGCCTTCCGTGGCAAGCCTGTACTGCTGAGCCAGCCCCCGAGCATCCAGACGAGCCCATTGAAGCTATTTTGATGTGTGGTTTGACCCTTGGACATCAACACAACCATCTCCAATTCCATGCATCAGTAAAATACCACATTACTTAAGCTGCCTTAAACAGACTTAACTCACACTTAAGTGACTTTGCAGAAGTTGACACACTTTGCCAAAATTTCAACTTCAACATGTTCAGAAAAAAATTGTTTGATCATATTAACATACATATTTTATTGTAGTTTGCACTGAAAAAATCAAGATATGCCAAGTGAATGTTGCAGGAGAGAGCAAACAGTTTTCAGCCAAGTTAGCCCAGTTGATTAAGTAATGTGGTATTTTACTGATGTGCCTCCTCAGAAGCCTTGGGTTGCTTCACACAGTGTGCTGGGCCAGGACATGAGTCCGGAAGAGAGTCATAGGGCTGGGGACAAGGCTGTGCACAAGCAGAAGCTGGATGATGGAGCTGGGGATGTGTCAACAGCCTCCAAATGCAGTAGGAAGGCTCAAATGCAGTAGGAAGGCTCCAATGCAGCCATGAACCACAGGTGGGTTCAAAAACCCATTTGCAGCACTTGAATCCATATTAGCATCTCTGGTTGGTCATAAGACAGTGCTGGTAGCTCACCTAGTTCCTCTGGAGTCCATCCCTCCTCATCCACTGCAGTCATTTGATGCTATGTTGCCACAGGACCAACATTATGATGCATATATGCATCCTGATGTAATGAACATGGAGCCAACGTTGTCAGAAGGAAGCTGTTAGAGACCATGCTCGGATGGAGAAGTGGAGGGGTCGGGGCTTGGCTTCAGCTCTTGCACTGCACCCTTAGCCGAGTACGTGCCCCGAATTTGGAGCAGGTCTGACAATGTCCAACGATAGGATGAGTGGACCACTTAGGTCCACTTTGGTGGGTCAGGAAGTAAGTGCTGCTAGTGGTAAGCCAACTAGGAGTGGAGCGGAGGAGGTGGAGGAAGTTTATTGGGATGGAGGGGAACAAGGGGATTGATTAGTCGAGTCAGAGAAGTAAGAGTGAATACTTAGAGTGCGGCTCTAAGTCGGAGCGGAGAATCGGAGGTGACGACAAGGTATACTTGTGTCCAGAGAGGGAGCAAAGTCCTATGGAGAATTCCCACTAGTAGAGACAGTGGGAAGACAAGTAATATTAAGACTGGGGAGTAGCTAAGTACAGGATATGTTTTATATACTTCTATGTAGGAGGCAGTGATTAGTTAGTCCTTGGTATGAGGCTATGTAACTAGTATACAATTTGTAAGTGAACACAGGTGAAAAACATAAGTCGGGGCAGATATCAATATGTACGCATCAGATCAGTTATTCAAGTGGTTATAGGAAGTACTGGTGATCCGGGAAGTAAGTACTATGTGCAAATGGGGAAAGTATATACCTAAATGGGGAAAGGAGATTTACAGTAGAATGGATGATGTGGAAGTCAACCAATGAGGCAGTCAAGCGGAGCCGTAGGAGCCAATGCAGGAGTCAACTGGGACGAGCAGAGGGTGAACAGAGCGGAGGTGGTAGGAAAGCGGGAGAAGTATGATTGTCGGGTGGAGTGGATATCAATAAGCGGAGTGGTTGGATCAGGTATATGACAGAAGCAATCAGTCATCTGGACCTGCAGACATACCCATTGATCCTACACTTGAGACACCACACAAGTTAGACATGCTGTCACTGATACAAAGCTACAACCCAGACATTGAGAGAATGCTGCTTCCTGCTACAAATGAATGAATCCCATCTATGTTACATCAGGAAAAAGTGTTCTGACTGGTAGCACCACGCCAACGCTATGCTGTGCTTGGGAGTTTCAGTAGCATCTGGTAGCTGATCTTGTAGCACCTGGGCAATAGTAGCCATAGACCTATGTTCCATAGTTGTAGGTAGGCAATCAGACAATGCACAGACCTATGTACAACAACCAAACTACATGTGCAACCACACCACACTTGCGCACCGAGGAATGAGGACACTTTTATGACAAATGCTGTATTGTATCAAATAAGTTAAAATTAATGTAAGGATTCACATAAAAATCGTTGGCAAGCTCAAGCACATCACCGATTCTTCCACCTTGCTTGATCCAAACCTGGGCATCAGATGGGCCACTTGCAAAAGATCTTGAACACTGACCATGGCTGAAAAATGATGTTGGTTACAAGTTGACCGTGCGAGCTGATAGAGCTTTGTCATGGGTTGTGGCTCATGCAGTGGGCGGAACCATTCAATGTATGTGAGCAGGTGACTGAAGTGACCATAGTGAGATGGCAACTTAAAAATAGCATGTATCTGTGTAACTCACAAGCCTGCAAGTGTTTAATAAGGACAACACTTCGAAGCAGGAGCTGATAGACATACAATCAAGACCTGTACCAATCTCCCACAACTCACGATCTTCGACAACAAATGCCACATCAAAGTGTGCAGGTGAAGCTGGCTTCTGACAGTTGTGGTTGGGAATAGCTGGATGTGCTCAAAGCCGATTGAACTGTTTGAGGTCACTGATATGATTCTGTTTAGGGAGCAGAAGCAGAACAGATTTGAACATGTCAAACCAATCATACTTGCTGGCAGAAACTGATGAACAGGGAAAGCAATGGGTGAGGAATGTTTGAAGGATGGGTACAAAGTTGATGGCGCCAAAAGCAGTTTGAAGATGAGGGACAGACACATTCAAAAAATGGCAGCTCTTGGCCACATGGTAGCCATGCAAAGCAAGCACACCAGAAGGGATGAACTAAGATAATAATGAATCTTGACTCCCACCATCCAAATTGGCAACCTCATCCTCCTCATCATGATCCTCAAGTGCATCTAAGTTGAGTGGGCATTCATGTTGTGAGGTGATCCATTCAAGGTAGATTCTGTGGCGAAATATGGCCTCTTGAACTTCGAGCCAGTGAGTCATTTGTGCTATATAATCCACTTTGCTGCTCACCTGATAAGCATCTCACACGTAGTTGATATGTAATCGTTCAGGGCTTTCTGAGTTGAAACCATCCATGCTGCTGTCATATACTGGATCCGAGCACCTCCAATACCACCTGTGAACATCTCCACTGCTGGTCTGACTCCCTGTTTCCCCATCCGCTCCATCCCTCCTTCTCCAACAATGCACAAAGTGGATCTCAGCAGGACTACCCCTGCTACCTCCGCCCAACTCTACTCCACTCCTCCGACACTACCCCTATTTCCTCCGACACCATATCCCTACCATCCGACCCTATCTGGAGCTCTGCTCCTCCGCTCTGTTGGTCCACCCAATCCTATTCCTACTCCCTCCACCATCTCCGCTTTTCTGACCCACTTGGTTCCTCCAGTTTCTCTCGTATCAGTCTGCCCGACTGCCTCACCGGTCCACTTCTAGACTAGGAACCACTCAACTGGTCCTACCTCCTTTTGGTATCATAGTTCCTCCTTTTGGATCACTGGTAATCCCTATACCCGATGTGGGTACAACAAGTGCAGCAGCGAGAAATCAAACTACTACAAAGTTGGGTCTTTGCTGCCTGCTGCCTTGCTTGAGAACAAGCGCATTCGACCCTAAAGGGGATTGCTACTGGGGAATACTAGTCTCTGTCTAAAGTGACCCTACAGGATGAAAGATCTGCAAAAGCAGATGAAGCAGATAGGATGCGAAATGTACAGATTCGTCGGATGGAGTGGATGATACTTGCAGATCGGACGGGATGTGAATCAAAGTCGAAGGAAGTTCATTAAAGGTTGGATGGATAGTGAGTATAAGTCAAAGCAATCTTCTGGTAAGGTGAAGGAAAAGTGGGAGGAAGTTACATGAAGTAAGTACTTTCTGAAAACTTCTATGCTTATAGGGTACAGTATTTTCAAGGAACACTTGGTATAGGTAGTGAGTCTAGACTGTGCCATAAGCTATCCGGAAAATAGTGGAGTGTGAGAGGATATGTCTGTGTTCAGTCAGTAACAAGAAAAAACATGTGAGTATGTACCAATGAGGTAGAATGGATGTGGACAGAATGGATGTGGCGGATGTGTCATATACCTGATCCGACCGCTCTGTCAATATTAATATCCGCTCTGCCTGACATCCTACTTCCCCTGCTATCCTACCACCTCTGCCCCATCCACCCTCTGCCCATCCCAGTCAGCTCCTGCATCGGCTCCTATGGCTCCGCTCGACCGCCTCATTGGTTGCCTTCTGCACCATCCATTCTACTGTAAATATCCTTGCCCCATTTAGGTATATACTTTCCCCATTTGCACATAGTACTTACTTCCCAGATCACTGGTACTTCCTATACCCACTCATCTAACTGATCTGACACGTACATATTAATATCCCCCCCAACTTATGTTTTTACTTACAAATTGTATGCTTGGTACATAGCCTCCTACCAAGGACTAACCAGTCACTGCCTCCTACTTAGAAGTATATAAAACATATCCTGTACTTAGATACACCCCAGTCTTAATATTACTTGTCTTCTCACAGTCTCTACTTGTGAGAATTCTCAGTAGGACCTTGCCTCCTCTGGACACAAGTTTCATCTTGTTGTCACCTCCAACCTTCCACTCTGACTTAGAGCAGTGCTCTAAAGTCTTCCCCTGTCATATCCCATACCTGTTAGGTACCGTGCCAGCTCAAGAGGCAGAGGGGTCGGGGCTTGGCTTCAGCTCTTGCACTGCGCCCTTAGCTGAGTATGTGCCCCGAATTTGGAGCGGGTCCGACATTGTCCAACGGTAGGACAAGTGGACTGCTTGGGTCCGCTTTGAGGGTTGGGGAGTAAGAGCTGCTAGCGGTGGACCGACTAGGAGCGGAGCGGAGAAGGCGGGGAATGATGCAGAGGGTGGATAGGAACCAGGGAGATATTTTGATAGGAGCGGAGATGGCGGAGGATAATGCAGAGGATAGGAAAAGGGGTGATAGGAGGATATTGATAGGGGCGGGGTAATAAGGGAAAGACTTAGAGCATGGCTCTAAGTCGGAGCGGAGGGTCGGAGGGTCGGAGGTGACAACAAGTTGAGACTTGTGTCCAGAGGAGGCAAGGTCCTACTGAGAATTCTCACAAGATGTAACTGCGAGAAGACAAGTAATATTAAGACTCAGGAAAAATATCTAAGTACAGGATATGTTATATACTTCTATGTGTGAGGCAGTGATCAGGATAACTATGTAGTAAAGCTATGTACCAAGGATATAGTTTGTAAGTACTTTACATATGCGAAGACATAAGTCGGAGCGGATATCAATATGTATGCGTCGGATCAGCGATCGAGTGGTAATAGGAATTACCGGTGATCCAGAAGTGAAGGTCTATGTACCAAAAAGGAAAGCATATACCTAAAAGGGGAAAGAGGTCCAGTTGAATGGAGAGATTATGGAAGGGGACCGGTCGAGCGGTTGAGTGGACGCGTAGGGCAGAATGCGGATTTGTGATTGGGCAGAGTGGAGGATGAATGGAGTGGAGGGGGTCAGAAAGCGGAGCAGATATTGATATGGGAGTGGTCGGATCAGGTATATGACAATACCTCCGGATCCGGAATTCCAGATCTACTCCATTTAAGTCCAGTTCTCTGTCCTGCTATTCCACCCAGTGCTCCACCTTCATCTCTGCACTCACCCCTAACTTCTTTTAGATTAGCTATTGCTCCGGTTACCGGTTATGTCCTATTCCGCTATGCTTACTGATCCGTCCATTCTTACTTCATTTCCAACTTCACTGCTTTGATCCATTACACTTACTAATAGACTTTCCACATGCTTCATACATAGCCCTTACCTTTGCTGACTGATTTACTTACATGATACCTACAGTATATAAACCCCTGTAATACTCCAGAACTCCTCAGTTCAAATATCATCTTAGTTCTGCTCATTCCTGCAATATCCGGACTTGAGTCTCATCTCTTGTCCACCTCTGAGTCTTAGGGGTTAAACCTTAGGACTACTTCTCCGGCTCTACCTTAGGGTAGTCTAACCTCTGTTCAGTTTCTACTCTGGACTTCTGTGGTAGCCTTACTCCATCCCCGCATAAACCTTCCAGAGTTCCACCGAACTCCACTGACATTTGTCCTCCAGAACTCCCTGGACTTCCGTCAGACTTCTCCTCTGTCCCCCAGAAATTAAAGGGCACGTACTTGGGTAAGGGGCGCAGCGCACAAGCTGAAGCCGAAGCCCTTTGAGCAACCTCTCCCTTGAGCACGACCTTAACACAGACTAACAGTCAGGTGAGGCAATACAAGAGAAACTGGAGGAACCAAGTGGGTCGGAAAAGCGGAGATGGTGGAGGGAGTAGGAGTAGGATCAGTCAGACCAATGGAGCGGAGGAGTGGAGCTCCAGATAGAGTCGGAGGGTAGGGATATGGTGTCGGAGGAAATAGGGGTAGTGTCGGAGGAGCAGAGTGGAGTCAGGCAGAGGTAGCAGGGCTAGTCCTGCTGAGATGTACTTTGTGCATTGTCAGAGAAGGAGGGATGGAGCGGACAGGAAAACAGGGGGTCAGAAAAGGGGTGGGGATGTTCACAGGTGGTATTGGAGGTGCCCGGATCCAGTATATGACATGTTGCCAGGAAGTTCAACATCAGAAAGGTTTTGTGAGCCATGGGTAGTACTTCGATTGCTAGTTTGAAGGTTTTTAGGGGCAAGAAGGGTGGCTTCAGGAGTGGGCAGGCTGGGTGCTAATGTTGGTTGTGGGACAGTGGGCTGGGTGTCATTGGCAACACATTTGGCAGCCTGCGCAACACAGAAGGCAGTGATAGCCTTTGTTTGAGAGGAGTACAGCCTGCTCAGAGTGCTCCAGGAGTGCAGCAGTTGGTTTAACTTTGCACACTGGATGTACTACACATGGCTCATCTTCACTGTCTGTATGGACCGTTCTGACCATGATATTTTCACAGAAAGGACAGCAACATACTAGTACGGTAGGCATGATACCTTTTATCTCAATATGTCCATCAAAATTGTGCACACTTTGTTGGAATCTGATCCATCTGAGAATGAGCAGGATCAAATCCAACCAATTATGGGCAAGCACAACTGTCATATCCCATACCTCCATATCTGGAATTCCGGATCTCCCCTACGAAAGTCCACTTCCCTCATCCTATTCTCCATCCAGTGCTCTGCTTTCATCTCCAGGCTCACCCCTATCTCCTTTTAGAATAGCTATTGCTCTGGCTACCGGTTATGTCCTTTCCACTTTGCTTACTGATCCATCTGTTTTTACTTCATCTCCAACTTCACTGCTTTGATCCATTATGCACTTACTAATAGACTTTCCACATGCTTCGTACATAGCCTTTACTTTGCTGACTGATTTACTTACATGATACCTACAGTATATAAACTCCTGTAGTACTCCAGTACTCCTCAGTTCAAATATCATCTTAGTTCTGCTCATTCCTGCTTCTCTGGACTTGAGTCTGATCTCTTGTCTACCTCCGAGTCTTAGGGTTAAAACCTTAGGACTAAATCTCCGGCTCCACCTTAGGGTAGTCTAACTCTGTTCCACTTCTACTCCGGACTTGTCCGTAGTAGTCTTGCTCTGCTCATTCCTAGCCTTCCGGAGTTCCGCCGAACTCCCCCTACGTCTGACCTCCGGACTTCCCCAGAATTCCATCAGACTTCCCCTCTGCCTCTCAGAAATTAAAGGGCACATACTTGGGTAAGGGGCACAGCACATGAGCTGAAGCCGAAGCCCTTTGAGTAATCTTTCCCTTGAGCACGACCTTAACAGCAACCCAAAATGAGATGAACAAGTGATGCATCTGACATCGGCTGAGTGTTCTTGATATTGCATTGCTGTCTTAAGCATTTGTTAGATTTGCGGAAGAGTAGCAATGGTTAGACAGAAATAGATATAGCAGATAGATTTGTACCTGACTTGCGGATGAGTCTGTAACAGACAATGTGATCATACAAAGCTGCGGCTTGGGCTGTGTCCAGGCTGTGACTTTGGCCTGGCCTAATCAGGCCCAGCTTGGCCCTGCCCATGGCCTGAAGCCAGGCCATGCACATCACTAATCACTGCCATCTTACTTAGAGCATATAATACCCTGTACTTAGTCTGTATTCCTCAGTCTTAATATTACATTGTCCCTACCAGTTTCTACTGTGTGGATTCTCCACAGAACCTTACTCATCTCCAGACAACAAGTCTTGTCTTGTTGTGACCTCCACTCCTCCACTTTCTGACTTAGAGCCATGCATCAGGAAAAAGTGAGGCTACAGGGTAGCGCTATATCGCCTATGTTGCGCGTAGTCAAGTAGCTACCCCCCCCTCTCTGGAACTGTTGGTAGCACTGTGTTGATGCAATATAGCTTGTGATAGCACCCAATTGCCGTGGAGTCAAGTAGCCACATCACATGAGTAGTGCTAAATTGCACTCAGTAGCATAAGTCACACATGCAATTGTCAGCAGTATCAGTTCATAGTTGCTAGTAATTTCATATAATCTTTCGATGAAAATGAAAATCATATAAAATTCTTGAGCAAATGGCAAGCCATTGATACATAATGATCCTACTACTCATCATCCCCGGAATCACTAAAGACACCCCCATGGTCATTGTACTCTTTGATGGCGGCATCAAATGTGCTACGTGCCATGGTGCAGCCAGTGTCGTGACCAAGTGGGTCTGCCTTTGAATGGACGCTAATGAATGAAAGTAAGAAAAAATCAATTAGATATCATCCCCAGCTTTGACATGTCACATACCAGCCACTGTCATGAAGATGTGACAACAACTTTGGAAGCAGGCCTTGAGCCTTGGTATGCTCATCAAAATCTGTGAGGTTATTGAGATGCTCATCGAGCACACCCTGATACTCATCCACGGTGAACATCTTGTTTGATTGAGCACCGGTGCTCCACTCGTCAATGCAGCTTTCAATCTAACAACAGACATCATTAGAATTTAGCACTCGAACTTCAACATGGCACATAAAAAATGTACTGCAGTCAAGAGCAATGTGAGCCCAACCTCTGGGAATGGTTTGTAGAACTCAGGATATAGCACACCTTCATCTTTCTTATCACAAAACCACATTGTATTCACCGCCTTCTGGATGATCTTTGAACCATACAATCCTTTGTTACCATCAGCAGAGCAAGTCTGATACTACAATCAGCGACTGACACCAAAAAAGGATGATTACTTACCTTATAAACAAAAGCGAAATTCTTCTTGAGCTCCCGCGTGAGCATAATGCTGCGATCAATCACGAATTGCTTTGTACTTGTCTCAAACCCATACTCGTCCGCAATGTATGGCTGGACTTTACTCTTGACCTCGCCATGAAAGTGAGAGCCTTGGGAGGTGATCTACACAGTAGCACATTTAGAGAGATCCTCTATCAGAAAAATCACATACCATTTTAATGATTTCGGCATCGTAAGCAACACAAGTCTGCAACCTCTTACATGCCTCATTCCATGCTAACTTCACCCAAGTGACCTCCTGCATACGATCAGGCATAGCTCCCTCCATGCAGAGATGGCCACAATATAGTGCCCAAGCAACACTGAAGATTGTACGAACTGAGGGTTCATAGTCAGCAGCCTTTGGTCGCCCCCTGCTTTCATGGATCTTGACAGCCTTTCAAACTTGCCCATCACCATCGTTGTCACTGTCCGATGTACAGCGGTGACATTTGCCTAGACCTTCAACACCAGGTGTCAGGGACCTACTAGTGGTACTACCTTCGTCCATAGGTTCACCATCCATCTCGAAGTCTGCCAGTCCTGCAATAGCGTCATCAAATAGATCTTCATCAGTAGGGCTGGGAGAGTGAGTAACAATGTGGTTGAGACCCAAAGCAGGGCGGGAAACACCTACAAGCAAATCAATTGCATTGAATCAACATAGATATGAGATACTTACCATGAGACATTGCAACTACAGGACTATGTGCTTGCTCGGCAAGAACAGCATCACGTAGGCACAAAAGCTCGGCAGCCTTTTCAGGTGTCAAAGTGTTGGGGCGTGGTGTCTTCCCCATAGAAATCCTGTGTGGCGCAGGGGGCACTACACTTTTACGTGCAACTAAGTTTTCCCTCACCGGTGTCAAGACACTTTGACTCGTAAACTACATATGCAAGTGTGATCAAGCCTGACGTGCATAAGCAAACAAAGGCTCACCCCAGGGTCATGAACTGACGGAGCAACAGACCCCTGTGGAGGGGTGTCAGAGAGTGCTAGTGAAACATTGATGGCATCAGCAAGGTAAAACAATGACAAAACATTCACCCACCTGTACATCTGTCTTTCTGGTATGCCTCACGTTCGGCAGCCTTGCTGGCCTTTTGGCAAGCCTTTTCTTGGCGTTCCTGGGCTTTATCGACCTGCTGGCATTGATGATTTTCTTTGTCCTTGTGAGTCTCAGCTTTGAATTACGACTTGATCAACAGTGGCAATAAAAAATCGGAGAAGGTCAACTTACCAACATATTGAGCCCTCTCAGTAGGTCGGCAATCACGGCAGCTAGCAGCATGCTCAGCAGCAGTGGATTTCACAGATGAAGACATTAGTAGTTCTGTGTAGATCAACCAGATCAGATCAGATGGGGGATCAGAAGAACGCAGAGAAAAACAGACATGCCTATTTATGATCTACCGACAATGCCCGACAGTATTGGATGATGGGACTGCCGATTCGGGATTTCAGTCCGACACATAGGCTGAGTTACTAGAGCAACACCAAAACAAATACAAAAATAACATACCTCTTGCTGGACAGCCTCCATAATGTTGCGGACAACCCAAAAACATTGCTGTAATTTTTGTCTCAAAGAACTGGCCCGACAGAAAGATGTCTCCTTACACATTCAAAACACCCCAACATGTCAGCAACAATGGGAGCTCTTGGTCTCAAGTCAGCAAAACACTGCACCTAAACAGCCAGACGAGCAACATAAATCAGGTCCAGCAACACCCCCAGAATATGAATATGAAATACCTGAAGATCTTGACTACAAATTTCAACGATGAGCCGAGTATGAGCCTGATGAAGCCCTGCAATCAAAACAGGCTCGAGTGGAAGATGTAGCTGATGAAGAAGAGCCTGAAAGATTTGCCAAGGTGTTCCCACACCCTGCCGCTGAAGTTTTAGGGGTTGGCCAGACAGCATTTGAAGAAATTCGGGAGGATCAAATTAACATGGGTCTTGAAGCGAATCCATGGGCACCATTCAGCAATGAGGAAGAATGGGGCCTTGCAGAGTGGCTTGCGAAGAGAGTTAACCAAACAGCAACTGACAAATTCCTGAAACTTGCCATTGTAAGCCTACCACATGTTTGCGAATCATCCGTCTCACGACGCAGCTACACAGACCAAAAATCGCACTCGGCCCAGCTATACAAGTAACTATACATTCCGAAAGAAGCTTGACAAGCTTCCAAAAGGGCCTGGTTGGATGTGCAATATTGTGACATTGACTGGAGATCGAGTGGATGGGAATCAGGAGTTCCTCACCAAACAACACAAACTATGGTGTTGTGATCCTGTAGAGTGTGTGCGTGAGCTGATGGGTAATCCCACATTCAAGGATTACCTTGCATACCTGCCCAAGAAAGTCTACATGGATCCTGAAGGGAAGACATGGGTGTATGATGAGATGTGGACAGGTGACTGGTGGTGGAACATGCAGGTTAGTCAAGTGAAGCCTTGAATACGAGGGTTGAATTCGGAGTCAGCTTATCATGATATAGGAACACCTTCCATCTGGCGCTGTGGTGGCGCCTGTGATCCTCACCTCTGATAAGACAAATCTTACCCGTTTTCATGGAGATAAAGCTGCCTGGCCAATCTATCTGACTATTGGTAATATCAAGAAGCATATCCGCCGTCAGCCTTCTAAGCATGCGACAGTGCTGATAGGATACCTACCAATCTCGAAGATGCTGCATTTTAAGGATGATGAAGGACGGCAACTTGGTCGCTATTGACTGTTTCACAACTGCATGCGGTTAGTGATGGAACCACTCCTTGATGCGGGTCATCGTGGCATCAAGATGATCTGCGCTGATAGGAACATCTGTCACATTTTTCCGATCCTTGTGGCATATATTGCAGATCACCCCGAGCAGTGCCTTATTGCATGTTGCAAAGAAAACCACTGCCCTCGTTGTGTTGTGGGAACAAAACAACGAGGAGACCACATTGACTCACCTCTCCGCAATGTCACTGAGACCAGAGCAACTCTCAAACGACATCAAAATGGTGAAGACCCTCACCTTTTTGAAGATCACGGTCTGCGGGCGATTCATTATCCATTCTGGGCATATCTCCCCTACACCGATATTTTCACATGCATCACTCCTGATATTCTCCACCAGCTCCATAAGGGAGTCTTCAAGGACCACATCGTTAGTTGGTGTGCTACCATCATCTCTGATGCCGAGTTTGATGCACGATTTCAAGCCATGTCTGAATTTCATGGTCTTCGTCATTTCAAATGTGGCATCTCAAATGTCTCACAGTGGACTTGCACTGAGCATAAAGAGATGCAGCACGTTGTTTTGGGTGTCATTGCGGGTGCTGTTGAACCTCATGTGTTCCAGGCTGCACGTGCTATTCTCGACTTTATTTATTATGCTCAATACCACGCTCACATGGACACAACACTCACGCGAATGCAGGAAGCACTTGATGTGTTTCTGTCATATCCCATACCTCCAGATTCGGAATTCCGGATCTACTTCATAAAAGTCCGGTCCTCCGTCTTACTTTATGTCCTATTCCGCTATGCTTACTGATCCGTCCATTCTTGCCTCATTTCCGACTTCACTGCTTTGATCCGTTATACTTAGTAATAGACTTTCCACATGCTTCGTACATAGCCCTTACCTTTGCTGACTGATTTACTTACATGATACCTACAGTATATAAACCCCTGTAATACTCCAGAACTCCTCAGTTCAAATATCATCTTAGTTCTGCTCATTCCTGCAATATCCGGACTTGAGTCTCATCTCTTGTCCACCTCTGAGTCTTAGGGGTTAAACCTTAGGACTACTTCTCCGGCTCTACCTTAGGGTAGTCAAAACTCTGTTCTATTTCTACTCCAGACTTCCGTAGTAGCCTTACTCCGTCCCCGCATAAACCTTCCAGAGTTCCGCCGAACTCCACCGACACTAAGTCCTCCGGAACTCCCCGGACTTCCGTCGGACTTCCCCTCTGTCCCCCAGAAATTAAAGGGCACGTACTTGGGTAAGGGGTGCAGCGCACGAGCTGAAGCCAAAGCCCTTTGAGTAACCTCTCCCTTGAGCACGACCTTAACAGTTTCATGCGAACAAGACCGTCTTCATTGAGCTCAGCCTTTGCAAGCACTTCAACATACCAAAGGTTCATTCAATGTGCTACTATGTGCAGTCCATCTGATCTTTGGGAAGTGCTGACGGTTTCAACTTGGAGAGCCCTGAATGCTTGCACATTGACTATGCGAAGGATGCTTACCAGGCGAGCAGCAAGGTTGATTATATTGCACAGATGACACACTGGCTCGAACTTCAAGAAGCTGTGTTTTGACACTGTATCTACCTTGATTGGGTTGCCACCCAAAGCCAAAAACCTCTTGCTGACTATGACTTAGACACACTTGAGGATGAGGAGGATGAGGACAAGGAACAGGAGTTTGCAGATTCAGATAGTGTGATGCACTGTCACACTCTGGATGTATTGCCATCCCAGTTCATTCCATCAGGTCTATTAAAGTTGCATGGCTATTGGGTTGTGTTAGGTACCGTGCCGGCTCAAGAGGCAGAGGGGTCGGGGCTTGGCTTCAGCTCTTGCACTGCGCCCTTAGCCAAGTACATGCCCCGAATTTGGAGCGGGTCCAACGTTGTCCAACAATAGGATGAATAGACCGCTTTGGTCTGCTTGAGGGTCGGGAAGTAAGAGCTGCTAGCGGCGGGCTGACTAGGAGTGGAGCGGAGAAGGCGGGGGATGATGCAGAGGGACAAGGGAGAATATTGGATAGGGGTGGAGTATATGGAAAAGACTTAGAGCACGGCTCTAAGTCGGAGCAGGGGATCAGAGGGTCAGAGGTGACAACAAGTTGAGACTTGTGTCCAGAGGGGGCAAGGTCCTACTGAGAATTCTCACAAGATGTAATTGCGAGAAGACAAGTAATATTAAGACTAAGGGAAAATATCTAAGTACATGATATGTTATATATTTCTATGTATGAGGCAGTGACCAGGATAACTATGTAGTAAAGCTATGTACCAAGGATATAGTTTGTAAGTACTTTACATAGGCGAAGACATAAGTCGGAGCGGATATCAATATGTACGCGTCGGATCAGCGATCGGGCGGTAATAGGAATTACCGGTGATCCAGAAGTAAGAGTCTATGTACCGAAGGGGAAAGTATATGTCTAAAAGGGGAAAGGGATCCAGTTGAATGGAGAGGTTTATGGATGGGGGCCAGTTGAGTGGTTGAGCGGAAGCGTAGGGCGGAATGCGGGTTTTGTGATAGAGCAGAGTGGAGGATGGATGGGGTGGAGGGGGTCGGAAAGCGGGGTGGATATCAGTATCGGAGCAGTCGGATCTGGTATATGACAGGTTGCCAAAACATGCCCTTTCCTCAACATCTCCACATCTCATCTGCAAACAGCTTTCGGTGCCATCAACTTCATACCTGCCCTGCAAACATTCCTCACTCACCACTTTCCTCATTCATCCATCTCTCCCAGCCAGTATGATCGGTTTGATGTGTTTAAATCTGTTCTACTTCTTCTCCCTTGGCGAAATCACATCAGCGATGTCAAGCGGCTGAATAGGATTCGAGCTCATCCTGCTATCCCCAATCGCAACCGTCACAAGCCGCTGTCACCATCACATTTTGATGTTGCATTCATCATTGAAGACCGCCAGTTATGGGAGAGCGGTACAGGTTTGATGGTATGTCTTGCAATCATACTCAAGGCATGATGCTAACGCCAATGCAGGGTTATGGCTCACTGTTAAGGTCGTGCTCAAGGGAGAGGTTACTCAAAGGGCTTCGGCTTCAGCTCGTGTGCTGCACCCCTTACCCAAGTACATGCCCTTTAATTTCCGGGGAACAGAGGGGAAGTCCGACGGAAGTCTGGGGAGTTCCGGAGGACTTAGTGTCGGTGAAGTTTGGTGGAACTCCAGAAGGTTTATACTGGGACAGAGTAAGGCTACTACGGAAGTCCAGAGTAGAAACTGAACAGAGTTTAGACTACCCTAAGGTAGAGCCGGAGAAGTAGTCCTAAGGTTTAACCCCTAAGACTCAGAGGTGGACAAGAGATGAGACTCAAGTCCGGATATTGCAGGAATGAGCAGAACTAAGATGATATTTGAACTGAGGAGTTCTGGAGTATTACAGGGGTTTATATACTGTAGGTATCATGTAAGTAAATCAGTCAGCAAAGGTAAGGGCTATGTACGAAGCATGTGGAAAGTCTATTACTAAGTGTAGCGGATCAAAGCAGTGAAGTCAGAAATGAAGTAGGAATGGACAGATCAATAAGCATAGCGGAAAGAACATAACCGGTAACCAGAGCAATAGCTAATCTAAAAGGAGTTAGGGGTGAGCGCGGAGATGAAGGCGGAGCGTCGGGCGGAATAGTAAGACAGAGGACCGGACTTTAATGGAGTAGATCCGGAATTCTGGATCCGGAGGTATGGGATATGACACTCACACAAATACATGCAATATTTAAATTACCATCTCACTACGGCAAATTTCCTCATCCCCTGGCTTATGTGGAATGGTTTTGACCTCTGCATGAGCCAGAACCCATGACCAACCTCTATCGACTTGCACAGTCAACTCATAACCAACGGTGTTTTGCAGCAGTCGTCAGTATTCAAGACCTTCTGCAAGGAGGTCATCTAATTCCCAGGTTCAGATCGGGCAAAGTAGACGTGTCGTGGATCAATGGTGATGTTCTTGAGCTCGCTGATGAGTTTTATGTCAATCCTTACATTAATTTTCACTTGTTTGACACTATGGAGCGCTTATAGCACATTTTAGAGCCAGTTTTACATCACGCGCGGAGAGAATTGTTCACATAGTCGCATTGTTATACATAGCACTTTGCATTGATGGAGTAGACTACCTATTGCTCGGGAATACCAGCCTATGACTACTGTGGCTATGGTGTTACATGTTTGTCTACCAGCAGCTACCGAGACTCTCAGGTGTTACATAGTCTTGGCGTGGCGCTATGAGTCAAAATGCTTTTTCCAGATGTGCTCTAAGACTTTTACCTCTTGCCCCATCCGCCCAATAAATTCCCTTCTAATTCTTTCCACCTCCTATCAACTTTCCTGCTCCATCCACCCACCTAACTAGTTGGCCCACCACTAGTAGCCTTTCCCCCTTCTACCCTCAGTCAGACCAAAGCAGTCCAACTGTCCTATCATCAGACAACATCAGCTCCATCTCAAATTTGGGGCATGTACTTGGCTAAGGGTGCAGCACAAGAGCTGAAGCCAAGCCCTGACCCCTCCACTTCTCCTTCTGAACATGGTATCTAACAGTGCATGGTAGAATACACTAGGCTAGTCACAAGCCTATTTGTCATCATATTGGATCACATCTGGATTTTTTGCCTTAGTGATTACCTGAACCTCAGAATCTGAAATCTGATCCTTGGACTGAGCTGTATCAAACAGAGGTGTGTGAGCTCTCCATCATATTACTTTGTTGGGTGTATGCAACACTCACTAACTATCAACTGACTATACAGTTATCCGTCAGTTCTTGAGACACTGTCACTCCTTAATACAAACACATCTCCCACATTCACAACACACTTCATAGCCTCAAAAATACATCTATAAGGATAATTGACCTTGCCTCTCACATGGTATCAAAATTTTTATGAACTTAATCAGTGAAATTGCTTTTGAGATATGTGTTTTCACACCCCGAAGCCTTATTCTGAAATGTTTTTTTGTTTTGCTTGATATATACATGGATCAGGACGGGCGCCGTTGCAAAGCTGTAAAACTTCAAGGCAATGGGCTGGTTCCGAGCTAGAACTGGGGGGAGATCGGATCTGCATTCCGCTGGAAGGGTGAGTGAGAGCACTGCGCGCAGTGCCGGCCAATTGGGCGATTGCATCGAAAACAAATTATAGAACTGGCGCCTCGGAAACCCAGTACTTACTGTACTTAGCTGTTATTGTACTCACTAGTTACGGCATGTAAAAGGAAATTTTCGATTCGCTGGATGCAACACGCGTGCAATGCGCAGCGTTCTCGAAGAACAGCACGCTGACCTCTTGAGACTTCTGGGATATATTTTCGAGGCAAGATAAGTTTGTTACCTCTACATGAGTAGAAGAATATTCTTCTGTGCATGCTTTCAACAAATAAATAGTACCATTCTGCCTATCAACATCTCGATACATTGGGTCGGGAGCACAAGTGTCATCCGCCCCGTTAAAGCGGAGCAGAATGACTAAGGGGCTTTACCCCAGATCCGAGTGCTTGATCCTGCAAGAAGTCAACTATTGCAGGCATACTCTTCGATCACAGACCGAGGCTGTGTGTACTTGCCCAGCGGCTTGTACGGAATATGTGTGAATCTATGCACATGGTTTCAATTATGACGAATGGCTCCATGAGAACGACCATGGTACATACCCAAAACCACCCGGCCCTCCCAGCGCAATACCACGTTCAGTACTGGTCCACTGGGGAGCCGCGGTGATTCCGACCACGAGAACCCGCAACCCGTATTTGTAGTCAGGCGTACCGAGAGCAGACCCATTTTGAGCATCGAGTACGGCGATTAGATCGGGAACAGTCGCGACCATCTTCACAATGATACATTTAGCACCGTCTTCAAAACAAAGGAGCATGCTCTCACAGTGGTCTTTGCATCATCCGCAGTATGTTCTGCATACAGGTTCTCGTTCTTGAATGGAATGGTGAGTTTGCCGGTGAAGCGCTCCATGGGACAATGAGGATCATCATCTACGTCGTCATCCACGGCCAGCGCGGTGATGACGACTTCTCCAATCGTATGACCCTTATAGACACTGAAGCAGATCAGCACTGTTGCCTGACAAGAGATCAAAATAAAATAAAACTGACCGCCTTCTCACATCGGTAATTTTGCCCATGAACAACACTTTTGCAGAATTGGAGCCGCCTACAGCGTCAACAATGATTGTCCCAATCCGAGACAAACTCGACTGTTTTCGAGCAAGTGCAATAGCTCTTCCAATGCGCCAGCTCAACGACACCGTATTCTTGATCATGGCGATATCCACATAGTCAGCCTCTAGAGGGCGACTGGCCAGTCCCACGTAGGTCCTAATGCACGCGATATCGTCCATGACCATCACGCATACTCATGACACATTTTGTCACTCACCCCATTTCAACACATGCCGCTCGTAACGAGGAATCGACGTCGATGTCACGCTTGGCCTTTGTCATGATCTGCAGACAATTCAATCGACCTCGACTTATCAGCACCTGAGAAGGAAACACACCATGATGCTCCCATGTCCACTCGATATGACACTCGGGAGCATCTTGGCTCCTTTGCCGCCGACATCGTAGACATTGGTCGTTGTTTGGTGCCACTTTCATCATCGTAAATTGGAGCATTCATTCAAGATCGGAATCATACTGCTCACAGTGGGGTATGCACGGCCCTGTATGGAGGTGACGATTTAGACAGCGGACCACGTGCCTGGTGTTACATACCATGAAGTCCCCATCTACGCAGGGTATATCGGAGTATTTCGTCGACCCCAGAATCATCTACAGCCATGTCAATAATCGCCTTCGCTTGACAGACAATAGATTCAACATACATTGATCATACCATTTGCACCCCCGATCTCCAGTGCGCAAAGCGCTTCTGGTTTCGCAAGCTAGAAGCCCAAATATTGTTAGAGCACTATGGTCAGTTCAGACCAGCCAAGATCGTATTACCCCTATCAGGGACCACAACTCCACGCTAGCTTCCTGATATCTAAGGACCATGTCAATTAGACCACGCTTTTCATCCACGCAGCAGAAAACTGACTCATTCCCAAGTAGCCTTTCAGAGGACACTTCTGGACTACCCATGCCTCCACCCCATCCAACCACTGCATTGGACGGAACTGACGAAAAGTCAATCACTCGTACTGTTTCACCTGACCTTACGAGCTCTCTGAGTTGCAGGAAACTATGGAGGGGAGACCCGCCGCCGCCGCATCCCAGTACATAGCAGCCATCTGCAATCCACTCCAGATCAACCTCAGACAAGAGCCATTCTCTCCCTTCGATCCTTGGCTTATACTCCAGAATGTCACTCGCACTACGCATGACCGGCGCCACAACGGCAGAGGCGGCGGCGGATGCTACCATTTGTGGCCGGGAGGCGGTCTCTCCGGTAGAAGCTTCAAGACGCAGCGGATCATCGACCTCCGTCCAACTTGGGCTGGCGACACCGCTCCAGTCTCCGGCGGCCTTGACATAGAAACGGCAACGTCCGCTGGTATAGGCGATCGGAATGACCTCGCTCTCTACTATGGCGACGCGGTGTGGATCCGCACCGGAAGCAATTGCTTGAGCGATAGCCCTGGCTTCCACATCAGCGCGAACCTGTATGATAGGTGTCGTGGATGTGTCTTCGAAGGAATCAATGATGCCTGATATCTGCAGATCGAGATTGAGTATCAGTGAGCAGAAGAAGTTCATTTCCGCATTACCTGGGCAATGGCAGCACCAACGGCGTTTGCAACCTCGAAGTGAGGGAATCTGTGAACCCGGCTGATGCCTGCGAGAATATCCGGAGCAAGGATGGACCCTCCGCCGACCAGATAGACTGGGACATCCTGGGAAGACGTTTTCATGACATCAAGGTAGTCCTGAAGCATCTTCTTGATAGCACTTTGAGCACCTTCGATGACCGACTGGCCGATCTTGGAAACGAGACTTTCGTCTCCAATGTTTGAAGCGCGACCTGCTGCAACAACCACGTCTGTAGCGGTCAGTGTAGAGCCACCAAACGCTAGAGATTCGGAGGTGATCCGAAGGCCAACAGAATCAGGACCAACAGTGACCTTCTTTGTGACCGGGTCCTCCCGGATGATGGAACCCCCGCCGAGGCCAATGCTAGAACACAGTCAATCAATTCGGTATCAATTCCCCGGAATACCGTACCTGGTGACATGTGGCATGGAGAAGTTCAGCAAAACTCCACAGAACTCGTGATGAGCTGCGGCTTGGCGAGGGAATCCGTTAGGTCTAATGGGCAGCGTCAGCCTGGTTGACAAACTTCTAAGCTGTCTTCACGAACAACAACATTCCAATATCTGTCTGAAAAAAGACAACAGTGAGCTTGTTGCCACGAATTTGAAGGGTGTCTCAGCGACATACCGTTGTGCCGCCGATGTCAACTACCAGTGCAGATTGCTTTGAGATGCCCGACTCCAATGAGGCCAAAAACGCTGCGCCGCGCATGGAATTCGTTGGGCCGGACGAGCTTCGAGGAAAATCATTAAGCGCTTTTGACAACCCTTGTCACCAAGACCTCCTAGAGAGGAACACGCACAATGTTCGAATAGGAAGACGTGCTGCCTGTGCGCAGCTGAGCAAGGTGCCATCATTGCTCGTGATGAAAACGGGGCACTGAAGCTCAAGTGCCTGGGCAGCCTTCCCGAACCCTATCACCGTCCTCTTCGCGTATCGCAGCAATGCGGCATTCAGGATAGACGCATTTTCGCGCTCCAGCAGCCCGATAGCGGCAACGTCCTTGGAGCATACGACGTCCATTCCCGGGACGCGCTTCCGCACGATCGCTGCGACTGTTTCCTCCTGTTGGATCTCGAAGTCGATGGGGGCGAACACCGAGGACACGACAACTGCGTGTATGCCCTGCAGATGATCTTAGTTGCACCCAACGTGGCCATCATCGTTTTCCGTACCTGGCGCTTGATTTCATCGCAGGCGGATTCGACTTGCGTAAGGACAACGGAAGCAATCTCACTTCCATCAATCTGCAAGCCCCCCGAGAGCAGGAAGTGGGGACCTTCGAGTACTGAGGGAAGCGCACGTCAGTACAGCAGGACATCATCGCATGTTCCACAGCAGCAACTCACGGTCTCGCAGCTCGTACGGAAAGCCTACAAATGGTGGGGTTCCATGCGTGAAAGGGCCGCACAGGCGAATGACCGCAACTCTGTCCAAACGCCGAGGATCTCTTTCCACCAACGCATTCACAAAGTGCTAGGATGCGGGCAAATCAGAAATACAAGCGATGCATGTGCCAAGGGAATCTCACTGTCGTGCCAATGCAGAGCGCTTGGATATTTGACTTGCTCTGGGCGTGTGTCAGCACGGAATCGATGGCGTTTTGGATTCCCAGAGTGACGTCCGCCGTAGTGAGGTGTTTTGCGGATGCGAGGACCTGCCCTCGACGCGAACCCTCTGACAGATCGAGGAGGACTGCATCGCTGGTAAACGTTTCTTGAGTCCGCGGAGTCAGGTGTGTCCAAATCAGGTACGCACGTATTTGTTCCTCCTACGTCAACACCTAACCGCAGAATGGATTGCACTGAACTCATTTATGGTTCTAGGACTGCTGGTATCGTTCGAGACGAGATAAAAGCTAGGCGACTGCGATAAGGATGGTCAAGATGGGGACCGAACCCTTATCCGTGGTGGTTTGGCACGACCAAATTAGCAGGATAAGCGAAATTGAGCTTCGATTCGTATTCAGCACTCCTTAGGAGCTATAAGTAGTCATGTTACTTGAACGATAGCTCGGGCTATTGGACGTAGATTGTGATCGTGACCAGCACAGCTGGGTCATCGACACTACCTACATAAAGATATTCAGTGACTTCTAAGCGATCCGTCAGAGTACCGGATTCGAGTGATCATTGCGATCACATCTGACCGCGCGCAATTGACCACGTAAACACGTGCGCCTTACTAGTAGAGGTCATCTGAACGCAAGCAGATAGACATAAAAATAATGGACTCACCAATACATACAAGTACTAGTACCTTGTCTGAGAAATAGATGGTGACGCATGTGAATATCTATAAAAGTAACATCGTGGGTGTACTTGGTTTGAACTACTACTGGCAGCAGGCCTCCGGATGATCGCTGTCAGAGGCTCGAACGTTCCACACGCGCAGCGCATGAAATTACAGGTCAATATATCTTAAGCCGCAGCATACCCTTGTCAGTAATTCGGCAGAACGCCAAGGGTGCAGAGGATCCGCGTTGGACGAAGGGTAGGGATCGAGACGTGCAAACGGCGACGAGGAACTTTCAGCTACATAACAGTGTCTTCTACATTCATTTTAGGAAGACCTGCGGAGGGAGAGGGGGCTACAAGAAGGACAATCGCTGTAGCTTTTGGTGGACCAGAAATTTGGATTGACAGTAGTTAAACGTTGATTCAAGCAACAGACTTGAACTAGTCAAAGAACCCGAAAGTATCCGTGGGAAATATATTCCAATTTTATATGAGCTTAGTTCGGTTAGGGCATGTTGATTTGGGGCGAGGCTGCGTCGCGTTTCTTGAGACTAACCATCAAGACATTGCAGTTTAATTTGATTGTCGACGGCCTGCGCAGGCATGGCCAGTCCATCAGATGACGGTCTCGCAGAAGTCCTACCAAATATGCCAGATTTCTCTGCGCCAGCCTTTTCTTCCGCAGGCCAACGCAAGTTTCGTCTCCAATTACTCCTCGACAGCAAGGAAAGGCAACTACAGCAGGCCGGAACTCTCGGTCAGCGGGTTCTTGCACAGCAGATAGAGCTCGAAGAGAAGATAAGGCAACTCCAGGAATTTGATGCCGAACGTGCAGAAGACGAGGAACTTGATACTGACGCGCGCGAACGCTATCGCGAACTTGCAGAGACCATTTCTGCCTGGGACGCGGAAAACGCGCAGCTATCCAGTGCTTTTGGTCAAAAAGTAAGTCCTTCATTTAAAAATTTTAGGCTAGCGCCTGTTATTGGTGATGCCACATGTACCACACGCCTCACCTATGAATTCCATAATACACCATGCGCTAACGTGTAATCTACTTATCTTTAGCGTCCTCCTACGCAGCAATCATCTCCAGTAATCTCAGTCAATGATCTTCCTCGGGAGGAGCCCGAGCGCTCCAAAGCTTCATCTTCCTCTGCTGCCCAGTCCCGTCGTGCTAAAAATGCTGCCCATCGCGCAGATGACGTCGGTAAGTTGCCCTGATTCTGTCCTGTTTTGCTTTCAATGCTCACCGTTTTCCTACCAGAATTTGCATTCGAGATCGGAAGCGGACTCCTTACCGAAGTACGACGGCTGCAGAGCCTCCTCGGTGAACGTGACAAGGCCATCCAAGACATGAAGGAGGAGAAAGACGATCTCGAAAAGACCGTCGAGTCCCTACGTACCGCGCTTCGATCACAAGAACAAAGCTCTGGTCCGTCTGTTTAGACTCTCCCCTGGCTTCACGAGACTCACTTGCCACAGACAAGTTCAAAGAGGAAAACTGGAACCTCGAAGTCACTCTTCAAGAATTTCGCACCCAGTTATCAGACTCGCAGTCCACAGTGGTGCGCCTCGAGGGCGAGCACAAGCGCCTCACGAAACTGCTCAACAATGCACGAGAAGTTGCAGACCAGCAAAAGAATGAAGCGCAGCGCGTCCAATCTGTACTCGATGATATGAAAGCTAAGCATGAGACAGACGTAGCACAGGCGCGCAAGCATGCCGCGGGTCTACAGCGCGACAAGTCCGACTTGCAATCCGCACTTGATTCGATGAAGACGGAGGTAGAGAAAGCGAGCCGCCGCCTCGGCCCACGATACGGAAGCCCACTTACTCCAGGCACAAGCCAGGGCAGAGAGTACTCGACTCCTGCTGCGGAGGATGACGATGTTTTCACCAGCGCAGCCAGCACCAATAACCGTCGAAAAATGGACAATTTAGCTGTGTTCCAGCCTGACGCGTTCGAGGATCTTGTAGACATCTCCCCTGATCCGTCACCATCACGTCCATTCCATGCGAGCAACCATCCCAATAACGAGATCGAGGCCCTTCAGCAGCGGCTAGCACATGCTCAGAGACAGATCAGCACCCTGAAGGGCAGTTTACATCGCGAGAAGGAGATGCGGATGGAGTATAGGCGCAAACTGGAGTCTTCGCCAGGGTATGTGCACGACGAGAACGAGCCTCCAGCAGATGAGACGAACGAGGATGATGAAACTGAGAGCAAGCCTCCTCGCCGGCTGACACCATACCGTTCCGGTGGTGGCAGAGCCAGAGGCAGGAGAGGTAGGGGAAGGTCCTCCCTTGTTAGCAGGCTCGGCATGGCGGCGCAAAGCCCCAGTCCTACGTCCGATCACAATGCCTCACCTCCTCCACCCGTGCCACCTCTCCCTGACTTCGCTGATGATCTTCTGTCCGACGAGGATAACTTAGAGGGCGAGCCAGAAGAGCAGAACCATGACTCCTCACCTTTCGCGTCTTCGAAACGAACAAGTGTTGAGGGTATGGACCCGATGTTTGCCAACGTCCTACGCAAGTCTGCTTCCTACAGCTCGCTTCCAAGCCAGTCCAGCCCGCTTCGCCATTCCGTGCTCACTCGCTCCTCGCCACGCGGCGTCGGACGTGGTGGAGCCCCACCAAGACGCTCTCGTGGCGGCGCTGCTTTCCAAGAGGCCAGACCGTTGTCCCTTGTTGGGGCACCTGAAGCTTTGGCTGCAGAGCTCGGCATTGGCATGACACCTGTTACTGAAGATGGTATCGAAGCCAAACTGACTGCTGAAATGGCGTGCCAGACGGACTTCGAGGACGTGTCGGTGATCGTGCCCTCACCCTCTTCCCCAGTGAATGACATGGGTGTGCAAGTCGAGCAAGCCTCTGAACCTACTCCAGCATCCCCCACATCTACCTCTGAAACATCATGCCAGACTGACGAGGAGCCTTCTGTCGCACACATGGAATCAGCTGTGCAGCAAGAGCCCAGTTCTCCCGTCGCAGCACGCACAAGCTTCTACCAGATGCGGTCGCCCGACCGCGTCTTCATCTCACGGACCCCAGGGCGGCGCACTACGCTCACGCAGTCTGATTTCTCTCGTTCGTCAGAGGGCGACAGCACCCTTCGTGGCATCCCCGGTGAAGCTAATGGCCGGCGGCCCATCCCAGGTGGTTTCACGTCCGAGGAAGAGAGCGACGTCGACGCCGATATTGACGACGGAGCGACGGAGACTGGTATCGAGACGGACACTGATGTGGACGACTATCATGACGCGCGGGGCAGCCTTGCTACGGAGTCACAGGAGGACTTCCATTCTGTGTTGACGATGACGGACAACGACTTTTCGGAGAGCGATGATGAGAGTATCAAGGCGTTGGTGATCTCGAGGCGGTCGTCGATGGCGTCTGTGACGCAGCGTCGGGAGTTGCACTATCGTGACACGGCTACGTACGAGGAGAGGGGTGTTGGTATGGAGAGTGTCGAGGAGCCGAATGTCGTCGAAGTCATCAAGGAAGTGGAGGTCATCAGGGAAGTGGAGGTCATCAAAGAGGTACCCGTTGAAGTCATCAAGGAGGTGCTCGTTGAAGTCATCAAGGAGGTGCCCGTTGAAGTCATCAAGGAAATTCGTGTGGAAGTGATCAAGGAAGTCGAGGTGCCTGTCGAAGTCATCAGGGAGGTGGAAGTGATCAAAGAGGTTCCGGTAGAGGTCATCAAGGAGATTGAGATCATCAAGGAGGTCCCGATTGAAGTCGTCAAAGAAGTGCCTGTGGAAGTCATCAAGGAGGTCCAGATACCAGTTGAAGTCATCAAGGCAGTCGGAGTGGCCAAGAAGATCGTTGAGCCACCCAAGCCTGAGCTCAGGGAGATGTCCATTCAAACAGATACCATCGTTGCTTCCCCCGTCAATACGAGCTTCCAAGACATCTCTGTGTCGTCCATAACCCCAACTCCCACACCTGCACCCTCCCTCCCTGCATCCCCAGCTCTCTTCCGAGTCGGCACAACAGTACAACAGTTCCAGTTTGTCCCTGCACCCGCCGCTCCAGTGCCCGCTTCTACTCCCTCTACAATCCGCGACTCTAGTCTCAGTACCTCAAGTTTCGGTATCATTCGTTCCGTTACCTCCAACACAGAGCATCGGCAATCAGTTGATTCTGCAATTTCTTCCGGCGCTGACGATGGACCTCGTCGTTCAAGGACCGCTTCTGCCGTGCCCTCCATTATAGACAAGACTCGTCCCCCTATGATGGTCGTGCCACCACCACCTCGCCAGCCGCCTCCATCAGCCACCATGCCACCACCCCCTTTCGTCCCGGAACGCAGAACAGCTACCACGTCTTCGGCATCGGACGCGCCACCTCCTCGTCCGTCCTCCCCCCCACCTCCAGAACTTATCCAACGTGCCACCACACCGACCTTTGGTTCAATGCTCTCCGTGCATGGCAGGGGATCTTACGGTCCTAGGCAACATGGCTCGAGCATGCCCCCGCCCCAATCGAACTTGCGACAGCCACCGTCCACGAGCAGCTTCCGGTCTGCTGCCAATGCTGCAGCGTATGCACAAAATGCGGCTGCACCGTCTGGCTTACCATCATGGGGTGTGCGCGAGCAACAGAGGAAGGAGATGTCGAGCACGTCTCTGACTTCTGATAGAAGCGCGCTTTCGCCACGATCTTCCATGTCTTCGGACCACAATGTCTTCTTAAATCGTGCACCCGGCCCTAGCGTGCTCAATACCCCTGGCAGGAATCTCGAGCAGCCTAACAATAACAGGAATAGTATGTCGACAGACCCTGCCGTCATTCATGCGATTACCCAGACCATGATCGGCGAGTTCTTGTACAAATATACCCGGCGTACTATTGGCAAGGGCTATGGAGAGAAGAGGCACAAGAGGTTCTTCTGGGTGCATCCGTATACCAAGACTTTGTATTGGAGCTCTGCTGACCCCGGATCGTCAAACGTCTCAGAGTCTAGTGCCAAGAGTGGTGAGTGAATTGATGCGCTCTCTCTCTGATTTAACATTGGATTGATGGCTTGTTTGGCTACAGCTTACATTGAAGGCGTTCGCTCTGTTTTGGACCCCAATCCCATGCCTCCTGGCTTATACCAGTACAGTGTTGTGATATCCACAGCCCAGAGAGAAATGAAGATTACCGCCCCTACCAAGGACCGCCATGACATTTGGCTCAATGTTCGTTGGTCTCTTCTTCTGACTTTTGAGTGGTCACTTACATCTTTTTAGGCTTTGAAATACCTGCTTGCACGTCCCAGCCCTACGATGGCGCCCTCAACCAGTCAGAATGAAAATGCGGCCACTATGAGCCCTATGTCTCAAAGCGTGGAGCTTACAGACGATGATCACCGTCAGCTGATGGACACAAGCCCCCAAAGTCAACGAAGTGGTCGAAGCAGCCGGAACGGCGCCTTCAGCACCACGCCGCGGGGCACTCGAAGCAGATCACAACTCTCTGTTCGAGGGTCCATAGGCAAACGGTCTGGAACGCCAGCCGCAGAATACCTCCGATGGGCAGCGCCCGAGAGCCCGTACAGCCCCACGAGGTCCTTCGAACGAGTAATGGGTCATAGCCAAGACGATGGCGAACTTGAGTTTGAACTCCATGGCGAATCTCAGTCGGACGACGGGTTCGAGGGCTTGGAAAATGTGCGCGCCTGTTGTGATGGACGTCATACTGTCGGACATTCTGGTCATCGTCATCACCACCATCATCACTCCCACAATGGTGACCACCTTCTTGAAATTAGTGCTCCCGTACGGCCGGAATCTCCTGCGTGGTCACTCCGATCACGAACGGGGAGTGCACACTCTCATGAGATAGGCGGTTTGTTCTCATGGGGCCGAGGGGACGATGGAAAGCTTCGCTTTGGCTCTCGACGATCTACAAAGACTGTACCTAACGCTGCTGGTGATCGGTAGTGGGCGATCGACGCCCTTTTCCTTGCTCTTGCCTTGCCTGTTTTTTTTTTTTTGCTTTTCTCGCACAATATCTCGCTTTCTCGCAGCCTACGCTCCCTGATAATGGTCGTCGCTATATCATGATATAAATTCCTTATATTTCACTTTTTGTTCTTCTCGTGTATGCATTATTTCTTTTTTTTTTTTGGCAGAGTTACCCCGAGATTTCTGAGAACCGAATCCGCTCCTTGTATCTCACCGGAAAGCTATCTCACATACCCACATTCCTTTGCTCAATTCCATCCGATTATCCATCCAAACCCTAGTAAGTTTGAATCCGATCAACTCCAGGATATAGCATATTAGATGACCTTGCTCAACCCGCCACTACTTCGTCAACTTTGGATCGGTGTATGCAAAAGCCCTGGTGTGTAGTGAGTTTGTGAGTGATGTTAAGAGTTGGGAGGGGAATGCAACGTACTGGCGTCACCCATTCTCTGTTGCAGCTGCAACATGCGCCAGCCCAGTCATAGTTACCGAGCTTGGCACCGCATTTCGGGCAAATAATCTTCCCTGCTAATTGGCCATCCTCCAGAAACGGTTCCATCCATTTCATCTGAAAGGGTGATTGGGCCCGGATCAAACAACAAGCAAAGAAACACAAACTGGTTCGACAAAATAGCCAGAACACTTGGGGTTCATGAGGATCGGTGGACTGACCACCGATCTGGACCCGTTGATGCCCGTCATACTCAACGATGGAGGCGTGCGCAGCGCTGCAAGTTTCGGATGAGAATGCAGCTCAGCCGCCAGGTCCAATGGGCTCGCATACTGCGTGCTCGGTTGAGGAGGCGGTCCGCTATTCTTCAATGCGTCCCTGGTCTCCTGTACAAGCGACAGCACACGCACCGTCTCGGATTGTGCAGCCGTCCCTGTTGGCGGGTCTTCATCTATGGCGACAGTTGCATCGAGTGCATCTGATAGGTCCTTCCCGAGGCCTTCCATTGACATCGAGGATCGCCGGGGAGGCTTTACGTCAACTCCAGAGGGAGACGGGTCACCCACGTGCCCGTTCTCGACTTGGTCAGACTCGGAGTCATCCTCCGTCTCGAGCGCTGACATTGAGAGTGCTGACATTGAAATCGATGACATTGAGAGCGATTCCATCAGCCCCCGACCGCCGAAGCTCGCGGACGGTCGTCGTGAGGGTGTGGCGCGGTCGTTCGCAGACGGGCGTCTTGATGTGGCAGGCGATAGCGAGGGCAGAGCAGGCGTCGGTGGGCCTAGTTGCCCGTGATCGAGCATGTGCTCACGCGTCGCTAGCTCTTGCCTGTGAAAGGTGGTGTATAATAGCATCGGGATCGCGAGATGATCTGAGGATGACCTACCTGCACATCTTGCATCGTATGCGGCGGCTTGGTGCGATCATTGGTGTGTTGGATGCGGAATCAGATGGCGTACGGGGATGCTTGGCGAACATTGCGGTCTCTGGCATCGTGCCATCTCCATCTAAGATTCAATCAATCAGCACCGATCAAACCCGGACTGGAGCCTGAAGCATCGATTATCGCATGCAGGGCAGAATATGGACTTACTCAGAATATCTTCCATCGTCCGTTCCAGATAGAACATGCGAGTGGCCTTATCTTGACGCGTGAACTTATATGATGCTCGGTAAAACACCATAAGCTGTTCCATAAACCCTTCATTTGGCCTGCAGAAGCATCCTTATCTGGGTAGTTCAGGAACGAGCTAAGTGTAGCTTACTCGACGATGGGCCTCACTTTCCTTATCATGTCTACAGCGCTCGCTGGGTCGAGCTGGAGTGAGTACATAAGGTACGCTGCGACAATCGTCGCGCTTCTGCCTGTGTGATCGGACGTTAGGAAGTGATCCGCTAGCTGGAGAAGAGAAGATGTGAGCGTACTGATTCCAGCCCCACAGTGCACGAGTACACCACGACCCTTGTCCAGCTCGTTCTGGATAAATGATATCGATGGAAGAAAGTGCACGAGGACATCTTCATTTGCACTATCATCAACGTTGATTTGGTATTTGTTAAAGGTCTGGTGGTATCTGCATTAGCTTCTGCCTCGGATCTTTTTTCTCGCATAATACTAGAGAATACATAGAAACCTGGTGACATGAATAGTAGAGTGCTAGTGACACGCACCGCATGAATGGTAACTTTGCCTCGCATTGCTGTTACAATGCTGAAGATATTTCTCTCCTTCAATCCCTTGACATCCGAAGCGCTCTTCAAATCTCCAATCCAAACACCTGGCACGACTTCATCCATCGTAGATTCGTAGGTGGTAGAGGAATAAGGATACTGAGTCCGCCCGATTTTTCCTGTTGAGACTATTTAAATTGGGGGTATTAGTATTTCAGGGCCTCGACCAACGTTATCATGAGTCGAGTCTTTAATAATTTAGCAGTCAGCTAGGGAGTGCGCAGTTCTGTAAATGAACTGAAGCCGGGCCACAATTGTGAAACGTCGGAACAGTCCGTCAGTGACGTTTTAGTTCACGGAGCTAGCCAGAGCTAATACCCAACACTAATGTCCCTTGTCTATATTGGCGTCGCGTTCAAATCAACATGATCATCGATTCAATATAGGCATGCTGTCCCCGGAACCGGTTACACGCGTCAGTCACCAAGACTTTCGGCTCAAGCACAAAACGATTCGTCGAGGATTAGACCCACTGAGGTCTGGGCTGGCACGCAGATACTTACTAGAGGCATCAGGCTTAGACTCGGATCTGAGTATCATCCAGCCAGCAGGCTGTTTGCACACAAGGCAACTTCAGTGAACTGTACTATTGCCCGAGCACATCTGTGTTTAGATCATTGACAACGGTATTGGTATATTGATGCATTTTCGCGGAGGGCAGAACAAACAGCCACTGCGAAAAGGTGTCAGTCACGGCATCACGCCCTTGGCCCTAAAAAGTGGTCACTGAAAAAATCGCGAGAGCTCTGATTGTCTAGCTCCTTTCCTCCCATCGTTCATAGTCATTCGAAGCAAGACTTGCATGGTACTTGTTCTCCACGGTCTCACGTAAAGCATCAAGATTATTCAGGGCTTCCATCAGTGCGTTTAAGGATGACAGTCCATCTGACAAAATTCAATCAGAGGATGCCCCAATGAAATGCGGAAGAATGGTGGATACACACCATACATCTGTATTCGCAGCTGGATGAGGTTTTCCGAAGGGTAAGGAACGCTGTAAATGCCATCAGAAAATCATCATAGAAAAGTAAGAGGTAGTTCCCGATCGTGCTGCCAAGCTTAATATCGGTCCGATGACCAGGGTGGCTGGAAAAAGCAACGCAGGCCAGTAAGACACGAGGCGGGAGATGATCACGCTCAGAATGCTCTATAATCACAAATATCACATTCCCTGCGCGGAAGCCGCGCCGAAGGTGACAGAACAAAATACTGGCAGTGCTTGCTCACCTGTATCCGTAAAGTTCCATCTTTGGGCTTCATTAGAACATCAAAGGAGACGCCAGTCAACATCCGGAATATAATGGAAAGAAAGCAGAGCGGCATACCTCTTCATAATCATCCAGCGCAGAGCGTTCCCCGATGGTATGTCGCTGCTGAGAGATCGGATGCCGCACCATTCATCTGAGAAATTTTAGATGATCGATATGGATGCAGATAGGGATCTGGCAGGCAGGATCTTAATTTTGGGGGATGTCTCTACCATGGAACAATGTGCATGTCGACGACAACTTGAAGGTTATTGAAGACATAATTGAAATCCCAAAAAGGGTATTAGGGTCTAAGAAGGTGACACGAGGCCTTGCCTGTATGATATTTCTCTTGTCACACACTCGACGCTGAAGAGACATTGTCTGGTATATGTTATAGGCTAATAGATACGAGTCATTGCTATAATTGTTCATTGAATCATTGAAACTCCGATTGAGGTTGTTGAGGCCAAATACATGCAAACAAGCTCCGGGAAGCCTTTGTCAAATTCTTTTGTCTCCGTGTCAGGGCATACAATGCATTATCTTATGAACAACTATGGCAGCCTCAGATGTCGCTTAGATATTCCTTTATTGCCTGGTATAAAGATCATCGCCTTTCCCCGGACATTTGACGTTTCTCATCTGTTTCGATAACTCCGTCTCAGTTCATACTCCTCTGTTCAAGTTCCATATATTCGACACTCAAAGCAGGCCTTTGGGAACCCTGGTGGACACTTCAGCTAACTGAACATTTCATCATTTTACGCGTCATTATTCTTCGCCTCTCCAAGTTATTCTCCCCACAATGAACTCATGTGCATCGTCTGCATCTGTTCGCCCTACCCTTCCCCCGCTGCATACGCTTGATCTTCCTCGTGGAGACACTCAGCTCCCCCCCATTGACGCACTCCATCTTCATGACCCCCACGAATTCAAACCCCAGGTTAGTTTGGATCCGTGATATACACAGCTCTTACTGAGATTATAACACCTTCCAGATTCCAAGGCTGCACATTCCTAGTAAATATCCACATGCACGCCAGAACCGTCAGATCTCTATTTCATCATCAACGTCTTCTCGCACCCCTTCTCCTACCCCTTCGCCCCTCTCATCCTCGCGTTCTTCTACTTCTGGAGGTCGATCCACTAAAATACGTCTTGTGCCTACCACTTTTGAGCACGCAGACGCAGTTGTTATCGTTCCTCCGCCCGATGCCCCACACGTGCACCCCCTCTCCGGCGTCACAAACCTTAAACACCCCGCGCAGCCCCTACTCCTTGTCGGGCCTGCCTTGCAGCACATACGCCACCCGCAGCGGCAGATAGCCAAGGGGGCACGTTTGCACCCATATCGCATCGTGCGTACTCCGGCAGATCGCAGATTTTCTATTGCATCCATCACCACGAGCGCATGAACCTTACAATAACACGCCTCAGTAATACCATAGGATTTGTGATGTATTGCTAGCGCCACCATTAGTGTATTACCAGCATTCTTTCTGTAGGAGGCGTTGTCAGAAGTGTACCAGGATATTTTGTGTTTTTATGTTACAAAAGAAGTTAATGAATACAATGCACTTTCATGAAAAGAGCTACGCATATGTTCAAGGTGTCTGATTCACCTTTATCATAGTGAAGGAGACGGGTACCATGCATACGAGAACAAAGGTCTGATGGATACGCAATTCCTGACACCGATCATCTTCTGTCCATCCTCGAGCTTGAAGCCTGGAAAAATCCTGGTGGAACAAAGGAACAATGCATGCAAATGAGTCGTCCTGAACCACAGGACCTTCCAATTCGGGAATCTGAATCATCAAAATTATATAACAAGTCCCTCTTGGTTTTGTTTTCCATGTTCAAGCACACTAACACCAGAATTCCATATTCAGGGAAATCCCAACTGCTATCCATCTCGTTGGGAAGGACAGCGCGTTCTTTGTATTATCTATGTCCGAATATTGGTAGTTTCCATACTAGTATTGCGGCAAGTGACCTCCCGTTGCATTGCTTTGGTTAAATTGGTTTGCCTCTCGCTCGACAAATGTCCCGCGCTCGGCGAGTTCAACCAGTACTCGCCCTTGCGTAGGTACGGTCCTGCACCTAACGTCGCAGATCCAGCTGCAAATATCCTCTTTGATGTTATCCGGGATTAATCAAAGGCGTTTAATATGGACGACTGTGCGATCAGGTATCCTACAAACATATTGGACATCGCATATTTGTTGGGAAACCTTTTAGCTGAAATACAAGGTTTTGGCAGACCTCAGTTTTGATGCTGTACTGCCCATTCTTCACTACTCGGCAAACGAGTCCTTCACAAAGTATCAGATGTTCAAATTTTTCGTTAACATTTTTTGCTTTAATGGTATGAATTATATAAACCTGTCTCCACTCCCCCGACTGCCAATTAAAATCGCTCATGGACTGGTTCTGGTGTCACATCAGGCCCTTACAACTGCCACCTTTCTACTACTAAAACAGAGAAAGTACTGTTCCTAGAATGCTCAGGATTTAGAACGCGGTGGCAGGAATATTTACACGACGGCAAATAGACCCCTGTATTTGTAGTAGTAGTATTACTACTAGGTGGTAAAGCTCTGCTCTTCGCGTTCCGATTCTTGTTGCCAACGATTAATCCTATTTTCCCTTCGCATGTCCCTTTTGCTGCTCCTTCCTTGTCTCCCTTGTTCCTCCACATTCTTCCTGATGAAGGAGTCGGCTAAAATTCACCTGCTTCTCCGCTACTCTTTCGGCCCTCGTCCTTCGCATCTATGTCCATCTCCTCGGCATCTCGCAAACCACCTGCCTTATATCCATACCCAGACACATCGATCTCCTCGAACCTGTCAGCAGCACCGACTACTGGGAACACACGGTTCAGTGCCCAATAGACAAGGGCAGAAACCCCAAAGCCCGTGAAGAACGATAAATCGTAGATCCGGGTGGCTGCTAGGGGGACAGTCCGCCCGGCTAGAAAGCAGCAGCTCAGCATCAGCGCATCGCGATTGTGTGGTTAACTTACTAGCTCCAGCGAAACCGACAGCGTTGATAAGGATTCCGGAAATATACGCGGCGTATGCACTTGATTGCACTTGTCAGGGTTTTGAACGCTTCAAGCCTATTGAGACTCTCACCGGAAGTTGATCCCATATGTATACCAGTACCAAGTGCCCTTCCCTGTACGATAAAGGTCCTTGATGTTATAGTGACCCTTGCGGACAATGTAATATTCCGTCACCTATCGCAACCCGTTCAGATCACTGGAAAGAATCATGACAGAATTGCCTACCATAACCCCAGCAATGGAGCTCAGGAACACCGAATATGCAGAGAGGTAAGAGGTGAACTCATTACTGTTCTTCAGAAGGTTCCATGGGCACATGGCCAGACCAACGATGGCAGCAATGTACCCGCCACGTCGGATGTTCTGCAGTCAAATCTTAGTATGTAGGTTTTGTTTATACATTGGTGATGCATACAATGAAACGAGGGAACAGTGCGGTCAAATCACACCCTGCCGACACTGAGTTCGCACAGATGTTCGTGCTTGGTGACCGACGTCAGCTTAAGGACCGCCCTGGACATGTTTGTACTCACCCCAACTGGGAGAAGAAGCATCAGAATCGTACCCAACACCGAATAAGATGCGCGACGTCACCTGTGCAAGCATGAATGAAGTCGAGATAAACCATACCTGCCAAATGGAAGACACGACAACGCGTCAGCTATACGCCCACCTCCTCGGAATCCCAGTCACGCACCCCGAATCTCGTGGCTTTCGACGGATTGTCATTCAAGAAATTTTCCAAAAGAACAATAGGTGACCAGATGGCCGTCCCGTAAATTGCCTGCGACGACGAGCTCACAAGGATGCCAATCAAACACACGAACGCCGCTGTGACAGGACTCGCAACCAGTTGTGGGTATAGTGCAGCCGATGGGGTACGTGCGCGGGAGGCAAAGTCCGGTGCGTTTGTGATAATCGTTACCTGGTTACTGATGCATGACATGGCACTGACCACCATGGCCCAGCCCAGCTTGGATCCATGCAGCGTGGAAGGTTGGTGAACGATCGGGCCAATTCCGTGAGCTTTTACAATGCACCATACTGAGGAACTGTAATTGAGGCTATGGGCATCAGGATGGGCGTCAAAAGGAAGAAGTGGCGGCTGAGGAAGGTCACTTTATGACCACCGGATAATATACGTGTACTTACACTTTGTGCACAGGGAACCAAATGACTGGCAGTGAAATGAGCCAGAAGAGGAAGAAGCACAGAAAATCTCGAGTGTCTGTTCCAGAGGATGCGGGCATTGAATTTGCTATTGCTCAGCCTCAGCTGGATATATATCATACATCAGGAACTGAGATATGTGACGCACGCAAGTCATTAATGCTAGGCCACATTGCCCTGAGCATTACTAGCACACAGGAACCGCCAATGCTTGTCCTGGACACCATACCATATGCTGTGCTACTCAGCTCGCGTGTCACTGTAAAGGCAGAAATGCGCACCATGCCATAGGCAGCGCGATTGAAGACACACCACAGGCTGCCAAACATCCCAAAGCTTGTGCGATTCACGATTGGAAACATCACATGGAAAACGGCACCGGGACGCGCATTCAGAACAAGGAACGGCGCTGCCAATGCCATAACCCAGCCATACACATAGCCAGGCTTGCCACCACGACATTCCTAGTTGGATCATGGAGCTTGGATGTTTCATTTAACACATATCAAGGATACATAACGACAGCGAGCGTACGATACGATCATCCACATGTAAACATTAAACATGTCTGCTATCCAGAAGGCAACGTAGTTGTATGCACGCCATGTTTGTTTCTCTGGTTCGACAGGCAGCAAATCTTCGTTCTACGGAACGGGTTATGGGGTATTCGAATTCGTAGTGGACACTCACGGTGATGAGCTGCTCGGTGAGCGTGAGATTGGGCTCATGAGTGACTTCGAGGCTTTGGATAATCCTATTGACCAAGCCCATGGCAAGTTCAACTAATGGTGGGACGGCACCATCATTGTCCGCAACTCGCAGGTCTTTAATTATGTCTGCAGCCTTGTGTGCTTATCGCTCGAATTTGTCAAGAAATTCACCGCCACTGTCACAGCCTAGTGTACACGTGCAACTGGTGGGCGAAAAATAGATATGGGGCTTCCAACGTGCCTGTCGTTGGTTTCAAGAGGACGGCGATAAAACGGGATGACGTTCATATCTGGCCGAGTACGAATGCTTCCTAGGCGGCCACAGTCAAATACGATTACAAGACGTTGGGGGGAGAGGCTTTATCCACGCGAATGAACATACGCACGTAATCCGACGCGAGACCAATGTTGAAGGTGTCTGCGAGGATTTGATGCGAGATAAACCTCGAGTGTGAGGCCTGAAAGTCGGGAAATGACCTAACGAGCGTTCTTGACAATACCCAACACGAACCTACACACCTTGACGTGAACGCGAGAAGAATCACGCCAACCCTAACGTGCGAGTGTCGAACAAACCAATGAATTATGCAATACAGTTGAAATGCTCATGTAGCAGCAAGCCTGGATCAAGAGGCGTGCGATGGAGAAAGCCGAAACACCAACACTTTGCTTACCGTAAGCAAAAACCTTAATCTCAGCCACTTTGGCGTTAGAGTATGTTGTCGTCTGAACTTCTCGACAGCACTTTCAATTCTTCGCAAAATCTTTTGGTAACCTGGGGGAGGTGGTGGTTATAGGTACCTTAGAGTAATTCTAGACACCTGTATTAATAAATTCCATATGCTGTAGCTGATTTCCCCTGCAAAGTGTTTTTTTTTGTTTTTTTTTTGGCTGCACGTGAGTCGTGATTTCACGTGGCGATCAATTGATGAGATCATTGTCATATGTTACATGTATCGCTGTGTCGTCCATATCCCTTAGCACCAGCAGTTTTCTGGCCATTCCTTCTTATTCTTATTTGGACAGGAGCCTATATTATATACCCAGCCCGTTATGAATCATGGTTTGCCATCGAATCTCAAGCATCAGACTCACAAAGCAGTTGTGTTTCTCCGATTCTAGACTTAGACCAAATTTCTTTTGAACTTGACCATGCTCAATGGACGCATAATCTGCCTCTCAGTCCAATCAACATTAATGCACATTCTCTTGATGATACAGTTTCCATCAATCCTGATACCCCTGTCCTGTTCTCTCCCGCACTGCCATCTTCAATTCATCCAACAGGAACTTGATCCAAAGCATCCGACACTGCTGTTATACCTTTTTCTGACGATTCCGACACTTTGCTGCTTGAACCCAACATATTACTCAAATCAAACATGCCTGCTGATCTTATGCGTCTATTTTCAGCAAATCTTATTCAGAAGCATGCGGGAACTCACTGGTGGGAAGTCAAGTGTCCAGACTGCAAAGCCTGGATCAAGACCACCCTTCTGACCTGAATTCTGAGCAATTTAGATGCTCCAGGGTATTTTAATACTCTCAGTGATCATCGGCAGGGTAAAAAGTGTCTGAAAGGCCACAATCAAGCAGATTCTGAGCGATCACCAAGCATAGTCAGCTCTGCCTCGAGTATTTCGCCACATTCTACTCCATCTGACATGTCACATGCAATTGATGCATGCCCTGGAGTTCCAATACATTGGCTGGTTCAAGGCCCTTCATTTCTTGAAACCTTCCCCATTGGTCGAGCTTCTGCAGGCTGTTAGGTACTGTGCCAGGCTCAAGAAGTGGAGGGTTCGGGGCTTGGCTTCAGCTCTTGCACTGTGCCTTTAGCCAAGTACGTGCCCCAAATTTGGAGTGGGTCCAACATTGTCTGACAATAGGATGAGTGGACCGCTTTGGTTCGCTTTGAGGGTTGGGAGGTAAGTGCTAATAGTGGTGGGCTGACCAGGAGCGGAGCAGAGAAGGTGGAGGATAAGGTGGAGGGTAGATAGGAGCAAAGGAGGATGATTGGTAGGGGCAGAGAAGTAAAGGGGGAGGCTTAGAGCACAGCTCTAAGTCGGAGTGGAAAGTTGGAGGTGACAACAAGATGAAACTTGTGTCCGGAGGAGGCAAGGTCCTACTGAGAATTCTCACAAGTAGAAACTGCAAGAAGACAAGTAATATTAAGACTGGGGAAAATATCTAAGTACAGGATATGTTATATACTTCTAAGTGTGAGGCAGTGATTAGGAGACTTATGTTGTAAAGCTATGTACCAAGGATATAATTTGTAAGTACTTACACAGGCGAAGACATAAGTCGGAGTGGATATCAATATGTACGCATCAGATCAGCGATTGAGCGGTAAGAGGAGTTACCGGTGATCCAGAAGTAAGGGTCTATGTACTGAAGGGGAAAGTATATATCTAAAAGGGGAGAGAGGTTCCAGTTGAGTGGAGACATTCTAGAAGGTGACCGGTCAGGTGGTCGAGCAGAAATGTAGGAGTGGATGCAGACTGTGATTGGACGGAGCGGAGGATGGATGGGGTGGAGGTGGTCGGAAGGTGGAGTGGATATTGATATCGGAGTGGTCGGATCAGGTATATGACACAGGCCAAGGAGTCCTTCCATTTGACATTGATACTCATGGAAATATCCCTCGTGCATACTCTCAAAACTGTGCAGGCACTACCATGACACCAATGTCACCTTGTAGTGGGTGCACTGAGGTTGTGGGATTCATCAAACACCTCCTCTTACTCGCTCAAGATATCAAACCACACACCAAATACCGATTTTTGAGTCATTCTGATGTGGTTAATGTTGCATGTCAGTATTCTGCTGAAAATAATTGATTGAAACTCAAGGTTTGTTGTTTGTCTGATGATCTAACCATGCTGATAAATATTTGAAGGGTCTCAACAATGTGAGAAGGGTTTCACATGTACTTACACGACTGGATGACTATAAGTCACTTGTGATGGCGCTATCGGAGAATGATATCCCACATCTTCAGCATCTCCTTACAGTTGCACTCAAGAGAGGGTCAAGCATCCAGCAGATAATCAATACTCTTGAAGATTCTCTTGCTGGTGCTTACTGTCCATGAGGGTATACAGGCGATGATCTAGATATGGCCATATGTCACGAATCCCAAATACGAACCATTTTTCATTTCTCGGTTTTCCTTCGGCTACTTCCAGTACCCGAGCCGGTCACGTGACTCATCGTCATATATCACCCGTTGCTTCTCCGATTGGCTCCCCTACTCCACAGGCTAGAACAATCTTGCTTCCTAAAGAAGAACTGGTCGGATCTTGGGTTTCTATTTAGTAACCATCTTACTCATTCGCTTATATATCATGATGTCATACTTACTCATCCGCAGTATCATACAACTCTTTTCTCATTGGCTGATTTCTTTCAGACTCCTACTCAATGTTATGTATAAAAGTAGGGTAGTTAGCATAAGAGCTCCTTAGACTTAACCTCTTCGTTTCCTACTGTTGTAGTGACTTAGACGTTCACGCTCAATCTATCCTGTTGCTCATCATCATCTCTGACCGAGTCCTAGTGGTCGTGAACTCTCCTTCATCATTATTGGTGAACATGGGTCATAACACCATATTGGCATACTGACTTGGTGGGCGCCCACTCCTTCATGCATTTAGTCACCGCTTAGCTCTCCCATCATTACACACTTTACAAGCCCACTGGAATTTTACATCTATCACACCTACAATCGGCCCAACCACACCTGATCAGCTCGACTCAAACATCAAAAACCTCCTTCTTAATCCACTGTCCCATAGTTCCTCCAAGCCTCTCCCTCATTGTGGATACTCTGTCTTGATGGATGAAATCACACTGGAAGAAAGGGCTTCACATCACCATGCATCAAATAATGTTATCAGATTGTGTCACTCTCATTTGCACCTCATCGATCCATCCCTGCACATGTATGACTCTGCGCTAAGGATTGCCGAGAAGCTCGCAGAAGGGAAGATACACTTAGGGAAGGAGATGTTGGTCATTGCTGTAGGCTTGTTTGGGGATGATGAGATTTTTCCTGTTCTTGCCGCACCCACCTGCAAGTGTGAGGACAGTGAGAAAATGATCTCAATTTTCACGCTGGTCAGAGACCATTGGAAGGAAACCAGAGCTGAAGAACAACTTGGGCCAATCTTTAGTTTCGCTACAGATGGTGACTCGACACGAAGGGCAGCTGGTCACCACTTGTTCCTCAAGACTGAGCTTTCAGTAACATCCAAGCTCTATGGGACGCTTTCCCACATGCATGGCCTTAACCTTGCTACTGGTGAAGGCGAAATTACTCTTGACTTTGACTATAAACATATCTTCAAACATAAGTTTTCATTAATCGTGATACTTTGTTGCTTTGCTCAGGCTAACTACTGCACTATGTAGGATGGTGCACCTTACTGTTGGACTCTGAACGATCTGAGATGTCAGTGTGAGCACAATAAAAGGAGTGATGGACGATCTGAGATGTCAGTGTGAGCACAATAAAAGGAGTGATGGACGAACAACACTTTGATGTCGGTTCGTACCAGTCAAATATTCCATCTCTCAATCGTTTTATTTTCGTTTCCATCCTATGTACTATAAAGTTATGAGCTGGTACATATGAGCATCTCAGTTCTGACTACAGACTGAAATGTGAGTACCTGTTATTTTACAGATGCGATACAATGAGTTAACGAGTCACTAGTATTGTTTTAACTAGGTACATGACTTGTAATAAAGAAGTTCTGACTACAGACTGAGATTATTGTTTTAACTAGCATCCCTCCCATCCACTCGTACCTGTAACTCACTACAGGTTATGAGCCCTGCCATGGCCACAGATATCTTGCTCCCCAGTACCACCTCATCCCTATTCAACGTCCCCGAACTTGCTGAAGATGGCTCGAATTTGTCATATACCTGATCTGACCGCTCCGATATCAATATCTGCTCTGCCTTCCAACCACCTCCACCCCATCCATCCTCCGCTCCGTCCAATCACAGTCTGCATCTGCTCCTATGTTTCCACTTGACCGCCTGACCGGTCACCTTCTAGAACGTCTCCACTCAACTGGAACCTCTCTCCCCTTTTAGATATATACTTTCCCCTTCAGTACATAGACCCTTACTTCTGGATCACCGGTAACTCCTCTTACCGCTCAATCGCTGATCTGATGCGTACATATTGATATCCACTCCGACTTATGTCTTCGCCTATGTAAGTACTTACAAATTATATCCTTGTTACATAGCTTAACAACATAAGTCTCCTAATCACTGCCTCACACTTAGAAGTATATAACATATCCTGTACTTAGATATTTTCCCCAGTCTTAATATTACTTGTCTTCTTGCAGTTTCTACTTGTGAGAATTCTCAGTAGGACCTTGCCTCCTCAGGACACAAGTTTCATCTTGTTGTCACCTCCAATGTTCCACTCTGACCTAGAGCCGTGCTCTAAGTCTCCCCCTTACTTCTCCGCCCCTACCAATCATCCCCCTCTGCTCCTATCCACCCTCTGCACTATCCTCCGCCTTCTCCGCTCCGCTCCTAGTTGGCCTGCTGCTAGTAGCACTTACCTCCCAACCATCAAAGTGGACCAAAGTGGTCTACTCGTCCTATTGTTGGACAGTGTCAGACCCACTCCAAATTTGGGGCACATACTCAGCTAAGGGCACAGTGCAAGAGCTGAAGCCAAGCCCTGACCCCTCCACTTCTTGAGCCTGGCACGGTACCTAACAGAATTGGATTACCTATAAGGAACGAACATTGACAGCAATTGGTGCTCAAGGTTTGATACATTATGTTGATGGTCATGCAGATAAACCTAAGGCCTTCACCACTAACCCTATGACGGGTCTAGTTCAGAAGCCCGATGGTACAAGCCCCACACAGACGGACTTGGACGACCTAGACAAAAGGATCAACAAGTTCTATCAGAAGGATTCACTGGTCAAGCAGCAAATTTTTAGCACAATAACAGATTGTCTGCTGCTTTGCGTTCAGAAGCTTGAGACAGCCTCACTGATCTGGGCAGAGATCTGTCAGATTCACGAAGGCAAAACGGAGCTTGTGCAAATTGACCTACATCGTCGTCTGCAGGAGATGAGGTGCAATGAAGCTGGAGATGTCAAGGCCCACTTCACTGAACTCTTGAGGCTGAGAGAGTCACTTGCTGGCATGGGCGCAGCGCTTGATGATCAAGATTTTCACGCCATTGTCCAAGGCTCCCTTCCCGAGTTGTATCACCCCCTCCTTTCATCAGTAAACGCCACTGCTAAGATAATGAAGAAGCCTCTCACCCCCAATGAGCTCATCAGCATCGTTATGGAGGAGTATGAGCATCACCAGCTCACAGACTGTCGCCTGACGAAAAAGGGAGGAAATGCCGCATTGGCAGCCAAGGGCGGTCAGTCTATGAAGTCCTGCACCCCAGGCGCAGTGGATGGAGTGAACGCAGATGTTACCTGCTTCAACTGCAACCGCAAGGGCCACTATAAGGTGGACTGCTGGAGACCGGGTGGTGGAAAGGAAGGTCAGGGTCCACAACAGAAACAAGGCAAAGGCGGACATACCCAGAAGCAGAATGCTAACATGGCTGCAGAACCAGACACCCAGGACCAGTATGCCTTTATAATGTCAGATTTGGCTGGCACAGCAAAGGGGTTGAAGGTACCTGTTGATCGCCGCAGAGCCATCATGGACTCCGGTGCCACCTCATATTTTTGTCCTGATCGATCGAAATTTACCAACTTTGTCGATATAGCCCCCCAGGATGTCCACACTGCAGACAGTTCCAGACTCAGTGCAATTGATCATGGAGACATGAGCATAGACTTACCTCTGGGTGATAAGCGGACAAATGTTACCTTGAAGAACACCCTATATGCCCCTACCATGGTGTTCACACTCATATCCACCAACCACATAGCTGCTGCTGGCCTGGCCATACTCTTTGAGGGCCACATGTACAAAATCCTATTGCAAGGTCCCAAGCGCAAGGTAATCGCCGAAATCCCCCAAGTGGAAGGGCTCTATAGTGTTACAGCTCGAAAGCACCATGCACATGCAGTGAGGACGAAACTCACAGTCTCTCAACTTCACCGTGTCCTCGGCCATATTTCCCAGACAACTGTACAACAGTTAGTCAAGAAGGGACTTGTCGAAGGACTGGAACTTGACCCTACCTCATCACCCGAGTTCTGCGATGCATGTGTGAAGGCGAAGTCAGCCAAACGCCCGTTCCCAGGTGAAATGAAGAATAGAGCGCTCAGCTATGCGGAGCTCATGCATATGGATCTCCGGGGGCTGACCCAGACCACCAGTCTAGGTGGGATGAGCTACTATATCAGTTTCATGGATGACTTTTCCCATGAAACGAGGGTCCGTTTCCTTAAGGTGAAGAGTGAGGCGCTAGAAGCTTTCAAGGACTACGAGATGCACCTGGCTCATCAAAACCCAGGCATCCGGCTGCGGAAGATCCGGTCAGATCACGGCAGAGAGTACCTTAGCGAGGAGTTCAACAAGTACCTGCAGGAGCAAGGAATTGCGTGTCAGTTAACTGTCCATGATTCGCCTCAGCAAAACAGCATCACTGAACGCCTAAACCGTACCTTGGTTGAACTTGCCCGTACCATGCTACTTGTGAAGGACCTACCCAAGTTCCTATGGGCCGAGGCTATAAGCTACATGACTTGGTTGAAGAATCGCCTGCTGTTGAAGGCCATCCCTGGTCATATGCCCTATGAGTTAATCCATCACAGTAAGCCCAACCTATCCAATGCCCATGATTTCGGTTCTGCTGTCTACGTCTATCAGGAACATGCAGGCAAGCTGGAGGCCAGAGTGGAGGAGGCTCTGTTTGTGGGTATTGACACTGAGTCCAAAGGCTTCAGAGTGTACTGGCCAGTGAAGTGACACATTTTGGTCGAGCAGAATGTTACGTTCACACCAGTAGCTGAGGTTATTGGAGAGGATGTACTGGATGAGGGGAAGTCCGTCAATGCCGATTCTAATGCAAGGAAGAACGAGAACGCACCTGCCAATAGCATCCAGACTACCTCTCCTTCCCCATCCCAGCTGCCTTCTACCCCGCCCAGACAGCAACACCAATGCCCTGAGACCCCACCCATGCCATGGATAACCTGAGTACACCCGCCTCCAGGATACTTTGCTGCCCTTAACAAGGGAGAGAGAGCAACATTAGCCACCAAAATCTTCGAACTGGAGGACTCAGCCTTGGAGGAGCAGGAGGAGGTTACTCACCAGTATGCCCTAGCAGCTGTCCAACCCAAGCCTACCCTTCAGCAGGCCCTGAATGGCCCGGATGGCAAGGAGTGGCAAGAGGCAGTCGACTATGAGATCAGTCAGCTGGAAAAGCTTGGAACATGGGAAATGGTTGACTCACCACGCAGCGCTAACATAATTCCATGTCATTTTGTTCTGGCTACCAAGCAAGGACCAGACAGAGAGAAGCTGAAGCTGCGTGCCCGTCTCGTGGCGAATGGACAACGTCAGCAGTATGGCGTCGACTACTTCGACACATTCGCACCTACCTCCAACATGACGACCATCCGGACAGTGCTAACGATGGCGGCTCAGTGTGACTGGGAGATACACCAGGTAGACATCAAAAGTGCGTACCTATATGCGGATGTCCAAGAGGAGATTTATATGAGGGTGCCACCTGGGTACTTGAAGGAGGGAGAGAAGGGGAAAGTGCTGTGCTTAAAGAGAAGCTTGCCAGGATTGAAGCAAGCAGGGTTTAAATGGGCGGAAGAACTGGTCGGCCTTTTCCTGAAGATTGGGTTCAGTCGCTCGAAGGTTGACCAAGCTGTTTACTTTAAACACACCTCACAGGAACACACAGTTGTGACCATGTCCATCGACAACATGGCTGTCACTTCTAGCCATACTTCCCACATTCAGCGGTTCAAGTCGCAACTACATGAGTTCTTTGAAATCTCTGACTTAGGCGAGCTGAGTTGGCTTCTGGGTCTCAAAGTCACCTGTGACCATGTCGCACGGACCATCAGCCTGTCCCAGAAGGCGTATATCGACACAGTTCTAGAGCACTTCAACTTGACTGACGCAAAGAGTGCTGTGGGTACAACAAGTGCAGCAGCGAGAAATCAATCTACTACACAGTTGGGTCTTTGCTGCCTGCTGCCTCACTTGAGAACAAGCACATTTGACCCTAAAGGGGATTGCTACTGGGGGAGTACTAGTCTCTGTCTAAACGACCCTAATCAACCCTACCACAGGTAGGATGAGGATCTGCAAAAATGCGGAACAAGTGGAACAAGCGGAACTCAAGCGGAACTCAGGCGGAACAAGTGGAACTCAAGTGGAATGGAATGGAATGAAACGGAACTCGAACAGATAAAGCGTGGAACGTACTGATTCATTGGAACTCACAGGTCAAGTCGAAGGAAGTATATCACAAGGTTAGATTGATAGTGGGCATAAATCAAAGCGGTCCTCTATCTATGCGTTTCGATACTATGTGACCAATCAAGAAAGAAGATAGTGATATTGGCAACTGGGTACAGGGCGATTGATAATGAGAAGCTATGAAAAGGTAGTAACAAGAGTTTGGGCGAAAGCCCACAGGGCTTTCCGGTCCGAAACACCAGCCCAAACCTGGGAGAAAAAGGTGAGCTGTGAGTCCCAAATGATTAGGAGGTTGATGACGCAAACAGCGAAGCTTGTGACCCAGTGTGTAAGGAGGAGGACTCACTCCGGGTTTCCGAGATTATCTCACCGGTGGCATTGTGATGCGAGTGAATGGCTCGAGGGAGGGGTTTGCTTGAATATACAGCACTAGAATCCTGGCATGGTCGCGTAGGTATCACATGAACGCGTCGCTTGACCAGCGTCCCATAGATTTGACGACGTTGAATGGGACACCGCGAAGGAGATATTCCAGTGTGCCTCCAATGTGGATGCTGTGGCCCTTAAGATTGGGTAAGTTGGCGATGGTGGAAATGTTCGAGATGCGTTTGATGAGCTCGGTTTTGATAGTGCGCGTATGCCTTTCTCGGGATGCTTCCAGGCAAATAGGTGATCTGTGTTTTCCGCTGGGTTGACGAGAAAGTGGTTTTTTAAGGCTTCTTTCGGGTCTGAAAGTCCCTCTTGCTCTGCCCAGTAGGCGTCTTCCCCTTCTCTTGGGGATGCTTTTGTGCTGGGCAGATGGAATTTGGTTATAGCAAAACTGTTTCTGTCTCACCCTTCTGATACGTCTCCTCAAGTGACGTGTCTGTGTGGATTGAAGTCTTTCATTGCGGAAACCGTGAATTCTCCTAGGTGAGCGATTGAGTAAAAGGATGTGGTTATGCAGGCAAATATGGTGGCGTCTTTGGGATCTTTGAGGTTCAAGTGATTGCGGATATTGATGATGATGGCGGGGGTGAACAGGGTGAGTTTAGCGCGCTTGGAGGTAGCAGGAGTGAATTTGGCTGCACCGTCTAGGATAGATTTTAATTCACTGGGTGGTATGAGCCAGTGACGGCCGTGCAGCGTATGCCAGGCTTTGAGTCCTGTTGCATAGTTACTGAGCGCGGATCCCGAATATGATCCTGCGCAGCTAGATAAAAAGGCTAGGAGTAAAGAATGGGAAATGGGACATCTCTGATTTTCTGTTATTTGATGTATGTTGCAGTATATGTGGAATACTAGCAATCCGGCGCCGTATGTCTCTTTCGTGGTGCTAGCCCAGGAGGCTCCCATGACTTCTAGTACTCGGTTTAGCTGTGTATCTGAGATGGAGAATTCAAGAGGGTCATTGGTGGTTGCTGTTCTGCGAGTGTCTTTGCCAGAGGGTATCCATAGACTTAACCTGTCTCGAGCTAGACAGTGCAGGCGGAGGGGCGAGGGTGTGGGCGTGAGATTAGGTTTGTATGGTTACGGGTTTGAAGGAGCGGTGGCGATGGTGTTGGCTAGCATGGCGTCAAAACGCTGGCGTTCAGTCACTAGGGTTGGTGTGGTTCTGGAGGGAGTTGAGGAGGGTCTCTTCTTCTTCTTCTCGGAACCTCTGTAGGCGATCTGCGCTTTGTTGTCTGAGCATAGCTCGGTTGATGACTTTGGTGGCTGGAGGGGGGTAATGCCCGTTGTGCAGGAGGCGAAGTTCGGTAGCTGTTGGGGGTTCGGTTGCGTCGATGATGAATTGTCTAATGGCGGGAGGAATGTCGATTGGAGGGAGTAGAAGCTCTCTGGGGGGGTAGATTCCTCTGGATGGCGCATCCGCTGGGTTCTGTTTGCTGGCGACGTAAACAGTGCGGATTGCGAAACACTGGGGTGCGCGTTGGATGAGTTCGTGAATGCGGCGGAAGACAGTGTTGACTTCCTGGTTGCGATGTCATCCTTTCCACCATCCCTCGACCACTCCGGTGTTGTCTCCATATACTGTGAGTGCATTGCCCATGTTGGGGATAGCAGCGAGAGTTCTGACGAGCAGTTCGAAGCCCACAGCTTCTGCCCAGCCAATGTCGCGCTTGCCATTGAGGGTTTGCCAGCTGGGGATGGGTCTCCACGCTCTCCACTTTTTTCCGATCACGATGCCTATCCCGATGCTCGAGCTAGCGTCTGAGAATGCTTGTGGGTCGGAGTAAGTGGTTGGGGGGTATATAGGCCTTGAGATGCCTCCCCTTTGCAGCAAGTCCGACCACCAATCGAGATCATCCTCGATGCCTTTTCTGGGGCGGTGTGGGAGGCGAGGTTTCTTCCCGCATATACTCAGCATGGATTCTAGCGTCGTTAGGTAGGCACGACCCTTCTGCACGACTTGACATGCATGTAGTAGCTTTCCGTACAGCTCTTGTACGTCTTGGAGGATGTGAACGGGTCTTCGGCACCATTGGTGGATGGCTATTAGGTATTTGCTTACTTTTGATGGGCTTAGCGAGACGGTGCAATTACCTACGTCCCAAAGGAAACCGATACAGATAGTTGAGGGCGCGAATAGTTGATCTTTTTCTTTTTCCCATTTGATGCCGAGTTTGACGGAGAGTTTGTCGACGTCCTCAAGGCAGTACCCGAACATGTTGTCATGTTCTGATCTGGGTGATTGGTCTGATAGGTCTTTGAGGGGCCATGAACAATCTTCGCTAAATTCCTCTATTGAATTGTCGTCGAATATGCGGCCTCCAAACCAGATCCTGCTGCCTGATTGATGCATGCCTCTTTCTACTATGTCAGTGTGCCATAGTGCTCGTTGACTATTGATTCTTTTCGGATATGAACGAATAGATGGTCGTCGACCCACTTATCGAGTGGTCCGATTCCGTGATGTCTGATGATTTTGGCTCCTGCATCCGCTACATGGCCGTATGCTCCTGCCGATGGAGTGGCTCCGAAGGCCATGCAGGTGTCAATGTACACTTCGGTATCTGATACCCAAATTATTCCTGCTGGCCATTGGGAGGGATGTAGGGGAAGGGTTCGATAAGCTTCTGCAACGTCTCTCATTGCGACCTCTGAGCCTGGCGGTAATCGTGAGATTAGTAGATATATAACGGAAAATTTGCCCCAGGTAGTGGGAAATTGATTGGCGTCGATGTGAGAATTAATAGATGGGTTGGGGTAGGTGGGAGTTGTAGAATGTGGGAAGGAGAAATTCTGGACAAGTCTGAATTTACCGGGTTTTCCGGGTTTAGGTATTATGGACAGCAGGGAGGATTGGAAGGGGCCTATGATATGTTTAAGTGTTGTAGGTGTGAAAGGACCTATGTATCTCCCTTTGCAAAACTCTTTCTGGATGATGGTATCAAATTCCATGCAATATTGATTAACAGAGTCCTTATTCAGTGGGCTTTGTACGTGTGTAATTAAAGGAAAATCTAAAAGAAAACCTGATCAGAAGCCTTCGGGAACCTTAGCAAATCTTTCGGTTGTGTTAGCGTTATGGAGTGCTTGCTCCCATGCATCTGTGATGTAGGGGGTAAGGGGGTTATGCTTTCTGCGCTCTAGTGCAGCGCTGGGCTCCATGATTGGATGCACCACAGCCTGAGCAGATGTGTTTGCTATTGTGCTGGTTGTTGGTGCATCCTTCTTCACGTTGCCATGAGGTGCATAGCTGTCGTCCGTCTTTGGTCCATAGAGCTTTGTTAATGCGCTCGGAGAAAGTGTCAAAGAGGTTGTTCCAAGTTCTCGGGGTAGTGCATTCGACCGTGCGGTGTGAGTTACATCCAAGGCATACGGCGCAGCATGGGAGAGGGAAGGATGGGTTGGTGGGATCCCGAAAGGAATGAGGTCTTTTCTTGGGGTCTGAGCTATCCGTGTTTGGGGATAGAGGTCTCTTCTGATTGCCGAAGGGGCGGCTGGAGCTGGGCTGTGCATTGCGGCTGGAATTAGCATTGGTGACGGCAGCAGCCTGATGCATGTGCGAATGCAGTTTGTTTTGGCAGGATGCGACAGTTATGGCGGCGTGTGATGCCCGAGATGTGGGCGTTTGATAGCCAATTGACACGTGATGGTCAAGGTAGGTTGGGTTTTTGATCGAGCGCGATGTCGAAACGATAGAGGGAGTAAGAGCAGGCATGATGCATGTGTTTGATAGAATGAAATTTTTTTGGTTAGGTTTGCAAGGATAGAACTTTGGACATCCGTACCTGTTTGAGTGCGGCGAGGGTTAGATTGCGGTCTTCGTTGAAGATTTCTTCTCTAGCTTCAAGGATGAGATCTTGATTTAGCTCTGCTATGCTCCAGCCATGCGGGCCGCCCGCTGTTAGGTGCCACAGCCGACATTGCTGGCTTTGATATAGAAGTAGTGCGCGTTGTTTTAACATGTCAAAAGCATGTCTCCAGCGATGGTTCTGAAGGGCTGTCCAGAATTGAATATGCATGGTGACTCTGTCCTCTGGCCACTCGTGCTGTTTCATAGCTGCAATCATGCGGGGTGCAGCTTCATTGAAGTGCTCCCATGACAGATTCTCGTCTTTGGTGACGACGGCTTTTGGGTCGCGAGTCTCGTCAGCGTTGACCCAAGTTTGTCGGCCGTCCGCTGTTGTCGTTAGTGTTAGACCTGGAGATTCTGTGGAGAGCAGGGTCTTCTTGGCGTCTTTCAAGCCCTTGTTGGTGAAGTAGTAGAGTTCGCAGTAGTCACCTGCTTTCAGTTTCCATACAGCGTAGTGGGAAGGTATGATGACTGGGATAGATGGTACTTTGGTTTTGCCTATGGGAACAAATTTGGCTTTGTTCTTCTTCTGTTCCTCTTTATGAGCTGCTTCTTGTTCTTCCGCGATGGTCTGTTGGCGTTCTTGTTCTTCTTCGGCTGCTAGGCGCTGAATTTCTTCAGTGTCTCTAGCGGCTTCTATAAGTTGTTCCGCCCATAGATCCCGTGCTGCGTTGTTGTTCATGGTCCATAGCGCTGCTAACACTTCTGCTGCTTGGGCATCGTTCGCGATACCGTTGGCGGTGAGTTGTGCCCTAGCCTCTCTGTGATCATTTAACGTAAAGTCAGGTAGGACTGCAAAATTTGGGTCGTCTAGTAGAGGAGCCATTTGCTGAAAGGAGTGAGCAGAAAACGAGAGAGCTAGGGCTGGTGATCGTCGACGACGTTCAAAAGCTGATGTGGTCAAGAAGAAAGTCGCTGCGCCACAATGCTTACTTATGCGTAGACTATATTCTATGTTAGCCTTGTGCCTCGGCTAACTTAGAATTTGAGTAAGGTGAAGGAAAAGTGGGAAGGTAAAAGATGGGATTCAATAAAAAACACCCAAGCCCTGAGTACCACTACTTAAAGGGAAGATTATTTTCAAGGAACACTGAGGTACAGGTAGTAAATTCTCAGGAAGCGGAAGTGAAGGCAGGCAGTGCACAAGGGTGCAATACTCCACAATAGGGGTCTGTGCCATAAGGGCATGTATCAGTGTGATCCAGATAATATTAGAAGCAACGGGAAGAGAGATACAGCATACCAATGGACCTGGAAGGATGGGGACAGGACATGCAAAGGTCATCTGACAATGCACGGGAATATCAGATAGTGCAGGTGGGTTCCGAAGGATGCATGGTGTGGGGAATTCCCCCACTGTAGGTGTAAAACCCCGTCCTTTCCGCATCGTCTCACATCAGTTCCACATATTCCGCACGTTCCGTGTTTCCCGCGCATTGTCTGATGGGTTCTGCATTCCCACGCATCCTTCGGAACCCACCCGCACTATCTGATATTCCCGCGCATCATCAGACGACCTTCGCATGTCCTGTCCCCATCCTTCCAGGTCCATTGGTACGCTGTATCCCTCTTCCTGCTGTTCCTAACGTTATCCGGATCAAACTGACACATGCCCTTATGGTACGGACCCCTATTCCGGAGTATTGCGCCCATGTGCACTGCCTGCCTTCACTTCCGCTTCCTGAGAGACTTACTACCTGTACCTCAGTGTTCCTTGCAAATAATCTTCCCTTTAAGTAGTGGTACTCAGGGCTTGGGTGTTTATGATCGAATCCCATCTTTTACCTTCCCACTTTCCCTTCACCTTACTAGAGGACCACTTTGACTTATGCCCACTATCAATCTAACCTCATGATATACTTCCTTCGACTTCGCCTGCGAGTTCCGACGAATCAGTACATTCTGTGCTTTATCCGTTTGAGTTCCGTTTCATTCCTTTCCATTCCGCTTGAGTTCCACTCGGGTTCCGCTTGTTCCACGCTTGTTCCACTTGTTCCGCTTGTTCTGCATTTTTGCGGATCCTCATCCTACTTGCGGTAGGGTTGATTAGGGTCGTTTAGACAGAGACTAGTACTCCCCAGTAGCAATCCCCTTAAGGGTCGAACGTGCTTGCTCTCAAGTGAGGCAGTAGGCAGCAAAGACCCAACTTTGTAGTAGATCGATTTCTCTCCACTGTAGGGAGTCTCCCTATGCTAGGCTCGTATCCACCACTTTTCCGATGCATCAGGCGTCCATCCAACGTCCATCCGACACCTATCCATTCCATTCGATACACATCCGCTTTTCGGATGACATGCGGATACCTTCGGATCTCCCCCTATAGCTCGCACATCTGCCGCATCCGTCCTGTCCACGTCCATTCTACCTCATTGGTACGTACTCACACGCATTTTCTTGTTACTGACTGAACACAGACATATCCTCTCACACTCCAGTATTTTTCGGATAGCTTATGGCACGGTCTAGACTTGCTACCTATATATCTATGTTCCTTGCAAATACTGTACCCTATAAGCATGGAGGGTTTCGAAAAATACTTACTTCATGTAACTTCCTCCCACTTTTCCTGCACCTTACCAGAAGGTCACTTTGACTTATACCCACTATCCATCCAACCTTTAATGAACTTCCTTTGACTTTGATTCGCATCCTGTCCAATCTGCAAGTGCCATCCGCTCCATCTGACGAATCCGTACGTTTCGCATCCTATCCGTTTCATCCGCTTTTGCGAATCTTTCATCCTATAGGGTCGCTTTAGACAGAGATTAGTATTCCCCAGTAGCAATCCCCTTAAGGGTCGAACGCACTTGTTCCCAAGCGAGGCAGCAGGCAGCAAAGACCCAACTGTGTAGTAGATTGACTTCTCTCCGCTGCACTTGTTGTACCCACAGCGGGAATGTGGAACACATCAGACAATGCATGGGAAACGCGGAACACACAGAATATGCGGAACTGATGTGAGATGATGCAGAAAGGATGGGGTTTTATGCCTACAGTGGGAGTATTCCCCACAGCGCTCAGACACCTATGGACACTGGCACTATCCTATCTGCTGACCAGTCTCCCTCTACTTATGCCGAACTGCAAGCCATGGCTGATGTTCCATACCAGCGCGCCATTGGTTCTCTTATGTATGCCACTACCAGCACTCACCCCAATATCTCTTTTGCAGTCGCCACCCTCTCCCAATTTATGTGCAACCCTGGAAAGGCGCACTGGGAAGCAGCAAAGCATGTCATGCACTACCTAAAGGGCACAGTGGACTATGAACTCACCCTTGGCTCCACAGATGGAGGTCTTGAGGCATTCATTGATGCGGACTGGGCGTCCCAGCCCCATCATCATTTGATGTCAGGTTACATTGTATTGCTAAATGGTGGCCCCGTTGCTTGGAGCACACATAAGCAGCCCTTGATTGCTTTATCAACTGCAGAGGCAGAATATATAGTGCTAACAACTGTCACATGAGAGCTACTATGCCTGCAGTATCTCTCCAAAGAACTGTATGAGCCCCCTATTCTCCCAAGTCCCATCTACTGCAACAATCAGGCAGCCATCGCCCTGGCGTCGAACGGAAAATTCCAGTCCCGCACCAAGCACATAGCCATTCGGTACCACTTCATCTGCGCCCACATAAAGGACGGCACCTTCCAATTGTTCTACTGCCCCAGCGAAGACAATGTGGCGGACGCGTTCACCAAAGGCTTACCTTGCCCCCATCTACAGAAGCTCAGAGCTCAAATGAGCTTGGATTGTGCTTGAGGGGGAGTGTTGGACTTCGAACGATTCAAATGATGAGTTGCACTGTCCAAAGGATCTGAGATGTCAGTGTGAGCACAATAAAAGGAGTGATGGACAAACAATGCTTTGATGTTGGTTCATACCAGTCAAATATTCCATCTCTCAATCATTATATTTTTGTTTCCATCCTACATACTATAAAGTTATGAGCTGGTCCATACGAGCATCTCAGTTCTGACTACAGACTGAGATGTGAGTACCCATTATTTTACAGATGCGATACAATGAGTTAACAAGTCACTAGTATTGTTTTAACTAGGTACATGACTTGTGATAAAGAAGTTCTGACTACAGACTGAGATTATTGTTCTAACTAGTGTCCCTCCCATCCGCTCATACCTGTAACTCACTACACTTACTTCGCAACCGCAAGGGAATGAAGCTTGTCAATGGTCATACTGTCAACAGTGCAGTGCTTGCTCACTATCTCTCATGGCTACCTGATCAAGATGAGGCTTCCATACTCAAGCTCCTGAATCCAGATGACCCCCAAGACGTACCTCGTGCAATCAAACTTATGCAAGCCATAATCACCCTTTCCAAAAACAAATTCGACACTGCAACAATGTCTGTCAGTGAATGTGCCAATATTGCGGCCATCAAAATTCTTTGTGCTATCCTAGAATCTCTCCTCCTCCCATTTGTCAATGTCACACTGTTGCTGCACCAACAGATTGCTCATCTTAGTTGCTATGCGCACCTCACATTTACATTTTTCCGTCTGCACCACTCTGCATTCATGCTGCATGTTCTCTATTATGACTCACAGACGATGGTGAAAAATGCGTGCTTTTGCATCGCAAAGCAACAGAAACTTGATGGGTCGCAGAAGTTTTGGCTCATTCAGACTGGTGATGACCACCTGGAGAAGCTGTTTGGTATCACACAAATGAGGGGCCAGCATAATTCCACCATGAATTATTCACAGGCACTTGATCACATCGGCGCCACCAAGGATATTGATACTGTTTTCAAGAAACACCCAGACCTTGAATCTGGCTCATGATGACTCAAAATCACTCACATTGAAGGTGTCATATCCTGTACCTCCAGATCCGGAATTCCGGATCTACTTCATTAAAGTCCGGTCCTCCGTCTTGCTATTCCGCCTGGCGCTCCGCCTTCATCTCCGCACTCACTCCTAACTCCTTTTAGATTAGCTATTGCTCTGGTTACCGGTTATGTCCTATTCCGCTATGCTTACTGATCCGTCCATTCTTACTTCATTTCCGACTTCACTGCTTTGATCTGTTACACTTAGTAATAGACTTTCCACATGCTTCGTACATAGCCCTTACCTTTGCTGACTGATTTACTTACATGATACCTACAGTATATAAACCCCTGTAATACTCCGGAACTCCTTAGTTCGAATATCATCTTAGTTCTGCTCATTCCTGCAATCTCCGGACTTGAGTCTCACCTCTTGTCCACCTCCAAGTCTTAGGGGTTAAACCTTAGGACTAATCCTCTGGCTCTACCTTAGGGTAGTCTAACCTCTGTTCTGTTTCTACTCTGGACTTCCATAGTAGCCTTACTCCGCCCCCACATAGTCTTCTGGAGTTCCGCCAAACTCCACTGACTTCTGTCCTCCGGAATTCCCCGGACTTCTGTCGGACTTCCCCTCTGTCCCCCGGAAATTAAGGGCACATACTCGGGTAAGGGACACAGTGCACAAGCTGAAGCTGAAGCCCTTTGAGTAACCTCTCCCTTGAGCATGACCTTAACAGAAGGGCTCGATCATATTTGCTGTGATCTCTGGGTTGGAGATGTGGTTGCATTGCATTGTGACCTTCCCTCAGCATGGAAAGATGGTCGTGATAAGGCACTGACTGTGCTCACAGATGCTCATGTGTCTGCAGTCTGCTGCACATTCAACAAGTTTTTTTTCCAGGATGGCTGTGACCTCATGCATCCCTGGGGGGAAAACAAGTATTTAGGGATCACATCAGACATTGACGGTCACGGTGTTGAGTCAAGTGTTAATTCTGCTTCCAACTGTCCCATTCTGAGCAAGTCAATGCTGGTTGTAGGTCCTACCAGCATCGAAGAGGAGCCTGAGCTAGATGAGGATGCCCTTACTCTGGAGGAAGCCCTTACTCATGATGTTGCATTTGGAAGCCCAAACGTTGACCATACTACTCCATCGACATTGCATCCTGACACTCCAGCTCTCATTAGCGGCCCTGGGATCAATCCAGACAATTACCTTCTTGTCCATGGGAAGTACATCCACAAGGAGACAATCTGTCGATGGGTACTCAACAAGTATTTCATCGCAAAGTCTCTCGATAGACAGGAGCGAGTTGATAGTGTCGGTTTCACAAAGGTTAATCGTCGACATGAGCTCCCAGGGAGGTCTATCACTGGTGGTGATACATTCATCATTGGCAATGTTTTCCTCACAATCATCTGCATCAATCTCACGCTTACTATTGCACTTGTGTGTTCCACATCAATTGAACACCATAGCATTATGCATCATCATATTCTTGCCTCAAATGTTTGTGCTCCTGACGTCAAAATCACTGGCCAAATCTTAACATTGATCCCCACACACCAACCTGTTGAACAGCACTCCTGGCTTTGGATGGGAGATTATGAAACATACTCGGAGATTCAAGGCATCAAGCAAACTACAGAAAGGTTGTCGAAATTACAGCGCCAGGACTTCTGGTAGAACTCATTAACCCTGAGACAATGTGCGTTCACATGCACGATGACATCAATTCTGACAGGTTTTTCGCATTGAATAACCTCAGGAACACGTGGATCATTGAAGAGTCAGCTCTCTCTCTCGCATGCGACACTCTTTGGCGCAATGCCTGCGAGCATTCAATCAGCATCAAGAATATCCTCCATATCCCTACCCCTTCTGACTGTCATATACCTGATCCGACCACTCCAATATTAATATCCACTCCGCTTTCCGACCACCTCCGCTCCATTCATCCTCCGCTCCGTCCAATCATTGTCTGCATCTGCCCCTACGCTTCCGCTCGACTGCCCAACCGGTCCTCTTCCATAATGTCTCCATTCAACTGGAACCTCTTTCCCCTTTTAGATATATACTTTCCCCTTCAGTACATAGACCCTTACTTCTGGATCACCGGTAATTCTTCTTACCGCTCGATCACTGATCCGACATGTACATATTGATATCCGCTCCAACTTATGTCTTCACCTGTGTAAGTACTTACAAATTATATCCTTGGTACATAGCTTTACAACATAGTAATCCTGATCATTGCCTCATACTTAGAAGTATATAACATATCCTGTACTTAGATATTTTCCCCAGTCTTAATATTACTTGTCTTCTTGCAGTTTCTACTTGTGAGAATTCTCAGTAGGACCTTGCCTCCTCCAGACACAAGTTTCATCTTGTTGTCACCTCCGACTCTCCACCCTGACTTAGAGCCATGCTCTAAGTCTTCTCTTTACTTCTCTGCCCCTATCAAGTATTCCCCCTGCTCCTATCCACCCTCTGCACTATCCTCCGCCTTCTCCACTCTGTTCCTAGTTGGCCTGCCGCTAGTAGCATTCACCTCCTGACCCTCAAAGCAGACCTAAGTGGTCTACTTGTCCTACTGTTGGACAACATCGGACCCGCTCCAAATTCGGGGCACATACTTGGCTAAGGGCACAGTGCAAGAGCTGAAGCCAAGCCCTGACCCCTCCGCTTCTTGAGTCGGCATGGTACCTAACATTGACCCTTCCATGTTTCCTTACACTCTTACTGATGGTACATTTTTTGTCTTGTAACTTCATAATATCTACTAACTTGAACATGATGATACAGACTCTGTGTCATATACCTGATTCAGCCACTCCCAACACCATTCATAGACATCCCTACTATTGGTCCGACCCCCTGTTTCCCTGTCCGCTCCATCCCTCCTTCTCTGACAATGCATGAAGTGCATCTCAGCAAGACTAGCCCTGCTACCTCCACCCGACTCCGCTCCGCTCCTCCGACACTACCCCTATTTTCTCTGACACCATATCCCTACCCTCCGACCCTATCTGGAGCTCCGCTCCTCCGCTCCATTGGTCTGACTGATCCTACTCCTACTCCCTCCACCATCTCCACTTTTCTGACCCACTCGGTTCCTCCAGTTTCTCTTGTATCACCTCACCCGACTATCAGTCTGCCCGACCGTTTCACCAGTCCACTCCTAGACTAGGCACCACTTAACTGGTCTTATCTCCATTTAGTATCATAGTTCCTCCTTTCGGATCACCGGTAATTCCTATACTGGAGTGATTACTGATCCATCGCATGCATATTGTTCTCCGAGCCTTTTCTCGTATGTCTCAGTCATCCTTCTAGTAATCCTGTACACTCAGCACATAGCCTTCTGCTATGCTATGCTCATCACTTAGAGTATATAAACATATGTACATTTGTCTGTAGATACTCAGTCTGAATATTACCTTTTCTAAGCCCTGCTCTCTTGTCCTTGTTCTTGGGCAAACCCCTTGACAACTCCTGTTTGCCGGCCTAGGGGATTGACTCCCTAGGTCAGCTGCCTCCTCCGCTCATCTGACTTCCTGCACCTCCGCTGCCTTTCCCGCGCGTCGGACTTACAACTAGTACTCTCGTACTTCTGTCCTCTGTGTTTCCATTCTGCTTTGGACTTTGTCCAAGCAGTCTCCTCTGCTCCACTCCTACTGTTAGCTCCATCTGCAGTAGCCCTCCGACTCTCCCCTGCTGGGTGGACCAACCTCCACCCAATGTTCCCGCGCTTATCTAGTAGTCTGTCGGCCCTCCTTTGGAGGACCTCCACTCCAACATACTGTCGGAGCTCATAGAACTCGAGTTGGACTACAATCCGAAATTAGGGGCACATACTTGGGTAAGGGGTGCAGCATACGAGCTGAAGCCAAGCCCCTCAGACTCAGCCTTACCCCTGAGCATGGTCTTAACACTCTGCAGGTATTGTTTGCATAGAAGCAAGTCAGCAACTTGCTGTGGCTGAATTGGGACCTCTGGATGACTGTCCGCTATGTGGCATAAAAACTGACTCAATGCATGCACATATTGGTATTCATATCTTGTGGGCATCTTGTGGTATCAAGGAGACTCTAAAGGAGGAGGTATGTGTCAAGGCTTTCATTGCAAGCAAGACTTACCAGTTTTCAGGTCAGTCTCATATACCCATGTGGATTCTGTGGTCAATCTAGTCGCAACAAGTGCAAGATTCAAATCAACATCAGCAAAACCCTGATTTGGCTACAGCGCCACAGCCACACAGCATGTCACAGGTCACACAGAGTTTTTTGTAAAGGCTCTGCAGCATCACACAGGTACTGATTCTATGTAAAAACGAGTGTAATGTAGTCACAAACATATATATAACAAGATGGTATGCTAACAATTATGTTTTATTGAGAAATTGTGTAGTGTGCAACACTGTGCAGCGCTGTACATGGGGGGACCTCGCTGTGACACTGTGATTGCTGTGCAGCGCTGCACAACGCTGCACATAGGGTTAGGGTTTTGCTGATGAAGGTCTCAAGTAAGGGTAGCATATCACTCGAAACACGCTGCCCTTACTTTCACGTCTTCCAATATGCCAATGCCAACATTGGCTCCAAGAATCAACCCTCACACAATGTCCCAATCAAGTGCGAGCTCTGTCACCCGTCACTCACACCCCCGTCACTGGGAAGAAGTCTCGTGCTGAATCAGGATTTGTGGATGCTGTCTGGCGCTACAACATGATTCAACATCTTGATGATGTTCACCCTCAGTATGCACACCCCAAAAATCCCACTGGTCTCCCTCTGCCACTTGACATTCTCAACACATTCATGCTGACGTGCCTCGAACAACGTGATGCTGGTATCCCCGAGTTGCAATGGCTTATGCCTCTTTTTGACTTGGATGATGATAAAGAGAATCAACCCGGACCAAGTGCCCGCAAGCGGAAGAATAATAACGCCGGCAATACGAATGCGAAGGAAGCTTGTAAATCTGTGTAGTCAGTTTGTTCGTTTGTTTCATTTCCTTTGCATGCTTTCACGATTACACGTACATCACTCGCTCGCTATTTTATAGCTTCCAATTGTATATCATCACTCAGGAATCAATACATGCATGTTTCCGGCTCATTATATTGCATACGACGCGTCTCTCGTTGAGTGGTGAAAATTTTCAGCGCGACAGAATTACTCGATTTGGCAGTGTGACATCACGTGGTGTCACTGTAACAGTGGTGGTGGGGTCGCCGAACTAAAAGTGTTAGTGTCTGGAACTGACCGATCGCACGGTTAAGGGGGCACGTTTGCACCCATATCGCATCGTGCGTACTCCGGCAGATCGCAGATTTTCTATTGCATCCCCCACCACGAGCGCACGAACCTTACAATAACACGCCTCAGTAATACCATAGGATTTGTGATGTATTGCTAGCGCCACCATTAGTGTATTACCAGCATTCTTTCTGTGGGAGGCGTTGTCAGAAATGTACCAGGATATTTTGTGTTTTTATGTTACAAAAGAAGTTAATGAATACAATGCACTTTCATGAAAAGAGCTACGCATATGTTCAAGGTGTCTGATTCACCTTTATCATAGTGAAGGAGACGGGTACCATGCATACGAGAACAAAGGTCTGATGGATACGCAATTCCTGACACCGATCATCTTCTGTCCATCCTCGAGCTTGAAGCCTGGAAAAATCCTGGTGGAACAAAGGAACAATGCATGCAAATGAGTCGTCCTGAACCACAGGACCTTCCAATTCGGGAATCTGAATTATCAAAATTATATAACAAGTCCCTCTTGGTTTTGTTTTCCATGTTCAAGCACACCAACACCAGAATTCCATATTCAGGGAAATCCCAACTGCTATCCATCTCGTTGCGAAGGACAGTGCGTTTTTTGTATTATCTATGTCCGAATATTGGTAGTTTCCATACTGGTATTGCGGCAAGTGACCTCCCGTTGCATTGCTTTGGTTAAATTGGTTTGCCTCTCGCTCGACAAATGTCCCGCGCTCGGTGAGTTCAACCAGTACTCGCCCTTGCGTAGGTACGGTCCTGCACCTAACGTCGCAGATCCAGCTGCAAATATCCTCTTTGAATGTTGTCCGGGATCAATCAAAGGCGTTTGATATGGACGACCGTGCGATCAGGTATCCTACAAACATATTGGAAACCGCATATTTTTTTGGTCTGCCTAACGGATGTGTACACACTCATATTTTTTGAAAACCTTTTAACTGAAATACAAAGTTTTGGCAGATCTCAGTTTTGATGCTGTACTGCCCGTTCTTCACTACTCGACAAACGAGTCCTTCACAAAGTATCAGATGTTCAAATTTTTCGTTAACATTTTTTGTTTTAATGGTATGAATTATATAAACCTGTCTCCACTCCCCCGACTGCCAATTAAAATCGCTCATGGACTGGTTCTGGTGTCACATCAGGCCCTTACAACTGCCACCTTTCTACTACTAAAACAGAGAAAGTACAGTTCCTAGAATGCTCAGGATTTAGAACGCGGTGGCAAGAATATTTACACGACGGAAAGTAGACCCTGTACTTGTAGTAGTACTACTACTAGGTGGTAAAGCTCTGCTCTTCGCGTTCCAATTCTTGTTGCCAACGATTAATCCTATTTTCCCTTCGCATATCCCTTTTGCTGCTCCTTCCTTGTCTCCCTTGTTCCTCCACATTCTTCCTGTTGAAGGAGTCGGCTAAAATTCACCTGCTTCTCCGCTACTCTTTCGGCCCTCGTCCTTCGCATCTATGTCCATCTCCTCGGCATCTCGCAAACCACCTGCCTTATATCCATACCCAGACACATCGATCTCCTCGAACCTGTCAGCAGCACCGACTACTGGGAACACACGGTTCAGTGCCCAATAGACAAGTGCAGAAACCCCAAAGCCCGTAAAGAACGATAAATCGTAGATCCGGGTGGCTGCTAGGGGGACAGTCCGCCCGGCTAGAAAGCAGCAGCTCAGCATCAGCGCATCGCGATTGTGTGGTTAACTCACTAGCTCCAGCGAAACCGACAGCGTTGATAAGGATTCCGGAAATATACGCGGCGTATGCACTTGATTGCACTTGTCAGAGTTTTGAACGCTTCAAGCCTATTGAGACTCTCACCGGAAGTTGATCCCATATGTATACCAGTACCAAGTGCCCTTCCCTGTACGATAAAGGTCCTTGATGTTATAGTGACCCTTGCGGACAATGTAATATTCCGTCACCTATCGCAACCCGTTCAGATCACTGGAAAGAATCATGACAGAATTGCCTACCATAACCCCAGCAATGGAGCTCAGGAACACCGAATATGCAGAGAGGTAAGAGGTGAACTCATTACTGTTCTTCAGAAGGTTCCATGGGCACATGGCCAGACCAACGATGGCAGCAATGTACCCGCCACGTCGGATGTTCTGCAGTCAAATCTTAGTATGTAGGTTTTGTTTATACATTGGTGATGCATACAATGAAACGAGGGAACAGTGCGGTCAAATCACACCCTGCCGACACTGAGTTCGCACAGATGTTCGTGCTTGGTGACCGACGTCAGCTTAAGGACCGCCCTGGACATGTTTGTCGACCTCACCCCAACTGGGAGAAGAAGCATCAGAATCGTAACCAACACCGAATAAGATGCGCGACGTCACCTGTGCAAGCATGAATGAAGTCGAGATAAACCATACCTGCCAAATGGAAGACACGACAACGCGTCAGCTATACGCCCACCTCCTCGGAATCCCAGTCACGCACCCCGAATCTCGTGGCTTTCGACGCATTGTCATTCAAGAAATTTTCCAAAAGAACAATAGGTGACCAGATGGCCGTCCCGTAAATTGCCTGCGACGACGAGCTCACAAGGATGCCAATCAAACACACGAACGCCGCTGTGACAGGACTCGCAACCAGTTGTGGGTATAGTGCAGCCGATGGGGTACGTGCGCGGGAGGCAAAGTCCGGTGCGTTTGTGATAATCGTTACCTGGTTACTGATGCATGACATGGCACTGACCACCATGGCCCAGCCCAGCTTGGATCCATGCAGCGTGGAAGGTTGGTGAACGATCGGGCCAATTCCGTGAGCTTTTACAATGCACCATATGAGGAACGTAATTGAGGCTATGGGCATCAGGATGGGCGTCAAAAGGAAGAAGTGGCGGCTGAGGAAGGTCACTTTATGACCACCGGATAATATACGTGTACCTACACCTTGTGCACAGGGAACCAAATGACCGGCAGTGAAATGAGCCAGAAGAGGAAGAAGCACAGAAAATCTCGAGTGTCTGTTCCAGAGGATGCGGGCATTGAATTTGCTATTGCCTAGCCTCAGCTGGATATCATACATCAGGAACTGAGATATGTGACGCACGCAAGTCATTAATGCTAGGCCACATTGCCCTGAGCATTACTAGCACACAGGAACCGCCAATGCTCGCCTGGACACCATACCATATGCTGTGCTACTCAGCTCGCGTGTCACTGTAAAGGCAGAAATGCGCACCATGCCATAGCAGCGCGATTGAAGACACACCACAGGCTGCCAAACATCCCAAAGCTTGTGCGATTCACGATTGGAAACATCACATGGAAAACGGCACCGGGACGCGCATTCAGAACAAGGAACGGCGTGCCAATGCCATAACCCAGCCATACACATAGCCAGGCTTGCCACCACGACATTCCTAGTTGGATCATGGAACTTGGATGTTTCATTTAACACATATCAAGGATACATAACGACAGCGAGCGTACGATACGATCATCCACATGTTAACATTAAACATGTCTGCTATCCAGAAGGCAACGTAGTTGTATGCACGCCATGTTTGTTTCTCTGGTTCGACAGGCAGCAAATCTTCGTTCTACGGAACGGGTTATGAGATATCGAATTCGTAGTGGACACTCACGGTGATGAGCTGCTCGGTGAGCGTGAGATTGGGCTCATGAGTGACTTCGAGGCTTTGGATAATCCTATTGACCAAGCCCATGGCAAGTTCAACTAATGGTGGGACGGCACCATCATTGTCCGCAACTCGCAGGTCTTTAATTATGTCTGCAGCCTTGTGTGCTTATCGCTCGAATTTGTCAAGAAATTCCCGCCACTGTCACAGCCTAGTGTACACGTGCAACTGGCGGGCGAAAAATAGATATGGGGCTTCCAATGTGCCTGTCGTTGGTTTCAAGAGAACGGCGATAAAACGGGACGACGTTCATATCTGGCCGAGTACGAATGCTTCCTAGGCGGCCACAGTCAAATACGATTACAAGACGTTGGGGGGAGAGGCTTCATCCACGCGAATGAACATACGCACGTAATCCGACGCGAGATCAATGTTGAAGGTATCTGCGAGGATTTGACTGCGAGATAAACCTCGAGTGTGAGGCCTGAAAGTCGGGAAATGACCTAACGAGCGTTCTTGACAATACCCAACAGCGAAGCCTACAAACCTTGACGTGAACGCGAGAAGAATCACGCCAACCCTAACGTGCGAGTGTCGAACAAACCAATGAATTATGCAATACAGTTGAAATGCTCATGTAGCAGCAAGCCTGGATTGAGTGCTATTTCAGTCTTGACACAAGAGAACAGGTTCGCTTAGTAAGCACTTGTTTGGCTCCTCAGGCCTCCGAAGAGCTTAAACGGCACCTTAGTTAGACGCACTTTCCATGCCACCCAAAGCGCCGGAAGAACCAGAACAAAACCCATATGATCTGCTTGAGATCTCACAGGAGGCTACCGAAGCCGAGGTTAGGACAGCCTATCGAACTCGCTCGCTAAAAGTCCACCCAGACAGAGTACGTCTATTCATCCCAAGGTCGAGACTTAATTGACGTTGTCGCTGCAGAACAGGAATGACCCTAATGCAGGTGCGTACCGAGCTTCGCAAAAGATGTAGCTAACGCATGCATGTAGCCCAGAAATTCCATGCATTGACCACCGCCTCCACCCTCCTACTCGATCCCCTGCGCCGTCTCGCGCTCGATGCGCAACTCCGTTTGCAAGCTGCCAAGAAGCAGCGCTTCGCAACTTACGATAATAAGCGCAAGGCCATGGTATCTGAGTTGGAGGAACGGGAGCAAGAGTTCAAGAAAGCGCGAATGGCCAAGGAGCAAGAGAGAACTGCAAGGGAGAGCGAAAACGTAAGGATTCGGGAGGAGGGGCGGAGATTACGGGAGCAGAGGGAGAAGGAACTCGAGCTGCAGGAATTAGAACGTCATCGTGCAAGGTTGAAGCCCGAGCTAGATGAAATTGTCGAAGAAGACACTCTTGCTCCTCCGCCGCCTGGTGACTTGGACACCACGATCCGTGTCAAATACGCTCTGTCATCACATCCTGCGCTTCTTACGGCGTTCGCACTCGCCGCGCACCTCCGACGGTATGGCGAGATCGATGAAGGGGCGGTGGTGATGTCGCAGAAAGCCAAAAAGTCGAAAAAGTCCAAGGGGCTGGTAGACGGCGAAATGATTGTGACCGCGCTGGTGCCGTTCAATCAGCTGGGCGCTGCATTTGCTGTGATATCGAGTGCCGAATCGTTGAAAGATCGGGGTATGGATGTGGCATGGGCTGGCGGGTCCGAGCCCCCGATACTAGGCTGGCTTCGCGAGCGCGGGGAACTCGGAGGGCCCGCACCCAAGCGTGCTGAGCCCCTCAAAACAAATGCTTCTCCAGTGGGGACGACGTTCAGTTCGTTTCCCTCGAGTTTTGTGAGTCTGGTTCACTCGTCCTATCCCCCCAGTCAACTCATTTTTCTGTTCCGTCAGCCTGCTTTTGATGATGTAGCACCACCGCCACCTCCTGCTGCAAAGGCGGGAATGGACTATGAATCGTTGACACTCCTCCGTATGCGTGAAGCTGAGCGCGCACGCTTAGAGAAAGAGATACTGGAGGCAGAAGCTGCTGACGGCAGCTAGCCTCACTTTGCTGTCGCATGGTATATTTCATGTTGCAGCTCTGAACCTCTGGCCGCGATCTTGACGTCTGGTGTGAGCTCCAGAGCACTGTGCCCTTGCACACCTCCGCAGTTCTCGTGGGCAGCATGGATGGAAGGTTAGATATTCCATTTCAAATCCATTAGATTAATTTCTTGCATTTCTGAGGGAGTTGTTTAGGGCTTCAAAACGTGTATGTATCATGATGCGCTCATGTATCTGTTCATCTGATTGTCACATCCAGGTAAAGTGTTTGAACCAATTCAAATAGGTCTGCTTTGCGGACACTTGTTCTTGTTATACTTGAATATAAACAACGATAACCCGATCCTACAGGTCAATTGCAATACATGATCGGCTGGGTCTGACATGCGTTTGCGTTGTGAATTCACACGTCGACATTCAAGAATGTTCTAATCGCTCGACTCGTCCCCTCATTAAACGGATCCTGGTTCGCCTATAGTCGAATTGTTTATATCACACAAGCAAACGGTGTACTTTCTGGTCAAGCAAACCTCGAACCAACCTTGTGGAACGATATTACACACAATTCCGTGGAGCTTCAACTACCGACATCTTTCTCGCGCTGACGGTATAGAGTGACACTATTTCCCAACACTACATAAACTGTGGTACTTTTCGCATCCGTGGTTTCATAGGGTTCCGTGCATGATGCAGCTCATGGAATAACACTAGGAGAAGCAAGACACAGCGAGTGCGTGTTCCTGATGGAAGTTGCCCTGTCGGATACGGGCCGGGATACAACCCCGCCAGGCTCTGCAGTATGAAGGCATTGGCTTCGCTTTCTCCGACTCCATCGCATGGCCTTCATGTTGGCTACTTAGAACCCGCGGAGCCGGATTCGAGCAATACTTACACATACGTAGGAGCGACAGGGTTCGAAGAATCAATGTTGCCCAGTCTGGGATTGCAAGATATGATGCCCACCGCTGATGTGCAAGTTAGACCGCTCAGCACAAACCAAAGTTTAACCACAACCAGAAAGGATATACTCAGAGTCCCGTGCTTGGCTATGTTCCACCCTACCGATCATGATAGGCCAACCGCAACTGACTTTAATGTACACTCATCAGGCAGTTTCTTGAGGCGTTTTGCAGCCTCGAGAATGGCAAGCTGCAAGAACGTTTATTGTACCTCCCACCCTTCAACTCTGGGTCGATCTTGCCATTTCAAGGATCTTCATCCGGCTAGGGTGGCAGCATGAGGCTCAAGCAAGCCCTCATTAATACCGTGGATTTCATCATCGACTGGATGCGGACGTCGTGCAGAAGAGTCTCTCAGTCTGCAAGCGCCTGCCGCTGCTCAAGGGATGTCGCGGTGAACCTCTGACCAGATGACAAAACCATTGACCTTCGATATCCTGTCAATGACAGTGATCAGTGGCCATTGGCCATTGGCCATCATTTAATCAAGAATATGGACCTGGTACACGAGGCACTACTGTTGTACGTACACGGCACTCCGAGCTTCCAGTCACCTCAATGATCAATCGCTTGTTTTTGAATGGGTGGTGCTGTAATGGGATAAAGAACCGAAAAGCACAAGCGCGCGTTTACCGCATGGCATTATTGTGGAGTTGCATGCAGCACCTTGGCCTCCAACTTGATCTCACAGCTCTCCCATTGATTCACTCGCTCCCCACGATCTGTGTTATAAGTGGGCAGAAACATTAGCGGGTAGAAGCATTTATAGTTTTGTCACATTGCTAAGAGAACCTCTGTCGCGGTTAAGCATTGCACGAATCGAAGTCTCCACCCCGTTTCCCCTGACGAGATGAGGCTAACATCCTCAAGTCATAAACATATCAGGTGAGATTTCCCCAACGCCGGCAAGATGGGATATCTTAGAGTTTCATTGGGGTAGCTCCCATCTCCATCATGCAGAGACGGATTCAAGCTCCAACTTCTGTATTCAGACGGCGTTCAGGATGACCGCCCTTCAACAAGTCAATATTACTATGTACGGTTCCCCATCATTTGGAAATGAAGGACTTACACGCAATCACAGGACCAGCCAGTTGGCACCAGAGACATATGGCGTGCAAATTTTCGGCATGTTTTGGTAGCCTCATGTCGTGGTTGCTCCGTTCTGACAAATCCCAGACATCGATCTCCATCACCTGCCCAAGATTGGGTGGTTGAATGTGGACCACCAATTCTATGTTGAAATATCCATTGACGATAATGCGGGGACGACCAATTCTACGAGTCCGGAGAAACCCAACTCTATGCCTTGGACTAGTAAACATATCTTGTACGTCGGCGATTACTGCCTGATTCAAAGGCTGATTTAAAGAGCAGCAATGTTCGCAACTCTACCACTCTCACATTGAAAATATTTGCCCATCGCCAACTCCATACTGACCAATACATTGGTATGGTTCAGGGGTGTATCGAAGAATTTTTGAGGTACCCTGGCGGTGAGTAACTCCATCCTTGCGGAATGTGTGTACTGACAGTTTAACAAAGCTATTCTTGAAAACCTGAAGTGTATAAGCCCTGAAGGCAGGGAAGAGCTACTTAGGGCAAGCTTGGAGTTCAAGATTTCCCCCATCGTGGGCAATGAGAGCCCTGCTCGTCCATCTCAGCGCACTGAAACCGGTCACCAAGAAGGCATTTGGAAGGGACCCATAACGAGTCATGACCATGGGGACGCCGTCAGAACTTCATTTCCCCCTGCAGTGCAAATCTTTGGTACGTTAGATCATCTCGAATGACGGTTACTTTTGGTAACATGCGACGTCAATCAGATATCGACCTGCACCATCTTCCGCGAATCAGTTTGGGTTCGATTCACGACAGCTTCTATGTCCATGCTTCCGTAGATGACCACGATCACAAGTCTACCACTGCTGAGAAAGCGCATTCATTGCCATGGAAGACTCAATTTAAACTGTGAGTTACTTTGTCCCCGCCAGTTCATGGCGTTGACTCCTAGCAAGTAATGTACAGGCATCATCCATAATTTCCCTCAAAGTCTTCGCAAAACGTTGCCTCCATGAAGATCAGTACATTGGCATGGTACAAGAACGTGTCGAGCCGCTTCTCGCTCATCCCAGAAGTGAGTTTTTGGTCACCATCTGATCGGCTCGCTTGTCGTTGAATACAACATTAGCTAAAATCTACCGCCTCATGTCTTTTGACCGCCATGGCAATAAACATCTCCTTTGTGCTAGCATGGAATTCAAGATCACGCCCCTTCATGAAGCAATCGAGCATAACACCACTCAGTACGCCGAAATCCAGCTAGCCCGGACGATCGATGCCCCCAAGGATATATCATCTATCCCGGACACTGGAGGGTTCAGTCCAAATGGATCTTTAAAACAGTCTACAGAGCAGGTCGTCGTTGTCTTTGCCTCAGAAGTCCTTACACCACTCTTGGACAAGATTAGCATTTTCGTTCAGCTTGCTGGCAAGTTCGCTGAAGTATGGTCCCTCTACTTGAACACTGAACATGTCTGACACCACTTCCCTAGGCTCATCCGTACACCAAGATGGCGTTCATGGTCCTCACCGCAGTATATCAGGTGAGCGGGACGGCCACATGTTAAGACCTAATGAGCTCATTCCTTTGATTAGGTGGTAGATTCACAGTTTGCCCGAGACCGAAGTATCCGTCGGCTCATTACCATTATGCATGAAACCTACAGCCTTATCTCTGGCGTAGAGGAACTGAAAAGGGTAGAATCACAAGAAAAGACTATCAACTCCCTTGCTCGCCAGACGATTGAGTGTTCGTACTTTATCCGTGACTACCTGCAAAACAGGAGCGGGTGTAAGTCTGGCAGCTTCCTATAAGAGTTTTTTAACGAAGTTCCTGGATATAGGGAAACAAAGTTTTTCGAACGCGTTATCCGACCTCGATGCCAAGATCCTAACATACGAAACAGCATTCAAAGAACTCAAGAATGCCTTACAACAGCAGACCGCAATTCACACAGAACTCTATGTATTTCGTGTGCATGATCTGTTGCTTGACCATGGTAATACCCATATTCCATCTCTCTCAGCGCGTGTTCATATTTCTGTTAGCCACGAAAACGGACCTTGATTCCATGCACTATGCTTTTGGCGCTTCGTACGAATCACAGAAGATCGTAGACGCGCCCTCACGGACCGATATCGTGGAGTCGATAACTTCATGGGTTAATCAAGACAATGAACAGCAGATCTACCTCTTGCTAGGTCCCAGGGGGTCCGCAAAATCCAATATCGCACACACCATTGCGCGCCAATTCGACGCCATTGTGCGTCTTGGTTCGTCGTACTGTTTTTCGCGCGCCACCCGGGACAAGAGAAATACTACGAATTTGTTCAGCACAATTGCACGGGACCTTGCTGATCACGACCCCCAATACATGAAGGCTCTCTGGGGCACCGTGAAAGACAAGCGCGCGTTACGTGAAACGATCAACCCACTCACTCAGTTTACCCGCTTTATCCTTATTCCTGCGAGGCAAATGACGTGCATTGGCCCTGTGCTAGTAGTCATCGACGGGTTGGAATACAGCGGTAGCGAGTCAGCTCGTAAAGACCTCCTGACTGCACTTGCAGAGAAAGGAGCAGAGCTCCCCCGTAACTTCAAGTTCCTAGTCACTTGCCAGCCAGAAGACGACATCTGTGCTGCATTTGAAGGAAAATCTCATGTTATGCAGAAACATCTGGAACATCACGCCGACTCACTCTTTCCTGAGTGCAGTCCACCACGGACCTTATCGCAAAACCAGACAGGCAGACCTAGGCCTTGCCCTCCTACCCCTCCCTTGTCTATCCCAGAATTCACGCAATACATTCCGTCACCTGAGACTGGGCTCGTCCACGGTTGCCACGAGTAATTCCACTCCAACGTCGGACAGCTCGAGTTCAGGCTCAGCCATTTCCACTGTGTTTGATACATGGGACTCGGACGACGGCTGTGAATCTGCAGAGTCCCCTCCTACGAGTGCCAGCTCCGTTGATGAAGAGCCACAGCCTTCGAAGAGGAGGGCCATTGTACAAGTTACGCGCAGGAGCCAAGAGCTGATCACTGTGGAGAAGATCTCCGAGACTGGTGGCCGGATCATTAGAGGGACCAATTCGGAGAAGCTTGAGAGCTGGGTCGTTGAACAGCACGATCATCCTCAAAGTGGTCTGTTACTGAAAGAACTAAGATTCCTCACATCAGCGGAGCCGGTGAATGATTTACCGCCAACGGTTGGATTATTTGGACGCAGCAGTCGTCCCCCCAAACGATCGCGTCAGAAGCAGGTTCGGGCAAAGACCCTAATCCGTCACTCCACGGATGTGGATGAGGCGGAAATAATGGGTCGGGACGATCTCGCATGTCGGTGATACTTACTGCCAGCCTCGACAGACCAGTGACCATGGGGAGTTCGATGCTGTACTACTTATACTGGCATTGAAGGCAAAGGGCTATTAAACTTTTCGGGTGGGTTAGCCTAGCTGAAAATACCATTTAAACTGCCCAAGCTAAGTACTATTTTGAAAGGGAATGGCGAGTGGTGTCCACTTTGTACACTAATTATATCACAATACCCTTCTGTGTAGCGTCCTCGTGGACAACTTGTACTTACATTACGCACAACTTACTGACGCCGATACCTACGTCACGGTAGTGTTTGCACTGTCCCAGCTTGATCGGCATTATGCCGCATCTACGAGTTCAAACTGCTCATCGAGTACTCATTGAGCTGAGTTTGGTCTTAGCCGACCGCTTAATATCGTACGCGAGCCTCTCCACCGATGAAAGCACTCGCTTAAGGCTAAAGAAAGGTTCAAATTGCGAACGTAAAGTGAGGAGTTCATGGTACCCTGTTATCACTCGGACCCTTTTTGGCCTTCCTCGGTTCCTTCAATCCCTGAGGAAATAAGGTACGAACACGGAACCTTACGGATATCACAAAAGACCTCGACAACCGCAATAATCAATATGTAGCTCCCAATGCTGACTTTGACTTTTCAGATTAGTAATGTGCTTTTTCCTCGCGAGCTTGGTCCTAATGTACCTGCCCACTCATTGGAATCTAGAGCATTCCTTATTCTCGTGTGAGTTATCATCCCGCACCGCCGGTGAGGTTTTATTAGCCGCTCGTCTTCCTTATTTTTTAACTTCGGAATACTTAGGCGCTGGTATTCTCGTTCCAGTCAACTTAACCCTCCGTTACAGCCATGAGTAGGCTTCGCCCCCCACCTCCCCTTAAGCTGCCTTTTCTATCCTAGTTGTCTTTCCACCACACTTGTGTTGTTGCCAACGTTGCACTCGGTCTTTGGACGATTTTGTTTGTACGCGTTGCATTAGCTTTTCTACTCAGTGCAGACCATGTTTTTATTTTATATATGTATTGCAATAAATCCAGTGAACACTTATCCAAACAACCCTCGTGCTTTCTCACCACCGCAATCGACTCGGAAGGCACTTGAAGACACCGACATACAAGGCCTCCGAGGCTTAGAGTTGCGGCCTGGCGCGGATACTTCCAGTAAGCTCAATCTCTTTGCGAACAATACCCAAACACTCGCACATTATAGCCACACCCAATGGACACACTGGCCGTGCTTCGAGCAACACTCCCCGTTCAACGCCGCAGCATTGGTGCATTCTCAGCGAGGCGCCGTCGGTTCCATATGTTCAACTTTGAAATATGCGCCACCCAAACCTCAATCAACTCAGCCTACAACAAGACACTCTGACCCATTTTACAGCCACGAGCAGGCTTCGCAGTTGTGTGCTCGCGTTATCGCATATCTCTTTGCTTGTCCCGTTTTACAGCCATGAGTAGGCTTCGCGTTTTTAAGGAATCAACTTGATGTATTCATCAATGTCACTTAGGCTAGGATACAAAATAACACAATGTCCGAAGATGATTAACCCCCACGTCAGTGACTGAACAGGAAACACCACATCGGCAACGAGAGATCATTGGTAATGAAAACAATACGAAGTTGTAGGAGAGACGTTAACGAAGGAAAGACAAAGTCACCATAAGTCACGGAGGAGCAAGCATGTGCGGAGGATATGTTGAGGCCGTTATATACCCGCTCAATGATAGCTGCAACATTAAACTGAAGCGAACATGTCGAGTAGAGTCTGGGGTCTTTTCGTCGTGAATGCCGTCAGGGTGTTCGGACTTTGTTTGCTCAGGGTTTGAAGTTGTTAGAAGGAACCGAGGAAGGTCCGACTGATAACAGGGTACCGGAAACCGTAAAGTGAGGCCTTTCTCAGATGTTGTAATATGTTTTCAAGCAAGGTTCAATCTAATTAATCATTCTGGAGGCCCTATTACTAGCCTAGTAGGGCCCAGGCGGCGCTTGTTGTGTCGGAAAACCTCGGTACGTGTCCTAGACAGATTTGATACTACGACCCTGAAACCAAAATTATCAGATTATCAGCACCAATTAGATGGGGAGCTCCCCAGTACTACTGCACTACTCAAAAAATCTGCAGGTAAGATGACACGTTGTTACTAAGAATCTACAACAGGCGCTATATGATTCTGATTCTCATGCCAACTTTAAATTCAGCTGGCAGTGTGTATCAATGTTGCCATATTAATATTGTTGCCACAAAACAGCGCAGTGAGCCACTGTGAGTCTGATAAACGCGTGACCTGACGACTTGTAGTAGGGGTGATATGGAAAGCGAGAGTGATCAGCTCGAGAGAAAGTGGTCAGCTCAACTTGAGTTCAACGACAGTGATCAGCTTCGCCCAAAAAGTATGAGGGCCCGTATTGGACAAAATTCTAGAGTTTTGCTTTGAGCTTGATCTCGAGTTTGATCTTACCGAATAAGGAAGGTGTGTCCTTCGACAGGGACAGCAACATTGACCTTGACTTTGACTTTGACTTCTGCCTCGACGTAACCATAACTCTACTCTATGTGATTAATACAGTTTATGTTGAATTACAGCCAATTCCCCTCGTGACCGTGACTGTTAAGCCCAAGGATGTCGGCGCTATTGGTAAAATCGCGTTTCGTCGCTGTTTCCCACGCTTGCTCGCTGTGTGCCACTAGTGGCACACGACGACGACGACCACGCCAAGCACACTACGAAGCATAACGCAAGACAACTTCAACAGTTGCACAGCTTATTCGTATTAATTACAGCGATGGGTATCAATAAATTCCCCTTGAGACTATCGAGCTGCTCATGAAATACTTCATTAGGCTGATTTGCCTTGACTGCTGATGGTGACTTTGTGGAATTACATGGGTCATCAACAGCAGAAGCAGAAACAATGGGCATCGAGGACGGCAGTCCGACGTGTTGCGCGCCGTAAATGGATGTGAAGAAAGGGAGGGTGATACTCCACCACTAAGCTTCGGAGCAGGATGGCCAAACCGAGCGTCGTAGGGGAAGAACTCGGTCTAGGAACAAGCAGACGTGAAAAATTGTCAGTAGCGTATACATAAAATAAAATGAACAAAACCATCACGCTTGTCGCCTCCAAGAGGCGTGTTGGACCAGGGATATAATGGTTCACGCCGCCAACGGACAACAAAACGAACAAAAAACTCACCAACCATCGTGCCGGGAGTTGTCCGTGCGTTCTGGGGGTGAGCGCACAGTGTCGTTGGGGCTTGGCGTTGGGTGGATGCGGGAAACGTGCGTGGTGACATAGTTATTGAGTGTGCGGGCGATGTGGACGCTGGACTTTCTGCCGGCACTTGCCGAGGGTCAAGCTCAACATCAAAGTCAAGCTCAACACATCAAAATCAAAATCAAAACATCATAGTAACGCGGAAGACATTCCAACATCTAAGCTCAAGTCAAGTTTCGCAAAGCCAAAAGCGAAAAAACAATTTGTCCAGTACGGTCCCTTATAAAAAAGGCTTTTGTTTGGCTTTCCCCCAGGCGGCCCAGACCCCTAATCACACTCTGAATCTCATTACATTACTTATGCTTTTGTACTTCCGTAAACCGACTCTAACTTACACATCTATGTTCTACACCTGTGATACAAGATGAGCTACTTCAATGCATACAAAGAGGTACCGGTCGAAGCTGATCACTCTCGCTTTCCATAGGGTGACGACTCAGTACTCAGCCGTGACGGATAGTGTACTGCACTACGATGTCACTGGCCTAAGGTTTTTGATCATCACGATGTTTGCGGCTCTCCGAGTCAAGGTAACACCCGCTATCGGGAAGGAATGATCGTCTTCTCTCCATATAAATATTAGTCTTTCCAGGGAATGAATGATTGCAAGGCATCGAGCTTTGAGGACTAAACGTTTGGGTGGATGCCCGTGGCAGAAATGCACCCAGCGTGTTTTGACGTTACTCTCGATCATCTGCACTGCGATCACTGCAGACCACTAATGCTGTCTACACGTGCGTATGAACGTTGATCCATCCGAATCCTGATTTGCAAATTCAGGGTACAAAGCAAAAGATCAGTTTAACGTCTTCGGGCTTGTCCGATACTACCTCATGTTTTCACTAACTGAAAATAGCTGCCATGCCTGGGATTTGAGCCTTCTAATCTGCGACGAGCGTTTACCAGCCACTGATCTATGATGGCTGGCAGTAGAATGGGCCCCACGGCAGGCGTAATGAAGCGATTAAAGTTGCGCTTGCTGGCGTGCTGTTTTCCTTCTTCTCGTTCTGTTCTTTCCAACTCCCCAGCCATTTGAACACATAGCACGAACGTCCTCCTAGTACAAGTTCTTTTGTGCACAACACTCAGTGAAGTTCATGATGGAAACTGTGTACCCTTCTCCGATGGACGATACCAGGTGCGTTAACTGCAGTCATGTTTCACGACACGGGACCGATTTTCACAAAGACAGCCCTCTGATATCGATTCAACATATCATTTTTCTCAACCTGGGTCTGATTGCCAGAGCGACTGTCACAGGTGATATCTGACATCTATCCGCCGCATCGACACACTGACTAACACCATGATAGTCGATCAGTTCCCGAATATTACAGTGTTGAAATCTCCAGTACGACGCTCTTATCTAACTACTTTCGATGCTGAGAGATTTTCACAGACATTGAAATGACCCAGTTACCAAAAGTCGGATGGCTTTCGCTTGATGACCACTTTTGGCTTCAGATCACTGCCGACGGTAAAGTAGAAGAAACGAGCGTAGAGGGTCGTGGCTCTCTGCGCTGGCAACACAAGTTCACTTTGTATGTATGTTCATGTGTTCCAAACCTTGTTCGTAAATCTTGTTTTAGCAACATGCGGAAGTCATCCGCACTCTCCTTTCAGTTGTATGCTCGGCGTTATGTCCATGAAAATAAATTCATAGGCAAGGTGGAAAGATGCGTCGACACGCTGGTGACACATCCAGACGATAGTGCGCCTCTTTCTCCTTCCTTAATGAGCTCATAGCTGAGCATCGCAAACAGCTGTCTTCAGGGGTTGGCATAACCCTGAGTATACTGACAGTCTCGAACATACATCCCTGATATGCAGGATCACGAAAAGGAATATCTCTCCTGATGAGGCAGCCGCGTCAGCAGCAAAGGCTCAGCTATGTATCTCTAGTCCGTAGAATGACAGACCCCCTCTCTTGACTACTTACTCATAATTACCTCTCAGAGATCATCGTTCACCACCTTCCAAGAATTAGGCTCGTATCCCTGGATGATCACTTCTTCGTGCAAATTGAAGTAGATGGCAAAATAACCAGTGTCACGAAGGTACAAAGAGGACACTCACCACAATGGGAGGGTGAATATCGTTGGTGAGTACAGCCATTTGATTATATTCTTGTCTATACTAAACAGCTTTTGTGGTCAAGTGAATACCGAAAGGACTCTCGAATCCAACTGAAGATCTTCGCGCATCGCCGTGTTCACGAGGATCAATTTGTAGGTGTAATCAGCGATGAGGTAGAGTCTTTACTGCGGCGGGGCTGTCAGTTGCGTTCTTTGTTGGTCGACAGTCACTCATCTACATATCACAGTTATCAGGCGACAGATTTCGGAGATTGATCAGATCGGAAAAGAGCACCCACTTCCTGCAAGCATGGAGTTTCAAATTGCATCCTTGACCCCACCTACTTCAGATGGCTCCCAGCGTGCGGACGGTAAACATGACATCCTGGGTGGCGGGGGGGTCGCCCACGCACTAACATCGACCACAATTGCTGTGGAGGTCTCAGGCAAGTACCTTATGTTCCAAACTTCCTTGTGATCTTCATCGATTTTCCAGATATTTACTTGACTCAACTGCCGAAAATTGGAATGGTCGCATTCAATGATCAATTTTTTGTCCAGCTGGTGGTCGAGGATATCATGGAGACTCAAACGACCAGCTCAAAAACTCAGCAGAGTGGTTCGATATGCTGGAATGAGAAATACATTTTGTAAGTTAGGCCTTGGAAATTCATCCACCATCATTATTAACTAGCACTAGCCATGTTCCGGAGACGGCCTTGCTGTCACTCCAAGTTTATGCCCGACGCCACATTCACAATGATGAGTACATTGGAATGGTGAGCGGCCGAATTGGGGCATTTATGCAGAGCTCTGGATGTAGGGCATTAAAATATTGTGCTACTGGCTATCATTTACCTTCATGTGCAGGCTGTGATAGGCAGCTCGTTGTGTTCGACAAGCAGAGCCAAAGAAATCTGGAGACAAAACTTTCATTTCGAATGACGCGAAGTTCGACCTCTCATGGAAGCGAACACGGCGGGGATTCTATGTGTTCGTCGTCGCGACAATCTAAGGATTTTAGTTCACAGCAGCATGTTGACGTCGCTGATCGTGCTGTCGCGGCGATGATATCGCCCACACCGAAGGGTTGTGTGCAAGGGGACACTAATCCACTCTCTGTTCAAGTCGTAACAAGTTTCGTTGATGACACAGCGGATGCGTTCCAGCCCCTCTTGTCAGGGATCACCACTTTTGTTAAAATTGCTCGCACTTTCGCAGAGGTATGGCCAGAACTTGACCTTGAGCACCTTGGAGCTGATTCATTTATTCTCCACATGGTAGGCCCATCCGTACACCAAGATGGCGCTCATGGTTCTGACTGCAGGCTACGAGGTTTGTGTTCTCACCTTGAGCTTTCGTTGCAAATTCACCGAATGTGTAGGTTATACAACGGCAGCTCGCTCGTGATGATAGTATTCGACGATTAGCGTCCATCATGTGTGAGAGCTACGGCCTAGTATCGAATGCCCCAGATTTGTGCAATTTCCATGGTCAAGCGGAGACCGTAAACTTGCTCGCTCGTCAAACAATAGAGTGTGCATACTTTATTCGTGACTATGCCATTCATAAAAGTGGACGTAAGCGATCGAGATTAAGCATCATGCAGTTCCAGAATTAACAGTTATCCAGTGAAGCATAGCATCGCCAATGTGTTTTCGAACATCGATGAAACCATCCAGAATTATGAAGCTGCCTTCAGAAACATCAGGACAGCTCTGGAGCAAAAAGCTGTTATCAACACTCAATTGGTCGTTTTTCGCATACATGATGCCTTGAAGGACCTCGGTAAGTAGTTCTCCGTTGTCGGGGGGCAGCATTACTCACCAAGCTCAGCCATTAAAGTAGATCTTGATACCCTACCTTACGCGACTGGCGCCTCGTACCATGCGCAGAGGATTTACGATATCTCACTGGAGGATATCCATGTCGCTGAGATCTCGGACTGGGTAAATGGCAAGAGCAGTGAAGCAATCTATCTGCTGATCGGGCCTCACGGATCCGAGATCAGCGCAGTTGCCCATGCTGCAGCTCGCCAATTCGACAACATATCTCGTCTAGGATCGTCATACTGTCTTGACAGAACACGTCAAGGTCAGAGAAAGCCGGCTAATCTTTTTAGCACGATCGCTCGGGATCTTGCAGATCACGACCCTGAGTTCATGGTTTGTCTCAGGGACAAGGTGAAACGGCGGGCAATAGGCTCTTCCCCACATATTCCCACGCAGTTCGACTTCATCCTCGCACCGGCGCAACAGATGACGAGCTTGGGACCTGTGCTTGTTGTAATTGACGGGCTCGACGCATGTGGTGATGTTAATTCACGTACGGAGGTTGTCTCTGTCCTAAAGGAGAAGGCGAAAGTTCTCCCGCCTAGCTTCAAATTCTTGATTACCTGCCTGCCGGAGACTGATGTAGCCATCGCCCTCCGCGACGAACCCCATGTCCTAGCCAAAGAGCTTGATGCGGTTGTTACCGTACAACCTCGTGACAATGGACTGACCACAGTCAGAACTAAACCTCGCCCACTCACCCCTCCAATCCAGACCGAGTTGTCACAATCCGATTATTTCTCTTTCTGCGGATCTGCCTCAAGTGCTGTTTCGTCAAGTAGCATAAGCTCCCTCGCGCCTTCCATTTTCGATGAAGGACTTCGTACCTTTAGCCCTGATACATCGTCTCCAGCATCCAGTGTCACCTCATGCACGGATGCAGGGTCCCCAAAGCGGTTCGTCGGCACATTCAAACACATCGAGACTAGAGAAAAGGCAATTTCCTTTGATGAAGCTGGTCTGCAGACTGTTACGCACACATCCCTGAAGCAAACCGTTAAGCAGCACGTCAGTTCGAATCCGCGTCGTGTCCAATCATACACCCCTATTCTTGATGAGCCAAATGCTTGCTTATTCATTCCCGGGCCTACTGCTCCAACCGAAGACAACTTGGCGGTTGTCCCTCCTCGATGTGATAGCCCTCGTCCAGCAAGGCGGAGACGTACACCCCGACAAGAGACTATCATCCGAAGCGAGATACAAACCACCGGACCTCAGTCTATCACTCTTCTTTCGCCATGACAATTTACCAGATATTCTACTGAGCACACCTCTTCGGAAGAAGGTTGGGGGGCCTGACTCGAGTCATGTTTTGGTCGAGAGTGTCATATTTCTATGTACTTGTATCAATATGATGTTACCCGCACCATCGTGGTGGTTTTCAACGCTGTCAATAGCAATACTCCCATGTACACCATACACATTTATTCGTACTATACCTGTATACTGCCTTGCAAATACCACTCCCAGATTCGGCACTGACTCCGGGACCCCCAAAGAAGGGGTCATATAATAGCCCAACGTGAACTTCCGAGTTTATTACTCTTTTCCGACGAGTTTGAAACGACGAGGAGGGTGTGATAACACGGAGAAGAGATGGCAGGAAAAGCCAAAGCACGGTATGTGGCCTCTTAATCTAGTGACTTTCTCTTGACAATGGCCTTGTGGCAATATTATTTTCCTTTCGCCAACGTCTTCCTGCCAGAACAATCATCGTCCGCTTGATTTCCACTGCTCAAACAGGTTTCTTCTACACCACGCTGCGCCCAAGGCAGGGTCCTAAGCTCGCTGCCGTCAAATATGATCCTAAAGGTTGGTGTTGGTGTCCAGGTGGTTGGCCAAGATTCTGAACTGGTTCATTTCAGTTAAAGCTCGCGTACTCTTCGTAGAGAGCAAGAAGACGAAGAAGTAGTGAGGTAGTTGCTGCAGAATTTCTATTGCTTTTGCGACACTTAGAGATTCACGCCAGCCTACGTTGAATCTGAGTGGTGCTCAACCCCGCACTACGCACACTCTTGACAATATGCTATCCGCCGCGCTCTAATAGATGTTCAATATAGGTGGCATACGAACCCGACTTCCATGTGGTAAAATCCCTGTTCAAAGCTCCATACAGAACAAGACATTGTCAAGTAAGTTGCGGAGGTACACCTGAACTACATATAGCGAAACATATCCTACACGACCCTGCTCACCAAAATGTCTGTCCTGACTGCGGACTACTCGGTATATTCTGCGGCGCTACCCCACTCTGGGGAATTGATGTCGACGATTGTGATTGGGCTGGCTTGGGAGCCTCCAGATCCTTCCGATACTCAATTTTCTCGACCCGCACTTCGCCTTCAACGAGCTGATATACATACGTGACAACCACAGCGCCTTGAATGTCCATCAGTGCAAAGGATGGTGTTATTTCACTAAGAATAGGAATTGAGCAAGCAGGATGGGGGCGGAATGATGTGAAGGCCGTACCCGCTGTATGAACCTGTCCATGCGCCAGTCGCAGACCCAGGGTTCACAAAGAAACGACCGTCATATTCAATTGCCTGGAAGCTTATTTGAATCACATCAGAATGTCAACTATCGTGTAGATGCTGCGGAGTCAACACACGTATGAGTATGCCCTGAAACGAGCACGTCTACGTCCATTTGCCGTGCTAATGCACTGAGCGCATCGAGGTCGCCAGTCGGCACGCACTGGTGCCCATGAATCACTCCGATCCGTATTGGGGTATGCACTATGGTCGCAGATAGCGGAAAGCTCGCGCTCTAGGTCGTCTGCAGGTCAGTAATAACTCTACCACAGCATAAACGGAAAGTGATCATTATGCACCTCATCGTAGTCCCCTCGGACAACATACACATCTCCTGCTATGGTACGCAGGTACTCGTAGGTCTCGCGGTCACAAACGTTCCCTGTGCAAAGGATCTGTTGGATTTTTCCTGGAACAAGAAGTTTCCGGAATTTGGCTGGGAGGTCGTGTGCGCGGTGTGGGATGTGCAAGTCACCGATTATTAGGACAAGCACCATGTTGCACACATATAGATGGTACTCCCTTGAGGGAAGTTCAAGCTTCAGGTCGTCAGTGGGAAAGTATTATATAAGCGGCACGTTAATGCCGGTTGTCCGTCCTTCTCTTCCTATTTGCCGCGCTTGCAGGAATGGCTCACTCGTTGTCTCCAGAATGTACGCCATTGAAGCACGAGTATGATGCGTGCTTCAATACTTGGTTTGAGGGCTACCTCGAACCGGCTATTTCGAATGCCAATACCAAGGGACATCCACAAGGTCAAAGAATCGAGTACTCAAAGCAAAAGAAGGAAGAGTACGACCGCAAATGTGGGAGTATCTGGGCGAGGTACAAAGATTGCGTGCAGGTAAGCCCCTTTAATTCCAGCTCTTTTCTCCGCTTTACAGGGAATAATTTCCTGAGCGACCTCAATCCACTAGATCCAGTGCTCGTTCAACATTTGATTATGGTTCCGGCTCCCGCTAAAATTCGATGCTGACCTCTTCCAACATAGAAAGCTGTTACAGAGAAAGGTTTGGGCGAGTTACTTGGCCAAGCACGGCAAGAGAACCCGCTTCGCGAACCTCCGCCACCAGACGCATCTGGATCATCATGACCTGCTTGCCGCTTGATTCGCTGCATTCCGATAACCCCTGAAAGTTGCTGCAGCAAGTCACCTGGCCCAACAGAAATCCGTTTCTAAACACACACGTATCTACCTGTCCCCATGATGCAGCCTGTCTTGTCGTCCCCGCTGCTCATTTATCCCTATTTTGGAAATTGTCCCCGCAATTGAATATTACCTACAGTGTTGTAAGCAGAGGCACGCTGAGAGTATCAGAACAGCATGGTGAAATACAATAATTTAGCTGCAATCGCAAAGGAGATCATTGTGTAATAACGAAGTTGGGCCCATGAGTCGAGCGGCATACTCGTGTCAAGCCAGCTTTACACCTCTCTAGCCTCAAGTTACATAGTAGAGAACAAAATCGACACCTGGTCATGTCACCGAGCAAGTACAAACTGTGTATTCCAGACCCACGCACGTGCCATCTAAAGAGGAATATTTCAGCCCATGAATCAACCATAATCAATCACTTAAACTGCATACCTCGTGAATAATCACATAGCGGACGTTGCACTCAGGCGCGGACATACTTTGCTGAGTGCATCTTCTTCATCAAATCCCGCACTTTCAACACTGGTAATGGGTGAAGCAGCTCTGTCATGAGTAAAGGACGTAAGTCCCGAGGTAGAGCTCTCCGACGATGAGCGGGACGACGTGGATTCTTGCCGATCTTCAAGGTTGGGTGGTGGGGAAGAGGCGGGGGCGAGGGAGGGGGGCGATGGAGATAAAGTATTGGGCAATACATGATTTTCCGCGCCGAAACGATTTGATTCTTCCTGTTTAGCAGTAAAGCTAGTTTCTCCTAGTTGCCGGCGTACGATATGCGGTAAGCGGCGAAAGGCCTTGCATATATCCTCCTCCGGGCGGCAAGTGATCAGAAATCGGAGGTTTCTGGGAAGATTGGAGCCTTTTCCTGCAAGGACAGCCAATACATCCTTCCTTGACGCTTCATTTCCTCCTAGTTCCAGGCCATCAATGATTACCAAGAGCGGTCCGGTCAAGACGACATCTCTAGAGGGAGCGAGGACGAATCCCTCAAATTGGGTTTTCACATCCTGTGTCTTCCGTAGGCTTGTATTGTCAGCCACGGCGAGCTGGAGGTTTTCCTTAAACTGGACATGGTGATCTGCCAAGTCGCGGGCGATCGTCGAGAACAAGTTTGCGTACGTCCGATTTTCAGAAGTTCTCGGATTTCGGAAGCAATATGAAGAGCCAAGTCTCGAGGCGAGGCGGAAATGCTCTCCAACAAGCTGTGCAATGGCCCTGCACGGCTTTTCTGGACCGTAAACAACGCAAATTCTCTCCGAATCTTTACTCTCGCCGTTTACCCAGCTCTGTATTGATGCTATGACATCAGCTGGGGGAGGCGTAGTCGCACAAGATGTTGCGGTAGCGGAACATGCTGTTATACATCTGGCGTCATTTGCGTAGGCCATATCTCGAAGAATTGCCTTTGCGGCTATACGGATTATCATTTATTATAGGTAAAGTCAGCAGATAATCGGTGGACTCACCGTGATCATGAAGTTCCTCGTGTACTTTGGAAACGGTGACGTGCGTATTAATCGATAATTGTAGGTGAAATTTGTGCATTAAGTCTTTGAATGCGTCCTCGTGTTGTTTTATTTCGGTTTCAGCGTTCAGTATCGAATTCGTAATCGCTTGCACCACTTCATAAATGTTTTGAACCGTAAGTACATATTTCCATCATGTGCAGAACACTCACGCTTGCTTCGGTTGTCGACGTAGTCGCGGATGAAGTATGCGCAATTTACTGTTTGCTGGGCGATGTCATGGAGGATCTGCTCTCGCTCCTGCAGGCGCAGAAGTGCATCTACGGATGTAATAAGGTCGTATGTTTCTCGCATCGCATGTAGGACTCGACGGATGCCGCGGTCGCAGTTGGCTCGCGATCTTATGACCTGATGAAGAAGAGAGTCAATATCATATTGGAAGTCGAAAAAACTATATCTAAACCTCATAAGCACTGGTAAGTATCGTGAATGCCATCTTCGCATAAGGATGAATCTGTGAGGGAGTGAGGCTGATCTTTTCGCGCAAGTGATCAAGGGGGAAGACATACACTACTTAATCTTTCCGCTACTGTAACGAAGACGCCGATCTTTGCCAGAAGAGGCGAAAGATATACATCACCATGAACGCTACCGACAGCCTGGGTTATAGCATCGTGGATGATACTGTGGTGTTCTTTAATGTTCCCCTGACGAATTAGATCCGCGACACGATTGGCTGCCGCAGAAAATTCCTGCCTGACGGGACTTGCAAGCTGAGATCCTGCCAACGTGACACCAGGCCGTGCAGCTCTAAATGATAAAGTCGGTGCATCCGTGCCCAAAAAGGTGGCAGATGATGTGAGTTGTCGTCGTACAACTATGATTTCCTAAATCAGTGTACCACATCCAAGAAGGCGCAGTGCTGACCGCCCTTGGGCTGAAGAAGCTCATCGAGGCTTCCAAAAATGGTTTTGCCGATGACTATCTCTTTCCTATCTTTTCCGTCGTAACCGAATACCCGAAACATGAATCTAGAGGTCTGAGAGACTCCCCTAGGATGCTTGAGCCATTGCAACGTCATTTAACTTGAGACGACCTACAAAGTGAACACTGTGTCCCAAGTAAAAGACCTATTTTCTTGGTGCCCTTCTGACTTGATCGTTTGAGACTCTCCTTTATCTTCCACAGAGAGTTCAAGGAAGAATCGATCGTCACAAGACAACTTCCCGAATCTAGGAACACGGTCCAGGTCCAGGATGACAGCTATCGACTCTCAGCACTGACAGGAAACCTTGAGCTAATGGCGTACCAGAAATATCCAATGCATCGATCCGCTTGTTCAGCGTGATGTCCAGGACATTTTGCTCATCCGCTGTATGGCTAAGGTCCTCCTCGCGATAGTTATATGCGGTAGGAACTCCTGACACTTGAGAAATGTTGAATTCTACATGAATGTCTGCACCCTTTGGGCACCTAAGCGTTTGGCGAACAACTGCAAAATACGTGAGTGGGCTGAGCGAAGTGTGATAGGTCACTAACCGCCACCAGGAGCAGAAAGCCATTGCTTTAGTGGGCAACGCAACGCAGCGATTGCTTCGTCAGAATGCAAGTAACGTTTTGCAATGATTTCTAGCGAAGCTTGTGATGCATTGTTGTACGGCCTGTATCGATGGCAAACCCCCCTAAGGTGGCGCGTATATAAGTGACATCAACGGACTTACAGTTGATAGTTGTTTGTCCACCTGTAGTGCCCTTGTTTGGATTTTTTGGGGCTAGTTTCTAGGGTAGTGTCATCCACAACGAATTGAACAAAGAAAGCGTCGGTATGGATACGGCTGATTCTGGGCAAACCTTGCAAATCAACATCTGAAGAAGTATGAGCGATGCGACGTTTCATGATTGTCAAGATTGCGCACTGCAAATTCGCAGCCATTCGAAACTAGAAGATGGCGTAATCTTGAACTCAATCCACACTTTGTGATCTTGGGTTCCATACGGCTTGATAGTCCGACCAATGGCTAACCACGAGTTGGTTCAGTGTATTTCGAGAAAGTGTTGAACTGAACTTACGGCTTGGACACCTCAACAATGCTTCGAATGTGTCTTCAAACGTGCCAATTCTCTTGGGTTTGTGTAGTAAGTCGTGTGCGAAAACATCGAAGACGATCGTGGGCGACTCGATTATATTGCTTGAGCAGTAGAGTGCTTAGAGAGTCTCACTAGAATTACAGTTATCAGGGACTCACAAGCGATACTTTTGGCGCCAGGATGAGGTCAACCACCCTGCGGTACTTGTCCTCTGAAGCTGACCACCAACGATAATATGTACGGAGAATCGGTCGTCCAATGGGTTAATCCCAATTGTTGGAAGGTTGCGCAGAGCGATATCTGTTACGGTGATGAGTCCTCCGACGGTTGCGTGCAGTAGACAAACGCTGACCAGATATCTTTACTGCTGATATTTTGCCATTCACAAAGGAAGGGACGTCGCTGACCAAAGTCTGATCAGTGGAGTTCCTGCCACTATCGAGACCGTGAGCATGTGAGCAAGATGGACGGTACGCCCCGAGAAATTGCAGCAACGTACCTGGGACGGTCGTCATCGTGGTTCGTCTGCATCTGTTGATGCCAAAGCTTGTTCCTGAACTTTTCTTTTTCAGTTGGGGCGAGCTGAGTGACACAATTTCGTACCTAGTGTTTCGGGGTGGAAGTGAACTAGCTTCTAATGGTCACGGCGTAGATGGGAGTCGGATGGGAGCAAGCTGCAAACTGAAAGAGAAGCCAGCTCTGATCAGTATATATATACATTGTTTACCTTGACCTCCTTGCAAATCACTGCAAAAGACGCCCTACTGGCAAACAGGGCGTGCGTCAATCGGAGAGCCTGAGACGAATGTACGAGGTGTTTGGAGCCAACAAGCCTCGTGAAAGTACTATGTCTGCTTCGTGAGCGTTCGATGACTCCCCGTGAAGAAGCATTACAACTGAATCAAGCCTAGATCTAAACTTTGAAATTATGAGCGTGCATCACCGCGGCGTGACACGAGGTAGGCAGACGACTGTGCAATCATATGCCTACTAGGTCTAGCGACACAGTCAGAAACCTCACCATGTTCTAAATCTTAGTATGTCAGGTACCACGGGCCCATTAGTTACGATCATTAGACCCTTAGTGAGATCTGAGACCGAGTTGCTGGCCAGCCTGAAGGAGTACTGCACGAGCTACTACTAGTTCCCCGCGGTAGCCAGACCAATCGAAGGAAGACAATCGTTCCTTCGTATTAAGTAAGGCAGATCATAGCTATACAGAACTTTACGTCACCAAGCACTATGTCACAATAGCCCTCGCCGCGTCACTCGGCAGCGAGTGGTAAACCACGTAGTACATACTATAATATAATGGCGCTGTGCACAATTAATATAGGTCCCGGCCCACACGTCACGAATGTAGTTAACTACTTGTTGATACATCAGTGACACCGTATCGATATGCATTTTAAGTTAGAGGGCGATCGCATCCTGCATCATCAGGTCCAAGTGCATCCCTACTTAATACTAAGCGCAAGCGCGATAAACATCATTTCCGAACTTCGCGCCTCATGTAATGAATGCGGCGTAATTCTATAATATCCACAGAACCAGTGCTTGAACTTCGACTTCTTCTTGACGCCTGCAATGCGCAACCAAGGCGCTAAAGTCTTGCATCGTGACCTCTTTATCGTGACTCATGGAAGAGAAGTATATCGCTGTTTTTTCAAGACTTGATTATGACGAGTCATGACAACACGTTGTCGGTTGCTGCCTGTTCAAATACGCCATCCCACGAGGGGAAACCTGCCCATAAATTATAATAGAAGTTGCGAACATGACCCTACTTAGCAGTCAAATGCTTCACCGACGGACCCAGATCTTTTAACTGGGTGTACTATATCGCAGTCAGGTCTTCCTTATACCTGAGAAACGTCGGAGATTGATATTAGAAGGATTCATACTAATTGTGCTTAGTTGAAACATGCTACGACCAGCGATCAGGTGGTTCGTAACCAGGTGTCGGTGGTCTGCAGGTTGGATCGTCTGCGCCATTGCGTCTTCTATTTGATATAAGTACTAGTTTTCTGTCTGCGACTCTCCAAAATAGGAGTACAAAGTTAAACATCACCAGCGATACCACTCGGCTACACTCGGGATGAGAACCCATGAAAAATGTATGGCTCATGGCCGGAGACCATGTATCCTGGATTTACGGAATGATGATATGAGATTTGGTGCATCGAGCATACCTGTAAAGCACGGGTGATGTGGCCATTCTTCCTATGGGACATAAGTATACTCGCCGGAGGAGAGGATTCATTGCCAACTGGACGCACAGTTTTGCTTGCTATCAGATACAGTTTCAGTTTCTTTGTCAAGTTTTACAGCTCCCCACGGCAAGAAGAAATGGGCGACAATACAAGTTATGCCCGGAGGACTGTCACGGTAGGTGTCAAGGCCACCATTAATGATTAAACGTGGCGCACGCATTTGCGAAGGAGAGTACGCAGATGAAGATATATCATATATGAGTGGCGAGCCACGTTTTAAGACTGGATGGGACTTGGTAACCCTGACTCCCTGACTTGACGCAGTCACTCAAACGGGTCACATGAGCCACTCACTTTGTCGACAAAGGCAGCCCCTCCTGGGCTCTCCTGGGGCCAAGATTCGGTTGGATTCTTGGTGAGGACTCTATGTATAGCTTTTGGCACCTATGTAGAATTCGAATGCTAGTCTACCAGTGTTATATGGTTGGTAGCACACAGAGTTGTGAATGAAGATATTGAAGTAGGACTCCGGCCTTACATGAACATAACGTAGTAGCGGGAGTCATCAGCAAAACACTTTTTTTCCCACCACCAAAAAATGGCTGGCCACAGCTTGGTCCCTTCTGTACAGAGCTGTACAGAGCCCACAGAGGCAAAGTGATTTGCTGATGGTGGTCCCTCGAGCTCCTGGCCAACTTGAAATCCGCAGCTCTTGCAAAGTCCAGTAGGATCGATCACAAGATTATTTGGAGCTGTCAGCAAGCTTCAAGGTCCAATAATGCCACAACCACCCTAGGATCGGTAGGGATCATGGTGCTGCACTGGCAGAAGCTGCGTTCCGAACTTCCGACATCAATTCAGTTGGTCTCGGATCACTTCTACCCCATATGCATACAATGAGCTTACTCAGTAGTCCCTATTAAGGCGAAGATCAAGCGGACTTTCCAGTAACGGTACGCTAACTTAAGTAAAAACGACGCGTCAACGCCACCCACGTTTGCGGAGTGTTTGCGGCGCAACGATTCCAGGCATCCTCTACATACATCGAGGACTTAAAGTCAGGTACTTCGAGTTGATGATAATTCGATGAGCAGCTTTGGAGCTGGATGTGCTAGTTTGGCCCATCTGTAACAGGAGCTTATGGCCCCATGTTTCCAGCAGTCCTTATCAGCCAAATTAGAACAAGGGTGACACGCTTGGCTTGGCGTTCAACATGCATGAGATGAGCATAACGACAACAGTTCGTGTTCATGAAGGCCTGGAGAATTTTTTTTTACATAGATTAGCACAAGTGAAAGGGGTTAAAGCGGTTGTACCTCCACCAGTATCCGCGCTCCAGAGAACCTACATAGCATGTTCCAACAGTAGTATTAGACAACAGCCTACAGGGCTAGCAACAAGTACACTACACAAAATAACAAGATGCGGATACCTATAAGCCATTCACAGCAGAAGCACCGAAACCCGCTGAAGCCACATCGGGAGCACCGAATACACAGCAAAGATGGGGCACGGAGGCCATGCGGTACACAGATAAAGCAAGAAAACCGATTACATATAAACGTGAATGTGTATCGCTGTACTGCGGGAATGTAAGTGAACTCCGCATCAGTGCATGAATTAGATGTTGGTGTAGCTCCCTGCAAAGTGACGATAGTCAGCGCCCATAGAAGGGAAGGAAGGGAAGGAACCTACAAATCCGCGCCTGCCAATCACCACTGCCCGTAGCCAGGATGCTGCCTGCAGGGCTCAAATCAATAGAGATGACTGCAGCACATTTCATTAAAAGGGTCTTCGGTTCGGAATCATTAGAACATTCATACCAGAGTTCTTGTGTCCTTGGAGCATGCACTGCGTTGTCGCGGTGTGCGAGTCCCAGAACTGGACACCGCGGTCCTTGGACCCTGACACAACCCACTGCCCATCATGCGACACGGCAACGGAGAGCACGTAATCCTGTGTGGACATGAAATGAATTGGATCGATGACGTGAATAATAGGTCCCCGCTGGGACTTATTGCTTACAGTGTGACCCAAGAAATTCATCGTGCACTGGCTGCCCTTATCGTCTTTCTTCCCATTTGCAACCGCCTCCTTGCGTTTCGCGAGAAGACCACTAACGTCCCAGTATTTGAGCGTCTTGTCCAAGCTGCCACTGACGAGTCCCTTTCCGTCAGGCGTGAACGCAACGCTGTAGACACTGTCCCTATGACCCCGCAAGCGTTCGATGAGCGAGCCCGTTCCTACGTCCCAGATGCGTACAACGGTGTCAAGACTGCCAGCCGCGACGAGTTGGCCATTTGGTGAGATAGCGACGGAGGTCACGCCTGCATCGTTGTTGACAGGGTCGGCGTCATTGATCGTGAGCACTTTAGAGGACCCATCAACCATGTCCCAGATACGGGCTGTCTTATCGCCCGATCCCGAGACGATAAGCCTGCCATCTAAGGAAAAGTCAAGCGAGTAAATCTCTTGCTGGTGTCCGTCGAAAACGTTGCGAATGCGTTTCTTGGCAATGTCCCATATCTGTAAGGCGTAATCAGTACATGATCCAGGTGGAAAAACAAGGTTTGGCGCACTCTGATCTGCTTATCTTCAGCGCCTGTTGCAAGATACTTCCCGTCGGGGCTAAAACAAACACTTCTGATATACAGGTCACCTGCCTTTCCAGCCGATTCATCTGTAAGGACACTGTAGGTTCAAGGGTAATGAGATAAACTACTGAAATTAAGCTCGTCACCTACCAGGTCTTTACGCCCGTTTTTGTGTCATATATCTGGGCTGTGCGATTACAGCCAGTGGCGAGATACTTGCCATCCGCAGAAAACCGCACGCAACAAACAACACTAATAGAAGGCACGCGCAGATGTAAATAGACAGAAAGATGTCATCAGGAGGCTATATTCGATCAAAGCCGATCATACCACGCACCTCTCGTGCATGAGCGTGTGCACCAGCGACACATCCAACACGCGCTTAACTTTGCCATTGAATACCGCGAACCAGTCACTGCCTTCCTTTTTCAGTTCGGGCGGAACATTGTGTGGGTCGAGGTCGTCCGGAAACTGCCCCCCACCACTTTGAGTGTTGTTTAGAGGCACAAGGGCGCTTGAGCTGGCTGCTGGTGGTTCTACTGGACCGGCAGGTGGCGGATTTCCAGGGCCAGGTGGATATGGTCCATGGGCGACTGGTGGTGGTGGAAGTCCTGGGCCTTGGAAAGCAGGAGGTGCTCCAGGTGCGGGGGGGAGTTTCGCATTCGGAGGTTGAAGTGAAGGACTATAATGATCTGTCGCAGATAAAGGGGAGGAAAAAGGGGTGATATAATATCCATGAGGAGGCGGCGAACGTGCGGAGCTTGAAGTGGATGATTTACCTGGACGATTATCACTCTTCATACGCTCCGTCTTGATACGCTTTGAATCCCGAGCGCCATCCACGGATGGACGCTCGCGATCTCGGTCGCGCTCCTCACGTTGTCGATCACGTATTTCGCGTTCGCGTTCGCGATCAGCACGTTCGCGGTCTTTTTCCCGCTCGCGTTCGCGATCTCGATCTCGACTGTAGTAAGGCTCGTTGTATGAGCCGGGGCCAGGAGGCACACCGGGAACTGCAGGCGGAGGTGCGGGTGGACCAGAGGGACCAACTGAAGTGGGTCCGACGGGTGGATGAGGAGCTCCTGCCGGCACACCCTGGCGAAGTGCATGCAATTCTGCTCGGAGGCGACTCAGCTCCTCTTCATATGTCTGTCGAATCTTGCCATGTTGAGATTCCAGCTCATACAGTGACTGGCGAATGATGTTCAACTCGTTTATTTGTGAAGTGACTAAATGGACAAAAATTGTGCACTCATACGTAAAACCGAAGTGTGGTTGAGGATTCAAAGGTGCGCACCTTTGGATTCATACTCGTCTCGTTGATTGCGAAGGATACCGAGGTCAGAGGAGATAACATCAAATTCTTGACGGATGGTATCAACGGCCTCGTTAAGCCTGGCATGACTGTGCTGGTTTGGCCCTTGGGCAGGTGGAACCGTAGGTTGCAAGCTCCTATGCTATTGAGACAGGTCAGCACGGGTGCGCGCTCAAAAAGAGCTCATAGCAACAGAGATAGAGAATTTTGTCGGCAGGTTAGCGCGCATGGATAGACCATCATATTCCTTTTAGAAAGCTTAGGATTGATGTTGTCCACAATATGTGGCAAGACCTGCAGTAAGGGAAGAAGAAAAAGAAGACGGAAGTACTCACGTTGTATATTGTGGAGGACATGAAGGAGGTTGGGAATCACGGAATGGGTGTTGATCATCGCCTTTATAACTGGCGTTGGACCCTGGTGCTCTGATTCTTTTCTCACACTTGACACTACCGGCGGTATGTCCTATTTGAGCGGAAAAGGCACAGTCACGTGGTCGGCAAACAACTCGTTCATCAATTTTAAACCCCGCGGCACTGATCCTTTGAGGTGTTTGTGATGCTCAGAGTCGGACTTGGTCAGAACACGTCCGTGCTTGCAGGATGAACTGCTCTGCATCAGGCAACGTAATCTCCGACCACTCAGCAAACTAGGCGATATGTAGCATACAAAGGTATTCATCATTCCAATTCCATTGTCATCCACCTCTTCACTCCGAACTTAACTTAACTAGCCGCATTGGTTCCCAATTATAATCTGGACGCCTTCGAGCCCGGAGCCTCATCCGAGATTTGACAAGTTCGACTTCGCACGTACAAGTTTGTCTTGGCACCGCGATTGCAGTTTTCTCGGCCACCGCAGGCCACCGTTTGTGCTGAAAGGCATCAAAGGGCATCAACCCAATATATGATACAGGTGTGAGATAGCATCCTTTGTCTTCGGCACTTGGTCTATCAGCACTGATTTCGAGAACACTAATTTTACCTGTGGGAATTCGAATGAGCCATCTAGCAATTTCATATGGTATAATTGTGCATGACATAGGCAGATCTGATGCTTTGCGGCTCTGCCCGGCACCCACCAGAAGGAGATGTGTTCCAGATGAGTTTCTCGCAGAAACCTGCACAAAGGTTTTACCGTGCTAGTTAGACTAAGCGAGTTCTCGAATGGGCGAGGCCTTTGAATAGTGTTCCGTGTTGATCCTCGAGGTCCAGTACTTATATGATGATCATCGTTTCAAGCTGCTGCCCATTGAATTTGTGATCTGACTCGGAGCAAACTCGAAGTTACCCTAGCAATTCTCTACACTGCGCGAAACGGAACGTAGACTTTGGATGTGGCTAATTATAAAGATGAGCAAATGATATGAAGATTCACTACAGATTCCGCACACATACTACAATATTTCGGATGTCTGTAGTATCTTCTCATCTCAAGCATGATCCACGCATATTCCACGACCAACTGCACTTGTTTTGTCTAAGTACGACAGGTCTGTGCACGGTTGCAGCCAGTTCAACCCATATAGCACGAACCCTCAACCCAGACTCAGATGTACTTGCACTCACACCGTCACAACGACACGAGGCCTGGCCGCCCAGCGCGTAGTTCATTTGTTCAGTAACTCATTTTCACTCTGTTTTATCTGGTAGAGGCACGAGCTGCTTGGATTCTAGGGATGCATGGGCCTGTAAGTTATTTTGTTGATCTGATTCTGAAGGTGAAGCTCAGTGAAGAGCTGCCGCATCAGCTTGTTAACAGCCCGAGTGACACAAGTATCACAGAAGATCTGATGTTTGTCTTCCTTTGCTCGTGGCTTACTAGTACCAGCTGACACACATTCAGGTTGACGCAGCCCACCAAACCCATCCACCAATATCTAAAGGTTAGTGTACATTTGCCTGCTCGCTACCTAATTCTGACCGCGGCGCCGACACCTGGGAGTCGAGTTGGGAGACTTACGGCAATGATGTAAGTAAGATTCGCCTAGTGTGTTCTGAATCCTACTGATTCCCGGGAATAACTAGGATGCTCAACGGAAAACTTGCCTGTTGTCTTTCCTCGTAAGTGACAAACACCAATTCATGAGCAGAGCTGGCTCGATTCATGTAGATGAAGGCTACTGTGCCAAGCGCGTTACATAGAATGCGTCCTGAATATTAATATTTTATTCAGCTTCATTTATGTAATTTATCTATAGACTGAAGAGACGTGTCAATAGGTGTCAATACGGACGATGCGTTCCCCAGTTACGGTGTTGAGTGGTGTTGTCGGTTACGGTTGTCGGACCTGGTATTCAGCCGCTCTGCGCTTTCGTCGGTTCAGGACCTCCATCTCCAATCGCAGAGTGTGTCACAAGCCAGGGTGGTACTTCGGCCTCGAGGTTCGTAAAGCGTCTTCTAGTCAAGAGTCTAGCTGGGAACAAATTCGAGGGTTCTACAATTTGTCAATTGAATAGTCTGACGTTAATTCACAACCCTCAGCACTATCAGTCCGCGGCGGATGACCTTGAACCCTCACTCGCTTTCATTGAACTCTGCCTGAGAACGCAAAGTTCTGCACCCCATTTCTTCGATCAGCAATCCCTTGAAATTGTAGCGTCTTGTGTCTTTCTCAAGGCCATCTCCCACACTCACGACACTCGAAGCTAAGAAACTATTCACACGTCGCATGGCGGACGAATTAGACTCAACGACAGTACCTGCGGACTTTGTCAAGGAAGGAGGCGACTGGCTTGCCATATTCAATCCCCGCGTACCACGCCAGATGAACGTGCAGCTTGCAGCGCGGTACGTTCATGATGGGTGCGTTTGTTGGGAAGACTTATGGTTTTACTACAGTCTGACACCATTTCACGACTTAGTGTAGTTTGCAGCGTGAAATTTTCCTTGGACGGGACATTGCTTGCAGTGGGCACGGAAGGTGCCGTTGTTCTGTACAATTTGAGTCTCGGGGAGAAATTGACGTGAGTGCTGTTTCTGTTTCATAAACAACACCGAGCGAAATGGTAGCGCAGCTTCGCACTGGACGGGGACCCGGGAAAACCAAATCATGCACGAACTGTTTGCATCAGTCCCGACGGAAATTTCCTTGTTGCTGGTTCCGAAGACAAACTCATAAGGGTTCGTGCCGGAGACTGAAAGGTTGGTTATCTGAGCACCCATGATTCCATGCAGGTCTGGAGTATCACGAACCGCATGCTAGTGCACGTTTTGAAAGGGCACCGCGGCGAGGTATATGCACTAGCATTTACACCCGATAGCAACACATTACTGTCAGCGTCCGGAGATTGCACGATCCGCGTTTGGGATGCCGCTCAATTCACCGAGACTCTCGATGCTAGCTCAATTATACTCGATGAAACGATGGAGGCTGCCTGTCGTGTACTTCGCTCAGTCAGCTCGGACGTCAAGCTTTCATCCAAGCTCGCACTGACATCTATCGCCGTCCACTCAACTGGCAAGTTTGTTGCCGGGGGGTCACTGGATGGGATGATTCGAATCTGGAAGGTCGACGGGACTGCTGACGACAGTGCAGAGCCGGTGGAGATGCTGGGTGGGCATGAAGATGCCGTGTATAGTGTGCAGTTTGTAGAGGGCGGATTGGTGAGCGCAAGCTTGGATCGAACGGTGAAGCGCTGGGACATAAGTGAGGTGGGTGTTGGTCGCGGAGAGTGCCGAAAAACTCTGAAAGGGCACAAAGTACGTGGTGTCTGGCACGGCATCAATCCGTGCATCGCCACTAACGACTTTTCGCCAGGACTGCGTCCTTGCCATATCTGTACTTCAGGTTGGAAGAGAACATCGCATCGTGTCCTCGTCTCGAGATGGGACGGTGCGGATGTGGGACTTGAAGACGGGAATGGTTGAGTTCGTGATTCAAGGTCATAAAAACACAGGTACGCAGTCGATCTCCTTTCCTTCTGCATATTCTTTCAACGTTCCTTTCTCAGTGACAACTGTGGATCTTAGCAAGGATGGACGGCTGTTAGCGTCCGGAAGTGGCGACCGCGAAGTGCGGCTGTGTACGTGTAATTACCATAGGCTTCGATGGAGCTCTGACGTAGCCCACTAACAGGGAGCTACTCGATCCTCTGAGATTATTTCGGCAAGCACAACTATGTTTCGATGTCACAGACGGGTCGACTGTATGGGAGCTGCCATGGTCACGGCGCGGTGAAGTGGGTCTTAATATATGCGCGATACACACGGACTGTTGCGGAGTTGGTGCGTTTATGAGTATAAGATATGAAATACAGGAGGCTCTTTGATACCATCTCTATGTTGAGGATTACCAGATGACTTCATACACCAGTGTGAAGTATTTTGTCAGATCTATGGCTCTGCACACGCTGACCTTGAGTTGCCAGGGATTATTAAATTAACTTGTTGTCACTCAACCGTTGCTCATACTTATTTCGTCAAGCTGCTTGTGTTCATTTTTCACTCGGTCTCGGTCATGAAGCTCCCAGTTGATTTGTTGAATGAACTGTGCCATGCTGCTCTCACACTTCGTTAATGCCGTTACTCGTTACTCGTTAGCTTAAGTCATCATTGCATGCTCCACTTCGCTTTTGCTCACCCACCTCACCCCGTGTATAAAGGTAGGATGGATTTTTGTGTCCCAGCACGTCCTCGTCGAAAGAATCATCCCACTTTTGCACCACTCTCTTTACGATGAAGCTTGCACATACTTTCACGTCTCTCCTCGCGCTAGTGTCGCTAGTCGCTAGCTCACCGACCCAACAGCTGAACACTCACGCTCTACGCCTACCACTCGAGCGCAGGAATAATCAAATCACCGTGGAGAGTCTCCGAGCACACCTTGCACAAGTCTCCGCGTATGTGGACGCTCATCTTCACTTGTTCGCGATGTTGACCGATGGATTTAGGAAGTACCGTCAGGGGTTTGCGGCGTATCAGGCCAATGAAGGACATGCCCACCCGTTGAGCAAGCCATCCAGCTCGAAAAAGGTGAAGCGAGATGCTGGTGATGTTTTTTTGATAGCTCAGGGTATTGAGCTGTGGTATGCTTCGATCGATGTCGGTTCGCCGGCGGTGACTTTCACAGGTATAGACGTATTACCTTTCCTTTGAGGTGATGCTAAAATGACATTCAGTGTCCATTGACACGGGCAGCGCGGATCTGTGTAAGTTATCTTCTCCAATTTTGAACTTATGCTAATTTTTCCCCACTCCATCAGTCCTTCCTTCTACCGCCTGTGTTACAACTTGCGACGGCCACACTAAATATGATCCATCCAACTCCTCAACAGCTATCGACCTTAAGAAGTCATTCGTACTTACTTATGGCCAAGGCGAAGTTGCGGGAGAAGAGTACACTGACAACGTCGTAATTGGAGGATATAAGGTAGTTCTTTTGTGTTCAGATCATAGGTGTGTCTGCTAACCATGATCAGGCTGAAGGACAGACCATCGGGGCTGCATCTAACTATTCTTCCGACTTCTCAAGTGAGAATTTCGTGCCTGACGGGCTAGTCGGCTTTGCATTCGAGTCTATATCCGAATACGGAGCATCTCCGCTCTTTCAGACCCTCTTGCAACGCGGAGGGTTGCGAGAAGCTGTGTTCGGCGTCAAACTCTCCGCTACCTCCAATGCTAGCGAACTGTTTGTTGGAGGGATCAACACCACGCTGTATCAGCAAAACACTCTAACATATATACCTATAACTAAGGAGGGCTACTGGCAAGTAACGCTCGATCAGGTTTCTCGAGCTGGCGTTTCGGTGGGGACGTCGGGGGCAACGTCTATTATTGACACCGGAACAACTTTGATCGTGACGGATATGGATAGTGCTGCATCCTATTTTGATGGCATTCCTGGTGTTGAGTCATATGATGATGAATCCGAGGTGCTTTATTCAAGTCAGTACCTCCCAAAGACTTGTACTCTCTGTATTATCCTGCAGGCTGATGCGAACAAAACCAGTTCCGTGCGATACGATCGACAACTATGCGCCGACCCTCACCTTCGGAGGACATCCGTTTACCGTGTCCGGGGAAACGTTCAATCTCGGACCTGTTGAACAGGGATCCAGCGACTGTCTAGCTGGTGTCGCGGGCTCTAACGAAGTTGGTAAGAATCTGAGGATATGGATGACGTGTGGTGCTCTGATCCAGCCTTATATTAGATTTCTGGGTCGTGGGTGACGTGTTCTTGCAGAACGTGTACTCGATCTATGATATGGATGGATCGCGAGTTGGATTTGCCGAGCTCGCATAGGGCTCTTGACGTGAGTGCTTCTGCTGAGGGTTGTACTACAGGAGCATTTCAAGTTATGGATCTATGGACACTTGTATTACGAGTTCGAGTACTATGTATGCAGCCACGCCACTGGTTTTGGTGTCAACCGCGGTACCAGCCTAATAGTCGAGACAATATTTGTCGTATACCAATTGAGTACTGAGTACCGAGTAATATTACATAATTCAGCGCTATAGCTCTGATAATATGCTAAACGATAGTTCCTCACGCATAAATTGATGCATCACTGGCAGTGCCAATGTGCTAGTAGTGTGTATGTGACATGCATTCGAACTTGCAAATCGTGATGCTAACCCACCCTCAATCTCGCTCTCCATCATCGATCGACGTTCCGCCGAATGTTCCAGTTTGGTTTCTTCTGGAGGGTGACCAGCTTCCACAAATTGATTTTCATGGGAATTAATGCGTATCGGTTACTAGTGAGTATCCATCACCAGTGATAACTACTCAAGTTCATCTTTGAACAGATCAGCAGCCAGCAAACGCGCGAGGCCATGGGTGGGTCACTGATTTAACTCTGTTAAGTCATTTACGTGACAGGAAGGAAATATGCATTGGTATATTCAATGAATATGAGTTGCTTTTCCATATAGTATACGCCGTAATGACGGTCACTGGCAGTCTATGAATCCCGTGTGGTCGCTGCAGTGGTGATAAATGCGCACAAGAACGAGTCATCGATGCCGATCCAATACACTGATGTCATGGACGACCCTGATATGTAGATCTCACTGCTCAATTGGCGTTCGCAACAGGTTTTCAGGGAATCAGGGAATCTACAATTGGAGCTCCACGCTCGTTACTAACGTACTACCGCATTCGCTGCGCCAGCGACCCGAGCAGAAGCGGTTCTGGGGACAAACCGAATAATCATCAACAACGTACACGCAACTATAAAATGCCACTTTTTACTTGACCAAGTCTACACCCATCCGTTCGTGGGTTTTTGCTCGTAGCACAAGATGAAGTTCTCATCTCCCTTTGCCTCTCTGTTGGTCCTTGTTTCTATTACTGCTGTATCACCCGCGCCTAGTAATGGTCGTGGTGAAGGTGTCGTTCGGTTTCCTCTTACCCGCAAGAGCACTGGCATTGCTGGGCATGCTGATCTGAGTGCCCTCACGACACAGCTCACTCGCGTCTCAAAGTAAGTTCAAAACGATGTCTTGTTAGCACTGAACTACCATATTGATCATTTGCAATTTTCATCTCGCAGCAAATATCGGCAGACATTTGCTGCATTCGAAGCTAACACTGGTTCTGCTCATCCTTTGAGTGGGAGGATGATGTCTTCTATAAGCAAGCGTGACGGCAGTGCTGTTCTGCTCACCAACCAGGGAACCGACCTATGGTATGGCGAAATCGACGTGGGCACCCCCAAACAAAAGTTTACCGGTGAGAAGATCCTACTGTCAGCATAACTCGGAACGAGCATCTTTTACTAATTAAACTTCATCTGTAGTTTCTATCGACACTGGAAGCACGGACCTTTGTAAGAACATACCCTTGGCAAGAGGCTTATCTTGAACTGAGCTATTCTTTCTTTAGTCCTTCCGTCTGATTCCTGTGTTTTAACTTGCCAAGGTCACGCGATGTATTATGCTGACAAGTCTTCTACGGCTAAGGACCAAAAGAATTTAGTCGCACTCACGTACGGTCAAGGTCAAGTGATAGGAGATGAATACACCGATGACGTGTTCATCGGCGGTTATGAGGTGGCACAATAATTCTCTATTATGCTGCACGGACTGATCGTCGCTGTTCAGGCCCCCAACCAAGCCTTCCTCGATGCCTTCCAATACTCCTCCGATTTCTCGAACACAAACTTCAAGCCTGATGGTCTTGCCGGTTTTGCTTTCGAGGAAATATCTGTTCTTAAGGCACCGTCAATTTTTGAGACTATAAGTAACAGTGGCGTGCTCGTCGAAAATGTTTTCAGTGTCAAACTATCCTCTACGTCTGGGGAGAGCGAGCTCTATATCGGGGGGACGAACACTGATCTCTATGTCAAAAACACTTTAACCTACACGCCCGTCACCACGCAAGGGTACTGGCAAGTGAATCTAGGGGCAATCTCGCGAGATGGTTCTACGGTTGCCAGTAACGCTGCATCTATTATCGACACCGGGACCACACTTATCATCGCGAGTGACGCTGCAGCAGAGGCATACTACAAGAATATTCCTGGCTCGAGCAACAGCACAGAGGGGGAAGCAACATATTATACCAGTTTGTCTCACCCGTTAGAGTTGATGACTTACGACTGACTTTTTCCCTAGTTCCGTGTGAGACTATTGGGTCATACACTCCAACACTCACATTCGGTGGGCGCGATTTCACCGTTTCGAAGGAGACGTTCAATCTTGGTCCAGAGAGCAGTGGTTCAAGCGACTGTACGGCAGGCATTGCTGGGATGTCCAGTGTTGGTGAGTACTTCATATCCTGCGCAGTGGTCCCCCTTTCCAAACCATCCGTTTAGATTTTTGGGTTGTTGGGGGTGTTTTCCTGCAGAATGTTTACGCAGTATTCGACAAGGAAAACCTTCAGGTGGGCTTTGCTGAACTGGCATGATCTTCAACGGCTTCTTGGTCCTCTGGGTTCAGTTGCGGATTTCTTACTATAAGGACTCATGCATGAACATCCTTGTTTTCGATTGCCAGTTTGATACCTTTGTATTTTATATACCCCTTACTTTTCTCTGGGATTCACATTGACTCTGTACGTATATGTCTCCTGGTCTCGACCAGACTGCCGCTTGGCTTCTGTAACAGGGAATACAATGCAAGGAATATGTTCATGGTGGCGAATACCGGCCGACTGACGTGCCCTACGAGATGAGATCGACTTGACCCCCCACTCTGAGCTCCAATCCTACCAGCACCGATGATAATGATTGACAGCCCAATGATTGTTGCAGCTCGATTTTTCCACAGTGTCAGCAGCCTCTTCAAGATGCTTTTGATACCTTTCCTTTCCCACCATAAACCCCAACCCATCGGAGAGCCAAACTTCATCATATGGCTTGATGGGATGCAGGTGTTCGGCTTTGAAATTTCCGTCCATCACAAATGACCGGGTGTATTTCCAGCTTGGAGTTTTTAATATCGCCGACATAGATTTGGTAATGAAAGAGACTCAGCAAGTGATTCATCCCCTGACAAGGATATGTTAATCCCGGGCTGGGGACTCAAATTTGGACTTCGAGGAACATTCTGGAATGACAGTGTTTCGGTAGGTACTTAGTTCTATATAAGAACAACACAGTGCCCTTTGGTAACTGTACTTGATTAAATACTATCACAAACTTCCATCAATGCTGGTATGTAACAGTGATATCCGGAATGACGTTGGTTGGATCCGGCACATCTGGAAAGGTTTGCCACCACTACGTATACATAGGGCACGGCCCAAAAAGGAAAACTAACGGGTCAAGGAAGTTAACTCTTTGCGCGCGTGCGTTCGCTAGCATAATATATCCAGACGGGGAAGGGTATACCAAGGATGATGGCAAAACCTGTGAGCAAGGAATTGCCTCCACCATAGCCAAGTGCGGCAAATATTTCTTCTCCAAATAGAGGGAATGTGAAACCAAGCAATGAATGGAACGTCTGCGATATGTTCAGTGAACGTAAACATGATTAAGCATAGGGAAGACTCACAGAAACAGCTGCAACAGCGCTTGCAGCATAAGTAAATGAATCTATGAGGTATAGATGAATAGGGAGGCTTAAGTCGAAGAGTTTGGCCATTAACAGTGCTGAAATACAGGGGACCTGGATCACTCACAATGTTGTCATGATTCCGAATCCAAGGATAGCAGTACCAATGATAGGCATTATCCAGTGGACCTCGGCTTGGGCAGACCAGCCATACCAACTATATAACACAGATCAGAATGTGAGCAGAAAAAAATTAAAAGCGTCAAATCTCACAATAGTCCAACTGGGACGAAGAACAAGCCGAATATCAGAGCAGGCACCCGCATCTCTGGTTTACCATTTCCTTCATTTTGTGTAGCAAGCTATATAGAAGCGCTGTTGACATGGTCAAAGGAGAAGGTAGTATTGTATATGTATATGCTGTCTGAAAGTTTGGCGCTGATCGCAGAGGCAAATAGGCATCCAAGGCCAATTCCAAGGTACGCCAGACCTCTGATTCCAACACTGAAGTGGTACACATCTGAAAAGAGGCCTGTGTGTTGCAATTAATGATCGCTCCCGTAGTAGTACTAAGTGAATATGATCTCACCGGGGAAAGTAGCAAACATCAGGTAGTATATACCTCACACATGATTTCAGTCGACATGATTATAACTTGATGTAGTGGTGCTACTGACCGGATATCCTAAACAGATGATATAAATGAGCCACGTGGTTCTAGAGTAAACTTACAGAGCCAAGTACTACAAGCTTAGGATAAAGCATATAAAACTCCGGGTCAAAAGTATGATCGGTCGCTTGAGGTTGATCCATAAGTAGGCCCATTTGTCTGGCATGCGGTGCGTGGTAGGGACAGGATACACTGTGGTCGCTTTTTCGGCATTCAGCACCATTTTATCACGACGAAGTCTGATAACTGGTGCATATGTTTCCCTCAAGATAGGCATGCCAAGTACTGCAGCAACACCACAGATCGCGGCAATGAGATAGAAAACATACTGTATGCCGACTGACTCTGCGATGAAACCTCCGATAATGGGCCCGACAGAAGGACCTTATAAGATGTCTGAACCTGAGTCAATGCCACGCAGTGGAACGCATCTATTATGGGTCCAAGGCTGAACAGTGCCATAGCCGAGGCACGGTCACGTTCCGAAAGATGTCGCCAGTGACAGCTCCGCCGCATGCTATCGGCACACCCCCTGCCAATCCAGCTTTGCAGATAGTGAGCGAAAGTGCGATCCAGCGGTGCCCTACGTACCGAGAAACCGAAGAACAATGAAGCATGTCATATTGGGCGACAAAGCGCAGCTGAGATTAAACACGAGGAGGAAGAGGTTCGCTAAATGGAGCACCTGGAACTCATTCAGGTGAACGGCGCTGATCATAAGGAAGAGTATTACGCACCCACACACAACCATACACTTCAGACAGGGGTGCTCCGAATAAAGGTCCAACGGCGGACGACAGAAAGAAGATACTCAGAGTCAGCGCTTCAACTGTTGGAATGATTATGCCGTATTTCATGGTTATGTCGTGTAAACTGGGTGCCATGATAGAACTGGCTAACTGTGCGACAAAACAGTACAGTGAAACCTGATACAATACCGAAATCAGTCCTCATGATTTAATCTTGCAATAGAAGAACTGACGAGTGTGGCTACTATCCATTTTGTTGCTGGGGACCAATTCTTTGGGTTCACTGGGTCGTGTTCCCAATCATATTCTTCGTCGGGTTTATCATCAACCTTGTCATCTGAGATGGTGGACCCACATTCGCCGTCATTGAGCTGGGGAAGATGAAGATTATTCGTATCATCTTGGTCTAAAGAGACTGTTCCCGGAAGAGAGCCCGACATTGATCAGTGTTCCAGGCAGAAAACAAGGAAGCTACTAGGATGAGCTTGCCTGGATCAACCCCCGCGTGTCGGACAGACTCTTAAACAGGAAAAAAATACCTGGTGACTGAGCAGGTATTACATTTCAAGTGTAACCTGGTACAATGCTGCAGCATTGTGCTCCGAGTCCGTCCGAGTCGTCGTATCAATAATCGACAAATTCAGATACCCCGCACGTCCAAGGACATCGATATTGCCAATCGTGGGCAAGAGATCCTCTGGACCTTGTGGGGGAAATAATTATAGCGGAATTTCAGCATCTGAAGATGGAGACCGTTATGACAAAGGATGAGGCTCTGATATCGATCCAGATTCTGATAGCCAACGATTGAGGCCTGAGGGCCCACTGCCAACCACGTGTACAGTTCTTGTTTGAGTCACGTTGGTGCCAGCAGGGGCTTGAGATTGGATGTATGCAATTGCAATATGGACATCGGTATTACCTGATTCACGGCTTTCACATATCGGCAATCCCCTCTGGGCCTATGATAAGTTTTTGGTGCGGGCAGGATTGCTGAATGCATCATCTTCTAGAGCTCCACTCGCTAGAAGTCATAACGAGGATAATGTTTGCACATATGAGGTAATCATATCTGCAGCAAATTCAATATTATAATATCATTCATACCCATCCACTCTTCCCTAGAGCACCCCAACTCAGAGATCTTGCAAAGAAAGCGCACCAGCAGTGTCTAGAGCTGTGTTGAAATCGGAGCGGGTAGTCCACGTCCTGCGAGCCTCGACTCAGTCTTCAGTGACCACTTTGCTGTGTGTCCAGGAATCAACAACACTGCGGCGGGCCTGTGTTTATCCAATGGTCTTGATTATCATGGTCAAGTCAGGCATTTGGCAAGCTCCGATGTTTGGGTTTCATGCCATGGCATGAATAAATTAACAGGCCGCGATGGGTATGTTTCGCAATGGTTCGTAGAGCCAAATAGGAGTGCTCCTTAGTATCGGTTGTTAGCTTAATAGCCAGCTAGGCTCGAAGCCAATGCCTTTGGCTACGATGCATGTAGGCTGCAATCCCGCGGCATTCCGTCATCTTAAGCGGGTCACCTTTACTCAATACTTGTGATGTGGAAGAAAGAATTTTTGACCTTGATTGGTGGTCATGATTATTTATGAATGCTGATGCACGGTCAAATTTTGAAAATCCAAGAGAAAAAGTACCCACCAAGATCGATGATGTGCATATCATAGGCCATATACGCTAATTACTAGACTCGTGACCAGTCCTGTTAAACCTGAGGCAAGCCGTCGATGGTCAAACTGGCTTTGAATTTGGAGGTCGAGCGGATTCGCAGGATAACGTGATGGGTAAGCCTTTTCGGGGACATCAAAGACCACGTGAACTTTTGCTAAGGCCTTGCAAAGTCTGCTAAGTCTCGTACTTAGAGTTTCTTATCAATGTTCAACTCATTGCGCTAGCTGCTTAACAGCGCCTGCGTTCGTCACCATTGCCTCATGTAACAAATGCTACTTGCTCTTTGTGCTATATATGATATCCTCTTCAATTCTAATCAGTAACTTTAACCACTCTGTGGACTCCGGGTTTCTGGATATCACAGGTGATGCTCCGTCAAGCGCCTCTTTTACGGATCCTATGATCACACCTTCTCACGCCTCTCGTCAACGGAGCACATCAAAACTACGATCAAAATCCTCCGATATGGCCGTATTAGTATCCTCGACTTCCAACGCATCGAGGGAAGGATCACGAAAGGATGGAAGATTGGTCCATTGATTTTGCGAGTGTAGATCGCGTCAATAGTGAAAATTATATTGTTTATTTTGTATTCTATGCTACTATTGGTTACCACTCACTCGTGCAGTCCCACATTTCGTGCAGTCACGCAAATGTCACGGAAAGTCACGGAATAGTCACACTGTCCGATTTCGCAGTCCGCTCAACACGCTGTGGATTAGATATTAGGAAGATATATACGAGTGTACCAGTGGCTAGTATGTAGTAATCTAATTGAATATGTATTGCGAGTTGCCGGAGTAATGAAAAGGGAGACTATTAGGATGCCCAGACAGCAATGGCTGTGATGATGTAGATATGACAGGAGCGGTTGTTGAGAGTACAGCGGGGCCAACATGATGTAGGTGGTTCGGATAAGGAATGGGGAGAGATCCTTGCATTTGCGGAAAAAATGGTGGCTGCGGGTGGAACATATTGTTGGCTGCCGTGGGGAGAGGAGTACTTGCTGAAGGTGTTGAGTTTTCATTCGAAGTTGGGTTGGCAACGGCAACGACAACGGCAACAGGCCTGCCAGTGCGTCGTTTTGAACCATATAGCGCCGAAAATCGAGGATTATCGCCAGTATTTGAGCACGGAGTTTTCGAGGATGTAGAGGGGTTGCTGAATCCGAGTTATGGTGGCACCAGTCCACCAGTACTTTTTCTTGGGATTCATTGAGGAATGAGCGTCGAGTACGGTGTTTGCCTGCCGCACGATCTCGCACAGTCTGTGGGGGTACCTGAAGGAAAATTGAGTTGCGATAAAATTATTGAGGGAGTGCTTACATTGTGAGCTATGGCAGCACTGCGAAAACTGCCATGAACACCAGTCAAGGTATCCTGGATGGCGGCTTGAATGCGAGCCTCTTTGGTGGGATCTCGGGGACCTTTCCGCTTCCCACCGACTCGAGTGCGCGCCATCCGTGCGGCAAGTAGACGCGTCCAGACGCGTTGCCACCAACGCGTCTGAGTTGAAACTCCGCTACGGCATCGGACGGCAGGTGACAATGGAAGTGACAAAAGCCTTTGTCACAAGCAAACATTTATCTCTCTTGTTTCTTGTCCGAATGCATCCGTCTAAGCTCGTAAGATGTTCTTGTGTATTATTATTTCAAATGGACATAGTAGTTTGAAGATTTGTAGTAGGAAAAGTGTGATTTTGGAGGATGCACGAAATGTGGGACTGCACGAGTGAGTGGTAACCAATAGTACAGCTTGAAAAAACCTGGTTTTTTCATTCGCTAAAGGTCACGTTATCCTGCGAATCCGCTCGACCTCCAAATTCAAAGCCAGTTTTACCAGCCCGTCTATCGAGATTCGAGATTCGACGGCTTGCCTCATAGGTTTAACACGACTGGTCACGAGTCTAGCTAATTACAGCTCAGGCATGAAAAGCACAGAACGGTATTACGTGTTGATCAAAACGTCGGGTGCCAAATTACCATGTATCATGTCTGGTGAAGGTTCTCGTTGATTGAGAATTTGAGATGCCGGCACAGTTTACATTGAGGCAGAAAGACGCACGATATCAAGTGATGTCGTCGACAGTCCCGAACAGTCCTTTCAGAAGGCCCGAACCCTTGATTGAAGCAACATTGGTGTCTTTATGTCGCGAGAGCATAGGAGAACATGCAATCGTTTGAAATGATCAAGTGAGACTCGTGACAATCGCCGTTACGTTTAGAAAGCTTGATTGAGTTGACATTAAACAACGATATTGTCGCTGAACCCAGAATGATTAACAGCGAAGTAAGTTTTGCCAGGGAAGTTGCAGTGCGTTTAGTGTTGATCATCATAGTCACACATGTAAAGATGAACCGTTTGGCGAGGGACTAATGATGCAACTCAGGAACCTTGCTAAAGGGCGAGAGTGACATAGAGATATGTGGTAATATACAGATTCACGAGGATATCGAGCTCAGCGCAGACGAGAGTAAGGATGAAATCTGCTACTGTGCCGTGAAGCCACCTTGTCATGAGTGGGAAGATGGGGTGGCGCCCTTGCAGAAGTCGTAAAATTTATCTGCGTTCGCTTCGACTGGGAGGAAGCAGCTTGCTCTGAGCGAGCTTTTTGCAGTGCGGCTTTGAGGCAGAGATACACGCGCCCACATACATCGCCGAGAACCACGAGAAAATGACCATTGTAACAATTTGTAGAACAAATGGCCATGTGCGAAGAGGTGCCAAAGGCAAGGGCATGAATGACTGTTATAAGAGTGAGTAACTTTACGTACCGATACTGTCCGCAAACCATTCAGGCTGCATGTCATCTGGATCCCATATATCCTTTGGAAAATTGGTCGTGCGCTCATCGACATCCACAAATTCAACCAGCTTAGCATATAGATGGGGATTGCGGAAGGATCGGTTGGACATGAGAGAGTCGTTGAAATGCTTGGGATGATCAGAATCTTGTTTTAAAGCGTGAAACTGTGCTAGTTTGGTCTGAAAAAAAAATCAGCAAGGTCCTCGTGAGTGAGAGTAAAGTCGCACCTGAATTGCCGGGTCATAGGGGGATGAAGATGCTGGCGGAATACCCCAGTCGATGATACCTGGAATTGGTGGTGGTCTCAAGATTTGTCGGAGATGAGATATTTCATCAGTTGCCTCCGGAGATCCAGATTCGACCTGTTCCATGTTCGGAAACGCATCAGGCGCGGATGCTGGACTGAAAGTCTGAAGGCTTTCTGTACTGCCTATGATGTCATCTGATACATGGGCGCGAGGGTGACCTCTCTGCTGCAAAGGCCGACGAATGATTACTTGAGACTTGGGTAGCAGGCGGGCTGAGTTGGCTGGATTCCTGTGCTCAACACCGCACATATATGCAACACGTATTCAGTACGTACCATCTGAGGATGAGTTTGATACACTCTTCAGCGCCTTATCCTATCTCATAAAGAATGACAGCCAACAAAGAGGGAAACGATTGCACAAGGCTATGACGAAGAATCTCTTACATTGTTTAGATATATTCCCACAGTTTTCGAGGATGAAACCTTGTCCTCCGAGTCGCTTTGCGAGTCGTCTCCATAAGCGTCAAGGCCTACAAAAGAATATATGAACATGACGAGGTCGTCTTCAGGAGAATTGTGCTCACCGTTCATGAGAGTGAAGGACAAAGGGTAAATTGTAATGTTTTAGAACTCCGCGCCAACATATTCCTCGGCCGAGTTGCCGTTACTTAGTGCCGTTCTTCACTACGGTCAGTTGCGTTCTCCATGCGTTTCCAGCTGCTCCCCCAGGCCTGCCTGTTGCTACTAGTATGTTTCACGACATGGGCGGTTGGAACAACGGGATATATTGCGCCTGCTGTCGAGCGCGCAGCTGATTTCTTCGGCAGACATGATTCAGGCTCAGGACACACCAACAATTGGGCAGTCCTTGTATGCGCATCTCGGTACTGGTTCAACTACAGGGTGAGCACGATCTCACCAACATAGACTGCCTTTACTGAGACTGTGCTATAGCACATGGCGAATGCCCTTGGAATGTAACGCACCTCATCACCGACCGTGAGTTAGTTGCTCACCACCTCATGCGCCTGTCAGGTATCGCACCGTCAAGCGTCTTGGTATTCCAGATTCCAATATCATTCTCATGTTGGCGGATGACGTAGCATGCAATGTCAGGAACAAATTCGCTGGCAGTGTCTATGCAGAAGCTGGCCGGCACTTAGACTTGTATGGCGAGAACATCGAGGTAGATTATCGTGGATATGAAGTAACTGTGGAGAACTTCATACGCCTATTGACAGGTATGAATGACCCAGTGTTGATCAAAGGCTATCTAAAGTGTTGTAGGTCGGGTGGATCCCTCTATGCCACGGTCGAAAAGACTTCTGACAGACGACCGCTCAAATATCTTCGTCTACATGACTGGGCATGGAGGAAATGAGTTTCTCAAATTCCAAGACCAAGAGGAAATAAGTGCGTTTGATATTGCTGACGCATTCGAACAAATGTGGCAGAAGAAAAGGCGAGATTTCATCTTGTCTCATTGTTACATTCGAAGCTCATGACGTATCAGATACAACGAAATTTTATTCATGATTGATACCTGCCAAGCAAATACCATGTACTCTCAGTTCTATTCTCCAAATATTCTTGCGACTGGATCCTCTCAGATTGAAGAGAATTCCTACTCCGTGAGTATTCTACGCTTCGTCGTGTTATGAGATGCTCATCTTTGTCCAGTATGAAAATGACAACGACATTGGCGTCTCTGTCATTGACAGCTATACACACTACGTTCTCAAATTCATGGAAGGAATAAACAAGACGAGTCACACATCTATGCAAGATTTGGTATCACACTTTAATACTGGTTCGATGCGAATGCTCATTCTTCCTTGTAACAGTTCAATTCATATGACCCGGTGAAAATTCATTCTCATCCAGGCATCCGCTCTGATCTTTTCCTCCGTCCCTTGGACAAGACGCTTATTACCGATTTCTTCGGAGGGGTCGCACAAGCGGAAGTCTTCCCATTGCAGGAAGTCGTAGGCTCAAGTAACCATCATGAGAAATATCCTACGCCTCCCCCTACCTCTCGGGAGCCAGAAGCACCGTCGGTGCCGGTGGTACTGTCGACGACTGTCACTTCCCTCCCGAGACTGACAAGCGAGACGCATGCATGGGATAACCGGTGGAAAGAAGTCAGAAAATGGACCTCCGTCTTAGTCGTAGGATGTCTTGTATCTTGGGTTTCCTTTGTGCGGTAATGCTATACTGACTGCCCCAACTTATCCTGAGTCAGGGGCTTTGAGGGCGCCGCTGCTCCACATCACTGCCGCCTCCGGTTCCCTCGCATGTTTGACTGTGTCGTGAAGAATTACAATATATAATTGTTTTTTCAAAAAGTTCATGTCCTATTGAGAGCTATATTCTATGGAGGACAATACGGTCTAGTCTAAGGGGCTCTTAGTGCCCTGAACGCCCATCTCTAGGTGCGCGAATGCCCCAAATATGATTGCTTACTTGCTGCACTTCTGTGTCCTCACCCATTCATGTCAGAAATTCCGACTGCCGCTCAAGGCCTGGATTTTTGAGTAGGACGGCTTCGACTACCGTCCTTGTCAACTTCACGTCATAAAGCACAAGTCCAAACTCGTCCGACTTACAATGTGAGACATACACGAGCCATATTACCATCACCAGAGAACTTATAGTCTATGAATCGCCCTGCATCCTTGGCTGTGACATTTTCACAACTTGGATGATGCCGGTCACGCTTTCATGCGGCTCCAACGATACAATACTCCCATATCTACAGCCCCAAGAGATGACTCTTCAAGACAAGATATAATCTTCAGCACTCACCTGTCTTGACCCAGCCAGGATCGACAAGGAATGGTGTTGGATCCGGGCGCTCTTTTGCAAGCTTATAAGTCTACACAGATGTGAATATGATGTATGTCGCCTTCCCCAGTCTGTGCCTATGCAGTTGACATATTTGCATTTACTTTTTTGTCGCCCCGCTGGATCAGGGGAATGAACGTCCTCGTTACAAGGGCAGGACCTGTTGGCGAGCACTGTCGATATCAGATCGTTTGCATTGAGCGTTGTCGTCCTATCGTCCTCAGGCTGTAGAGTGATTGACGAGGGTTCGGACCTCAGGAAGACGCCATTCATCATGAATCACCCACGACGCCAGCATTGTTTACCAAATAATCAAGCCCTCTTCCCTGCAAGATCCCTGCGACTTCGTCTTTTGCACTAATGATTGAAGCTTCGTCGGTGACATGCATCCAAACGACATGCAGCTGTAAGTAGTCAAGACTGTCGTCCCTTAACAGTTACGCCCAAAGGCAGTGATAATGAAAGCTCACGCTTCATTATCGCGGACAGTATTTATGCTGATTATGGGAACTCAGGTAAGCCAGCGGGCTTACAGCAGCATGCCATTCGTTGAATTGAAATCGCGCAATGCATGCAATGAAGTCGCAGATCGAGGGCTTCGGCAAGCAGACAACATCAGGTGAGGCCAAGAGCTGTTTGACTAACTCAAGGCCAATGCCTCGTGAGGCACTATAGAGGACAAGGTGAGCGTTGATGCGTGGAAGCGCATAGCACTTATGCCCAGTTATAAGCCATGTAGATGACGTTGACATTATGGACGCGCGCGTGGTAGCTTTAGCCAGCTGCCAATGTGTGTGAGCAAGTGACTTGGATGAGGTGAAGTCTGCCTCTACTGCCACGCCCCGAACGGCACAGTTGGGCTGACAAGCTACTCGAACCCCTGGGTGTCCCACTCCAGTGTCTATCTTGAACATTCCCTTCCAACATGTAGGATTTGCTTGTTGACCACAAGATTACTTCTGCGGCATGCGACGCCGGTTCTAGTACTTTCATACTCTCTCATACCCTGCTCAATTGTACTACTTGCGTAAAAATTCACATACGAGCAGGACGGCGGTAATAAGATTTAAACCATAAATAACTCGACGAAGCTCATTCTCCTCATCCTTAGACAACTGTAAGCACGTTGGCTTACCTGAGTTCCCATACTCAGTATATATACTGTCGCTGATACTGAAAGCTAAGTTTTCAGTATTCTACCTTTTGGTGTAACGGTTATACGCGTGCGGGAGTCTAACCTACTTACAACAACCTTGACGATGTTTGCGGAGCCACTATCAATTTGCACTTTGGGGGTATCGGTACAGGGATCAAATGGCGAGGCGACTGAAAGGGATGCTCACCTGCGGGTGATTCCGAAGGCTCCCCAACCGCGATGGGGTCATGCCATACGTCGCTGGTGAGAGACCCTGCGCTATGTTCGCTGAGTTTGTAAGGAGAACCGTGACAGCTCATAGTTACGCAAAGTGACGTCGTACTTCCTGAGAAAGGTCAAAATCTGTGCTTCGGCTAAGACATTAAAGGACAAACATACTGAGAAACAGTCGTGAGGCGTACCTTTACTTCTCCTATGGTTGTATCTATAGATGTTCTGCTCAGTGGGATACTGATAAAATCTCTTTGGTAGACATCTAGACGTGATGCCACAACGAGAGGCAAGGCAGTAGAGCGTCAGTAAAGCTGGGAAGAGACGCATGGCGTTGGCGTGTTGATCTCAAGAGGGGGGAGTCGGTGCCTGCTTTTATGACTTTCTGCAAGGCGGGTCATACTATTTGGCTATGCATGCATAGATAAAGATCGACTACACCGCGTCTTCAAGTGAATACCACTTGTCAGGTTGTCAAGCGTAGTATCTGTCGAGATACCCTCACACTATGCACGAGAATGGATCGAGGTGCCTCGCTGCTCGGAGGAGATGCGGACAGCAATGAATTTTGAGCGTGGCACGAAAGACGTTCCTGTTGCCCGCTGTCCATGATGCAAGTTCCGATAAATTTTTGTCAACAAATAAGGGCGTAATGGTGATACAAGACTTATGTACATCACTTGAAAGATGAAAAGGCCTCAGCGTTCACTGATCGATGCGAGTCCCGTTAGAATGCATGCACCATTCCAACACAGCACAGGGCGGCCACAGGCCATCCGGCTCATTATCCGCGTCTTGAAGGAGTAACGCCACAACACCATGCGGCGGAACAGCGTAAGCTGTGAAGTTGCGAATCGCAGTGCCGTTGTCTGTATGTGTCCAAAGGTCCTGGACAGATAAAGCAAGTCAGAAGGCCGGGAACAGCCACGTGAGATGGAGCTTACTCGGACAGTGTACTGTCTACCAGCTCGGATCCACGGAGATTCGGTCAGCCTGAAGAACATGTCGGCGGGCTCGTCAAGCGTGTTCAACTGTATGGAATTTTAGTTATTTGAACAGCATGTCTCAAAGAGCACCTACCAGCATAAATACCGTCCCGTTCTGGCTCTCCCCGCTCCAGTATTGCGCGGGATGAGTGTTGTTGCTGACCCAATCAGGCTGTCATTACAACGTGGCATCATTGACGTGGTTTTCAATCGATAGACTACAGAGAACCTACATTGATGCCCCATCGGAATGGTCCGATACTAGTGCCTACGACCGGGTCTTGATGAATCGCAATGATTTCTGGATTGGTCAGAATCTCAAGGGTTTCTTTGGTAGCAGAAGCGAGCTAGGGCGTATGTGAGCGGAGTGCTCGTTACCAGGGATTGTATTTACATCAGTGCCGATAAGTAGAGGTGACTTCAAGAGCGCCCACGCAGTAAAATGGGACTTCGCTTCATCGTATGTTAGGGGGCCGTTACCACTGCCGATCGTGAGGCGGCAATCAAACTTGGTTTCTCGATGACGTACACTTCAAGCTACAAGGACCCATGTCAGCGCAGTCAGCAGCACCGTAGAACATGACTGACGATATCCATGTCATTATGGCCGTAGAAATCAGTTGCCCAAGTATAGAACGAGTTTCTAGAAGATGATGGGAAACATTCGAGGATCAAGCAAAGCGGCTTCCTTACTGGTTTAATATCTTGGTGATTGATTGCCAGTGCGGTTCTTACCCTACGGTTAGTTGCATCCTCGGAGGAAGGTTTCGGGGAGTTTGGATACTTACCAATGTCGTCAGTCGTCTAAAGCATTCGTTAGCTTCGAGAGGTGTGTGCAAACTCTGTACTCACCCTCCAACTTTGCCCATACCTGCGGGCCCACATCCAACCTTGCTCCTGCAAAAAGAGTCCATAACCCAAAAATCGCAACGAAGTGGAGACTCACTCTTCCCCACTGGCACATGGACAAAATCAAGGGTGGTGTTCCAGACGACCGTGAAAGATCGGCAATGGCGTTTGCCATAGGTTCGTATCCTGGACCCGTTGGTGAGGATTCTGACACAGTTACAGAAGGTATACATACTTCCCATGATATTCTCCCGAGTGATGTTGTCGAATGGAACTGATCCATAATTGAGCAATCACGAAGATGGCGTGGTATAAGTTCACGTACCAGCACAATTATCATATCTGTCGATAGTCACCATCAAGAATGGGTATTCAAATCACCAAATTGAAACTTACTTGAGGTAGTCAAAACCCCAGTCGAGGAAGCGTTTTGCGTCTCTGCCAGATATGGTCATGATGAACTGACCAGGAGCGACCAGGAGCGAAAACTGTGTACCTTGCTTCGTTCTGGTATGAGCCAGGGTACAGCTGGCATGTGAACCAACCCGAATCACTGTACTGCATGGCAGAGACACGATCAGGAGAAGACAAAAATGATTGAATGACGGGTTCCTACAATGCCAGCTTTCCTGCGTATACGAAAGCTAAATGTCAGTGCAATGTGACTTGAGAGGTAACATTTCACGCACAGTCCAAGGTCATGGATCTTGTCTGTGAGGGCCTTCATTCCAGACGGAAACTTCGTTGCGTCTGGGGCATAAATTGTTAACGCATGAACCGTCGGGGGAAATTCGATCAACCTTCAACAATATCTCCGTCGTCGTTTCGGATTCTCTCTGAATAACAATCATCAATGTTGACATGAGTATACCCAGCGTCCTAGCAGTGATACCCGAGTCCAGTCATCCTGAATAAAGCTGAGGGTGAACGGTACTTGCCGCTAAGTTGAGCGATTTCATGAGCTCTGCGGTTTGCAAGATGAGACCTTCGTCTATGTCACACTGATATGATCTGAGTGAAAACCTTCCACGACTGGCTCCACGAGCACTTACATGGTAGGCATTCCAAGCTATGCGTGAAGCGCCAGGTCAGTCTCACTGGAAACTTCTCGAAATGTGGTAGCCTACTGTTATAGCCCATCACTGTCCATCCGATAAGGTGAACAACCTGCCGACGACTAAACCTTGAAAATACGCACCTGGTAGTTTGGCAACTCGGTTATCCAGAGAAGCAGCAGGAGCGTGGTGCATAGCACCATGACGGTCGGCGATGTATGTGATGTATCCCAAGATAGCAGCAAGCGCAAACGGAAGGACGGTGACGAATGATCTGCTAAGCCTCGAGCGAGCTTATGAACGTAGAAACAGTTAGCGACTCGGCGTTCACTCCTTCCCCATGAAGCGAGGATCCTCGTACCCGTGTACGTTGGGCCACCAGCTCCGTAGGGCGCGAGAAGGGGTGTTTGGCCTTCTGGCTTCATGGCTGGAGGATTTGGCAATTGGGGGTGCTAGCGTATTGTGGACTGTCGTTGGGATGAAATATTGTGGGGAAACTACTGGTTGATCGCGGAAGCAATAAGGATACTCGCACGACGAAATAGGAAGCCCTGTACACAACTTGTACACGCTACTTACAAGTCCGCGAAGCTATGATGGGAAGTCAGTCGAACTCGAGGGACAATGGGAAAAACGTGGCACAGCAAGGAGACCTTGTGACAATATTGTATGTCACAAAGAGAAAAATCTTATAACTCGACCACATTCAAAGTTTAACGTAGTGAGCAATATTAAGAAGACAAGGTCTGATGTCCGGAGAAGACTTGATGTTAATGCCCCCTGCAGTTAGTAGCAGTGACAGACATGTCTATGGTACTACATAGACAACAGCATATTCGCCTAGCAGGTCTGGTGCCTTCGACAACCAAGACTTCGCCGTAGAGCCCAATTGATTCGGAAGTTCAACATGATATTAGTACTAAATCGAGAGATGCTGACGAGGACCCTACTATCACAACAACATCCGCTTTGCCCACCTCGGCATCGCAATGCACTCCCGCACATTCTCAATCCCACTCATCCAGCTAATCAGTCGTTCGAACCCCAGCCCATAGCCCCCATGAGGCGCGCTCCCATACTTCCTCAAGTCCACGTACCATCTGTATTCCTCCTCCTTAAGCCCATGCCTCTGGATAGCCTCGACCAAATGAGAGAGCCTCTCTTCCCTCAGCGACCCACCTACAAGCTCGCCGATGTAGGGCACCAGCAGATCAAAGCATGCTACCGTCTGCTCATCATCATTGGCTCGCATGTAGAATGGTTTCAGGGAGGTTGGGTAATCTACGACAAACACAGGGCCGCCGACAAGTCGTTCGGAAAGCCAGCGCTCGTGCTCACTTTGCAGCGGTCTCCCCCACGCGGGTTGGAATTCAAACCCGACTCGAGAAGAAGCATGGTATTTCTCCAGCTCCTTTACAGCATCGGTGTATGTCATGCGTGTCCAGGGGTGCCCTGGGCGCGACGCATCTTCCAGAGTTTTGAGTTTTGCCTCGTCGCCATCTTTCCAAAGGAGTGCGTTTTCTGATCGACACTGCACGAGGACATTTTTGAGAGACTCCTCGACCACATGGCATACGTTCCCGACGTGGTTGATAAAAGCCCATTCAGCTTCGAGCATCCAGAATTCCGCCAGGTGTCTATTCGTTTGAGAACGTTCCGCCCGGAAGCAAGGAGACAACGTGTAAACCCGAGACAGAGACGCGGCGATGGCCTCCAGATGAAGCTGCGAAGACACGGTAAGATATGCCGGCTGGGAAAAGAATTCGGCTTGGACGCTAGGATCGGGTGAATGCCCTAGGAAAGGGGAGGAAGACGCGGGTGACACACGGAACGTTTCGCCCCCACCCTCACAATCATTTGAAGTCAGAATGGGCGTGTGCACGTAGTGGAAGTCTTGGGCCTGTGTTGGGACGTGTCAACGAGAGGGCGGACGATGAGATGTCTATTAGCACCTCAAAATAAGTATGTAGCGTTCGGAGGACGGAGTCTCGTAGACGGAGCATGGCAGCGTTAATATCCGTTCGGGCCCTGAGATGAGCATTGTCTCTTAGAAAGTCCACCGGTAGAACTTGCTTCTGGATAGGGTATGTCTTTACAGAATTTCAATTGGCAATTTTTCATCCTTCCAAAACACATACCTCCGGATTACATTCGCCTAAGACATCAATCGCTTCGACCTGCAGTTCGTACGATTGACCGCGGCCCAAGCTCTGAACCAGATTCCCACATATGCGGACACTGGCACCGTTAGTTAAGCTGAGGAACAGTACTATGAGCTTCTGTGTATTCTGAAACGCCTGGTGAACATACTTGTGCGGAGTAGCATCTGGCTTCAAGACTGCTTGCAGGCCAGAAGTACAACTTCCATCGTTGATCACCGCAAAAGTGACATTTTTCTGTCTTCGTACAGATTTGATCCAACCATTCAATTGTACTTTGGTCTCCTGGCCAGTCACTTTTAGGGAAGACAGCAGCTGTCGGATCGTTGGCGGCAACGTTGAAGTTGACGCGAAACGGCGCAAGAGCATGGAAGAAACTTGCACAGCCACACCTTTTTTCGAGCAATTTTTGTCGGCGAGGGTGTGCAAAATTGACTCAGAGTCAACTCAGAGCCGCACTGTGCTCAGCAAGGCCGACATACGAAGTTCGAACAGGAAGCCATGTAGCGCGGTGCAATATTTTAACATTAACAGAAAGCAGAAACACGATATACAGATGACAATGCGATATGAGCATGGTATCCCCTGGATTATACCATCAGAAGCCCCTTCCTCGTCCCCTTCCCCTCCCCCTCCCACGCCCACCACGGTCAACCAGCAACCCACGTGCACGGCCCCTCCCGCGTGCATCGTCCTTCTTCCTGCCTTTGGGCTTTGGTGCGTCATCTACCAACAGCGTATCAAGAGGGAGTGCATCTGGGAGCACGAAGTATCGGATGTTGTTGCCGCGGATAGATAGGGAGTCGAGGGATGTTGGATCCCGGTTACGGGCTGTCATCTTGACAGTTTTAAGGTGGGTGTTCATCTGCATATCAACACCTGTGAAACAATGAAATGGTTTAAGAATTTGCAAAGGCTATCAGATCAGTCTATTGAACGCACCAGTAATTGTGCCATGGACTACAGAACCGTTCTTGAGCTCAATAGTCACGGTCTCATTATTGAGTTTCATCAAGAATCTGATGGAAACAAGGGTCAGCGCCCGATCTTTGTAATGCACAAATTGAAAAGCTTCTGAACATGTCAGACCAATACGAAAGAAACGTCTGCGGTATTCACCTTACGAGCTTCATGGTGGATTATGTCGTCCTGCAACCGCTGATCGAGTGTCGAGAATCAGAGATGCGCCCCTGTTGACTCTTGTTTGTAGGGCATCCAAATCGAGTGGATCAAGTAACTGCCAAAACGGTTCAGTCTGTGCGCAGTGACATATGACGCATATGTCTTTATTTGATGAGTTGCCCACTTGCGTCTAACCTGTAATGCTGATGGCTCCATCTCCGCCGGGGGTATATTCGGATAGAAAAAGTAGTATCACGACCACGTATAAGGGCCACGAGCCCCTTGCGAATGGCAACTGTAGGTCCGCCTTACCGCCCAGCTGCCAGCGCTACATACATATAAGAGCAGTACTTGCTGGGAGATTGTATACTGAACGAAATCCCCAAAATGACTGTTTTGAAAACGTTCATCACCGCCGTGGTCGGTATATTTTCTGCAGCTACTTCTGCCAATGCCATTATGAACGGCGTTGGTAAATTGCCTGGTTTGTCTCTCAGCTCTTCCCGACGGCGTTCGAGTCATTGACATGTTTGGTGCAGTGATGGGTTACAATGGTACGTGTTGTTGAGAGTGCAGGAGCTCACCATTGACAATTAGCCCCTATGACCGTCAGCGTGGAACGCATTTGCGGTGAGTGAGCGTGACATTCACGACCAAGAACGGCGTCCTTATGTAGCATGTAATAGTGCAACGTCAATGAGACTCTCATCCTCCAGACTGCGCAATACATGAAGGAGTATGGGCTCCTGGTCAGTGTCGTAGTATGACACATCAAAATCAGATAAATTTCACACCGCTGTAGGATGTTGGTTATAACCATGTTAATCTTGACGATTGCTGGGCTATGAAGAATCGTAGCGCTACTGGTGAGGTCATATCAGGTTGGTTTTTACTTAGAGCTATTATCTTCATGTGCTAAGCAGCCGTCATCACAGATACTATCAGGTTCCCCAGTATGAACAATCTCACAGACCAGCTTCACGCGCTCGGCTTGTACGCAAACATGTGTTCTCCATAATGTTTCACCGTTAAGTTCTGATGTCCCTCCTAGCTACGCAGGCATTGTATGAAAGTCGCACCTTTCGAGAAGATATTTTCTCACTGTCAATTCTAGTATTCTGACTCTGGCTGGTTTACCTGCGCGGGGTATCCCGGCTCCTTCATGCACGAGGAACAGGACGCGATGACCTTCCAATCTTGGGGTTTCGACTTCCTCAAGTAAGCACATATCGTGAGGATGACTGACAAGCCACTAACTGCTCAATTTAGGTATGACAACTGCGCCAGTGAGCATATAGGTGCTCAGAAAGTACCAGACAATACTAACGACTTTCGTTCTAGTTCCATTCGATGATATTATACGGGAGGGTATCACTGGAAGTGGGTAGAAATCTTCTCACCTTGGTCTATTTCATCAATACTAAGTATTTCGGGCTACAGAATATCACCGCATGGTAGATGCTCTTGCCGTGGTCGCAGAAAAAACTGGCACTACGTTCGTATTCAGTTTGTGTGAGTGGGGCTGGGTAAGGTTTACCCCTTGCACGGATCCGTTTTATATTTGACATGTTCAATGATCTTTTTAGAACCAAGTCTGGCTGTGAGTATCAATCTCATGACAAACACCGTTGTCTCATAGGGAAACTACTTCATACAGATGGGGTGCCCATATGTCTCACAGTTGGCGAGTTCGTCACCTCGTTCATTTTACCTGTATGAAGGGTAATTTGGCTGATAATTTGCTTAGATTGATGATGACATTGCGCCTCACTGGAAATCGCTTACTAGCATCATCAACTCGTTGGTCACTCCTTCAACGACCCTCCTCGCCCTCATGTTTTTAATACAGCGCATCGTTTATCACCCAAGCTACGAACCATTATGGACGCAATGATCTCGACATGGTAGGGGAACACCGAGCGTCTTGCCGTTGGCACTGACATTATCCACGTGACAGCTCGAAATCGGGAATGGCGACCTCTCGTACGACGAAGCAAAGTCCCACTTCACTGCATGGGCTCTTGTCAAGGCTCCCTTGCTTATAGGCACCAACGTAAGCATTTCCGTCATCATTGACACCGCAGCTCACCAGCACTCTCCTCACAATTAGCTCGCCACCATAAGCCAGGAGATGCTCAGCATCCTAAAAAATCAAGAGATCATCGCGATCAACCAGGACCCCGTCCATGGTACTAGCATATCGCCCTTCCGCTGGGGCATCAACGTGTGTTACTTCTTTTGTATTTTTGTTTTGTTTTTCGTACATACTAGTTGACTGAAAATAGCCTGATTGGACATACAACGCGACACACCCTGCTCAATACTGGAGCGGTCCCAGTGAGAACGGAACAGTTTTCATGCTTGTACGCCATTTCAGAACATCGGTATCATCATAATGGAAATATTGATACACTCCAGATCAATACTCTGAGCCAGCCGGCTGATATGTTCTTCAACCTCACCGAATCCCCATGGATTCGCGCTGGCATTCAGTATTCCGTCCGGGTAGGCTCTTCTAAACCACATAGAACTTCGCAGCGTTACTGATCGATTTCCTTTGGATAGGACTTGTGGACACACACAGACAATGGCACTGCTGTGCGTAGCTTCACCGCTATGAGCGTCCCCGCGCATGGTGTGGTGGTGCTGTTACTGAAGGAAGATGGGAATGAGCCCGCTGGGTTGATGCCACCCTGTGCTGGCGAGGCTCTCTCACAATGCACTGCTGAGGATGGGACGAGGTACTCATAAGCCGCGTCTAGTCTTACCACTCTGTAAGTAGCTACAATGCCAGTTATCATTATATCCTTCATCAGTTGGTTTTCGAACGCTGGCACTTACTGTGCGCACAATATGTTTCCCGAAAATTCTGAAGGATTCATCCACTTTAATCTAATGCACTAGAGTTGTCGCTGATATGGCAGTCAACGTCGACTAGTCCTGCAATGCCACGATTATTCCAATGACAAGAAATCCACGAAACGAGATCCGGGATCAACCGGAGGATCAATGACAAGTTTGAAAGCCACCCGAGATGGAGAATGAAGTGTGTATTGTGTGTCGTGTCAAAATGTGAAACGCATGTTTAAGTACGATCAGTTGCCATATCCATTTCTTGGAGTGTTGGGGAAACCACCCGCGATTGCAATTCCGATAGGATGTGTTTATACGTGCCTTCTATTATCTGGAAATACTCCTCCGTGTTCTGGTCTTGCATGTTGCCAGCGGGTACATCCAACGTAAATGATGGCTTAAAGTGGAGGTAGCCAGAATACTCGGGGATATCGGCGTCCAGGGAAAGTGGAATCCCACCCTGTTAGACACAGGGCGTCAAAATGTGACTAGCCAGAACATGAGATTCAAACATACCGCCACAGAGGTGAGATATGTCCAGGCTCGTGCAGCGTTGGGCGTGTTATAACCACCTAAAACATTGGGTAGTATGCGAGAAAATGAAGACGAATAGCACCATACCTCCACCAAGTAACAGTTTCTTTCCTTGCCATTCGTGAACGATGCGATGTACACACCAGCCGAGCGAACCTTCGCCCCCCAAGGACCAGTTCCAGGTTGCCATGGGATCGCCTGCTAGGCCATCTACGCCACACTGGACCACTACGAAATCAGGCCGAAAAATGTCCTTGACACGCTCGACGATGTGCCAAATGCGGGTGAATGTTTTGGTGGATGCACCAGCTTTGAGTGGCACAGATAAAGTGAAAGGATCGAAGGCCGGATCATCAACGCTCGGAAGGGAAGCGAGGGGGGAAACAGGGAAAAAGCCTGGGGCCGCGTGATGAATAGATAGCGTCTGAAAACAATCACATGGGTCAGAAATTGACAATGTTTTGAGATGCACGCACAAGAACTTGCGACGTAGTCATAGGACCAGACTTGTGAAAAGCCTGTGACACTGCATCTGAAAAATGGAGGTCGAGGTCAAGATACATTACGCGTGGTTTCTTCACCGGAGGCGTAGAAGGTACTGTTCGTTTGAGGAAGAGGATAGCGAGCACACAATCAGCTACGTAACAAAAACCCGAAGCCTGTGCTTTCTTGGCGTGATGTCTGGATATGATAGCGCTGAGATCGTAAGGAAAGTTTGCAACGAAGTGAGCCAGTACCTGCCGCCATCCCAGCAGATGGCTACATCAGAAACATTGTTTCTAATGACCGCTGCTCCGGTCAAGGTAGCTCCCGCGACTTGTGTTATATAATTTTTGATTCCATGGAACACGGGGCAGTCCTAGATGCATATTGACAGGTCGCGAAACAGCCTGAATTTAGGTTTGGTATACGTACATCTTCAAGTCCAAACTCAGAAGCTATCGACAGGTTCTGGGCGTCGCTTGATTGAGCCATAGCGTATTCGAGATAATCATGAGTATGGTAAGCCAGGAGCTCCTTCTCGCCAGCAGGCCGCGGTCGCACAACCAAGAATCGTTGGCCCGGGGGCGTCTGATCAGTGCATATTGTCAGAAGTCCATATGCGTGGATGAGTGAATAGACAAGGAGAGAACGATTCCTATTGGAAGGTAGAAGTGAAGCCGTCTGCCAGTGGAGAGCATACAGTGAATTGGTTATCGGTTAGTCACCGCCGATGACACCTCGCAGGCATCTGAAGTTTGCTCACTTTCACTAAGTCTTCGGAGAAGATGTAGGCCACGGGCTTCAAGTTAGTATGTGACCCAGTGGATTCGACGCGGGAGTCCATCGTTCTGTCAAGGAGATATCCATCCACAATAGTATTAGTCAAAACGAGTGTACTTTATGCTGCCTCAATGGATTGAAGTTCCGAACTGATGAAATTACCTTCAGTCTCAAGATTTTACGACAACAATTTCATGATGATCATTCACAAACTAGAGATGACATTAAGGATATCAAGTATAACGTTGCACAATGGTACTTTAGCGCAGAGAATTGGGGTTTGTAAGGGAAGCCTTTAACAAATGTTTCAAGAATCAAGGAGTTCACGTGTAAGTTATGCTTCAAGAACTATCTTGGATCTGACTTATGAACATCACAGGCCACATTCCACGTATCATCGCCAGGCTTGATGGTAGTGCTAAATCGATTAGCTCTTGCGAATGCGTCCAGTGAGCAAGTGCCGTATCTACGATCTTTCTTGCTCCCTGCACAGGTCCGCAAGGGGTACATCTCTTCGTTCAGTATAAGTCGAATCTGCGGTCCGTCGAATCTTGACGGAAATAAATATGATATATCATTACAGCGTTCAAATACCCATACTCGAAGTCTGCGAGTTCATCCGCATGGAACTCATCCCGCGCGGCTAAGTCGTATGCGCATGCATATAAAGATCATCGCGTGTCATTATCAGTGAAGAATTGATCGCCAGGAAGGAGTTTATTCAAGCACTCTGTGATAAAAGGAAGGTATGTGTTGCTCCAGTTCGCTGCCATCTGAGTAAATAATACGTCATCGTTCATAGAAAAACTCTTGATTACTTGCCTCCACTTTGTGCTGCGTATCGAGGCCACACGAAGCCCAAGGAGTGTGATCCAAGAAACTTGATCCGGATCATTAAATACACATAGTTCCTTGTTCTCAACTTCGCGACCAAAACGTCCTTGAGCAAAAAAGTACATGGAGTCAATCCCTCTCTGTACAGGACTGGATAGCAGTATATCCACATTGAAGTTTGGATACTTCAATCCGAAGCTAGGTTGTTCGTCAGCGTAGTTTGACAGAACAGTGAAAGGGACAAGCGTACTCCACGCCATGGTTGAAGAGTTGTTGACGCCCAATGATGGTCAGGTTTCCTGGATCGAGGTGGAATTCATATCCCTTCTTGAGAAAGCGGAGGTTCTTTGGAAGACGAGCATGCTTGATAGCATCGTGACGCTTTCCAGTGTTTCGACAAGCGACTCAATCAGAACCATCTCGTTCTCGGGTCCCCGAGAGCCTGTGCATCTGCAACTGCGTTAGATGTTCCCGTTCCGCAAGGAGAAATTCGGCCATACAAGCATCACCCTATTGACACTACAATTACCAGGCAACTGTTGCCTTGACTTTATGAGAAGTAAGAGCCACACAGTATGGGGTCAAAAATCCAAGTCTCTAGAGAGGATCATGTTCATGTTTATATGAATTGAATGTTAGAGACGCTAAAGGTAGCCAGTTAAGGGAACTTTGGATGAGCATCGTCGAGGATACAAAGCTTGAGATATTGAACCAGTCAGGTCCTGTATATGCCAGCGGCGTACCGTAGCAGCTTACGCGAGTAGTTCCCATTCCATTATCTTGCACGGATGCGAGAAAACACCGGAATTCAGTTGACACAATGTCATGTCATGACTTCAATTTTTGCTGCCTCGGTTCTCCATCATTCTCCCGGATCCGTGCGCAGAGATTGCGTTTGAGCTTGTCGTAACGTTACTCCTTCAAGCTTCAAGCCCACGCAAGACCCGAGGAGCCGGCCTCAATGGAACTGAACGAGCGTCTTCCTTCTATGCTCTGACTAGGAGGAAGGCTAGCAACAGAAAGTGGGTAATTAGTGTCATACATGGTTGGATCAATACTGAATTACGATGGGCCTCGTGCTTGTGGCAATTGTCTTGCCCAGTGGGGTAACGGAAGCATCCTAAGTCCTTTGGTACGTAGGATACTTGGTTTGCAGTATTGAGAAGAGGTTGTGACTACAGCTACAGAAAGCCACTCACTTTCTCAAGCGAATCGTCCGAGCTACTTACGAAGCCTCCAGAGAGGTTGGAGAAAGAACGCCTCCATCTGGTTATGAATATCTAGACTTGTCGGAGTCGAGAAGGGCAGGATTCTCGCAAATATTATTAGCAACCCTGGGGACCCGGACGCTGGAAAATTTGCTGGCAAGCTGGTACTTACGTAGACACATCCTGATACATCGACCAGTCGTGCAGCGATTCCTGTGCTTGCACGGGATTGAATAGAAGCATCACTTGCGGCTCTCTCGCTTTCAGGCCTCATCCTTTCAGTCACAGTTGGGTTACAGCCAATGCAACGGCATACTTTCCAACGCCTGCGCCGTGTCATTCAACCAGATGGATTGACTCGTGAGTCGTCTCTCGGCTGTCCAGGAATTCGTGGATGAGTTGAACTCCACCAAAATCCCTTCTAAATACCTTGGATGGGATTAGCAAAGTTCGCAAGAGTCGTATTCAGTATGCTTGACTATGGGCACTGGGTTGAATGAGCTGTGAAAAGGCTTGATTTGTGAGCGACGTATTGGTGTCAGGCTGCCCGGTAAGTATGTTTCACTAGACTCGTAACCAGTCTGACTATCCGTCAATTGGCTACACCACTCGAGTATCCGTGGTAGTATACGCCAGGCTGGTCACGAGCCTAATGTTTCACGGTGATGAGTCGGGCAACAGAACGACCAGACTGGAGTGATGAGTTAGCAAGGCGTAATACTAAGAGCTGCTTGAGATCCAATGGATGGATGTGACGATCGGTTCCAGTCTATCCAGTGCTGTGGGAAGCTCGCTGGATGGTTGGTGGAAGCAGTTGAAACTGGAAGCTTGAGAGACGAGTGGGCACTGGTCCGGCCCGGGTGAGGTTGTATAAATTGTGACAGAGAAAGACACCTCGTCGGAGTGTTGACATCACGATGTTGATGAAAGTAAGAGCAAGAAGACCTTCTTGTATGTAGATTCTAGAATCATCATGTCACTTCAAATATATCTACCTACGAAATGCTTTGTATTCAGCAAGGCAAGCTTTATTGTACCCTCTACGAAGTGTGTGGAAATGGACAATCCGATTGACTTTTCAGTTGTGAGGTCAGGCTTTCGGAGTCGACAACACCTTCCGCAAGAACTGGATCGATTCCTCCTCTTGCCGTCCAAAAATCTCAAGAGCTTCTTTGATTTTCCGGGAGGTTTCTGTATCCCTTGAAATTGCGACCTCCAAGGCAGCTGCGTTGTTGGCTATATAATCAGCGTCCAACACTACATGTCAAGCTTAAGAGCACAGTTTGAAGTCAAAAACGGAGGCAACAAACCAGACTTTTCTCCAGCCACTTCCATTGTAACAGCAGCCAAGTCCTCATCTGGTTTTGCAGGAGCAGCAGCGAGCAGAGTGAGCACCCTGTCAGATATGGTCAAGTGATGTGGACGGAGTCTTGCTAGAGCAACAGCCTACAGAAGTGATGGATATGATCATGCGAAAGTTGATAAATTCAATGCTCACTTCGTCTAACGTAAGGATACTGATTTCACAAGTGGGTTGAGTAAACCGCCATGCTTTCAGGGTAAAATTAGCAGTTACCTCGCTGGCACTACAGTCGTGCTTGTTTGCTTTTCCTTGAAGGCTTGTATTATCGAGTATATAATCGGTGACATAGGATGCTGCCGAACAGGGTCCTTGTGATCAATGTATGAGGAAGCACCTTCAGGAAAGTGTACTCGTAATTCTGGGGGCTTTGATCAGACCTCGCTGGTAGAACGTCCTAGTACCAAGTCTGAGAGGCATACCATTGAAGTAAGGTGAAATAGAGAGGCATCCCGCTTGCGATGCTGCTATGGCTTGCGGGACAGAGAACAAGCAAGTCCCGAGTGTACATATGCCGCTTTCCTGCAGCTCTTTGCAGGCAAGGATGCTTTGGGGTGTGGTTGGTATTTTGATACAGACTCGGTCTCTGAGCAAAGTACCGTCAGTCTGCCTCCTGAAAACGGAGAATAATCTGCCCACTTAGATATGCCGTGTTTGCCAAAGACACTGATAAGAGCCCTTGCGTGTGCAACAGTGGCATCTTTGCTGTATGCTGTACGGGGTGATGTCTGGGCAAGAACCCTACCCGTCTTGTCCAAATATGGAATGATCTTGCTAGCCAGAAGGACAGTCTACATGATGGAATTTCAAGTTGATGCAATGTGTGTCGTACGTCTAAACCATACATACCACGAGATTGAGCACCTTCAATATGCCGGTCTCTGTTGATATGTCGATTGCAGCGTCCTGAACATACTGCGAGACAATGGGTTCCAAGTTCGCGTCCCATTGCAGTCGCAACTGGCCATTCACAATTGCCTGGTTAGATGTCATGGAATGGAATGTTGTCGAGACAGACAAGGATTCGGCTGCCCTGGGATCCATTGAATCAATGTCCAGGATGACTCCAAGGGCTTGTATCTGCGACAGTAAAGTGTTCGCCATGGTGGGAGTCTGGCAGAGTCAGTGAGTATATCAAGGTTGGTCTCGAAATGCCTCGAGCCCAAACCCCGTGTTAGTACGTATTACGTACCAAGCACGAGCAGGTATGCGCTTTTACGTCTCCGCTACTCGCCCATCACCAGGAGAACTCTCACCCTCCTGGTGCTAGCGAAAGCTAGTGGGGAATGTCTACCTAGTGTCTCCATTCCCTCTTGCAGATAAGCTTTCCTCTGTGTATTTATAGGGCATTTCGCGTCTCCTTGCACGATCTTTCTAAGACCAACTTGAATGTGGTTGTCCTGCGAATATCACTCATATAAATATGTACTTCAGGCACTCAAAACATCATATACCAGCTCCTTAATTCTTACCCAGAAGAATATACTTTCCCGGGCCCTGCTCCCGGGATACATAGGAGGACAGAAACTGCCGAACACTGAAAAATCAGTATACAAATTCCCCAAGTATTTGAAACGGAGGCACAAACCATTTCCGTGCTTGCAGCTAGGTACAGCATTATCCATTAGCCTGTGATGAGTCGGACACCCGTAGCCTAATCACCGCCTGCTCGTCCACATCGGAAGATTGTGTTCATTCAGGCCCGTTAGAGAGAGCAATTGAGTGCTTGCCGGAAGCCACAGGACCTAGTTGGAAACGTTGTCAACTTGGAGCTCGAAGTTGCTGCCCGGGCCGCTGACAGAATGACCGGCGGAAGTACTGCCGGCGGCTAATTAGACGATCCTTCTTTCTTGCCACATCAGCAAAAGACCCATGATTTTCGCTTACGACTTCAGTAGCGCACTCATGCGATTGGTGGAGATGCTGAACACATAACCGAAAATGTATGCTCCCTGGAACGCAAACCCGAACTAAACCAAAAGCAAACTGCTCAAAAGCACTTATGAGCAAAGTCGCATTTGCTGATGGGCCCAGTGCCAGTCTTCAGAAGCTTCCATCAAGGCTCGCCACCTGTTGCTCACTAGCAGTCGTCACTGCCAATCAGTGTTGACAGTAAGATGAATTTTCACAGAGTAAAACAAGAGTAAACCGACATCCGCATCAATTGCTTGACGACTCAAGTGTTCGGGGAGAACATTTTGCACGAACTGCCGCTGGCAAGTCTTGGCCATTCCCTCTTCATGTAGTTCTGCCGGGCCCGACCGTGGCGGTCTACCCTGGCAGCATGGCCATTCATTATAAAGGGCATTCAGTGGGCTATGCGTATCCCGGCAATTGGGTTGCAAGATGCTGTCCAGCTTCCTGAGTCGTGGTGTCCTCGCAAGTGCCGTTTTCGCTAGTTGTGTTGCTGCGGTGACGACTGTCGATGTTAATGGCACGGCTGCCCATACCATTCCGCCTCTTCTGTGTGAGTTGTGACATCTATCCGTGACCCTATTTTGTATTAAATAAAATACACTGTCCTTAGTTGGACAGATGTTCGAGGCAAGTAGATAATTATGAAAGCCGTGCTGTTTTTCTGACATGCAACATATCGGCGACTTGTAGGATATCAATGTACGTTTCCTGTTATCATTCACATTGGCTCATTCATGGGCAATTCCCACCATTATAGCATGTAAGAGGATGAATATTATTTTTGAGCGCCTCTAAATAATGTCTACCATCGTTCGCAGAGTGGTGATGGTGGTATTTACGCTGAGTGTAAGTGCTTCATCGAATTCACGCCCTTGTCATGCTCCTGAAGTCCTTTTACAAGTGCTTCAAAACCGCGCCTTCCAGCAAGTGAAACCAAGTAAGATCCACGGATCAATATCTTTCGAACTGTAATCGCTGAGACCTGTATCTAGACACAGATGCTGCTCTCTTAGCCTGGGCTCCGATCAACGGCGCATCCATTAAGGTTATTGCTGACCCCAGCCCGCTTTCCAATGCCCTCCCCAATTCCCTTGAGCTTACCATCCCTTCTGGCATCTCCGGCCAAGTTGGGTTCGGCAATGAGGGCTATTGGGGTATGTACGACTAACCTCGGAACTTGTACACCGAGTTCACTCATTTCCCTCCAGGCATAAACGTCAACTCCTCCTGGACTTACAACGCCTCTTTCTACTACAAATTCCCCAGCGCATCCAAATTTTCTGGAAAGCTCACTGTCATGCTTCGGTCGTCTACTGGCTCAGTCTATGCAAGCGCTTCTGTCCCTGTCTCTGGCTCCACCACAACCTGGACGCAGGTCGCGGTGCCTCTTACACCTACCTCAAGCCCAGCGTCAGTCGCCAACAACTTCACGGTCACGGTCGATGGCGCCAGTGCTAGCGAAGAGACGATTAACTTCGCAATGTTTTCCCTCTTTCCTCCGACGTTTAAGGGCAGAGCAAATGGTCTGCGGATGGACATCGCGCAGGTGTGTTTTCATATGGAGTGCAAGCAACGTGTTCTAACAGCAGCACACAGACATTGTATGACATGAAGCCTTCGTTCTTCCGTTTGCCTGGTGGTAACAACTTGGTAAACTCCATATAGCGCCATATCCATCCATGCTGACTATCTTTGTAGGAGGTAAGCATAAATACTATCGTCCCGCCTGTTTGTGGACTCTATCATTAATGCCACCTCAGGGCCAAAGCGTTTCTACACGTTGGCAATGGAATGCGACGGTAGGCAATCTTATTGACCGTCCAGGACGCATGGGTGACTGGGGATACATTAACACTGAGTCCGCACTGTTCTCGTGACTTTGACTCTGCTATCAATGACAAATTACCTTCCCTTTTCTCAGCGGTCTCGGTCTTCTCGAATACATGTATCTTTGCGAAGACATGGAAATGGAGCCCATTATGGCTGTCTGGGCAGGTAGGTAACAGGCGTGCATTTCATGCGATTTGTGTACTTATTTCACGCACAGGGTACTCGCTCGGCGGAGAAAGCCTCCCTGAAAACGAGCTTACGCCATACATCCAACAGGCAATCGACCAGATCAACTTTGTCATTGGTGACCACGCAAAGAGTGAACCAGCTGCCCTGCGTGCATCTCTTGGCCACCCAGAGCCATTCCCTCTGCAGTATATTGAGATCGGTAACGAAGACTTCTTTGCGTCGGAGTCGTGAGTGTTTCACCTAAAATGACGTTGAACGAGCATGTCAATGATACACCACAAGGTATATCTACCGCTGGAAACACTTCGCGGGCAACCTGACAGCTAATTTCCCTCAACTGAGTGAGCGCTGCAATGCTGCACGGGCTCGCCCTTGACTGATGCATCTTTTGGTAGAGTTCATTGCAACCTCATCGAACCACAAGCTCGACCCCATCCCAAAGCAGTACGATAATCACGTGTACCAGACGCCTGGCTGGTTCGCAGAAAATGCGTTCTACTACGATTCTTTCGAGGTGAGTACGCTCTGCATTCGCATCGCACACTACTGGCAGGCTGACACGACAAAAAGCGCGATGGTACTTACTACTTCGCGGGTGAATATGCCGTCGTGTCGACCAACGCCAGCAATCTCTATGGCACATCTGCCTACGGTCGCCTCATGTACCCTGATATGCAAGGTGCGTATTCTCTCATAGTATTGAATCATATTTGACGCCAGGATAGGGTCTTCAGGAGAGGCCGCATTTATGACTGGTCTCGAGCGTAACAGTGATATTATCTTCGCTGCGTCGTATGCTCCCTTGTTAATGGTCAGCTTACTTCGTATATGCTGCAATAAAAGTAACACTGATATAAGCACTATAGAACGTTGCCGACTCCAAGTGGACGCCCAACCTTATTTCCTTCGAGTGAGTCACTCATAAGCAATCGAGGATGCGCATCAGATTCATATCCCGTCAGTGCATCACAGGTGTACCCCTCAACCAGCTTCTATACCCAGCAGGTAATGATATCTGGTATCTGAGTAGAGTCACGTCCCTTACACATCTGCTGCAGCTCTTCAGTCTCAACCGCGGTACTGAATATCTCCCAAGTACCCTGCATATTGCAGAAGCCGTGTCACTCCACTGGAGTGTCACGCGTGATGCACCCACCAACACGGTTATCATCAAGGTATTTAAGGCTCACGGTCCCATCAGTGTTTGTAACGATGCTCATATTTTGTTACCAAGATTGCGAATACGGGCACGTCAGCTGAAGACATGTCATTCGAGCTTCCCTTCGAGGGTGTTCACGGCATTGGCACTGCGACAGTCCTGTCGGGGTCTGCCACTGCAAGCAACTCGCCTGAGGCTCCTGACACCGTTAAGCCCGTCACTTCACAGATTAAAACTGGTAAGAGCTTCCCATACACTGCCCCAGCGTATAGTGTCAACGTGCTGCGGGTGAAGCTGCAGTAGGGCATAGAGTACCGCTTGGCAACATATGCACGTCATACCGCGACAAATACATAAATAAACACAGCTGGTGGTTGATGTCTTTGCTTCTTTTGCGACTCAATGTCAACCTACATGAGCTACTGAACATGATGGCAAACTTGGTCGCCAAAAAGTTCCTCGCTTTCTAAGTTAGGACCACTGATTGGCAGTGATAATATACTGCCTATGGAACATGGGTCAGTGTGCCACACCGTGCGGACGAAAATTAAGACACGAACCATTTTACCCAGGTTTGGGTCCAGACACCGGAGGTCAGGTTTGATGAGGTCGACTTGGATCCACTGTCCTGACATCGGTGGGCCAGGCCCCCAGGTTGAGTCAGAACACAGTCCAGGCGTGGGCATGCCCTGGAGGGTGAAAGTTAAACATAAATCAGCAATGGTATGGCATGAAGAACGCTGCCGGGACCCTGGCACCCGCTCCTTGTTTGATCCTGCTGAGCTTCCCTACAACAAGTGCTACAACGGGAGGTATGGATGATATTATGTTCTAAGATATAGTACATAGAATCGGACAATATAATTAAAAGTTGTTCGTTCAGCTTGATAGAGCGGGCTGCAACGATGCGGGAGGCTTTGGCATGATATTCCACAGCTCCTTCTTCTGTACCATTGTGAGCTTGACGTCCTTCCCGACGTATGGCTTCAGCTAATATCAGGAAACCCACGCACGACGGGCAAATGATTTGGGTCGAGGGGAGGAGTGTACAAGTTCGCGAGTAACACCAAGAGAAGAAAGAGATGTAAATCAAAAGGACAACATAAATAGTCAGAAAGCGTGAACCAATAACAGATATAGCGCGTACCTCGCTTTTCTTGATCTCCTCTATGCTTGGTGCAACAAACACCCTCACTTTCTCGTCTAGCAGACGGTACTTCGACGCGCCTCGGATAACATGTTTTCCTGGGGCACCTGTGCGGTGTCCACCAGGGAGGAAGGCTTGTCTAGTTCCTGCGTGCAGTGTGAGCGATGAAAATGAGAAAAGACAGCCGAACTGTCAAACGAGAAATGGACAGCGAGAAGAGTTACACAACTTCAGGAAGAGTTGTCAGACGCACCTTTGTAGAAATCTTTATTCCCCCGCTTCGGAGTCAAAGCACGCCGCGAAGCTTTCGAAAGACAGACGGCCGTGAAGAACATTGATGAATGGCTTCAAGTTTGTTGCAGACTTTCGAAATATCATCCATTTGCTTACATAAGCAACCCGCCTTCTTCGTTCCTCGAGAGCTTGAACTCGCCAATACACTGGATCATGGGCAAAAAGAACACATCAAACGCCGCTTCCTCCCGTGTGCACAGACCAAAGCGTGGTGGACGCGCCCAGCGACATGGGAGTGCAAGAGCCTCCAAGCAATCCCAGCCACTGCCTAGCTTTCCTGAGGACGCCGCTAAGCCCTCGAGCATCATCGAGGATGAAAGTTCAGACCGTTCCTCAGGTGAAGATGATGAATGCGAGTAATTTACCGAGGTAGTCGAACCGCCACTCATGAGCGCACAGCTGGGCGACCGCACATTGATGTACCGGTGGCGATGTGGGTGAGTCCATTTGCCATTGTGCTTTTATAGCGGTCATGACACGTCGTTTAAACAAACAAGGACTTCGACCATTGCGATCCACGTCGATGCTCTGGGAAGAAACTCGCCCGCCTCGGTCTCATAACAGAGCTGAGGGTGGGGTCTAGATTTCGAGGGGTAGTTGTATCGTGCGTCTGCCTCGCTTTTCAATATAAGCGTCCATTCACCCTACCTTAATATCAATACTTTTCTGGCGACAGACCAAAGGCAACCCTCGTCGTGAGCCCTGCAGACAGAGAGATCGTTGGGCGAGACGGGATCGCCGTCGTCGAATGTTCTTGGGCCCGCATAGACGACGTCCCTTTTTCGAAAATCGCCAGCCCGCACGAGCGGCTTCGTAAGTCCATTGTTCACTTACACATATCTCTGGTGAATGATGGGTCATTGGCAGTCCCCTACCTGCTTGCAACAAACCCCACCAACTACGGCAAGCCTTGGCGACTGAACTGTGTCGAGGCGCTTGCAGCGACTTTCTACATTACAGGATTCGATCAGCATGCAGAGACTCTGCTCAGTGCATTTGGGTGGGGCGATGCTTTCTGGCGGGTTAATAGGTACGGTTCCTTTTAGGATGGTACTGTTCTGTGCTAATTCAAATTTCGATCTTGTAGTCCATACCTCAGACGATACCAAACATGCATATCAGCAGAGGAGGTTGCCGCGATGCAGGAGACTATCATAGCAGAGCTCGAGGAGAGCTACCAGGAATCACGCAGGGTGAAAGGTTTGCTTATTTCTTTCTGTTTTGTATCTCAAGCTCATGCCTAGCAGATGAAGCTGGGAGTACTGAGGATCTTCTTGTCCGGAATCCTAATCACGACATATCCAGTGATGATGGGTCAAGTTCCGCATCAGAGGGCGATGAGGACAACACGGAGGCGTTGTAGCCTCCCGGATCACGGTGGGCCCACGGAGCGTATCGCGTGAGTCCGCGTAAGTTGTGGTTCGCGGTGGCATTACTTGAGGGGGCCCGGTCCTGATTCCCTGTTTGCCAATCTGGTACAATTTCAAACAGGAACTCCCTTATCCGGTGCAGAGTTGACCGGTCGGTAGCCTAGTTTTCCTGATTAGAGGAATCCGTGCAGTCTTTCAAAATAAAGGGTTTAGCCTGACTATTATGAGTAGGCTCTGATATCGCTCAACCCCGGTCTGCATGATCTAAAGGTTGCTTCTAAATCTTAGTAATGTGACACGAATATATATTGCAGTGCTACTCTGACGCAGCTCGTCAAGAACTGAACAATTTACCTAGCAATAAGTACCTTTGTCCTCGCTTCGTCTTGTCACCAACAAATTCGAATTCTTCCCAGTGTGTGCCCAAAAATACATGACCTACGGATGCGGGTGTTCTCAAAACTTGGAGTTCGTCCAATGCGACGACTTCGAAGGAACCTATATCAAATGTTCTAACATTACACGACGCAAAATCGAGCGTAAATGTGTGGAATAGTATTGTAAGAAACATCTCGTGGAACACGGGGGGGATGTGGCGACGGTGGTGCTGGAGTGAAGGTAAGTAACTGATGCTCTCGGTTTTGCCCACTGCACATACTCACTGCCGGCGTAGTGTCCTGAATAGCGCTCCGTATCAAACCTTTTGAATTTCTTGCTACGTTTATGTGATATTGTCCCATATACATCAAGTCCAAATATTCGTTGAATACGATGCTACACTAGAGGGTATCAATATCAAATACGTTTAGGCATCCGCAGCGAACAAGAGCGATGACTGGGATGCTTGCGTATTTGTGATTTCCTTGTAAATAAGTACTGTAGCTTCGCTCAATGAATGGACTCATTGGAGTGGCATCTCGACGTACCTTTGAGGTCCTCTTTTTCTAGAGCCTCGCCGTTATCGAAGTCGAAAAAGGAGGGGTCGATAGGGTCAGCCACGGGCTCGTCGTCGGGGTCGTGGTATGGCTGTCGGGTAGGGTCAGGGGGGAAGAGATTGAGAAGGGAACACGGACCTCGAAGTAAGGGTGTTGTAGAGCCTCGACGACAGTTATTCGTCGTCTGGGGCTGAATGTTAAGCATTTCTCTAGGAAATCTATTGCCTGTGGGAAGGAACGTCTCAGCCGTCGGGCGCCAGGTGAGCAGAAAATGGGACGACGACTCACAAGAGGGTTGGCGGCTGGGAAGAGCTGGGAAAATGGTCTGCTCTTGCGGAAAGGCAGTGCACGGATATATTCTCGTGATCTTTGGGAAGAGATAGCGTAGAAGTCGTCGATGGAGGGTGTGCCGAGGATGTCCAATATAATTGATAGCTGGTCGTGATCTAGTTTAAGAAGGCCGGGGTGGGACGCGGGGTTTATAAAATGTGTGCATGATTTGGATTATACTTACCTTGATGTGGGGATGGGAATCAAAAAACATGAGTGACTAAGTGAGGGATGAAGGGGAAAAAATCATACAGTCACGTCCGGGAAATAAAGGTTTCCCGCTGAGCATTTCGGCGAGGACACATCCGACGCTCCACATGTCAATGGCACGAGTATATTCTTTGAAGGTGAGCATGACCTCAGGTGCACGATACCATCTTGAGATGCCAGGATGGTTATGACAAATTCTGTGGAGAACTAGATGTTAATCGTACCTAGTCGCGACATACTCTGTCATGAATGTGCTACTGTCATTAGCAACATTTGGTGGTGGTCGAGCGGAACGAGCGAGACCAAAGTCGCATACCTAGGGGGCGATTAAAGTGTGTGCACATATTAAGCGATGTCAATGACAGGTACCTTGAGGTCGCAATTGGCATTTAATAGTAAATTGGAAGGTTTCAAGTCTCGGTGGAGAACGTCGGCGGAGTGCAGTGCTTTCAAAGCACGCAAGGCCTGACAAATAGGATCGTCCTTGTAGTTGGTGTATATGTGTTATTTAGCGTACCTGATAAATGAAATACTGACAATGGTCGTCACTGAGTTGCTGTGTACGAATAACGCGATGGAGGTCTGTTTCCATGAGTTCTTGAACAAGATATACTTCTCTGAATTGATCAAAGTTTGGGGGTTGGAGGATGTCGAGGATAGAAATGATGTTCTCGTGACGGAAATGACGAAGGAGTTTTATCTCGCGTAAGGTGCGTAGGCAGAACATGGAGTGATCGAATGGTGCTATACGTTTGATAGCTACTTTTCGTTGTGAGGGATTATGTATTGCTGAGCTGAGAGGTCGAGTGAGACGGTTGTAACGTCGTAGCATAGTAATATGACAATCATACCATACGATACCGTATGCACCTTCTCCGATGAGCTCGAGCACCTGGTAAGATTTATCGTCACAGAAATTCTCGAGTGATATATCCATGGTCAGTCAATATTCACGGAAGATGGAAAGCGATGGATGGACAGTACATGCCGAACAACAAGTAAAAGGATAAGTATTATTGAGGGGGTTGAGATCGGGGTCATCCGGCTAATTTTTACCTTAGCTGATGCGCTTATCAATTGATAAATGATAATAATTTAATTCCTTTAACGAGCAATCTGAGAGCACCTAGCATATTGCAAGGCACCTTGGGTTTTCTCCTACTCGTTCCGTTTCTCCTTGAATTCCGTTCTTTTCATCTTCCTGACAATCATGCCTTCAAACGAAAAATTGGATCCTGAAAAACTTTCAGACCATGAGAATGAAAGGTATCAAGATTCTGAACGTGACAAGGACAAATCTCACAAGTCTAAGTCTTCTTCAAAGTGTAATAGTCTTCTCTACTCTTCATCTCCAAGACTTAATCTCTTCTCCTCTAGCCAAAGATCTATCTCATGTACCTTGTAAATTCTTCAAGGTCGGCGCTTGCACAGCAGGCTCTTCTTGTCCATTCTCCCATGCAGTCCAAGAGCCTGGTCACCAGAAGGACGTCTGCGCATGGTTCGTCAAGGGAAACTGCAAGTTTGCCCATAAATGTGCATTAGCCCACGTTCTTCCAGGCCAGAGCATGTCAATGGACAGGAAAAATAAGAAGTCGGCCCAGCTCGCTGCCAACGCCGCGGGAGGTGGAGGTCAAAAGGATGGAGCAAAAGCAGGGAGGAGTGTTAAGAAAGATACTCATGCGCATCATGGTTCAGGCGGTGTTTCTGCTGCTGGCAATGTTCGCGGGGGTCTTTTTTCAGGTTCCACCGCTCCCACAAGGTCTCTCACCGCTTCTACTCGCCCTCCAATTTCTATGCCATTAAAGGCCACGATTTCCCCTTCCGCCCCCGCCCCACCCCTCAACGACACCGATTTTGCGTCGTTTACCCTTCCAGATGACACAGAAAAGTTGCCAGCAGCGCCTCTCCAGAGACGACCTACGCCTCCGTCCGAACCCGAGTCACCGGTGCCCGCTCAAGATAGCGAGTTCAAGGAAGAGCACAAAAGTCCATCCCCACCAACTCTCCCTCTCAGCATGCCTAGCACCCGACGTTCCGGTCTATCACATCGCCCCACAGATTCCGCGGATCTTGGCCCCATCGGATCTCCGCCACGTGGTTCCCTTCCCCGCACTGGACTCGCTAATGGATTTTCACCTGCCACATCGCCTGCCGCTCCAGCAATCTCCTCCACGTTACCTGCTCAGTCTCAGTCTGTATTCCAGTCCTATGATTCCCAACCCTTGATACTAGATACAAAACGTCGTTCCGGGCTCGCCGCGTCCCTCGGTGCGTGGAAAACAGAACTGGGACCTGTTCCCTCGCAGGTTGTCAACCGTGGGGACGGTAGTCTCAATGTGCGTGGTCCCGACCATGAGGTTGCTGTTGAAGACGAGGACCTCGAGGAGTTCCTGCCAAGCTCCCTCAATGACCTTTTGACCCCCGAGGAACGCTCGCGCAGAATGTCGCGTACAAATTCTGGCCGCTCTGCTCAGGTCCAGAACAACGGTCTTGGCCTTGACCCCCCTTTCCTCACTGCGCATTCGCAAGCGGAGGGCTCTCGTCACCATTATTCACGTTCCGTGCCAGCTACCTCGCTTCTCGGTGATGTCAAGTCCATTTGGGCAGAGCGGTCCGGCGGGCTTCCCGGTTCCCCTGACACATCTCATGCATTCAATTTGGCAGTCGGCACACCTAGTTCATTCAAATCCGCGAGCGGCTTCGGAGGACGCTCCTTTACTAATGAAGACGTGAACCCATCTTCATCCCTTCTTTCTCCATCTAATGCTTCTGCCGCGTTTCTCCCCTCGTTACACCAGTATTACCTTAACTCAAAGCCAAGTGGCATCCAGCGTTCTACTTCTGGTCTCGGCCGACCTGCTGGCTCCCCCCTACAACCACCCACCCCTCAGAACCCACCCCCAACTTCATTCTCTCCCCCACGGATCAGTTCCCTCGGTGGGCATCGCCCGCCGTTTGACGAACACGCCTCTGGGCGGCCTATTCCATTTGGCGGTGAGGGTGAGGAGCGTCCAGCTGCTATCTCCCCTTCCATCCGTGCTCTGCAGGCACACGCACCGGGGCAGAGCCTGCCGCAGGGGCTTGCGGCAGGTTATTCTCGCATCCATGCACTCCCAATGACAATGTCGCCCTCCTCAGCCGCAGCCTTCAGCCCTGGCTCCAACAACAACCCTTACTCCCTCAATCAAGACTGGATCGGGAGCTCCGCGAACCATTCCGATCATCTCTTCGCTGCAGATGGAGGTGTGCCTCTTTCGAGCTCGATGGCGGGCCTGGAGTCGATGTTCTCACGGCTGTCGTACTCTGCGGCGGCAACGTCGCGTTCGCCGCTGAACAACACCGGCCTGGCTCATTCGCCAACGCAAGGCTCGCCACTGGGTGTCGGTATCCAACGTGGCACACCTGGCAACCGGAACTGGCACGCCCAGAGCCCATTGAGCAAGCCTGTTGTTACAGCAGATGATGATGAGCTATTCAGTATGGATGGATGATGTACTAAGCTGCGCGTAGAAGTAAAAGTAAGTGTTGTAACAGCAAGTGTACGCGATGACGAATTGTTGTTGTTATAATTGCTAGCCGCGCCTCTGCTTTGGTTTCGGGGACGCCATACCTCATTCTCTTGTATTGCATGGTGACGGTGTATGTATGTGTGGGGGTCGTCAGATCATCTACGTAAAATATATTTATACCACCTTGAGCTCTCTTTAATGGTTTAGATGGCGCATGTAAAAGGTGTTTTTTTTTTTGGCAAGTGGTTGCAGGACGGTTTATTCCACAGATTTATGAACGAGTGTGCCAGTAGGTCAACTACGTACTTTTTACTCACATTTCTGATATATTTTGCTTCTACTAAGGCCCTATCCCACCGCTACCGGAGATTGATGTTGACTATGTAGCAAGCGCTGCCAAGGGGTAGTGTTATTATTAGATGGCTCGTGACCACGTGACCGCGTCAAGTCGCGACTTGTCTCAGAGCCATGCTCTTCTGTGATAATCATGATTGAACCTACTCCCATCATTGACCTGACCACGTCCAGAGTTGCAGGGGACTCGACGTCTTTAGCATCACATTTGACCACTGCGAGAAACCTACAGACTACGCTGGATGATGTAAAAGCGGGACTCCGAATAGTCAATGCCCGCGCTGAGCTATCCGCACATACGTGGGATGGGATCGAGGAATGGGTTGGTGAAGACGGCACTCTGGGACTCAAAGATCCTAAGATCGTTGAGAGTGATGTGCAAGCACAGATTGTGCGTGTTTTAAATGTCCAAATCGTGCACGATGTCTTATCTGCGATTCAACCGGCGACTCTTTATAGTCTTTCCTAAGGAAGCTCAAGTTTCTCTACCTCGAGCAGAATGCAAAGGATAAATATGTGAAGACCATTGTCAGCGACGACGCCCCGCTAGTGACACCTGCGCTAAACGAAGAACTCCGACTACAGAATGAGGAGAAGAAGGCTGCGCTACGTGAGCACAAAGCGAAGCTAGCAGAAAGAAGGGACGATCTTCGAGCACTTTCTGGATTTGTAGAGGAAGGCGTGTCTCCTGAACTTCTCCATTTTCCATTTGCTTCATACTAAAAGTCAGCGTAGATTATAAGAAAGCACAAACCCTCACTCTCCAAGCATCCACGCTCTCACAAAAGATACTCGATGCACGTCTAACACTTACTCGCTTGCGACAGGCCCATCCCCATCCTCGACTAACAATAACCACAGCGAACCAGCAACTCGATGGCCAAGTAGAAGAGATGCAAGCACTAGACGCGGAACTCGCGGATGCGCACGAGAAGATTGCCGCTGTACGAGAGCGGATAAAAGTTGGGACGGGTGAAGTCGAGAGGCTGAGGAGTGTTAGGGCGGAGGTGGAAAAGGCTGTGGAAGTCGGTGCGGGTGAAAGAGTAGAAGACGGAAGAGTGGTTGGACTGTATGATTGGTGCGCGACTTCTAACATCAGACTACTTCTCGTTTGCAACTATCTATCTCTGATTCTACACAGGTTCTCAACCACGACCTCAACCCATCATGCACTCGTCTCGCTTCTCTCTGCGCATAGTGAGTCCGATAATGAGCTGCGCCTCACCTACCGCGTACATGAGCGTGAGGTATGTATGACACTGCTATTCATACCTAATACGCGCCGCTTGGCTGAGGCACGGGTGGAGGGCGTCGAGGAAAGCGCAGTCGGAGACGTTGTAGATGCGCACGTCATGGCAAACGATGTATCTGGGCTTGTGTGGGCTGTGCTCGCGAGAGCAAGGGCTACATAATATTTTAAAGCTCTTTTCAGCCATTCCTTGTTAATTAATACATGAAGAGCTATGTGACATCTCACTTGGCGGTTACTTTACTCCTGCGAGCTGTCCATTACGCAGAAGTCAACATTCACGGCCGCTGCACTTACCTATCACAAGTCAAATTGGACATGACATTGCGGAGTATCCTTACGTCTACAACACGTGCAGGAGACTGCTGAAAACACCATCACTGGGTTGTCAGCACGGTGTTCGAATGTGAGAACGATTGATCCAAGCCACGACTCAGATCCACTCAGTAGTACAAAACCCATGTCTCAGACTTGAAGTTGAAGTGCATCTTCCTCACCACTGTCTGCGTTCATTACTTGTCATACAGGACGTGGACGATTTGGTACGTAAAACTGTGATAACGAAGAACAAGGGCAAAATGAAGTCTTTAAGTGAAAACGCGAAAGCGATACGAAGGCAAGTAGCAATTTTATGTCACCGGGACGACGTCCAGCACGTCCACAGATATTCAAAATCAAACTGCAGGGGTATCATCCGTCTCGTACTCATGATGAACACGTCAGTGAGCAGCATAGCCATTCACCAGCTGGACGAGTGCCTGTTCTTCTTTTGCATCCGTGAATGCCCCCTTGCAGGAAGTTCTCTGGGCCAATTATGTCCTCCATAGCCGGAGAAATGGAAATTGGTTGGAGAGGCCTAGGAAAGGACGGGGTTGGGTCAGCAGATCAGCCTGAATAGTCGGTTTGAATCTTACTTGGGGTGGGTAGAAAGTTTCTGTGACCGTAACAGTAACCATACAGGTACCACCTAAGGTGGAGGTAACCCCAATAGCAACCACAGGGTGACTGGTGACCGCTACGCTTGAAGTCGTGGTCGCGGAAGCAATGGTCACAGTTCCCGAAGACGTGCTAACTGAATGAACACTCGAAAGGGTTACGCTAGTGGTCTTGCTAGCAGACGCGGTTGGAGGAGTCACAGTAGAAGACGTGCTAACTGAATGGACGCTCGAAAGGGTTACGCTGGTGGTCTTGCCAGTAGTCGTGGTTAGAGGTGTCACAGTCGTAGCTCCAGAAGACGTGCTAACTGAATGGATGCTCGAAAGGGTTATGCTAGTGGTCTTGCTAACAGACGTGGTTGGGGGAGTCGCAGTAGAAGACGTGCTAACTGAATGGACACTTGAAAGGGTTACGCTAGTGGTCTTGCCAGCAGTCGTGGTTGGAGGAGTCGCAGTCGTAGTTCCAGAACTCGAATGGGTTGCGCTGGTGGTGTTGCTAGCAGTCGTGGCCGGGGGAGTCGCAGTCGCAGCTCCAGAAGTGCTCACTAAACGGACACCTGATACGGTGGCGCTCGTGGTGGTGCCAGTAGTCGTCTGACGAGCGGCATTAATCACCCACCAGTGTAATTCCAGAGGATCTACTTACCCCTCCCAAAATCTGCTGTAACTGCTGCGTATTGATTGTTGCAGCCGTCACAACACCGTTTCCATCAGTCGTGAGGGTCACCGGGTTGTTGGCGTTCAGTAGCTGCGTGCATGCAAGACCTACATGCCACGCAAAAACAAATCAATGATGCATCGCAGTGAACACTGGTCAAAATACCTACCAGGTACTGGACCAAAGGACATAGAGAACCTCATGGCTAGGAAAGTGAAGAGATTCGTTGCCTGGTCAGCGGCGGGCGACCCCGTGCCAGAGAACAGTTGTTGGTTCAAGGAGATGAAAAGACCTGACTGTGCAAATTGTTGGCTGACGAAGACGTAGATCACAGATCAATCAGAGAATATATGCGGATTGAGCCCAACATAACATACCAATACGTCGTGCCCGACGCATTAGCGTTATCGGCTTGGGCTTGATTAACACCTGCTCGGTATAGATTGACTTTCTGGAGAGACTGCTGCCCATTAACAAGGACCATAGGATCATTCAGAGGCACCATTGCGGGACCACCAGCAGGGGGGAAAAATGAAGCCTGAAGTTCCTGCGGCAGGGAAACACCAGTGTCACTACAGATTGACATTGAGCGTGGCAAGTACAACACTAACGTTAGTGGCGAGGGCAGACCCCGATCCTTTCGCGCAAGTTGTACAAGGATTTGTATAAGCAGTACACCCAAGAGTGGGCTGTATGAAATCATTGATGAGGGCATTATCAGATGCTAGACAATGGCAGTTGCTGAGTTTGTTCGGGGCACGATGGGGCTGAACTCACCGTTCGACAACACCTCCGCATTGGGGTTCGCCTGAGAGTTGGCTGGGGTGTTTTGAGCAAGAGTGGTGCCACCGACCAGGAGGTACGTGGTGACGACATTGTCTGATTGATCCTGTGTCACGACTATGAGCGGAAGACATAAGTTCATGGTCACACCCAATACTGACCTGATCGACAATGCGGAAGTCACGAATGGTAGGACAGGCTTGACCATCTCCTGTGCCTGGGGCGCTAACCTTCGTCATACCTTTCTGAACCGCTGTATTGGCAGCACTAAACCATGCTGGCGCATTGCAGTACGCAAACTGTATAAATGTTCACATGCAGTCGCCAGATACAGCAATCCATACTCGTACCTGCCCAAACACTGAAGTGCCCAAGCCATTGACACAGGTTGCAGTGTCACCCGTGAGCGTAACAGTTTGCGCGTTAGATCCAAACCACAAACCAACGACTGCGTTGGCTGGGAGGGTTGGAACGATCGGGGGAATGAAAAAGCCAGCCCCTTGGGTCGCAGCCGCTCGGGCAACTGGGGTCATTTTGGTCGCTGTGGATGATGTATTGGTCGAGGCAATGGTGCCAGCGTTGCCGTTATTCGTTTTCACTGAACCTGAGCTGGAAGTAATTGTACTCGATGACGAAGTCGAGGTGATGGTGTTTGCCTTCACAGAAGCTGAACTGGAAGTCGCTGTGCTCGCGCTGCTGCTGCGGCTGGTGGTGATGGTGCTGCCAGTGCTAGTGCTACTGCCACTGCTGGTGCTGGTGCTGGTGCTGGTGGTCCCGACAGCCACCATCCCAGCATTGATAACCAGGGGATTGTATATCTGAATTTCACCAGTCGCAGGATCGATGATCGCGGCTTCAACGAACACCCCCTCATTGGCGAAATCAAGTTGCTAAGGCAAGATAGACTGTGACTTGGGCGCTTGAAGAAAGAAAACGAACGCGACTTACGTTGCATCCGGTCAATTCATATGGAGTGGCGAGACCCTGGGCAGTAAGGGGATTCTGAGGTATCATGAGCGTACATTGTGAAAATGCGATCGAGGCCCAGGAAAGGAATGTCAGAGGAAGGCCGAAATATGTAGGAGGCCGCATCCTGTAGGTTGAAGGAATGTACAAAAAGGAGTGTTCCTGCCACTGAAAAACGAGGGTCCCAGACCTGACCAGAACGAATAATTAGCTTACTAGGTGTACACAATTGACGCAACTAATTACCGATAGTGAACCTGCACGACCAGTTAACAAGAAGCAAAAACCGAGAGAGGAAGTGAGGAACAAGGTAAGGACAAGCGCCCCAAGAGCGACCATGCTTTTATTTATCTGATAGCTCTATTATTAGCAGTAACACAACGGACCCATTCTGATCGCGACGCCTGGTGGTAACTTACTTCGTTCCTGGTCCTGGCTCGCACGAAGATCAAGTGTTGCCATGGGTGTGCTGCAATAATGTTCAACATTCAACGTTGAATCAGAACATTGAGCATTATCGACCCCTGGTTACCGCGGGGCGGCTCGTTCATCAAACCAAGTCTTTTCGCAACTGCAAAAAGCTTGTCAGTGAATGTTGAAACAGGTTGAAACCCGATTGTATGATTGACACCTGGTCCTCTCGGTAATCGATATCTGCAGGTAATGGAAAACAACAACACCGGGTTTGAAGGTTTAATCCGGACAAAGCACGTCTGTAAAAGGTGTGCCAACCGGCTGATTTCCGGATCTGGGATATTCTGATAATATCTGTAAAGCGTTGAGACGTCGACGGTATCATAGGACCACCGGCTCTGCTGCCAGTAGTCTGTCTGATCGGAGCTACACATGTCAATATTGCTACCCAGTACCTTCCAGCGTCCGCATGGCAGCTTGGGGCTTAGCGTTGAGCTCCCCAAATTGTAATCTACTACGTGTGACTGCATAGTACAGTATGCGAGTACCGTCGGAAGGAAGTTCAAACCTTACTTTTTGCTTTACTGAATGTTCAAGTTACATTCCCAGTTCGTCATAAAATGGCTATGCAATACTAATGAAAACGGTGTATCGGGAATGAATGAATAGTACCATTTTCGGTGACAGAAGGGGCGATCAATGATTCAGAACTAGATACCGGAGACTGTTTGCGACACATAGGAGGTACGGTGGGGAGGTTGATAAAACCCCCATCTCTTAGAGAGTCGGGGACTATCAGCAATAGTACGATGAAAATTGAAAAAAAAAAAGATGAACCCCTACCTGGGCTGTGATATCAAGCACGACGAACAAACAACGACCACCGCTGCCCGTGACAAATGAATGACGCCTTGGAGACAATGTGATAGCTTGATGAATGAAATGTAGACGTCAACATATCGGAATTAGCGTGGACTTGATTTGGAGCGCACTTTGCGGTGCATGGTCCCAGAACTGAACGCCATGATCCTTAGACCCTGACACGACCGAGTGTCTGTAGTGTGACGGTGTACACAACTTGCCGCGTCGTGTCAGCGTATTGTATGTCCCGAGAGTAGTGATGTTCCAGCTCAGCTTGGGCTCATAGCCCTCGTAACAATAGCCACAAGATATGAATGGCCATATATCTAAAGACAGTCCACAATCAGACATGAGCAGACTGATTTTTTGTCATTAGCCCGTGATGATGTCTGCAGATAGTCAAGATGTGCTTCAGAAATCTGACGCTTAAACAATTTCTTCACATGTAGCAGTCACGTGCATGCGCGTTATGGTTGACATCGTCCCTTTACCGCGTTGCCGCAACTTTCTACTTCTTTGCAATCAGAGTCCTCAAGTCCTCTTCAAATCCAGGCGGCATCTTTGAAGACACATGTCTGGCACACACAAGATCAAGATCGCCGCACGCCTGCGACCTCGTATCGAGCACGAAATTGACGACCAAGGGATACAAATCACGCACGATGAAGACGGAGAGGGACCGTCGTGGATTCGCGTGCCTAACCCACGGGACGCGACGCAAGTCTTTCGCTTTCCGTATGTGTAGTTTCTCTCTCGTCGCATGCTTCTTGCACGGTGCAGTGACTGACTATTCGTTTAGATTTACCAGTTGCTACGACCAAGATTCTACACAAGAGGAGATCTTTGAGCAGGATGTGAGACCACTCATTGACGTTGTGTACAGTGGCGTCGTGCGTCCTTTAACATTCCTTTTGAATGCTTGACTCAACTAGTTGTATAAATGGACGTAGACCGTGACAATTTTCGCGTACGGCGTGACGTCCTCTGGGAAAACACACACAATGCAAGGAACAAAGACATGCCCAGGTGTCATTCCACGAGTTGTCGAGGTGCGTATATTTTCGAATGCATATTCCACACTAAGTGATTGTGAATGCCACTGTGACAGGCCATGTTCGAACAGAAAGCAGCGTTGATGAAGTCCAACGTCGAGCTCGCAGTATCGTACATGGAGATATATAAAGACGAATGTTACGACTTGCTAGTTGATCGGGAGACGGTATGCTCAACTTTTACTGACCTAGGACTTTTCAATGACAAGGTGGCTAACTGCTTTCTCGGGATGTGCAGGCCCCAAAGCTCCCTGTACGAGAGAACGATGTAGGCCAAGTCTTTGTTGCAAACTTGAGTTCTTTACCGATCACCTCGGTTGAGGAATTTGTTGCAATCTATTCGTATGTGCTCTTTTCCAGTCCCCTTCATCGTTCGGGGTAGTATCCAAGAGCGCATCTGCTTACCTCTGAATGTAGCCAAGCATCGAAGCACCGCTCAGTGGGCGCAACCAATCTCAACCGTTCTTCGTCTCGTTCACATGCAATGTTAACGCTGGAGGTAACAATGACTGATTCGTCAGCACAGAGAAGTAAGGGCCAATTTTGATTTTCCATCTTCCCGGGGCGATTAATATGTCCTCTTAGCATTGACAGGAAAGATCAACCTCGTTGATCTCGCTGGTTCAGAAAACAACAAGCTAACTGGGAACGACCCCACACGGATGGCAGAGAGCGCGGCCATCAATAAGAGCCTGAGTGTCCTCGGGCAGGTCGTACATGCATTAAACCAGGGGGCTGTGCGTTTTTGGGTTCATGCGAAGCCTTATGACTGATGGCATACGCAGTCTCGAATACCATATCGCAATTCCAAGCTCACGCGCATCCTCCAAGACGCCCTCGGCGGGAACTCCGTGGGATTACTCATTTGCAACCTTGCTCCTGGAACGAAATTTAGGCAGGATACGCTGAACACGCTGAAGTGAGCTCACGTGCATACCTTCTCAAATTCTTAAGCCTGACTCAAAACTACTCTCAGCTTCGCAGTGCGGACAAAGAACGTCGAGAACAAACCAGTGGTGAACGAGCGCGGTGCGTTGATATTACCCAAACCGTCACATAAATGGGAACTTAATGCTCTGTAGACATCCGACCTCAACCGAAACCCCACTTCGCAGCAATCCTACCACCACCTCCGAAACTCTCACCTGCCGTACTTCAGCCATTGGAAGCTGTCGCAGGTCCATCACGTGGCCCACGGCCCAGCGTCGCCCGCGCCGCACCTAGAGCAAGCCTTGCTGGCGCAGGTCAAAGCAGATCTCGTGTGCCACGGGCCAGTGGCATTGGGGTATTTGGAGGACAGAGGGGCCGTCGTCCTTCTGCATTGCCTGCACCTATTGATGAGAGAGCAGACACAAGTGGTAGCTCAGGGATGATGCAGTTGACAGATAAGGAAATTGATGAGCGGGTGCGCCTCCTATTCTCGATCACCCTACCTGCGTTGCTAAATACAGATCTATAGATCGCTAGGGCTGTTGAAGCTGAAGTCGCACGCCGTCTCAAAGAGCGTGAAGAACTTGAACGACAGGAGAAAGAGAATATCGCATTGCAGGTGAAACTTCAGAAAGAGAGGGAAAAAGACAAGTTGAAAGAAGAGGACCAAGGACTTCCGACCGGGGTGCTTAGCCCGCTTATGGCACAGCACCGTGATCTGGATCGTGAACTTCGTGCGAGGCTCGAGGAGTTGGAAGAGAAATAGTATGTCTGCACTAACAGCCGAGGTCATGCCACAATGCTGACTGACTGACAGCGAACGTGGGACGAAAGAACTTCAGCTCGCAGACGTGCTTTCACCTGCCTCGCGGAAGAAAACTGGCCGCGCGTACGTGATGCTGGCCCGCGCTCACTCCGAAAAGTACGTGTCCTCATCGTGCGCAACATCTCCCGCGCGGCGACGACAGCGCTCCTTGTATACTATACCTAACTACGTTAATAGGGGTGATCTTCAAGTCGCGCTCGACCTATACCGCAAAGCCGAGACGTATGTTCCAGACAACGTCAAGCTGAAAGAGAGGTGGATACTTTTCATTATTCATGTTTTTCTTTGTATGCTATCCGGGTCGAAGCTATAATTCTGACATCTTTCTTTCTTTGCTTGCTTTTCTTGTCTGCGCGTGGCTTAACGCGAGGAACAGAGTCATCGAAATCGAGTGGGCGGTGAAGAATGGCAGCAAGTTCGTCCCTTCTCCGAAGAAGCCCAGAAAGGCGAAAAAGGCGAAGGCTGGAAAGCGCAAGGCGGTGGGCAAGGTGATGAGTGGAGACGAGGATGAGGAAGATGTACCGATGGATGGGATCCATCAAATGCTGGACGGCGAGTCCAGCGGATCTGCAAACCCATTGAAAAGATTCAAAGTTGAGGAGGATGTTGCGCAGGCTGTGCTGGAGACCCCGCAAAAGAGAGTTAAATGCGAGGTCGAGGTCGAGGAAGACATATGAGCCTTTGTCAGTTACACATGTATAACTGTTGTAATTTATTTTTCACCTGGCTTACTAGTTCCCCAGGTTCTACTTTTGTATAGGTTCGGCCTATCAGCTAAGAAGTATGTATGGACTACCAGTCACCTCCAGTGCGGACAACCCACTGTCCTGATCTGAGAACTTCGGAAATGGCAGCGGAATGGAACTTCAACTAGTTAGCCGCTTGTTGAGCGCTCGTTGGGGATAGTACTTCACAGGAACCGTGACGTTGTCTCCGCGCCTACTTCAGGGTTGCTTCGGAGAACTACCCAAGAAAGGGAACCCCGCATGCACGCAAAAGGAAAGGCGCAAAGCAAACAAGTCATCTCGAGTCACGTGTAGCACGTGCTCGGGCGCGCCCCTCATTAAGTAGTCAAGTGGCGTGTTCCACTTCTTCCCACGCGAAATTTGGAAGACGCACCCCCTGTTTCCCTCAATTTACATCCACCACCATCCCAACCAGCGAACAGAGACTTTGAAGTACCACTGAAGCCTTATGGTTGCCTCGAAATCCAAAAAGACGTCCAAGTATACGTATGCGGAACGTGAGTCATTTTTGTCCTCCTCTAACGCGTGCCGGAGGGGCATGGCAAAGGGCATCCCTGATACTGACGACTCTCGATCTAGGGGTTCTGAGCGCATTTTCGCAGGCACAGAAAGAGCACAGGAGGCACAGTATCCACCTCGCTACCCTTCGTGCGCACGGTGAGGTGTTCATGTTCGGCAAAGCGATCGTTGCTCATCATTGCCTTTTTTGCCAGTGAGAAAAATTGCGAAAGAAAAGAAAGATAAGCTGGGACCTCAGTGGGCATCATGGGTAGGAAAAGCTGTTAAGAAACTTGTACGCGTCATTACTCCAAGCTGTCTGAAATCTACTGACGTCGAGGGAACAGGAAGAGCAGGGAGTTTTGCAGCCCGCTGACTCTAATGGGCATGTAGGCATGACCCCAGAAGGTAAAAAAGCGTGAGTCCAGCCGCTAAGACCTTTTTGACGTCTGACCAAGCCCCTTGTAGTCTCTCCTATGCTCGTCGCAAATTCCTTCCGACCGCCACCGGGGACGCATCACCTGCACAAGAGGACGCTGTCTGGAAAAACGTCACCGAGCATTTCTCTCCATCAGTACATAAACGGCAGCGCGCGAGATCCGCGTCTCGTTTAAGGTCGGTTCTTGGCGAGGAAGAAGTCGAGGAAGATAGCGCTTCCGTGCGCGGAAGTCCTAGGGCAAAGAGACGGCGACGGGCACCGTCCCCTGTCAAGTCTCCCGAGCGGTCCTTGACAAAGATGACAAAGGCAGAGGTTTGTTTTACGTCATTAGTATTAGAATATACGCCTCACCACTACACGTAGCTCCAAACTAAGGTCCGAGAGCTCCAACGGGCAAAACTTACGGATCAACAGCTGAAGGCTCAACTTGCTAACCGCGAGGAGCAGCTGCGCGACGTACAAGATGAACTCAGGACGTTGAAGCTCTCAGCTCAACGGGCGCGCGCGGTTATGCAAGAAGAAGAACTGACGGAATTGGATGATCAGGAATTCCAGCACAACATGGATGAAGAATTTCCGGTGCTTGATTTCCCGACATTGTAAGTACTTCTAACCTCTGCATCTTCCGTTTATAACTTGTTACTTTGAAGTGATGTCCAGATACCACGCGCTGGAACGCCTGCAGGGCAAGGTGCAGGTGTGATACGGACCCAATCGGGCTCTATTATTCACGATATCTCTATGCGGCCCACTCCTGCACCAAGCTCTCCTGATGCAGAATGCGACCGGAGGTACGGAGGCGACGAAGATGTATTTGCGGACCAGCAGCGCCAACATCTTCGTACTCCTGAATCTCTGCCAGACCGCAGGGCCCCAGAGATTGTTGAAGCGCAACAGCCTGCTTGGACGAACACCGTAAGCTCGCCATATCACAATGTCCTACTTCGTTTATTGACACTCCACTGAGATTGATGCTATGAAACTGGAGATCGCGGAGTGCGCGACTGAGTGCCAAACTCTCAAAGATACGGTGACCCGACTTCAGAACGAGCATGACATCCTAACAGGCACGCTTGATAGCCACAAGTCACGCGTAGCCGATCTTGAGGGCGAAACCCAGCACCGTCAGACCATGATCAACGAACTTGAATCTCGGAAGCGCGACCTTCAACAATGCCTCGCCGATCGTGATGACAATATCACCCAACTCCAAAACACAGCTCTCGAGAACGAGCAAGCTGCCATCGAACTTAAGAAGACGCTCGCTCAGAAGGACACCTCGTTGAATGCCATTTCAACAGAAGCCGAGACACTTTTGCGCAGCAAGAATGAGATTACCGCCAGGGTGCGGGGATTGGAAGAGGAAATAATTGCTGCGCGGAGCGAGAATAGGCGCTTGACAGACGAGCTCGCTAGTTCTCGCAGAGGAGAAGAAACCCTTCGAGAGCGCATGACGGAACTCGTGCAGACCACAGAAGAAAGACAAGGAGAACTTACACAAGCCCTAAGTGTTGCGCAGAACGAAGCCGGACATGGCGCTGTGCTCGCTAAGGAGCTCCTCGTCATGACCGAGGCTACCAACGAGCTCGAGAAACAGCTCTCTAAGGCCAAAAACACCGTCAAGAACTTCAAAGCTGAACTCACAGAAGTCTATGGATTCAATGGTCAGCTTCAGCTGGCTTTAGGTGGATCCAAGAAGGAGATTGAAGAGTTGAAGAGCAAGATCACGTTCGCTGAGAAGAGGGAGGGAGAATTGTCGTCGAAATTGCTCGCCGCTGATGCGACGAGGCAGTTTTTGGAGGATGCCGCTGCGACTATGAAGAATGCATCACGAGCCGAACACGTGAAGGCGCAGTCTACCATTCTCGGGCTCCTCGAGAAAATTGACGGACTGCAAATTCTGCGCGACAACGAAACGCAAGGGTCTACTGTCAGAATTACAGCTCTGGAAGGTGAAATCGAGGGTCTTCGATGGAACCTTCGCAGCGCGAACGAGGCTCAGCAGAGTGCCCTCGATGCGTTCAACCAGTCCAAAGACGACTTTGCGCGCTTGGAGAATTTGTTCACCGCGGAGCAGGTCACTTGTAATGATCTTCGGGTCAGTCTGACTGAAGCGGAGGAGCAAGTCTCTAGCTTGAGAGTAGCAAAGAAAGCCGATGAGTTGACCATGGTCACTGTCAAGACGCTTTATGAAAAATGGAAGAGAATGCATGCAGACTGGATATCTGATTTGGAGAATACGGTATGTCGTCTCGTGATCTGTTTGTCATGTGTGATGCTCAAGCTGCGAGGAATAGCTTTCTCATGTGCAACCGGCATCATTAGCAAGCGCGTAGCGATGTATCTGCATGAACTAATGCAGACCGAAGGAAATTTGGCGGTCCTCATATAGGCCATTGACGAGGTTGATCTGGACCTAAACATTTACTGAGGATATAACAATATCTGTCTTAATTTTGAGGTGCTAGCTTTGCGTAGGCTAAGTAGTTCAAGTAGTGAAATCAAACTGCTCATCTCTGGATGTTACCTTCGCTGGACCCGTATCATCATGAACGCATGATGTGCCACACTGCCAACAGGGCAAGTTGACTCCCCAGGCAGTCGGTAGACTGGCAGCCTATCTAGTTTTGCCTAAGTACGGGAGACTAAGTCGCTCTCAGTTGTTCCTTTTTGATAATATCCATGGTCTATTGTATCTGACTTTACTTGCACTGCCGCAGGTCCGCACACTGGTACATTTACCACAGCACGGACGGCCACTTGGCATCTGGCAGAACCAGGCAGATGGGCCAGTGCATCCTTCGAATATCATGCTTCGGCGTTCGCACGGTGAAACGTCTATCTTGATCACGCCAAGATTGACCCCGCCCACTGGCAGAAAACTAGATTAATTCGTCTCTCGTAATTCTAGTTGCAGTACGGACGACCGCATCAGATGCATCATGCAGATCCGTCAACACAGCTTTGCGCTGTGGAACATTTATTGACTACTTGCGTTCGATAATCCACCCAGAAACTTCGTTCGTTCGTTCTCCTGTCTTAATCTGCTTTATCGACTGCAATCATCATGATGGGCATACCACTCGACAAAGCTTTGCTCTTAGCTTTGTTTCTCGAGACGTTGTTTTACGGTGCGTTGCTGACCGCTGCCACGGTGTCGAATCTCATGATTTCAAATAGGCGTGTTCTTTACTTTGTACTGGTTAACGCTGTTCATCCTACTCAAGAAAGGCAGTGGCATTCAACGGCAACTCCTTGTCCCAGTGACAACTTTGCTGCTCTGCTCTGCAACGGCCGTGAGTGTACTTGAACCTTGTGGGACAATACTAATCTAACAGAACCACTTTCAGCATCTAATCGTCGATTTCGTTCGAGCACTCAAGGCATTCATATTCAAGGCGGGTATGATTGGTGCAACTGCCTATTATTCCAACTTTTCTTTGCCGTTGTTCCTCGCGAAAACCGCGATTTACATCACGCAACTCACTCTCGCGGATGGTGTAGTTGTGGGTCTTTCTGCTAGACATGCTGCTTTCCCCTGAGTAGGCACGGCAGGTTTGGCGATGTTATATCGTCCACGACAGGAGTCTCTTAATCGCCATTCTTGGTTGTGTTGCGCTGTTGACCAATGGCGGTGAGCTTCTTGAAAGTGATCATCCAACCAGCATCTTATCCCGTGACGTTTTACAGCAATTGGGTACTATATCGTATGGTCCGTTTCTCGGACCACTGCTCTTTCTACCACTTCTCATGAGTGCATCACAACATTCATTACATTGACCATGGTTATCGATGTTACATGCACTAGTACGTCCATTCTGCAGCCGATCTGCATACTCCTGACAACAAAAAACATGACAGCTTTGATTGCCCGGCGCATCTACAGCACTCGCCGTTTCAGGCCAGACGGCCTTATTGCTTTTTTACCCGTTCTCATCGTCATCGTTGAGAGCGGCGCTTTATATGCAACGAGCGTCCTCGCACTCCTTGTGACATTCTTGGTCGGATCCAATGGCCACTACACCGTTTTAGACATTATCCCTCCTATTGTGGTGAGTTTACTTGACTTGGACACGAGATGTTCATAGGATCATTCTTTTTAGGGGATTGCATTCTGCCTCGTCATCCTGCAAATACACATAAGGTGGCCAACTCCCGACCGAACGACCCTTTGACGCAAGGGGCATCATTACCGACCTCTGTTGAGGACGCAGGACAGGTGTTATGGCGTGGAACCAATTATGGGGGAGACGGTGCTTAGTCTGACATGATGGGCGGAAACTAACCGTCCTCGGTGGGTGTTTTTTTTGTAGACCGGACCATTTGAATGCGCATGCTTTCCCGTGATTGGAGTTGGATGCCCAAGCTTTCTCTGAAAAGCGGGTATGGATGTGGTCATCATAGGCCGTTTATTCATTTGTTAAGAGTCCTATTTATCAGCAGGCCCTATAAACAATACATACATACAGTAGCCAAGCGCTAAGTACTTGTGTAGGATATAGCGTCGAATGCTGGTGCAGATAATAATAGAAATGCCCAAGTGAACGGCCAAAGTCGCTGAGCCCAAAACGCGTATGCCGTGCGCTTGACGACCCTGCAGAAGAGTGGACATTCAATATTCAAGAACGAGGCAAATATATCCTCAAATGCGTCCCAAAGTCGCGTGCCCAGTTTGACTGAATTGTATGTAGACTGGTTGACCTGTCCGTACTATCCACTATCGATTGAATGGTGTTGTGTAGTACTGTCCGACCCGGTCCCGAAGGTCAGGCACGATGGAGTCTTTGTTCTCTTTTTCGGGTCGCGTGACTGTTGCAATATGATATCATCGTCGGCCCCTGGCGGGTTCCTATTGAGCTCGTGAATTTGAGGGGGGAAGGATCTGGAATGATGGGGTGGAATCGGCGCATTTCGGCGCATGAAACCGATGACAGGTGACGGCAGACGCCGAGTTTGCGGGGTAAGTCCTGGCAAGTCATTGGAACCTACTTCAGGGATTTTCAGGTTCGGCTAACGGTAGTAAATTTCGGGAGCAATGGCCAAATATGACAGTAACAGACAGCAACGCGTGACAGTCTATGACAGTCCATGACAGTGCGGGGTGCAATAGGGTACAATGAACCCTTGGAATGGAGAGCTACGGCATGCTATGTAGGTCGGAGCAATGTCCACGGGAGCTTATCCGAAATTCATCTAAAAAGGCGCCTTGCTTGGTCGGGCTGGTCTAAAGGAGTACAGAAGTGAAGTGGAAGCACGAAGCGTGCGGAAATGTTGTGTAGATAGCGTGCATGTGAGTGGCAGGCTGAAATTAGTTTGTTGCGGTTGATCGGCAAGATTGGCGAGGTTAGGGACCAGGCAGGACCCCGACTGCTCTCTACGGTTGGTCGCCAGCGATTTCCATACGAGGACTAGTCTGTACCAGGAGATCATGGTGAAACCTTGAACCGGCTGCAACTGCTCTAACAGTTTCGGCCCGGATCTGTAGGTCAACCCGGATCATCATCATGCATTTACGTTTTGCACTTGCTTGAGGAGGAGAGAAACAAAAGAACTTGCCTGAAATTGGTACACGAGCTACCGAGGCCCCACAATCGATCGGTTGGGGTCCTGTTGGTCTACCACGTCACACGATAAGCGCGCGTATAAGAACTCACACTCATGTTCTTTGTGGAACGCACTATGTCCACTGAATGTGTGGTGGGCGGTGGAAGGCAGTGAATCGTTTGGCCTCAGGGAGATTAGCTAGTGGCCTAGGGTGGATGCTGTAGACTGTAGTGTGTTTTACTAGATCATATCTGAAATGAAATTCACGTGCCAACAGTGCGGATATTTTAAAGCCGAGGACTGGAGGAGTCACTAAAATCATATATTATATAGTTTACGCTTAACTACTACTTGACCACTTCAACGTTCCTATACATCGAATGCCATGTCTGCTGCATTTCGAATCTCTCCAGCCCTATGGGACAAGATTCACCACTTTGCTAGCTTTCCCCAGACAGGCGGTATGTATCTAAACTACATTACCCGCTGCCCAAATCTCTGATTATTATCTTTGTAGTATCGCTGCAGCAGATGGTGCTCTTCGGTCAACATCCAAGCCAGGGAACTCTCCTCAAAGCTAGTCAGTTCCTTGCAGGTAATTCAATTCTATTTCAACCTGACTCACTCTGACATCATATCAAGAGGAACTGCCCGTCAGACTCGCACACCGTGTCAAGGAACTCGACCAGCTTCCACACAATCTCAGTGACATGCCTTCCATACGAAAGGTCAAAAACTGGTATGCCCAGTCATTCGAGGTTCGTTTCTTATCTTCCCTATCTCCACTCATCCTCACCCCACTCTCTCATTTAGGAGCTCATCAACTTCCCCCCCGTCCAACTTCCCCAACACCTTCGACAGCAGCTTTCCGCAACAAGCCAGAACATCTTCTTACCAGACAGCACCCCAAACCCAAGTCTTACCGCCCTCCAAGACCACGATCACCCTCTTTTCAACTTATCCCATAACAAAAGCAACCCCAACGGCATCGGAAATATCAAACTCCGAGTCCCTTTGGAACGGAGGTGCGTACCCCCTTAACCCTTCTAAACCCACATATACCATACTCACCCAGTACAAGGTACTACGCCAAGTCTTCATCCATAGACTGGCCACCCTCCGTTCTTGACTACAACGCCCGTTTCACTCGCATGCTCGATGCCATAAAACGCAGACACGATCCTACTGTCACAACAGTCGCTCAGGGCGTTCTAGAATGGAAACGCAGTCAGAACGCCAAGAACATTGGCCTCGATATGCAGGCCTGGCTTGACAGATTCTACATGAGTCGTATCGGAATTCGCTTCTTGATTGGCCAGCGTCAGTTATTCTTGGCTCTTATCCTCATCCTCATCTCATCTCCGTCCTTTCCTTAGACGTCGCACTAAACACACAACAGCCCCACAAGGATTATGTAGGCATCATCTGCACTAAAGCTGTAAGTTGCCGTCCCTTCTCCTTTACATAATCACTAACACCCCTCCTTCGCCGCAGAACGTTCACGATATCGTACAAGAAGCCATCGAAAATGCCCGTTTCGTCTGCGAGGAACACTACGCTATGTTGAAAGGTCCCCCCGTCCAACTCATCTGCCCGCCCAACCTCGATTTCCCCTACGTCCCAGGCCATCTCTCTCACATCTGTTTCGAACTCCTCAAAAACTCCCTTCGTGCCGTCGTCGACCGCTTCGGCCACGATGCAGACGACGGGAACCAATACCCGCCCATCAAGGTCATCGTCGTCGAGGGCAAGGAAGATATCACCATCAAAATCACCGATGAGGGCGGGGGAATCCCACGTAGTGCCATTCCCCTCATCTGGACCTACATGTACACGACTATGACAGGACAGAGCATCGACCAAGACTTTCAAGCCAGCGATTTTCAGGCTCCGATGGCAGGTTTTGGGTATGGACTACCATTGTCGAGATTGGTGAGTGACGTGCGCGTTTGTCGGAGGCGTGCGCTAATGTGTCGTGACAGTATGCGAGGTATTTTGGAGGTGATTTGAGGCTTATTTCAATGGAGGGGTATGGGACGGATGTGTACATCCATCTCAACAGGCTTTCGAGTAGTCGGGAGCCTCTTCCGTAGTCCGGTTGATCTTATCGGTATAGTAGGGGTTTACACCATATAGGGAGGGACCTAGGTCCACTCGGTATTGATTGTATCTCGCTGGTTCGTTCTCATTGACGTTCTCGGGGACCATGCGAGTCCACTGTATGTAATGACAGACTTTAATCTTATGACAATGTATCCATTAGTGCAATGTACATAGCAATAGCAGAATCAAAATGCAAAAAAAGGAAAGGGGGGAAGAGAGCTCATAAGTATGGGCATAAGTTACAGTAAACTGTCTTCCTTCTATGTGGTCTGCCTAGGGCGAGTATGCTGAGGGACCTAGATCCACTCGATCCTATCACCGACCATTGTCGGTCTACGACAGTCTTGATTATCATTAGTGCAATGTACATCGTACCATACTGTAGTCTCTCCTAGGAAGATCTTGGACGAATGAAGACAGTCATCCCTTCTCTATTATCGTACCATGGCAAAATCGAACTCACACAAGAAAAAGGGATATTATTAGAGGAGCTTATATGGGCTTCCTTCGAATTTATTTGGTCTGCCTAGTGGGGATTAGTATGGGGAGAGACCCTAGATTTAACTCACCGGCTCATTGTGGGACCAGACAGACGATAGATGCTAGTCTACGAACAGACCTTATCATTAGCGAAATGTACACGGTACCGTAGCCGAATTGAACCGTAAAAGAAAAAAAAGGGACCTCGATTGAGAAAAAATCATATATACAGACAACAGGGTTTTCGGACAGCGTACAGATGTTTACATGTTGCATGCATATATCAATAGCGATGTGGACGTGCGGCGATAGCGATGTGCGATGCGAGAAACACGAGTAGCAGACAGAGCCAAGCAGGGGGTATTGACAGTATCCGTGTGTGGGAATCAAGAGGGAATACTAACGAAATTTATGTGTGACCCTTAGGTTGGCCCGTCTTCAGAGTGCCAAGCACGCTTGAGCGATGACGACGCGGGTATGTGTATTGCGGGATTCACGTGTGCCAACGATGATGACAACGTAGAACTCATGTGGCTGCCCATATGCGACGGCCAGTCGGCGCTATCGTGTGGGTGAACCAACGTCAGATGTTGTTGTTGCTGGTGCTGGTGCTGTTGGTGTTGTTCCTGGTAGAATTCCGGCTCACGCACCTCAAGTGCATCCACCTCCTCACACAACCTCTGATTCGCAAACCGCAACTGCTGCAGCTCATACTGCCAACTACTCCCCCGCGCGGTATCTAGCTCCTCGAATACATCAGTGGCCTCGGCGTGCATCAACGCACAGGGGCTGCTTGAAGCGCCAAGTATCGTGATTTGTATGACGAGCGGGTGAGCGGGGATGGAGAAGGGATGGAGAAGGGATCGGGTTTGGAGACGGGGCGGGTGGACGGTATATTACGAGCCGCACGTGCACAGTGTTATGATCTTTGCGCAGCATCGTACACACCCTTACATAGGGCTCACCCTCCGCGTGTCCACGTACATGCGTCTCCTCTCCACTTGCGCGTTGAATCGCGACCTCCACCTGTGCCCGATCTTCACTCATGACCATCATAACCAAAGACTTGCCGATGACCTCACTAACACTCCATCCAAGCAAATCGCGCACGTTGGCGCTGGTGACGAGTACGGTCCCGTTGGCGCTCACCATGCCCCATAATTCCTGCTCGCCGAGCCCGCCAGCACGGGCGACCGAGCGCCAGCTGAGCGAGGGCATCCATTTGCCACGACCGGAGAGGATGATGGCTTTGCGGCCTTTTCCGGGTTCGACGTGGAGGCGCCCCCGACATTCGATCCAAGCGTATTCCGAGGATTTGGCACGGGCGCGGAAGAGGAGGTCGACTGTTTTGGGTAGGCTGGCTGGGTGCTGTGAGCTGGTTGGGCTGGGTGTGGTGGACTCGGCTGTTGTGGTGTTGGGCGTGATGGAGGACTCTTTGAGCTCGCGCATGAGTGGGACGAGATCTGCGGGGTGGCAGTAGTCGGATATACTCTTTCCGACGAGCTCATCGGGCTCGTAGCCCAGGACAAGGCGCACGCTTGGGGCAACATAGAGGAAGGCACCTTTGAGACTGAGAACGACGATAAAGTCGGGGGATTTTTCGAGAAGGAGCATGTGCAGGAGCTGGTTGCCATCGTGGGTGTCAGGCTTGTCAGGGGTGGCTGTGGATGGGGGGATATTGACGCTCGTAGAAAGGGGGACTGAAGAGGTGAATTTAGTGTCTGTGATTAGACTACGTAAATCTTTGCTTATTATGCTGTTGGACGGCAATGCAAGCCGACCTCTCGCTGGGGGCGCGATGGGGGACGCCACCGGTGCGCCTGCGCCAACGGTGTAATTGACGATGTAGCTCCCATCGCGTAGTTTCTGCAAGATGGCATTGGGTTGTTCAGTCAGATCGACCTGGAACCCGACGTGGTAAACGACATCGTCTGCTTCCTCTGAACAATTCAATACGCCGCCCCTGAGGGGGATTACGGTTACGAGATTGATGAAAGCCTGTCCACCTTTACGGTAGTTAATGATGCTGGTTTGGCACTCCTTGTCTGCGGAAAGGGACTTTTTCAAATGAGACACAGCATCTGGGGCGACGAAGCGACGCTCCTCGCCCTTGTGGACGTTTCCATCAGGGGACTGTAGGAAGCGGCAATTGCGACCGAGGACCTCGTGCTCATCGTAACCTGTGAGACGGTAGAAGGTGGGGGAGGCGTAAATGATGGGAGAGTCATGGCGACGGACGTCAACGACAGTAAAGGAGCAAGAACTGTCGACAGGGCCGAGGACGATGTTTGGATGGGGACGTGTGATGACACGAGAGAGGATAGAGAGAAGGTCGAAGCCAGATGAGGAGTATACAGGAAGGCCAAGGGGGGACGGAGCAGAAAAGCTGGTTGTGGCATTGAATTTGAGGGTGTCGACGGCTGTTTGGATTGGGGGCAGCGGGGGCGGGTGAGAATAGTCGACCGGGGAATACGGTATCGAGTGAGGAACAGAATAAGCATCATCATAGCAATTGCTCGATTGCGCAGTGCTGGCACACGAGGTTGCCTCCTGGTCTCTGGACTGAGAGGAAGGATGAAAACTGTACAATAAATCAGCATAATTGAGAGGACATTATTACAGGATTTACATGTACTCACGGTGCAAAGCCGTTGTTCGTGAACCAGGTTGAAGCGAACGAACCTGAGCTGTCAAGAAGACCAGCTGGGAGGACCTCCGCACCACCACCTGGGGCTAGTATTGGAGGTCCATTGTACATGAATTGAGGGATCTGAAACTGAATCCCATTTCTGGAGTAACCATGGCCGCTGCCATGGACGTTGTAGCCGCGGTCATCGTCATAATCGCTGTAGTGATTAGAGTACTGTTGACTCCGCTGTGGCTCATCGTCTGCTAGATATCGCTCAAAGGGCATGACGGGCGGAGTTGAACTAGATCATCCAAGAGGAGTAGAAGTAAAGTAGATTTTTTAAGGTTGATGTAACTTGGTGGAAGCGTAGAAATATCCGTCTTTGGAGGAGGGTGCTTGTACTTCACGTTAACCTAACGTTATCCAGCCGGTAGGCCGCCGTCAGCTTGGTCTACTTTTTACATATGAGTTTACCTCACCGCGACTTCGTGTCATCCACGTTTAACTCCACTCATTTCATATTTATGAATCGCACGATACTATAACAAAACATGTTCCTACGATGCAGTACATAAGAAGAATCTCCGATACGGAGTCATCTCCCATAACAAAATCATAGCATCCAAGGCTGTTAATCTTTGCCCTTGTTCCCCTAACCATCACCCACGTTGGATGACGTAGTGAATAAAAGGGCAGGAAGGTTCCGTCAAGCACCCTGCTGGGTCAATACAATCTTGTCAACCAATGCACAGCATCTTCGGCGTGAGATTGAATGATATTATGTGGACATATCTAAGCTTTGAGTTGGGCCCGCAAATTCTGCTCCAACGGGCCCCTTGCTCGAATAAACTGTACATAAGCACCATCCCTAGACGTCATACCCGTTAATTTAAGATCTTCGAGATAACCGCGTGAAAAGATACTCACTGCAATACTCTCTTGTCTTCCTTGAGCTTCAAATAATCCTCACGGTTCACATTCGTGAAACCCCACTTCTTTGAGACAATAATCTTCTGCCGGCCTGGGAACTTGTACCGTGCACGACGGAGAGCCTCCTTGATGACCGCGGAGTTCGACTCCTTGCAACGGATAGACAGGATGATCTGGCCAATGTTGACACGCGCGGCCGTGCCGTAGGGCTTCCCCCAAGCACCACGCATACCAGTCTGAAGCCTGCACGAAAGACTGTTTAGACTCGCAGTATTAATTTAGACCAAAGTCACGGACCTATCGGCTCCTGCACAACTCAACATCTTGTTGATGCGGAGGACGTGGAATGGGTGGACACGCACGCGCATGTGGAACGAATCCTTGCCGGACGTCTTGGTGACATACTTGTTGGCGCAGATGCGGGCTGCTTCGAGCGCCTCGGAGCTCAGCTGCTCGTATTCATCAGAGACGAGATGACAGCAGAAAGGGAACTCGTCGACAGAGGCACGCTTCCGGCCGAGGTCGAAAATCCTGATCTATGGAGAGGGAGGTGAGGATGTCAGTGATGAGGTGTGGACGAACGGACCTTGGAGTCAGGTACACCACGGTTGTACCGTGATTTAGGGTAGGGCTTGTTCTTACAGTAACGGTAACAGCGGGCAGGACGACGACCCATTGTGATAATCTGCGGGAGAAAAAAAATGCAGTCAGTACTTGCCGCTACATAATCACATCCAAGGCGATAGGGCAGCATCCACCACGACCACTGGCAATCCACCGCTCATTCGAGCCCAGCGTCATTCTGCAGAGCGAAAAAGCGGAAAAGCGACACTCACATGTTACATGGGAGGTGGTTGGTGGGCAGACGAGTCCTTTTTATAAGTTGGGAAATCGGATACCCAACAGATGACAAATCCATACGCAAGACATGACAAACCAGGCTCGGCGAGTGCCGAATCAGCCCGCAAAAGCTATACAGTTCGCAGAATCGTGACGACGGCTGAGCGCTGAGCACCGAGTCCGAAACACTGCACGACGTGCACATATTGACAACTTGAGCCAGGATGAGCTGTCGAGCTGACGCGTCGATACATGGTGAAGCGAACGAGTTTGCCCAAGCCGCATCTGTTACTTATACGCGGCATTGAGTCAGCCACACAACGGTTCGCCATGTCCGTCATACTTAGGGCCAAAAACGGGGGACGTCCAAGAAAACGAACAATGCAATGATCGCATACAAACTCTCCAGTACTATATTACAGGTATATCCAAAATGAAGCCGTCGAAACTGTACTCGAGTCTGTGATTGAATCTTAAACTGCTTTCTCTCCCCCACACATCTCATTATATTGCGTCGATCCCTGCCACCCTGCTCATGCTGTGGCCTGTCAACCTAAAGCGCTGGTTAAGCGCCGCTCGGAATTCTACTCTAGAAGGAATCCTATCCGCATCTTGCAAGTCTTCTTCAGAACCACCTGGTACTGCTCTGGGTTTTCAGAAAGCCGCTCATACTCCCCTGCATGCAGCGCAAGGAATGCGTCAATACCGCGGCGGGGATGCTCAATGCTTTCAACAGGCTGCTCAGGCCAGTTATAGTCGTCGAAAATGAATATGCATCCCTCACGCGCAAGGCGCCATGCAAGCTCGGCATCAAGGAGAGTATCATCTGCGCGGTGCGACCCATCCACATATATCCAATCGAATCCAGCGCCCGCGTCCTTTAACATTTCCTCTTTGAGGAGTGCATAAAGTGCCGGGACGCTGAACTGGGGGAGCATGCGGAATGGGCGACCCGTTCGTGCGAGATTCTGCGTGAGCTTGCGGTGGCGCTCACGTCCCTCGTGGGTGTGCATAAGATCGACATGGTCAATGCAGACTATCTCCCCGCGTTGGGCGCAGAGTGTAGTGAGCAGAAACACTGCCGAGCGCCCCTCCCAGGACCCAATCTCTAGGACGCGTGGCTCACCCGAAGCAACTAATGGGAAGAGGCTTTTCCAGTATGGAATATTGATGGCAAACCAGCTTTGCGTTGGCGTAAATTCATATTCATCTGTGGAGGTAGAGATTTCGGTGACTTTAGATGCGGACATTTTCGGCTGCAGTTTATGTTTAATGTGAGCGTCTCAATATGCGTGCAGGGGTGGAGCTGACCTATGAGAACAGCAGTGTTATGAACTGGCCTGTGTATTGTTTATGCCCTCTAAGATTTGTGGTTTCTACGCAAAGGAGTTCATCAGAGTCATGGATTGTTTTTTTTAGTGATCACTCACTTTTGGTTTGGTGGCTTTGGTGTTTGGGCGGTTGAACTATACTTGTGGCAACATTTTATAAAGGTCTCAGCTGAGTTCAAAAATATAACCATCAGCTCTACTTCCACAGCTCCCTACGGATCCTACTCGTCCCTGCCGCAGGTTGTTTTTTTGTTACGAATTCATATGCGCTTGCCTGTTCTAACTGCGCACTGCTCACCTTGGCCATGTATAACAACCGCTGATCAGTGATCGGCGTCAGCTTAACCCTTCCTGGATCCTAAGGTCTGGGCTTTCAATCGGTCCCCCGCATTATCCCTTGTGCCACCCTGAACCATGTTGTTAATTGCGAATTCGTAGGCGCTTGCCTGTTCTAACTGCGCACTGTTCACCTCCGTGTATATCAGCCGCTGGTCAGTGTCAGCTTAATCCGTCCTGGATCCTAAGGCCTGAGTTTTCAATTGGTTTCCCACATTATCCCTTGTGCTACCCTGAACTATTCAATCATTTCCGCTTTCTTTCTGGATTCAACTGGGCTGGCATGTTCAGCGACAGCGACTAGCTTCTCGTGAATGCCATGCATGGGAGGGGATCATTTATACCGCGTTCCAATTGATGCGTCTTCGTCGCCGCAATCACTTGGAAGTTTTATATACCCATTGACAGCCTCGCAAATCTCAGAAGTTCCCCCCTTTTCATCCTGGATTTTATTCTAATGCTGATGTGACTCATACTGGACGCACCTCGTGTCTCTGAGTTGTGTTGCAAACTGAAACCAGGGTGGTTTGATTTCTGGTTTGAGGGTGCCGGTGAAGGCCTGCCGCCCATACTGGAGCAAATGCGGTTCTACGAACAATGATACTCGGAACCTTTAATGAGATAGTCTAGATGTAGGACCAAGTCGGACTCTGTCGATGAGATTGCGGAAATGGGTGCACACACTAAGCCTATCGGTACGTACAACTTGCGGTACTACTACGATAAGTATTTGGAAGTTAACGAGCTAGTCCTGGACCAAGTCTATCGCTGAGATTGTGGAAATGGGCGCATACTAACCATAAAGTCTATTGGTACGTACAAGTTGTACAACTCCGTGATTTTCATCGGAAGCTTCCCCCACAGCTCACCTCACTAGTGAACGATCTTCATTCTAGAATTTCTGACAGTCGATACAGCAAAATTGGCTAATCAACTTGTGAGCAAAAGCATAGTCCATCCTCCGACAACAGCGCACGATAAGACCAACTCACTGACCTTCCCTGACACGGTAGCGGGAATAAAGGCCCCCCCTTCACCAGCGTCAGTCGAAGCAAGGCAGGTCACCCCTAATTAGTTATACACCGTCCTGGGACTGGTAAGTATTTTTTTTCGAACTATATCCAGCGGACTAAAATATTTCAGCAAAGAAAACAATGGCGACACCGCGGTGAGATTAGACATGGTTGGCCTGACCAGGAAAATCTCCGTCCCCAACATATCTAGCGGGGGGACACCGTATATATTGTATGCGCAGAGCGGGTCTCGCTCGAAACACTGCACGCTGAGTCAGGATGCTGCCGAGAGCTGACACGTCGATGTATGGGGAGGTAGAGGAGTTAAGTTCAAGTTGAGAGCCCAAGTCACATGATATCTTCCACTGTCCGTAATACTACAAACGAACCGAATATTTTTATTGCAATCATTGCATACAAACTCCCCAGTACTTATTACAGGTGTAAACGATATACAAAATGAAGGCGTCGAACCGTTCACTGATACTGTACTCGAGTCTCGAACTTCGTGATCGAATTGTGAATTGCTTTCTTTTTCTCTCCCTCACACATCTCATAGTATTGTGTCGATCCTTGCCACCCTGCCCATGCCGTCTCATTCAACACACCCCACCACTCGTTTTTAAATGGGTGCCCTGGTGCACCTGCATAGCCCCAAGGCTTGGACGTGTATGGCTGCACCCACGGGTTCAGCACCATCTCAAGGTCAGGATGAACCGGCCCTGTAAAATGCACGACTCCAGGATCCTTCATGGTTCCCAATGTCAAAGCATCTCTATCAGCCGAGCTAGCCTCTGCATATGTGCCAAGTCCCTGCGCATTCCAGCTGAGGCTCACCTCAGCCCAGTCGCCAGCAAAGTGCTCATTCAGCACGTCTTGGTCATGAAATTGAGCATTTTTCATCTCGCTCACCCGAATCTCAAGCTCCGACAGGCGTTCTCTTGCCTTTGCTAGGTCAAGCAGGAGCATGCCTGCGTTGAAATATGGCCTACGTGGGACACCATCATGACCCATTGGGTATCCAACATCCGTCGCCGCAGCAATCGACGAGCCCTCCAAATCAGTGTTCCACAACTCCTCCAGGCTCCTGCGCACCAGCATGTCCGCGTCCAGGTACAAAACCCGCTCCACTGGCAAGATCTTCATCATATCAACCTTCGCCCAGATTGCTCCTAGCTCAGCAGCTAGACTTTCGGCTGGAAGATCCAGAAATATTAGGGTAACATCGTGCCGTTCGGGAAGTGAGGTCTCGATCTTTTCTTTGTCTTCCACGTGAAGTCCGCAGTCCACAACGTAAATCGTGATACGTCCTGCGGTCTTCTCGACGGCACTGCGAATCGTCACAGCTGCTGGCATTGCATACGAGGCGTCGGTGGCGAGGACCAAATAAATCCCGCAGCCCAAAGCGCTCGTCTCGGGACTCTGTTCTAGGGGCTTGCCCCAAGCACCACGCATACCAGCCTGAAGTCTGCACGAAATGTAAGACTCCCAGTACCAATTTAGACCAATGTCACGGACCTATCAGCACTAGCGCCCCCACAACTCAACATCTTGTGGATGGGAAGGACGTGGTTGAATGGGTGGATACGGATGTAGAAAGTACACTAAGGTAATGCGATGTGAGAACAGACAGGTGCGCAAGATAAACGAAATACCAACCTCAGTGTTGGGAACAACAACTGAAGTACGAGACGCGAGACGAGACGAGTTATTAAGATAGTAGAAACGGAGCTTGAAACGATGTGGCGAGGTTGTCCATGCAGTAAATATTTTAATGATGCTCCAAACCCCACTTTGATAAAGTTCCGCGCTATAACCTCACAGTGCGCGATACAACTGTCGAGTGCGCGACACAGTTGTCGGGTGCGTGACACAACCTACGAGCGTGAGTATGTGGGTTCCAAAGAGTATCATCCTGTATGTGACATCAATACAACGCGCCATGTTAAAGTCATGATGGAAGGAGGATGTTGCGTGCTATCTGCTTCGCAGTGTGACGGTCGGGGGCAGCAGCGCTGTATTTCATTGCACGAAGCTTCGATGCTGATAATATCAAAGTGATGGTCCAGAAGTTACTGTCAACATCCTTCTCAAACTTGGCAGGAGCGTGACGGTAGCTAGCAAGCGACAGAAGAGGCAGCGGCTTCGTGACCAGTGGCAACGATGAAAGTAAAATGTGCGAGCTGAGAAAATAATCAGTACATACATCGCAACTTGAAGTATATTTGGTGATTCACAGACAAAAATGCAATGCAGGGTCGCACAAACACCTCGCTCCGAGTTGTAATGGGGTATCTCGCATAACGTTGTTGAGGCGCTTGCCACCGCCACGGAAAGTCATATCCCCGACACTCACTTTAGTGGGAGAGGGTTCTGTCCAAAATAAATGTTCAGCTGTGTGTAGGCTGATTTGTGGGGAAAAGCTCGCGTGGCATTCGCGTTGGCATTTACGCTGAGCCATCGCCACCAAATTGACTCAGTTCATGCAGTTCATGCTAGTCTCTAGATATCGAGGAATATTCCCGTGGACGTTGAAGAAGTGTCGATGTCAGTGGTTTAGCGCTTGCACTCGAAAACCAGGGCTTGGGTGGATGGGAAGAGGAGGAGCAAGGCCAGAGACTCGGCAAGTCATATTTTTTCATATTCTTTGATCAGAAGTCCTTACTCTGTTTGATAATAATTATGCTGAACTACTTAGCAACATGAACACCACACCCAGACTACCGTCAACCACTATACATGACCTTTTCTGCCATTTCTCTGAGTCTTTTAATCGAACACTTCATCAGTTCTCCAATTGTGATACCCGCCCATATGCGAGTACACCTAATCGAATGTCTTGATAGTTGGCATTTTGAGCCGCATAACCTGCCCGAGGAGGAAGTCCTATTCCGCGCCCAAATTTTGTTTGGAAGCCTATTCCAAATTGAATACATGCGCGAGGATATCGGTGTCTCCCTCGGTCAGTATTACTCTTATCTCCGTGTGGCGACTGTCTTATCACACATCGGGGGGTTTCAACATTTTGCCTCTTGCAAGATTTCAATCAAAAGCAGGTCTAGACCTGGCTAGGGTATTCCAGACCTAGCCTAGAGCGTTCCAGAGCACTCTAGATTACCTTTCGAATGTAATTTCACTGGCGGCAAAATGTGGTAAAATGTCAGTTTCCCCGTTGTGTCACTGTGGTACAGTTGGAAATGTTCAAAAGCGGGAAGTTTTGTTTGGATCCAAAGCCCTTGCCAAACAACCGCCTGATACAGCCTCACTGACCGTCATCATCATGTTGCCATACCCTGTCTACCTAGTACTACTACCATCCTCCAATTTGCTTTCTTTCTTTCGGACTCAGTGCAGTAATGCCAATATTCAACACGGAACAATGAGTCTTCACAACTCTTCAGCTCCGGCGTGCTACTCTTAACTTAGCCGAAGTCGCTACAGTCCGGATTGGCCTTCAACTGGGTGCCTTCTTGGATGAACACTAACGAAGCTCTTGTAGATTGCGACGATGGAATTAGGGCACCAGTAAGTGACATATGCCTTCGCTGGACTTGATGCTGGTTGATTGATCGCCATATGTCCTTCAGTGCCTATTGTTTGCTAGATTCGCGTATACTCCAGATGGCACTCGCGTACCACTTGAACATACCGATATTTCACGAAAGCCCTATGAGACAAAAGTTGGGTCGCTATCTCAATACCTCGTCTATCTAACTGGTCATTGCGTGCCAACTTACGGGGCGCTCACTGCGATAATGTCTGCAATATTGTTCATGCCGCGACTTCGGGATTCTATGGACACATTTAACGCGGTTGGAGATAGACTGCATCCACCAGCTTGTTGAGGTAAGGTTATAATTCGCTGGATGCACACAAATATCACGATGCTCGCCAGTACGTGTCGAAATTGTTCGAGTGGCTTGTCTCACGACTTGGACATAGGGACTGTAAACATGGTAGCATGGCATCCGAGCGAGGAAATCATGTCAGAGGACCTCCAACGCTATCATGAACACGCGTGGTCTCCGTCGCAGCACTATTTCTATAACATATGTTGGTTCACGGCATGGACCCCTGCTACGAGGATAATTGATGATCGCCCGCACAGCTGACAATCTGGTAAAATACTAGTAGTATTTACACAAGATTTCTGTGATACTTGGTGGTTGTGTTGCACATACATAGTAGATTGTATTGCGCACTCGACAGTTGTATCGCGTACCCGACGCGCACTGTAAGGTTGCATCGTGGAACTTTATTACTGAAGTGGGGTTTGGAGCGTCATAACTGGACAACTCTGGGTGAAAATTCAAAGTCTCGAAAGGACGACTTTTGACTAATTGTTGATGCGATTCGGATGTATATTTCATCTGTCAATGACGTTCCTTACATGCTATGGGCTACTCCTAGATAATACATATCGTACAACCAACGATCATATAACGCGCAGAATCGAAGAAAGGATAATAAGTACAAATCATACTGATCACCTCAGCGGCACACTAGTAGGAAAACTTGAAATATAATACACCAGCGATGAGAGCCGCCAGCGTCATTCTCTGTCGTCCATTCATTCTTTCCTCGTTCATCGGACCATCTCCTGCCCTTCCAGTGAACCAGTCAAACCTTCGCCCGATGAGTAAAATTTCTCCCCGCTCAAGTAGGCCAATCAACCTCCCACCCTCGCTCGCCATCCTGATCAGCGCACTTTCGGCGACTGCGGCAGCCCATCCCAGTCCTCTCAGAGAAGACTGAGAGCTTTTGTGCGATCCGCATCTCTCCACAAATGACGGTACACATCATGCGCGATGTTTGCAATGGCCGTCGCCATTGCGAGGCTCATTGCAACATTGAGCATGGTGGTGCTCCGTGTGGAAAAGTACGTGAATGCACCTAAGATCGCCAATGACGCGCTGATCAGGAATAGCTCTGCGCTGTTTGGGGAGTGATCTAGATAAGTCAGATTTGGGTAGAGCTTTATGAGCCCCCCATCGCCTTTGGACCACATGTAAAAACGCCAGTACGATCTTTGACCCTCGTTCCACCAAGGGTGAGTTGCGGCGACATGAGGAGCAGGATAGAACCCTTTCCCCCCATGGGCAACGGAAAAAGTCGCGCTTCTTTCCGACAAAAGTCGATATCTTCTCCTCCACCTGTTTTCGGGAATTGCAAGTCAAACTCTACACAATCCTGAACATGGCGGGCGATGAGGTTTGCCGTTACTCCCCAAGGCATGTCACTCTCATCCCGTGGCATCTTCGCGGCAATGTCCCAGAAGAAAGTCACGCCGGCAAGGTGAACGGCATTGGTGAAAATAGTGTTGGCAACAGGGAAATCGATGTTTCCAATGAAACCAGCAGCCTGTGGATTCGTACGAATGACTTTCTCAGTTTCGATCAGAATGTCAGCTCGTGGTGTTACGTCGTCGTCAAGAAATAGAATCCATTCCGCGGCAGATTCCTTCATGCCTCTGTTTCGTGACGCCGAAGCGCCAAGGTTCCTTTCATTGACGCGGATGCGGACATCTGGGCGATGAGCATACTTCGCTTCCAGCTCGGTAATGCTCGGAGAGCGTGGGTTGTCAATGATGATGATAAACATGACTCACAATTTGACGAAGGTTTTAGGTCGATGATGGGATCAAGGAAAGGAGCTGAACCCGGTAGCTGGGAATGATAACATCCAGAGTCATTTTGCGAGCAGCGGTCGGTGACAGACGTCGCCAACCATGCCTCCAGTGCTGATGCGGCATTTTTGGAGTGGACCCGAACGTCCATCCGTCTGCATGTTTCTGGGTGTAGCGTGCAGGTAAGCTTCCACCAACGCCATTGGAAATTCTTGATGGAATCATTTCGGAGCAGCCCATTTGCGGTACAGCTGGAAGAGGAAAGGGTCGCCGTCTTGGTTAATGAAATGTCGGGTATGACTTGGCCATCGAAGACGTTCATATGAGTGCGGTGAATAACAGGGAACGTGGGCATGCCGGGGAAAGTCACATCTGTGAATGTGATGCATCCCATACCCTGAGGAACATTTTCACGCTGTGAAATCAACAAAAAACTGTTTGTGGATCTCTCTCATCCAGCCTTCATCGAGTAGAACCACGTCATCGCCCATTAGCACAAGATAGTCGGCCTCTTCCTTCCAAGCGCGGTGTGCACACTGGCGCCATATGGCGCAGACATGACCGCGTGGTACATCGCAAATCTCGGTCGAGACATTCACGATCCCCTCTTCTAATAAGACTGATTCGGTGATATTTGACTTCTCGTCATTCTTCGCAGGGCGCTGGAGATACTCGTCGTCCTGATTCGATTCCTAGGTATATCTTCACCTGAAAACGGACAACGCCAAGCTCGCGCGTGTCACGCCATGTAGTGCGGGCAAGGGACTGTGCAAAGATTCGAAGGTTGTCGAGGCTCTTTTCGGGCGCTCGAGACCACGGGAGGTGATGGGAAGTAAGATAGCGAATGTGGATGGTGGGTTTATTCAAGTATACGACCTCGCTTGTTTTAAGACTGCGCAACAGCGAGGTCCCGGCTGGCCCTGTCCTTGCCGATGAGCATGTTTTCCATTTCTCCTCTGATCCATTCAGCAGTCTTCATCATACCGGCCTCGAGGGTCACCTGCGGAGTCCATCCCAATGTCTCCACAACGAAGTCGTTGTTTGAGTTGCGGGCATGGACTCCGATCGGACGAGAATCCTTCATGTATCTGAAAGGGACATCTCCTATGTTCATGCCGACAGATTGCACTGCAATCTTCGTGAGATCCTCGATAGCCACGGAGCAGTCAGATCCAATGTTAATTGGTTCACTGCAGTTGGACTCGATGAGAAGGAGAATGGCTTCCACACAATCGTTGATGTAGAGGAAGCTCCGCAGTTGTTTTCCGTCTCCCCAAATCTCGATTTCATGCTGAGCGTTGGGCTCCATGTGTACGGCGAGAGCCTTTCTCAGCTGTGCAGCGGGCGCCTTTTCATGCCCGCCAAACCATGTGCCACGTGGGCCAAAGACATTATGAAACCGAGCAATGCGTATCTCCATCTTGTGGCAAACTGTATCAAAAGTAGCTCGGAGTGTAGCTTTTCAAGACCGTAGAGGCCCTGTGGGTTTGGGGCGCCAGAAGACCACACGTCCCTGCTCGCGGAGAGATACGGGGGTTGGCATGGCATGGTGCTGCAAGGATGTTGGATACACGCAGGCGGAAGATGCATAGAAGAAACGCCGAACACCCCGCATACAGCTGCATGTACGAGGTTGAATGTCATTGTTGAATTGTCCTTGTATATGATGAAGTCGTTCGCTTCATGGATCGCACCCATGCCACCCATTGTCGCGGCCAAAGTGCAGGATCGTGTCCATGCCCCGAACAGCATTTTCACAGAATGACATATCGCAGAGGTTTCCAACGAGAACCTCATTCGAGATGCACTCCTTTGAAATAAGAAGTCGGCTTGATATCTGCGATGCGAACATAGTGGCCCCTCTCAAATAATGCCTTCCCCACATGGGAACCCTAGCAAACATCATATTCAACATCGTTCTATGTGATAATGAAAGGTCCATACAATGAAGCCATTCCCACCGGTGATGAGGAATCTACGCGGGCTGCTGGCTGTCGCCATTCTTTTTTTTGCTGAAATATTTGAGTCCGCTGGATACTATGGTTCGAGAAAAAAACACCACCAACTCGAGGAAAGTGTGTAACTCAGGGTGCTGCCTTGCTTCAATTGACTCTGGTGAAGAGGGGCTTTATTCCTGCTACCGTGTTAGGGAAGGTCAGTGAGTGGGTCTTATCGTGCACTGTTGTCGGGGGTTAAACTATACTTTTCCTCACAAGTTGATTCAATTTCGTTCAGTATCGACTGTCAAGAATTCTAGAATGAAGATCGTTCATTAGTGAGGGGAGTCGTGGGGGATGCTTCCGGCGAAAATCACGGAGTTGTACGTACCGATAAACTTTATACTAGTCAGTATGCGCCCGACTTGTTCCCAAGACAGCTCGTCAGCTTTCATGTAAGTACTTATAGTAGGCCTGGTGTGTGCACCCATTTCCGCAATCTCAGCGACAGAGTCCGACCTAGTCCTAGATCTAGACTATCTCGTTGAAGCCTCCGAGTATCGTTTTTCGTAGAACCGCATTTGCTCTAGTATGGGCGGCAAGCTTTCACCCTCCAACCGGAAAGCAAACCAAGGTGGCTCCAGTTTGCAATACAATTCAGAGACACGAGGTGCGGCCAGTACGAGTCACGTCAGCATTAACATAACATCGAGGCGCACAAGGATGAAAAGGGGGGGAGTCAGTGGGCATATGAAAGCAGGGACGAACGAGTACGCATTAATTTGAACGCGGTATAATGATCCCCTCCTGTGCATAGCATTCACGAGAATCTAGTCCCTGTAACTGACCATATCGGACCAGTTGGATGCAGATGGAAAGTGGAAAGAATTGAATGGTTCAGGGTAGCACAATAGATAATGTGGGAGACCGATTGAATTGAAAGCCCAGGCTTTAGGATCTAGGATGGGTTAAGCTTCGGACGCTCATCGGCGGCTGATAAACATGGGGGTGCGCAGTGCGCAGTTAGAACAGGCAAGTGCCTATGAATTCGTAGCAAACGAAATGGCTTAGTGCAGCGCAAGGGATAATGCGGGGAACCGGTGATTGAGAGCCCAGGCCTTAGGATCCAGGATGGGTTAAGCTGACGCTGATCACTGATCAGCGGCTGATATACATGGCCAGGGTGAGCAGTGCGCAGTTAGAACAGGCAAGTGCATATGAATTTGTATCAAACAAATTTTATCCTGCCCCTAATGTCTGATCCATGTTGGAACGGGGGTCAAATATCGTACTGGCATTTTTACATGCGGTCCAAAGGGGACGGGAGGCTCATAAAGCTCTACCCAATCTGGCATATCTAGATCACACTCCCAACAGCGCAGAGCTGTTCCTGATCAGCGCATCATTGGCAATCCTAGGCGCGTTCACGTACCTTTTCACGAGGAGCTCCATCGTACTCTATGTTGCAATGAGCCTCGCAATGGCGACAGTCATTGCCAACATCGCGCACGATGTGTACCATCATTTGTGGAGAGATGCGGATCGCACGAGAGTTCTCATGTCTTCGTTGAGAGGACTGGGATGGGCTGTTGCAGTCGCCGAAAGTGCGCTGATCAGGATGGCAACCGAGGGTGGGAGGTGATTGGCTTACTTGAGCGGGGAATTTTTTTGTTCGTTAGGCGGAGGTTTGACTGGTTCACTGGAAGGGCGGGAGACGGTCCGACGAACGAAGAAAGAATGAACGGACGACAGAGAATGGTGTTGGTGGCTCTCTCATCACTAGTGTGTTGTGTTTCAAGTTTTGCTGGTACGCCGTTGGAGACATGGTTAATTCGTGCTTGATTTTTTCTTACATTTTCTCCGAGTGCGCGTTTGCGAAATGTTCGTTGGTGTACAATATATTCGTGCAACAGATGAAATGCACTCACCCATCTTGAAAGGTGCATCAACTTGGATTAGTTTATCTGTAGCCATTGTCCGGTACTTCTGCTCAATTAGGTTATGATATAGGTCTTTATCTTTTATTG